TATACACATGTATATATATATAGTCCTGAATAAATGAATGACTCGCCTGAATTTAAATGAGAGACAATCCCACTATACGTAATATGGCCAGAGAAGATAAAAAAAACTCACTCCCATAATTTTTAATAATTTAATAAGTGCTCTTGAAAAAGATTCTTCTAATTTTTTTTTTACTCGAGATTATTCTCAAGAGATTTTTAATTCAGTTATTGAAAATAGTCGCAACGTTTATTTTTCTTGATAAATTTATTCCTTATTGAAAATTATTATTATTTTTTTTTTTTTAAAGTTGAGAGGTTAAAAAATATTTCTAACTCAACTTTTTTTTTCGTTGTAAAAAAATAATCAAGTGTGTATAATTTTTTTGCTGAAATTTCAAAATTTCTTTGAAAGAAATTAATTATTTTCTAAAATTTTGATTTTGATAAGAATTCAATTATTTTCATAAATAATAAAAATCATCGCAAAAATTCAATTGTTTTTATATGCAATTTTAATTAAATTATTCGAAACAATTTAATTATTCTTTTAAATTTTCATTAAATGATTTAAAAAAATTCAATTATTTTCAAAAATTTTAATAAAATCTTTTGCAAGAATTCAATTATTTTTACAAATAATAAAATTTTTTACAGAAATTTAATAATTTAAAAAAATTCAATAACATTCGTTGTTTAACAATAAATTAATAGTATAATTGTTATTTACAATAACATTTTTCACAGGATTTTAATTATTTTAAATACAATTTTAAATAAATTCCTCGAAAAATGTAATTATTTTCGAAAGTTTTATTAAAATTCTTCGAAAGAAATCAAATTATTTTCAAAAATTTTGATAATATTCTTTAGAAGTATTCAATTTTTAAAATTAATCAATTATCCGATAAATTACTTATTTTCGTGTTGAAATAATTGAATAGAAGTTTAATTTTAGTTGAGTAGAAGTTTAATTTAAACTAATTAAATTGTATTTGCATCAAACACTGAATTTGGATCAATTAAAAATTTTTTGATTCAAATAAAAATTATTTGATTTAAATATTTATTTATAACAAATGATTATTTGATAAATAATTGACGAGTAATTGGGTATTTTGATCAAAATAATTTTTTTTCACTATAATAATTATTTCTAACTAATTGCTGAAGCAAAAAGTCAGTGAAAATTTTATTAACAAACTAATTATTTTAAATTAATTCAATTTTAGAGTAAATTTAATTTTTCAATAAAATTTTTAATTCAATTTTAAAATAATCGCAGAACAAAATTCTACATACCTATTTCTCTAATGAATCAATCATAAATTTTTTTTTCGCGCACAATTAGTTTTAGTAATTACTTTTTCGCTAAATATTTACCTTCGCGCAAATGATACATATCAGATTTGATCGAAGATTTTTTCTTCTGTATTGTCTCGAGCTCCTATTAGAACGAGGAAGTAATTTCGCGCTTGAGATGCGATTTTACGTAAAAAAAAATAAGAAAAAAAATAGGAAAAAAAGCGCGTCTTTTCAAGTAGAATAGTGGAAAGTCAATTATTGATAAGCGATCGTGAATCGTGAAATGCGATTGAGTCAATTTCACGTTCCTCTCTTTGCGATACGGTATTTCACCTCGGGGTTAACGGCGGTTTGGTTTGTCTTTTTCCATACAATTTACGTAAATATATAAAATCGCATGGCTTTAAGGGCAGATCTTAAGGAAAAATAAAAGGAAGAAAAAAAACATGCGCGCAAAACTATATGAAAGTAAAGGAATTTAAATTTGAAAACAAACCTCGCTTTCAAAAGATTTATTCCATGTCTGAACAAGGGACTTCTGTTTTCTCGATTCCAGTGTAAAATCCCATTTCTCTTTTTCAAACAAAAACGATTCATTTCCCTCTTTTATATCTACACGATTAGTGCGCGCGTACTTTTTCATCTGATTTTCTTCAATTTGTACTTGAAAGAAATTACATACTTACTTTGATGTTTTTTTTTTCTTGTTTTTGCCTTTTATTTATTTTTGGTCTAATTACAAAAATTTCTCACGTTTGATTTTTTTATTTTTAACTTTTAATTATTTATTTATTTGCTAATTTATTTACATAATTAATTTTTTATTTATTTAATTATTTGTTTATTTATTTATTAAATTTTTTGTTTATTTATTTAATTATTGACTTAATTTTTTATTATTTTTTTTTTTTACTTAATTTTTTAATTATTCATTTATTTATTTATTCACTTACAAAACCCCCAGTCCTTTATGCGGGTTTGTGACTTTATGACTTTTGCCTATATTGAAAAATTAAAATTATATTTTCATGTTCCTAAAAATTTGATGTCCCTATAAAATTTTTAACGTTCAAATGAACTAAATTTATTTTCTGTTTAAATATTTTCAATAATTCCTCTCCTAAAATGAAAAATAATATCTATAAATTTAATATTTTTCGAGTTATAATAGTGAGTTTTTTTATACACAAATTAATTTTCATTTAAAAATAACAAATTAATTGTTTTGAATTAAAATATTCAACAAATTTTGAACATTAAATGAATTAAATATTCTTTAAATATAAATATTCTCAAAAAATTACTACTCACTGCAATAAAAAACAAAAAATTAAATTAAATAGTTTGAAACTTTATAAATTATTTTTTAGTGACAAAATATTATTATAATAATATCTACAAATAATAAGCCATTAGGCCAAACAAGAAAATTAAAAATCTTTTAATAATAATAATAATTATTATTATATAACAAAGATAATAATTTATTTATTTAAAATATATATTTATATATTATTTATTTATTTATTTAAACTAAAATCGTCGATTTTCTTTTATTTATTTTTATTTACAGTCTATTTATTTAATTTTTCTATTTAAACGTCAAAAACTTGAGGAACATTAAAATTATTTAATAATAATAATATAATATAAAATATGCTCATATAATTATTTATTTAGAATTTAATATTCAAGTTTAAAATTACAAATCGAATATGTCCAATGTAATTTATTGAATTGAAAAATGATTTTCATCAAAAGTCAATTGTATATATATATTCGTTTTGAATTACAAATGTAGTGCGTAATTAAAACCACATCACTAATTATCTTCAGTTCACTTAACTATGTACACTATTCGATATTATATTATTTACTATATATATATATATATATATATATATATATATATATATATATATATATATATATATATATATATAAATGACATTCCTGATTAAACGACCTGCATTATTTGCATAATCGATTGTGCATACCTCACGTTTGAGCCAACTATTTAATATATATATATATAGATATATTTATGCATTGAGGAATTGCTTTGGGTAAAAGTTCTTCTCTCATAAATGCATGTCGATTCACTCCACCAGTTGAATATCAAGAAATCGTGCTCCTCAACAGTCACAATTTTCAAGCCACAGAAATGCTTAGGAAGATTGAATCCCAATATTGTAAATTCAAACTCGAGAATATAATACACCTACTTTCTCTCTTAAGGTTTCGCTAATTTATAAATCCTATCCATAGGCAAAAGTCAAATCTCGGTAAATATTATTATAATATATAAACTGAATTGAAAATAATATTCGTTGTTATTTTTCAAAAATAAATGTTCCTAGAGTATTTGGAACGTAAAACTGAACCTTTTAGTGTTATTATTATTATTACTAATTACCTACATTATCAAATTTTATCAAATTTATAATTAAAAAAACTTGCGTAGTAGCCGCAGTCCTTAAGACGTTCAAGTAGTTAAATTAGGTCGCTAGTCGGGGGTTCGATTCCCCGAGGAATTATTTTATAAAACTATTCTTTTAAATATATTTTCTGTTAATATTTATTAACATTATATAATAATTTATGATTATTTGTTTGTTTATTTATATATTTATTAATAATTGTTTTACTACTAACTAATTCGTTCATTTAATTTGAGTAAAAATTTATTTGCCTTGAATATTTATATTGATAATAATAAATATTATCAAGTATTTTATTATTTGAATGGAAATTTATATAATTAAACAAAAAATTAAGTAAAAAATTAGAGAAAATAAAATAATTATTTCTGCAAACTAATTATTTATTTAAATGAAATATTAACAGAACAAAAATATAGAATCAGAAAAATATTCAGACATAATAAAATTTATAAACAAAAAAGTATAGAAACAGTAAAAAGACAGAAAAAAAAACAAAAAAAATGTACGAACAAAAAAAATTGAAACTGAAAAAAATGCAGAAACAGAAAAAATAGAAAACAGAAAAAATATAAAAAGAAAAATAAATATACATATAGAAACTGAAAAATAAATGTAGAAACAAAAATAGAGAAACAGAAAAAAATAGAAAACAGAAAAAATATAAAAACGGAAAAAAATAGAAAACAGAAAAAATATAAAAACAAAAAAAATATACATAGAAACTGAAAAAAATGTAGAAACAAAAAATAGAGAAACAGAAAAAAATAGAAAACAGAAAAAATATAAAAACGGAAAAAAATAGAAAACAGAAAAAATATAAAAACAGAAAAAAATATAGAAACAAAAAATAGAGAAACAGAAAAAGATATAAAAACAAAAAATAGAGAAACAGAAAAAGATATAAAAATAGAAAAAATACGAAATAAAAAAAATTGAAATCAATTTTCGAAACGAAAGAAGTAATTAATTAAAAACAAATTAAAAAATTGAAAATAAAATGAAATTTCTTGTATTATTGAAAAAGTATCGAAAGTTATTTAATTTATGAAATTAGAAAACCGCGAAGACAGGAACATTTATTATTATTATATAGACTCGTTGCGAGAGGATTAGAGAGAGAATTTGTAAAGAATTTGTGTGAAATAAATCCTGGATGATATAAAGTTAATGTGCTGAGGAGGAGATGAAAGAGTGAATTCTCGTGGCAATGCCCTTTCACCTATCACGCTACACGAATATTGCTCATTGGTTTCTATTCATCTCTCTGTTTTAGGCGATGGAGTTGGTTGTCCGATGGGAATGTTCAGATGTACTGACGGAAAGTGCATCCCATCCCTCTGGGTCTGTAACTATCAAAAGGATTGCGATAATGCAGAGGACGAGTTCCAGTCATGCCGTAAGTGCCCTTTTAGATTATCTTTTCTTTTCCTATTTTTTTTTTTTTTCTGATCTTTTTTTCTTTGGCTTTTTTTCGAGATTACGTATAAATAGACTTTTTGATAGGATTCGCCGCAAGAAGACAGTGTTAAATAGTTTTTTTTTTTTTTTTTTTTTTGCTCAAAGAGATAAAAAGTCGATGGGAAAAGATTATTTTTGCTAATGAGAAAATATTCAGTTTTTGTCATTTTTCAGGTGGGGAAAAATTTTATTTATTTATTTCTATGTAAAGGGGGTAATTAATGAATTTTACTCAATTTTTCCCTTTTTTATTTTTCAATTTAATAACAGAGGACGAATTTTAAACTGAATTCAATATTTAAAATTGAATTTTCATTCAATTATAAAGAATATATTATTTTTTCGCCTTTTTTACACGGCAAAAAATTAATAAACTTTATTAAATTTTTTCCTGCTTTCTAAATATTTTTAAATTTTATTTCCCCTTTTTTATGAAAATAGAAAAAATTTAAAACTGCATTGAATTGAAAATTGAATTTTAATTCAATTAAATAATAAATTTTTTGTATTTTTCTACAAGGAAAAATTTATTAAATATTACTTAATTTCTTCCTTTTTTCTATATATATTTTTTAATTTAATCTCTCTCTTTTTTTAAGAAAATATAAAAAATTTCAAACTGAATTCAATTTAAAATTGAATTTCAATTTGAATAATAAATTTTTTGTCTTTTTCTACAAGGGAAAATTTATTAAATTTTACTCAATTTTTTCATTTTGTTTATTTTCTAAATTTAATAATAAGCAAAAAATTTGAAACTGAATTTGAATTTTAACTCAATTGAATAATTTATTTTTTGTCTTTTTTTACACGGAAAAAATTGAAAAATTTTACTTAATTTTTACCATTCTTCCCTTTTGTTTTTTTTTTAATTTAATGATAGGAAAAACAGTTGAAACTTAATTGAATTTAAAATTAGATTTTAATTCAATTATTTTTTGTCTCTTTTTACACGGAAAAATAATTAGTAAATTTCACTTAAATTTTCCTCTCTTTTACTTTTTAATTTAATAATAGAAAATATTTAAAACTCCTATTCAATTTAAATTGAATTTTAGTTTAATTGAAAAATATAAATATAAACAGTGTGAAAATAAAAAAAAATAAATTTCAATTTAAAATTGACTTTAAATTCAATTATAATATGAAAAATAAATAATAAAAATAAATAACAAAATAAACTACTAAATAAATTACAATATGAAAAAAGAAAAAGAGTGAAAAAAATAAAATTTCAATTTCAAATCGAGTTTCAATTTAATTAACATAGAAAAAATAAAAAACATTCATAAAAAATAGAAAAAAGTAAAAAATTCTAATTTAAAATTGAAGTTTTTGGAGATTTATGGTTTTTATTTCCAAATCTAATTAATTTAAAAAAATTCCGACACTTTTTTTTAACACAATTTTTAAATAATTTTGCTATAAATTTTTGAGAATTTTTCTATAAATATAAATTTATTTGTTTTTTTTTAAAGAAATTCCAAGAGGGATGATTAGAGGATTTTTTTATTCAAAATAATTCCTTACATTTAAATAACATTAAAACAAAAGATTTACATAAGAATCCTGATTTATGTTTTGGCTTTTATGAAGCATAAAGTTGAATGCCAAGTCCAGATGTTCAGCGGGATTTTCAGTCTGCAAAACTGTAATTATTTTAAACTAAAGGGCTTTTATATCTTGAACGTTAGTTTTCTTTTTATCTGCAGCCAATCATTCATTATTTCTGTCAGTTTAATCGCAAAATTTTTATTTCAATCTAAATATTGCTCAATTCACTTAATAGCACTTTTAATTATTATTAACGGTAATTAAAATAAATTAATTAAAATAAATTAATTAAAATAAATAAATAAAAATAAATAAATAAATATAAATAAACAAATAAATATAAATAAATATAGGTAATATAATATGAATACCTAAAATATAAAAATAATTATTATCATATTATAATTATTATTACAATATAATTAGTGTCACAATATAATTATTATCACAATATAATTATTATCACAATATAATTAGTATCACAATATAATTATTATCACAATATAATTAGTGTCACAATATAATTAGTGTCACAATATAATTATAGTATCACAATATAATTAGTATTTTTTATTTTTACATTTATAATACAATATATTAAATAATAATAAAAAGTAAAAATAAATTGAAATTTGAATAATAACAATAAAATGAAAATTCGTTGACAAAAATAAAATAAAATTTGAATGATAAAAATAATATGAAAATTTAATAATAAAACTAAAATGAAATTTGAATAATAAAAAGTAAAATGAAAATTTAATAATAAAAATAAAATGGAAAATTTCAATAATAAAAATAAAATGGAAAATTTAATAATAAAAATAAAAATAAAAATTGAATGATAAAAACAGATTAAGTTAAATAACAAAATAATTTTTCTCTTTTCTCAACAATATAATATTCAATTATAGTTATTACACTGATAGTCACAAGAACTCGGAAATAGAAATATAGAAATTAACTGTGATTTCAAGTTGAAATGAGAATCTTTGTAGAAAAAATGAAAAAAATAAAAAAAAAAAATAGTAAAATACCTGTTGTCATTAGTTGCGTGGAAAACTGTCGAATTTCATAACAAATATGTGCTTGTACATCTACTTCCTGCAATTATATTACGTAAATGTCAGCTTTTGCTGTTAAAAGATAAAAAAAGCCGTCCAGAGTCATTTGAAAAATAAAAGCGAAATTAAGATAGTTTAAATAATCCTCAAATCGCATCGCATTCATTATTGCATTCAAATGAGGCAGTTCGATCAATGTTTCTTTATTGTGCGAGCATCATTCATAAAAAAGGAAATATACACGTGACTTTTTTCACACAAACACATAAAAATATACAATAAAAATTTATTTGTAAACTAAAGGACCAATTATCTAAAAATAGTTCCAATTTTTTTTTTTTACTCAAATTTAATATTTTTTTTCAAAAAAAAAAATCAATTGTTTGCAAAAAAATTTTCTTTAAGTAATAATTACATTGATCATTAAATTAAGGTAATTAGTTTAATTATAAAGTACATAATTTTTTCAAATTTTGTTTATTGGTTTATTTTTACTGTTTTTTTATTAATTTTTATTTATTCTTTATTTATTTTTTATTTATTTTTTAATTTTTTATTTTACTTTTTGTTTTCTTTTATTATGTATTCATTTGTTTATTTATTAGGTTTACTTATTATAATATTTATTTTTATTGCTTATTTAATAATGGTTTATTAGTTATTATTTATTATTTATTTATTGCAAGTGATTACTTATTATTTAGATACAAATTATTTTTTTATTGTTATTATATTATTATTGATTTTATTTTGTAACAGACAAACTTTCTGCTTTAAAATTGGGATTTTTATATTACAAATTATTTTTTGTTAATTTATTTTATTTGTGTTTTTTAAAATATAAATCTAAAAAGTTGTTTTCGAAAATTTACGATAAATTAAAATTACTGTCGCAATAAATATTTTCTCATTGGAATTTTATTGTTAATATAATATATGTGAATTATTTAATCACCAGATATTAAAATTGCTTAGAAGCTATTATCAGAAATTATTATTATTGAATAATAATTATGTGGATTGAATAATTTTTCCCATTTTTACACTCACAATTATGTCGACAAGAAATAATAACAAAAAGAATGTAAATAAAAATATTTACTACTTATTTTTCGATTATTAGATATAGAATATTAAAAAAAATTTTCCATTATTTACTATTTTTTAAATTTTTATAATTTTTTATTCATCTCTTGAATTGTTTTATTTGCATTCATTTGATAAAATTTTTTCCATACAATTTCAATGACATTCTTCAATTTTCTTTTTACGAAATAATTTCCTTGAATATTTTATTAATTCATAGTTAATTTCGAAGTAAAGGGGAAAAATAATAAAAACTGTAAAAAAAAGTTTAGAAATTGTGAAAAAAAAGAAAAAAAAAGTCGAAATAATAAAAATAATTAATTAGGGAAAATTAATAAAATAAATAGTCGCAATAATAAAAATAATAAAAAAAGAGTTGAAATAATAAAAATCTTTAAAAAAAGTGTTAAAATAATAAATGAGGGGGAAAAATAATAAAAAAGTGTGTGAAAACTATTAATTTAAAAATTTTTGCTGAATTAACACCTTTCAACACTCTCGTGATTTTAATTGTCTTCATTAAATTGCGACGAAAAAAAAAATAATGAAATATCACTTGCAACGAGATATATTATTTGAGTACGTGTAGAAAGTCAATGCCATTTATGATTGGCAGTTCTCTTTTAGTTTTTCTTGTCATTCCTCTTAATCACAAGTGAAGTTTTCTATCGATCGAACGTGACATTATTTGTTCACATGAGATTTCTAATAATCTCCAATTTCGCCGGAATGGAGAAATATTTTTCAGAATTGCCTTTTTCCTCAGTGAAAAAAAATGTTAATTAGTTTTTATTGTCAACTATTTTTTTTTTGTAATTTAAAATTAAAAATTTTATTTTTTAATATTTTGGAAATAAAAAATTTATTTCTTAATATTTTTCTACAGTAAAAATATTATTATTTATTTTTTAAATAAAAATTCTTAATTTTAAATAAGAATGTTATTTATTTAATTAATTATAATAACTGAGGGGAAAATAATTAAATGAGTTAAAAAAAATAAAAATAAGGATAAAAATAAAAGAAGAGTTGAATTAAATTGAAGTTAAATTTTTGATTTACGTTTTTACAATAAATTTTTAATTAAATTAAAAGAACTTTTTAACTTAATAGTATTTTTTATTTTATTTTCATTTTTTTTTCAATTCACGGGCGCAAAATATTAATTTTTTTAGTTAGTTATTTATTTAACAGTAGAAATTTTTTTCGTAATAAAACTTTGTTGAAAAAATGTTTTAGTGCTGAATTTTTTGCCTCGGTTGGAATATTTTTTTTTTTTTTTGTTTTATTGAATTTTCCAATAATAATAATTTTTCGAACTCAGCTGAATATTGATTTTATTTTATTACAGGACCGCCTGAGTGCGAGCTTGGACAAACGTCATGCGGCCAGTATATATTTAATAAAACTTACTGCATACCTCCCCATCAGAGATGTGACATGACAGTAGACTGTGTTGATGGCACCGACGAGGCCGGATGTAGTAAGTATTTTTTTATTACATATTCTCTCGAAAGTTGAACCCTACGATTGACACAATTACTTTCTCTAATTGTCGTGATATTTCATTCAAAATACAGACATTGTGATTTTTTTCTATATTCTACATTCATTTTTTTTATTTTTATTTAATAAATTTATTATTCAGAACAACTAAATTATTGTATTTTCAGTTTCAGTTTTTTTTCAGGTGGGGTAAAATTTAGAATTTTATATTCTAATTTGCAGGCCTTAGATGATACTTTCTGGACATTTTGGACGACTTTTTTTCGGCTATTTTCAAAAAAGGCCGATTTTTTTCGATTTTTTTTCAAAAATATTTTCTTTCAAATATTGCGAGAAAATTACATTTTTTTTGTATAAAATAGAAATTACTTTGATTTTTATAACGTAGAAAATAACTGCAGTCAAGTATTTCAAAATTTGTTTTTGAATAATTTTTCCAAGAAATGTAAATTTTCTAAATATTTTTTTTTGTTTTTGAAAACTTTTTTCTTCAATTCTTACATCTCAATCAATTCTTAGAGAAAAGACTGATTTTAAACAATTGACTTTTTAAAAGTATTTCATTAAAATTTAAACTGAAATTTTTTAAACAATTGAATTCTCCAAAAATAAATATAAGACATTTTTTTTTAAAAATGTAATTCTTGGAAGTTTTTATAATATGATGATTTTTTAAATTCAAAGATTTTCAATATTTTTGAATTCATATTTCTGAAAATTCAATTATCTACAAAAATAATTACATTAAAATTGTGGAGAAAAAAATTATTTTCCAAATTTGTAATGAAAATTCTCAAAGATATTGATTTTTTTTAAATTGTCCAAAAATTCTTTTAAAAGATTCAATCATTTTCAAAAAATAACATTATATTTTTAAGAAAATCAATTCTGAGAAGATTTTTATTGTAATTTTTATATAATTCAATTATTTTCAAGAATAATTTACATATTTCCAAAAATTCAATTATCAAAAAAAAAATACATTAAAATTGTCTTAAAAATATAATTTTCCAGAATTATTATTTAAATTTTTTAGGAAAAGTAACTTCTAATTCAATTATTTTTTATATTTTCAATTACGTATTTACGAAAATTCAATTATCTACAAAAATTTAACATTAAAATTTTTAAAATAATCAAATTTTCTAAAATTATTAAAATTTCGGAGGAAAAATCAATTTTTAAAAGCTTTGAATTAATATTCTTCAATGAATTAATTAGCTTTCTAAATTTTCCGAAACTTCTTCTAACAAATTCAATTATTTTTGAAAAATAACATTATATTTTTAAAAAAGCAATTCTTTAAAATTTTTTTCCTATAATTTTTTTAAATTAAAGTATTTTCAATATATAAAATTTTTAATCACATATTTCCGAAAATTCAATATTATTTAACAAAATAATTAGATTAAAAATTTTTAAATAATCAAATTTTTCTAGAATTATTAAAATTTTGGCCGAGGAAAAATTAATTTTCAAAATATTTAATTAAGATTCTTGAAAAATTTGATTAGGTTTTTAAAATTGTTTAGAAATTCTTTGAAAAGATTAAATTATTTTCTAAAAATAATATTATAATATTTTTAATAAACCAATTTTTAGAATTTTTTTTAAATAATTTTTTTAAATTCTGTAATTAACAAAGAAAGTTATAATTAAAATTAAAAGAAAATGTGCTTTATTAGAATTGTCATTAAAGTTTCAAAAAATCTTATATTTTCACATTTGTAATTAAAATTCTTCAAAAACTTTATTATTTTTCAATTTTTTGTAAAAATTCGTTTTAGAAATTCAATTTTCGTTAAAAAATTGTACTAAATTTCAATTATATATAACTAAAAAATCTACTGTTTTTCAAAAATTATTTTAAAATATTTTTTTAGAAAATATTTTTAAATTATTTTTTCAAATTTAATTATTTTCTTGTTATTATTATAATGCTAATGCAGTGAAATTTGCAATTGTTCCTGGTAAAGATTTTTTTCCGTGTGATTTAGAGAAGTTTAGTTAAAAATTATACAAATTAAATAAATTTTAAAAGAATTGCAGTTTTAATTTTTGAAAATAATTGAATATTAGAAGATTTGTAATTGAAATTTAAAAAATTTTAATTTCCCTGTAGAAAAATGGAGAACTAGTATTTGAATATTTATTTAACAAAATTATTGTTTTGAATTGAATTTCGAAATCAGTGAAAGGTTAGGGAAAAATCCAAATGAAATTTTTCTGATAACACTGAATAAAGAAAATACTTTTTCGACTTTATTATCGAATCTTTAATCGCCTTTCTTTGCGCCTTAAAGTCGATCCAAGGCCTGAATTAGGAAAACAAAAAATATACTCCGATGGAAGTTTTGAATAAAATTTTTCCATTTTATCGAAATCCTCCAAAATATTTCCAAATTCACCTAAAAGATTTTAAAAATCCCCAAAATTCCCCAAAGGGGAGAGAAATTAATTTTTAATCCTGACTTTATTTATCAGTAGCAGGTGAAGGTTCATACGTACAAATAGTTTTGAGAGAAACAATGGATGGAATGATAGTGAGGAGAAAGGAGAAGGAGGATAAATAGATAGAAGGAGAGAAGAAGAGAGAGAGAGAGAGATGATGGTTTATTGCTACACCGCATTTCTCAAACACTTACTTTTCTAAGCACACGGGGAATGGATAACGATAGCCACTGATCGGAGCCGGAACCCTCTTCGAGGTCTCTATGCAGATGTCGAGAAACAGGTTCTTCGTGCTAACGTTTGAGGGATCATCGCTTTTTCTTCATTGCCTTGAGTTTCTTGGTCGAAATGCCTCTTCTCTTTATAAAGATTCTCTAGACTTCACCAAGTCTTATGAGTTTATCTCGACATTTTGTTGGGTTACTAAACAAGTACAAAACATCGCCTGTCATGATCCCCGTTCCGGAAGATCTGACAATTCAATTCAACTATCTCCATTTACGAATTGAGACTCGAAAATTATCCCCACTCTGAAAATATCACTAAAAATAGACGATTATAATTATTCAATTGTTTTTTTTCACTCTCGACAATGTTATTCGATTTTTTTTCAATTCTATTGTTTTTTTACACTCACTACAATGTTTTCGATTTTTTTTCTATTCAATTGTTTTTTACTCTCGACAATGTTATTCGATTTTTTTTAATCCAATTGTTTTGTTACCAAAAATGTTATTCGATTTTTTTAATTCAATTATTTTTTACACTCTCGACAATGTTATTCGATTTTTTTTCAATTCTATTGTTTTTTTACACTCACTACAATGTTTTCGATTTTTTTTCTATTCAATTGTTTTTTACTCTCGACAATGTTATTCGATTTTTTTTTAATCCAATTGTTTTGTTACCAAAAATGTTATTCGATTTTTTTAATTCAATTATTTTTTACACTCTCGACAATGTTATTCGATTTTTTATTTAATTCAATTGTTTTTTTACTCTAGACAATGTTATTCAATTTTTTTTCAATTATATTATTTTTTACACTCTCGACAATGTTATTCGATTTGTTTTTAATTCAATTGTTTTTTTACTCTCAACAATGTTATGTATTCGATTTTTTTTAAATTCAATTGTTTCTTTACTCTCGACAATGTTATTCGATTTTTTAATTTTAATTCAGTTATTTTTTTACACTCTCAAGAATGTTATACAATTTTTTTTTTTATTCTTGAAAAGTTAAATTCAAACAATTAGGAAAAATGAAAATTTATAGACTATTTTTTTATTTTTTCACTATTTTCAAAAAAAAGTCGTCAAACTTCTTACTTAGTGCAAAATTGACTTTCACTCTGAAAATCTGTGCAACAAAATTTAATATTTCAATACACAATTTTTTTGCCCCGTAGGGAAAAAAGAAATTTTTTCATTTCACGTTTCTCACGATCTTCATTCAAACTCCTCGAGTATATTTACAGAAATTTTTCAACACTCATTACAGAGACTAAAAATTGAATTTACGATTTTATTTTTTTCTCCTCTTTCTACAAATTGTTAAAAACAAAGTTTGCATAAGTTCCCAGAAGTAATTGTAAATAAATTTTCGTCTGATAAACATAGTCTACAATTATAAAATCTCGTAATTGTGGTTTTTATTCTTTATACTTTGAAAGTAATGTATAAAGTCCGCTTTAATGGTAAAATTGAATGAACCACAATATTGTGTTGAATTAGTGGTATTAACTTTCAAAAACTCGACGACTGACACTTCAAGGAATATAAATAAGAAATTAAATAATCATCTAACTCACTTTCAATAGGTTGAAGGTATCATTAATTTATTTCAAATGGCAACCGTTATCGCGATACGAACGTCTGAGAATTTACATTTTAAAAAAAAATTCTCTTTACTCGAGGGAAAATTTTCCTCAACCTCTTGATGATAAAAGGGTAAATCCCCATTTTTTAATTTATACAAAATCTCTTCTATCTTAATGGAAAAAAATATTTTTTTAACGTTGAATTTAAAAAAATATAATTTAGAAAATTCCTTAATTAATTTCCAGGTGGAGGTAAATAATTTACTTGAATATTCAAAACTTTTCGAATATTCTTAACGACGACTGTAAATTGCTTCGTAAAATAAATAAAACTGGAAAGAATTTATTTCTTTAGAAATGAATTCAATTCTAAAAGAATTGAATTTGAATTCATTTCAAAATAAATAAATTCTTTCAGAATTGATTTTGAATTCATTTCAAGAGAAATAAATAGGAAAATTTTTGAATGAATAGCTACTGACAATTTAGAGAAAGATATTTTTTTTTAATTTTGATTTGTCTGTATAAGAATAAATTTTGAGTGGAAAGAAAAAAATATATAATGTCTGAGAGGAAAAGATAGTAATTTTCTGCATTGTTATTTGTAGATTACAGGAAATGTCAGACGGACGACTTCAGGTGTAGCGGAACGACACCTGAGTTCTGTATACCAAAAGAAAAAAAATGTGACGGCTATTTGGACTGTCGAAATGAAAAGGACGAAGAAGACTGTCCCACTACAAATCCTCCATGTAGACTAGATCAATTCAGATGTAATACGACGCAACATTGTGTGGAACAATCCATGAGATGTAACCACAGGGACGATTGCGGTGATAATAGTGACGAAGCACACTGCAGTAAGTTAGAAAACAATAGTGCTACTTCAAACTCAGATAGTAAATAAATTTTAGACAGTAAATGAAATTCAAACGCAGTGAATAAAATTTTGATTGTAAATAAATTTAGACAGTAAATAAAATTTAAACAGTAAATAAAATTTATCATTTTATTCTCTAATTTTATTTTATAATCGCGGTATTTTATTTATTATTATTATGCAAATTAGAAAACTTTTATTTTCAAATATTAATTTCAATCTTAGAATAATTTCAGATTCCAAAATTAAAAAAAAAATCTAATTATTAACTAATTTACTAATTAATTATTATTTCTTTCTTTCACAATCTTTAATAAAATTCTTCGCAAAAATTAAATTATTTTCAAAACAAATTCAAAAAAAAAAAAAATCTCAAAAGAATTTCATTATTTTTAAAAACTTGATATATTTCTTCGCAAAAATTCAAAATTTAAACAAAAATTCTTCGCAGAAATTCAATTACTTTGAAAAATTTTGTTAAAATTGTTTTTGAAAATTGAATTATTTTCATAATTAATTCAATTCTTCTGATGAATTGAATTATTCTCAATACAATTTAAATAAAATTTCTCAAAAGAATTCAATTATTTCTAAAAATTTGATAAAATTTTTCGCAAAAAATTAGATTATTCTAAAAACTTTTGATTAAATTCTTTATGAGAATTGAAATATTCTTAATACAATTTTATTTAAATTCTTTGAAAAAATACAATTATTTTCGTAAATTTTAATTAAATTCTTAGCAAGATTTCAATTATTTTCCTAATTTATGAAATTTTTCGCAGGAATTTAATTATTTTAAAGAATTTTGATAAAATTCTTTGCAGAAAATTTTATTATTTTGAAAATTTTCAATAAAATTCTTTAATTTAATTAAATTCTTTGGAAAAAATAAAAACTTTTTCTAAGTAATAAAATTCTTCGCAGTAATTTAATTTATTTTGATAAATTTCGATGGAAATCTTTATAAGAATTGAAATTTTTTCCAAACTATTTTAATTAAATTCCTGGAAAAAATTCAACTATTTTCGAAAATTTTTAATAAAATTTATTCTTAGCCAGATTTCAATTATTTTCATAATTTATAAAAATTTTTGCAGAAATCTAATTATTTTTAAAAAATTTAATAAAATTTTTCGCTGAAACTGCAATATTTTGAAAAATTTAAATAAAATTCAATCCAATTATTTTTTCAAATGTTAATACAATTCTTAGCAAGATTTCAATTATTTTCCTAATTTATGAAATTTTCGCAGGAATTTAATTAATTTTAAGAATTTTAATAAAATTTTTTGCAGAAATTTTGTTGGAATAAAATTCTATAATTGAATTAAATGCTTTGAAAAACATAAATTCTTTTCCTGAGAAATAAAATTCTTCGCCATAATTCAATTTATTTTGATAAATTTCGATTAAATTCTTTATGAGAATTAAAATGTTTTTAAAACAATTTTAACTAAATTCCAGAAAAAAATTCAACTATTTTCGAACATTTTAATAAAATTCTTGTCCGAATTTCAATTATTTTCATGATTTATAAAAATTTTTCCCAAGAATAAGAATCTAATTGTTTTAAAGAATGTAAATAAAATTCCTCTCAAAAATTCAATAACTTTGAAAACTTTTGATAAAATTATTTATGAAAATTGAATTATTTTCATAATTAATAAAATTCTTTGCAGGAACTGAATTATTTTAAAGAATTTAAAAAAATTCATTGCAAAAATTCTTTGTAAGAAAAAATGTTGATAAAATTCTTACCAAAATTTCAATTATTTTCATAATTAATAACATTTCTCGAAAGAATTGAATTATTTAAAAAAAATTGTAATAAAATTTCTTGAAAGAATTCAATTATTTTCAAAAATTTTGACAATCTCTTTATAAGAAATTAAATATTTTGAATACTATTTTAATTAAATTTCTAGTGAGAATTAACTTATTTTTAAAGATGTTATTTAATTTTTTGGTAAGAAATTTAATTATTTTGAAAAATTTGGATAAATTTCTTTATAAGAATTTAATTATTTCTGATTTGAAAATTGTAAAAGAAATAATATAAAAGAAATATTTTTAGTTGAAAACAATTTTGATTTAACTAATTTTTTGTATTTTTCAATCTTCAAAGCATTAAATTAGAATTTTATTAATTTTGAAATTCAAAACATTAAAAAAAATTAAGAAAATTAAGAAACAAAAAGCATACAACGAATATTTAAATAGATTACAATAGAATTTTTTATTTTACAATTAGTTTTTTTTATTCTAATCATTTGGATTTTCTTTTGATTTATTTTTGATTTTCTTTTGATTTTCTTTTGATTTACTTTTGATTTTCTTTTTATTTACTTTTGATTTTCTTTTGATTTTCTTTTTATTTTACTGTCGAAATTTCAATTTACAATAATTTATTTTCAACTCGCTCATTTTGTTTTCGCATTGATACTGAATTCTACAAATGTTTATTAACTCAATTACTTTTCACAGTAGTGGCTTTTTTCAGTAACCTCGAAATCGAGGTTTATGCAGCGACTTCTTTATCCAAAGAGAACGTAATGGGGTCTGCAGTCGTTTATGAGCTTGTTAAGAAACATTTGCGGCTCTGCAACGGGATCGTCATTTCCTTAGCAAATACTAAAACGACTCTAAAATTCCATAGCGTCCTTTTTCAGTAAAATGTAAACATTCCGCGCGAGTTGATGAAAAATTTCCAAATACGATTAGGACACAAAAAAATTCCCTCTCCATTGGCAATAATTAGTTTTCAATAATTTTCATTTGGCGAAAAGTAAAATCTGATAATTACATATATATTAAAATTAAATATTAAATTTAATTAAATTAAAATTAGTTAAATATTAATAGATTAAATTTAGATTAAATTTTCATTTAAATTAATTAAGTAGTAAATTAAATTAAATTTAAATTTAAGTTAATTAAATATTGAATTAGATTAGATTTAAATTAAAATTAATTAGTAAATTAGATTCAATTTAAATTTAAGTTAAAATAAAATACTAAAATACAAAAAAAAAATTAAATAACAAGTGGCAATTTGGTTGTCAATGATAAAAGGAAAAAAAATAAGTTTCTCATGAGAATTTTTCTTGCTCAACAGATTTTCCTGATTGCACTGCAGATCAATTTCGATGCGCAAATGCACTTTGCATACCGGCGTCCTATAAATGCGACGATTACAGAGACTGTGGCGATGGATCTGATGAAGAGAATTGTCCGCAAGTGGAATGTCCCGATTCGAAATTCTTATGTCCTAAAGGTTCTCCAGGTGGCAAGCCAAAGTGTATCAACAGAACGCAATTGTGTGATGGGAAACAAGATTGTGAAGATCGGGCTGACGAATTAACTGCTTGCTGTAAGTATATACTTCATTTGTGGAATTCAGTTCCTTAAAAAAAACATTTTCATTATTTTACTGTTAATAAGAAATTAAATTCCAAAATTAAACTAAATAGAAATATTTTATTTATTTTACTGTTAATAAGAAATTACATGCAAAATTAAACTAAATAGAAATATTTTATTTATTTTACTGTTAATAAGAAATTACATGCAAAAACTAAATTCATAAATTAAATTCAAAATATAAATTCAAAATTTAAACTAAAAAATTGAATTAAAACATAAAATTAAATCAAAACAATAAAAAAGTATAATTTAGAAATATTTGTACAATTTAAAAACATTTTTATATTATTTCCGAAAACACTTTGTTTTATAAAATAAAAATACTTTTTTTTCATAAATCTAAACATATTGTTTTATATATTTTAATAATAAATATTTTTTCCATTAGAAAAATTATTTATTAATAATTTACTTTATGTTTCAGCAACAATTCTGTGCAATAGTTTAGGATGTCAACATAAATGCCAAGCCTCTCCGGCCGGAGGTGTTTGCTCTTGTCCAGAGGGACGAATACTAGCAAATGACTCAAGATCTTGTATAGGTAAGATTATCAACCATGATTTTCAAGATAATATCGTGAGAGAGAAAAAAAAACCGAAACAACCAATATATTTCTAAAGTATAAATTCTTGCATCTTTTAATTTATAACTTTTCCTTCAAATATGCTAAAATTCAAAAGGTCACTTCTCAGTACAAATATTTTCCTTTAAAATCATCATTCTAAGATAAAGTTTACATAAAATTTATTATTTATTTTAAAGTAAGCGAAAAATAATTTTTTTGAAATGTTACTAGATTATTACTTTCGCCGTTATATTAATACTTTTCTATAATTCAGTGAACAAAATTTTTTACTTGAATATTTGGTTTAATTTCGTCTAAATTGATTAGCAAACTTTTTGAATATAAATTTATTTTCCTTGATTTTTTTTATTATTATGATTCATTTGCGAAATTATGCGACTGATTTTTAAATTTTAATAAAATTCTTTGAAACAATTGAATTATTTTCAGAACAAGACTGATTTTTCAGAAGCGTAAAAAAGCAATAAAAAAATTGCCGATAGAGAAGAATAAAAATTGTAAGAGAAGTGAAAATGAGAATTTTTTTGCATAATTTATACTCTTACTAACGAATTTAATTAAAAAGTTTTTTTTCAAGTAAAATACTTGAAAAATATTAAATTTATAGAAATCATAAGAAAGTTCTAGATTTTTAATGTTCAGCAAACTTTTAAATTATTAAAAACATTAAATCTTTGGAAGAATATTAAATTGTTCTTGACTTTTTATTCATCATTCTATAAATTTTGAAATCGACACGAATTAAAATAGAAAATCTTTAATTTTTACAAATTTCCGTTTTTTTCAATAATTTCTTTTATCTAACTATAATTTAATTCTTGAAGAATTATCAAAACATTATTTATTATTCGAGAAATGATTTTACTTTAAATTATGTAATATGAGAAAATACTACAAGTAAAAGGATTTTTTTTAATTTTAATTTTTGTTAAAAAATGTTATAAATTGTTTAACTTTTACAGTTTTGAATCTAAAATAATTTAATTCTTGCATAGAATTATATTAAAAAATTTTAAAAATAATTAAATTCTTTCAAGGAACTTAATTAAAATAGTTCTGAAAATAATTCAATTCTTTTAAAGAATTTTATCAAGATTTTTGAAAATAATTTATTTCTTTCAAGGAATTTTATTAAAATTACATGAAAAATAATTGGATTACTCTGGAGAATTTTATTACTTTTGTAAATAATCGTATTCTTGCCAAGAATTTTATTTAAATTTTTGAAAATAATTGAATTGCTTTGAACAAAATTTATATTCGTTCAAGGATTTTTTGTTAAAATTTTACTAAAAATAATTAAATTCTTATAAAGAATTGTTTCAAAATTTTTTTAAATAATTGAATTCTTTCGAAGAATTTTATAAAAAATTTTAAAATGTATGAATCCTTTTTAGAAATATCATTTGAATTGTATTGAAAATAATTCAATTTCTGCACAGAATTTTACTTTTTATAAAAATAATGGAATTCTTACAAAGAATTTTATAATTTATGTAAATAACTGAAATCTTTTCATTAATGTTATCAAAACTTTTTAAATTAATTGAATTCTGTCGATCAATTTCACTTGAATTGTGTTAAAAATAATTGAATTCTTGCGAAAAGTTGTATTATTTATGAAAATAATTACATTTTTTTGAAGATTTTTATGAACAATTTTTAAATAATTGAATTCTTTCGAGGGATTTCTTTTGAATCGTATTAAGAATAATTGAATTCCTCAGAAGAATTTTATTAAATTTTTAAAAACACTTGAATTTTTTTGAGAAATTTTATTTTCATTGTATTAAAAATAATTGAATTCCTTCGAAGAATTTTATCAAATTTTAAAAAATAATTAGATTCCTGCGAAAAATTTCATAAATTAGGAAAATAACTGAAATCTTGCTAAGAATTTTATTAAAATTTTGGTAAATAATTGAATTTTTTCAAGGAATTATATTAAAATTGTATTGAAAATATTTCAATTCTCAAAAAGAATTTAATAAAAATTTTTCAAAATAATTAAAATTTTTGCATGCAATTTTATCAATTTTTTCAAAATAATTTAATTCTTTTAAGAAATTTTATTTACATTGTTGAATTTAAATTGAAGAATATTAATGAAAATAATTGAATTATTTCCAAGAATTTTATAAAAAAAATTTTAATTAATTGAATTCTTTCGAGCAATTGTATTTGAATCATGTTAATAATAAATTTATGAAAATAATTGAATTCTTTCGAAGAATTTTAAAATAATTGAATTCTTTCGAGGAATTTCTTTTGAATCGTGTATAAAATAATTGAATTCCTGCAAAGAATTGTATTCATTATTATAATAACTATCCAAACTATCCGCGCGCAAGCGCGCGGGAATGTTGTATGGAGCTGCTTATTTTAAACAATTTAAAAAATTTTAAAGAAATAATTATTATAACCTAACAAAGAGATTTAACTAACTAAAATTCAAATAATTTCACTCAATGGTCTCAATTAAGAAAATCGGATTTTTGAATTTTTGATAATTTTCGATATTTTCACAATTTTTACCAAAGAGTCGAGACAATTTAATAAGTAAAATATTTTCCAAAAGCACAAAAATATTGAAGCTAAGTCCTATAAAAGAGAGGAAAAAATGTTGAATTTTAAGAAAATCGGATTTTTGAATTTTTGATAATTTTCGATAATTTTAGATTTTTTACCAAAGAGTCGAGACAATTTAATAAGTAAAGTATTTGCCAAAAGCACAAAAATAATGAAGCTAAATCCCATAAAAGAGAGGAAAAAATGTTGAATTTTAAGAAAATCGGATTTTTGAATTTTTTTGAATTTTTGATAATTTTAGATTTTTTACTAAAGAGTCGAGACAATTTAATAAGTAAAATATTTTCCAAAAGCACAAAAATAATGAAGCTAAATCCCATAAAAGAGAGGAAAAAATGTTAAATTTTAAGAAATTCGGATTTTTGAATTTTTGATAATTTTCAATAATTTTACATTTTTTACCAAAGAGTCGAGACAATTTAATAAGTAAAATATTTTTCAAAAGCACAAAAATAATGAAGCTAAATCCCATAAAATAGAGAAAAAAATGTTGAATTTTAAGAAAATCGGATTTTTGAATTTTTGATAATTTTCGATAATTTTACATTTTTTACCAAAGAGTCGAGACTATTAAATAAGTAAAGTATTTTCCAAAAGCACAAAAATAATGAAGCTAAATCCCATAAAAGAGAGGAAAAAATGTTGAATTTTAAGAAATTCGGATTTTTGAATTTTTGATAATTTTCAATAATTTTACATTTTTTACCAAAGAGTCGAGACAATTTAATAAGTAAAATATTTTCCAAAAGCACAAAAATATTGAAGCTAAGTCCTATAAAAGAGAGGAAAAAATGTTGAATTTTAAGAAAATCGGATTTTTGAATTTTTGATAATTTTCAATAATTTTACATTTTTTACCAAAGAGTCGAGACAATTTAATAAGTAAAATATTTTCCAAAAGCACAAAAATATTGAAGCTAAGTCCTATAAAAGAGAGGAAAAAATGTTAAATTTTAAGAAAATCGGATTTTTGAATTTTTGATAATTTTCGATAATTTTAGATTTTTTACCAAAGAGTCGAGACAATTTAATAAGTAAAGTATTTGCCAAAAGCACAAAAATAATGAAGCTAAATCCCATAAAAGAGAGGAAAAAATGTTGAATTTTAAGAAAATCGGATTTTTGAATTTTTTTGAATTTTTGATAATTTTAGATTTTTTACTAAAGAGTCGAGACAATTTAATAAGTAAAATATTTTCCAAAAGCACAAAAATAATGAAGCTAAATCCCATAAAAGAGAGGAAAAAATGTTGAATTTTAAGAAATTCGGATTTTTGAATTTTTGATAATTTTCAATAATTTTACATTTTTTACCAAAGAGTCGAGACAATTTAATAAGTAAAATATTTTCCAAAAGCACAAAAATATTGAAGCTAAGTCCTATAAAAGAGAGGAAAAAATGTTGAATTTTAAGAAAATCGGATTTTTGAATTTTTGATAATTTTCAATAATTTTACATTTTTTACCAAAGAGTCGAGACAATTTAATAAGTAAAATATTTTCCAAAAGCACAAAAATATTGAAGCTAAGTCCTATAAAAGAGAGGAAAAAATGTTGAATTTTAAGAAAATCGGATTTTTGAATTTTTGATAATTTTCGATAATTTTAGATTTTTTACCAAAGAGTCGAGACAATTTAATAAGTAAAGTATTTGCCAAAAGCACAAAAATAATGAAGCTAAATCCTATAAAAGAGAGGAAAAAATGTTGAATTTTAAGAAAATCGGATTTTTGAATTTTTTCGAATTTTCAATAATTTTAGATTTTTTACTAAAGAGTCGAGACAATTTAATAAGTAAAATATTTTCCAAAAGCACAAAAATATTGAAGCTAAGTCCTATAAAAGAGAGGAAATAATGTTGAATTTTAAGAAAATCAGATTTTTGAATTTTTGATAATTTTCGATAATTTTAGATTTTTTACCAAAGAGTCGAGACAATTTAATAAGTAAAGTATTTGCCAAAAGCACAAAAATAATGAAGCTAAATCCCATAAAAGAGAGGAAATAATGTTGAATTTTAAGAAATTCGGATTTTTGAATTTTTGATAATTTTCAATAATTTTACATTTTTTACCAAAGAGTCGAGACAATTTAATAAGTAAAATATTTTCCAAAAGCACAAAAATAATGAAGCTAAATCCCATAAAAGAGAGGAAAAAATGTTGAATTTTAAGAAATTCGGATTTTTGAATTTTTGATAATTTTCAATAATTTTACATTTTTTACCAAAGAGTCGAGACAATTTAATAAGTAAAATATTTTTCGAAAACACAAAAATAATGAAGCTAATTCCCATAAAAGAGAGGAAAAAGTGTTGAATTTTAAGAAAATCGGATTTTTGAATTTTTTCGAATTTTTGATAATTTTAGATTTTTTACCAAAGATTCGAGACTATTAAATAAGTAAAGTATTTTCCAAAAGCACAAAAATAATTAAGCTAAATCTTATAAAAGAGAGGAAAAAATGTTGAATTTTAAGAAATTCGGATTTTTGAATTTTTGACAATTTTCAATAATTTTACATTTTTTACCAAAGAGTCGAGACAATTTAAAAAGTAAAATATTTTCCAAAAGCACAAAAATAATGAAGCTAAATCCCATAAAAGAGAGGAAAAAATGTTGAATTTTAAGAAATTCGGATTTTCGATAATTTCACATTTTTTACCAAAGAATCAAGACAATTTAATAATTAAATTTTTTTCCAAAAGCACAAAAATAATGAAGCTATATCCCTTAAAAGAGAGGAAAAAATGTTGAATTTTAAGAAATTCGGATTTTTGAATTTTTGATAATTTTCAATAATTTTACATTTTTTACCAAAGAGTCGAGACAATTTAATAAGTAAAATATTTTCCAAAAGCACAAAAATTTTAAAGCTAAGTCCTATAAAAGAGAGGAAAAAATGTTGAATTTTAAGAAAATCGGATTTTTGAATTTTTGATAATTTTCGATAATTTTAGATTTTTTACCAAAGAGTCGAGACAATTTAATAAGTAAAGTATTTGCCAAAAGCACAAAAATAATGAAGCTAAATCCTATAAAAGAGAGAAAAAAATGTTGAATTTTAAGAAATTCGGATTTTTGAATTTTTGATAATTTTCGATAATTTCACATTTTTTACCAAAGAGTCGAGACTATTAAATAAGTAAAGTATTTTCCAAAAGCACAAAAATTTTAAAGCTAAGTCCTATAAAAGAGAGGAAAAAATGTTGAATTTTAAGAAAATCGGATTTTTGAATTTTTGATAATTTTCGATAATTTTAGATTTTTTACCAAAGAGTCGAGACAATTTAATAAGTAAAATATTTTCCAAAAGCACAAAAAAAATGAAGCTAAATACCATAAAAGAGAGGAAAAAATGTTGAATTTTAAGAAATTCGGATTTTTGAATTTTTGATAATTTTCAATAATTTTTCATTTTTTACCAAAGAGTCGAGACAATTTAATAAGTAAAATATTTTTTAAAAGCACAAAAATAATGAAGCTAAATCCCATAAAAGAGAGGAAAAAATGTTGAATTTTAAGAAAATCGGATTTTTGAATTTCTTCGAATTTTCAATAATTTTACATTTTTTACCAAAGAGTCGAGACAATTTAATAAGTAAAATATTTTCCAAAAGCACAAAAATAATGAATCTAAATCCCATAAAAGAGAGAAAAAAATGTTGAATTTTAAGAAATTCGGATTTTTGAATTTTTTCGAATTTTCAATAATTTTACATTTTTTACCAAAGAGTCGAGACAATTTAATAAGTAAAATATTTTCCAAAAGCACAAAAATAATGAAGCTAAATCCCATAAAAGAGAAGAAAAAATATTGAATTTTAAGAAAATCGGATTTTTGAATTTTTTCGAATTTTTGATAATTTTAGATTTTTTACCAAAGATTCGAGACTATTAAATAAGTAAAGTATTTTCCAAAAGCACAAAAATAATGAAGCTAAATCCCATAAAAGAGAAGAAAAAATATTGAATTTTAAGAAAATCGGATTTTTGAATTTTTTCGAATTTTTGATAATTTTAGATTTTTTACCAAAGAGTCGAGACTATTAAATAAGTAAAGTATTTTCCAAAAGCACAAAAATAATGAAGCTAAATCCTATAAAAGAGAGGAAAAAATGTTGAATTTTAAGAAATTCGGATTTTTGAATTTTTGATAATTTTCGATAATTTTAGATTTTTTACCAAAGAGTCGAGACAATTTAATAAGTAAAGTATTTTCCACATTAAAAAGTTTGACATTAAAAAATATATAAAAAATGCCAATACTTAACCCACAAAATTAAATTTTCAAAACAAACAAATGAATGCAGATAATTTGCCAACGGAAAGGAAACTTACGATTATTATAATGTATTGAATTCTTTCCAACAATTTTTGAAAAAAATTTTAAATAATTGAATTTTTCCGATTAATTTCTTTTAAATTGTTTATAAAATAATTGAATTCTTGAAAAAAATTTGTTTAATGAAAATAATTAAATTCTTTCAAAGAGTTTTACCATAATTTTTGAAAATAATTAAATTTAAATTGGAAGTAATTGAATAACAAATAGTAATTCAAAATTTACATAATAATAAATTAAATACTGCGTTTCACGTGTAACATTTGCTAGTATTAAATTCAGTTCTAATACATCTAGTCTAAATATTCCAAATAGATTTAAATAAATTCAAATAAATTTAACAAACCAGAACTCTAATTAAAATCTTTTTTTTTCAACAGACAGAGACGAGTGCATGGAATGGGGTTTTTGTGAACAACTTTGTAAAAACACTGACGGCTCCTACATATGCAGTTGTGCTCCTGGTTTTGAATTAATTGGAAAAAATGCCTGCCGAGCATTGAAAACAAGTCCACCACTCGAACTATTATTAGCCCAAGATCGAACAATTTGGCGAATGGAAGCAACTGGACTCAATCGAAAATTAATTGCCAATACAACGGGAGCGAGTGGTGTTGATTTTCTCTACAATCGAAATCTTCTCTTCTGGAGTGACATAAAAACAAGGAGAATTCATTCACAATCATTAAGTGGAAATCAAGCGAATTCAGACGTTGATATTTCATTGCCCGGCTCATGGGTACCAGTGGCAATAGCCGTTGATTGGGTTGGCGAGAAACTCTACGTTGTCGATTCGATAGTGCAAAAAATCGATGTCTTTGAATTGGACGGAAGATTTCATGGTATCGCACTTGGATCAAATCTCACGAGTCCCGCTGATATTTCACTCGATCCAACGAGGGGTTTAATGTTCATTGCCGACAGTAAACAAGTTCTCAGGGCGAATATGGATGGGACTAATACGATGGCTATCATTTCGGAAGCTGCCTATCGTGTCACCGGTGTGTTTGCGGATATTATTGCGAAGAGGATTTATTGGTGTGATTCACTGTTGGATTATATCGAGACGGCTGACTACATGGGCAGGAATAGAGTGATGATTCTTCGGGGGACGCAAGTTCCGGCGCCGATGAGATTGACGCTTTTTGAGAATAAAGTCTTCTGGACGGATACGACGAAGCAGGCGGTGCTGAGCGTTGAGAAGAATGGTGGGGAGTTTTCGATTTTGAATATTTTTAAGGCGAAGGATCCGAAGGCGGTGAAGGCACTTCATGCGTCTGTTCAGCCGTCGGTGCCGAATCCATGTGGAATTAATAATGGAGGTTGTCAGCATATGTGTATCGTGACGGCGGCGGCGGATCGTGACTCGGGTTTGGCGTATCGTTGCGCTTGTAACATTGGTTGGAGACTGACGGACGATCTACGAAATTGTCAACTCGTGAGGCAGTTTCTGATGTACTCGCAGCAGAGGTTTATCAAAGGTCGTGTTCTCGATCCGGCGATGGAGGGTTTCAGTGACGCTATTTTGCCGGTCGTTTCCCGACGAGCGCGATTCGTGGGTTTGGATTTCGACGCTAGGGATCAGTACATCTACTACAGTGACGTCCTCCAGGATGTGATTTACCGAGTTCGGCAAAATGGAACCGGTCGAGAAATTGTGCTGGCCAGTCAAAACGAGGGAGTCGAGGGTTTGGCGGTCGACTGGGCCTCAAAGAACTTGTACTACATCGACTCGAGGAAAGGAACTCTGAATGTCCTCAGCACCAGGAATATCACGTATCGTCGAACTTTGCTCAAACATCTAAAAAGACCGAGAGCTATCGTCATTCATCCGAATCAGGGTTTCATCTTCTTCTCGGAGTGGGACCGACCGGCGAATATAAGCAGAGCTCGTGCGGATGGTTCGAACTTGGTCGTCTTCAAGAACCTCACTCTCGGCTGGCCAAATGGTCTCGCCATCGATTTCGGCAAAGATCGTCTCTACTGGTGTGACGCATTACTCGACCATGTGCAACACTCCAATTTAGAAGGCACTGACGTCAAGACTGTCAATTCCCGACTCATTCGACATCCGTTTTCGATTGCCATTTACGAGGATTGGATGTACATAACCGACTGGCGATTGGACGCGATAATTCGATTGCATAAAGAAACGGGTGAGAAGGAAGTCGTTTTGGTTCGCGAACCGGACACGAATCGACTCTATGGAGTGAAGGTGTACAGTCCCGATATTCAGAAACCACACACCGATCATCCTTGCACGATAAATAATGGTGGTTGCGAAAAACTCTGCTTCGCAGTCCCCAGGAATAGTAGTTCGAGATTTTTACCTTCGAGATTGACGAGAGTTTGCGGTTGTCCCTACGGTGAGAAACTCCGAGACGATGAGGTTTCTTGTGTTGAGGATCCGGAAGCTGAACCACCCGTGCAAGCTTGTCCGAACACTTGGGATTTCACCTGCGCTAATCAACGATGTGTGCCACAATCTTGGGTCTGTGATGGTGATGACGATTGTCTCGACAACAGTGATGAGATGCAAAATTGTACGAAACCGACGTGCGGGACTAATGAATTCCAATGTAAATCCGGTAAATGTATTCCATTGAATTTCCGCTGTGACGCAGGGAATGATTGCGGTGATTTCAGTGACGAGATGAATTGTCCGAATGTGACCTGCGGTAGTGATCAATTTACCTGCAATAATAATCGCTGTATTCCAATCGCTTGGAAATGTGACTCGGAAAATGATTGTGGGGATAGTTCGGATGAGGGCGACTTTTGTGCGGCGAAAACTTGTTCTTTTTCACAGTTCACTTGTCCACGTTCCGGACATTGTATACCAAAGTCCTGGGTTTGTGATGGCGATAACGATTGTTTTGACGATCAGGACGAGAAGAATTGCCCGCCGATTACTTGTTTGAGTAATCAATTCGCTTGTGCGGATCAGAAGACGTGTATCAATATAACTTATAAATGTGATGGCTTCGACGATTGTCATGACAGGAGTGACGAACTTGATTGTCCGGTTATTATCAAACCGCCATGTAATCCGAAAACGGACTTCCAGTGCGATCGATCGAAAGTATGTGATGATAACTCAGACGATCCGGAATCATGCCCTGATGTTGAGTGTCAGCCAGAATTTTTCAGATGTGATAATCAGAAGTGTGTTTTCAAGACTTATATTTGCGATGGAAAAGATGATTGTGGAGATGGATCGGATGAGAGTATCGAGCGGCATGCCTGCAAGGCGCCTGAGTTTAAATGCCCGGCGAATCAGTGGAAGTGTCCGAATGCGACGAAAACGTGTATTAATGTGACTAGTGTCTGTGATGGTAAATCGGACTGTCCGAATGGATCTGACGAGGGTTATAATTGTATATTTACGGAGTGTACACGACAAGGGGGACTTTGCAGTAATGGTTGTATACAGACGCCTTTCGGTGCTGAGTGTACCTGCCCACCTGGGGAAGAACTCGCGACTGATGGCTACACTTGTCAGGATTTGAACGAATGCGAACCGCCTGGTAGATGTTCGCAGGTCTGTATGAACACGAAAGGCAGTTATTATTGCAATTGCGTCGATGGCTATGTTTTGGAACGGGATAAGCATACTTGTAAGGCTTTGAATCACAGTGCGGCTTTCTTGATCATTTCCAATCGACACACGATTCTAGTTGCTGATCTGCAGGATCAAGCTCTTGAACGAGTGCCGATAAATGTTGAGAATGTTGTTGCGACGTCGAGCAACATGCACACGGGCACGATTTTCTGGTCTGATATGAAGTTGAAGAAGATTTCCCGCCTAGATCGGAATAGTGATCCACAGGATATCATATCGACTGGTTTGGATTTGGTCGAGGGTTTGGCGTACGATTGGATTGGACAGAATCTCTACTGGTTGGATTCGAAGTTGAACACTATTGAAGTTTCCAAAGAGACCGGAATGAATAGAATGGTTCTTGTGAAGGAGAATATAACCCAACCGCGTGGAATGTGCCTGGATCCGAGTCCGGGTGCTCGATGGCTCTTCTGGACAGACTGGGGCGAGAATCCAAGAATCGAAAGAATCGGTATGGACGGTACCGAGAGATCGATTATTATCAACACGAAAATTTACTGGCCGAATGGCTTGGCTCTTGACATTGCCAACAAGAGGGTCTATTTCGCTGACAGTAAACTCGATTTTATTGACAGTTGTCTCTATGACGGGAGCAGTCGAATTCAAGTTCTTGCCGATTCGCATTATCTACTTCACCCGCATTCGTTGACTCTCTTCGAGGACGTCATGTACTGGACGGATCGTCAACTTAATCGAGTTCTCTCTGCTCACAAATTCCACGGTGTGAATCAAACGGTTGTCTCTCATTTAATTTCCCAACCGCTGTCGATTCATGTCAATCATCCGGTACTGCAGCCGATTACTCCGAATCCTTGCGCGAATGCCTCGTGCTCTCATCTCTGTCTTCTTTCACCGAAGGGTACGAATGGCTACAGTTGCAAGTGTCTCGTTGGTTATAAATTATTGTCCGACGGTCGTTGCATCGAGGAGGAAAATGCGTATTTGATGGTGCTTCGAGGAACACAGATCATAGACGTTTCGCTGATACCAGGCGATACGAAAACGGGTTTCATCACTCCGGTCGTTGCGGTCGAGAATGGACGATTTATCGACTACGACAGAACTGATCATATTATCTACTGGTTACAAGGAAAGGACGGCGATGACGAGAATGGTACCATTTACACAACACCCTACAGCGGAGGAAACAGAACCGAATTCCCGAATGCGAACGGAGACACAGGAATCGTAGGATCTGCGTCGACACTTGCGTTCGACTGGCTTGGAAGAAACTTGTTCATTGGTAACAAATACGCTTCGAATATCGAGGCTATTAAAGTCGACGGAAACATCAGATACAGGAGTATTGTTCTTTCGAATCACGGAAAGGACACCAGTGTCGCGAAACCGAGATCAATGTGCGTGGATCCGCTAGAAGGTCACGTCTTCTGGGTCGATGAGGGTGGATTCGGTGTTCCTGTAAAAATCGGCCGAGTCAATATGGACGGAACGAATGCGATAATTCTTCTCTCGAATCTCGATAATCCGGAAGCAATCACAATAGACATTCCTAGTAAGACAGTTTATTTCAGTACAGCCAGAGCGATAAAATCGATGACAACCGATGGACAGGGTCTGCGAACTATTCTCACAGAAATTAATAATCTGATGCTCCCGAAAGCACTCGCTGTTCATGACAATAAACTCTACTATTTGGATCCGAAGTACGAGAAAATAGAGAGAGTGAATTTGCCGAATGGGGATAATCCAACTTTGATCATGAACGGAGAGGTTGATTTGAAGACACTCACAATTTACAAGAAACGTGCAATCGGTTCTCATTCTTGTCTGGTAAACAACGGAGGTTGTGATCAGTTGTGCCTCCCCTCAGCCGGTGGAACCAGAGTCTGCGATTGCGGCGTTGGCTACAGAAAAACTGCCGACACTCGCTGTGAACCGTACAAAACATTTGCGGTCGTCACCCAACTCGACGTTGTTCGCGGCTACAGTTTGACCGACTCGAAAGAAGCAATGGTCCCCATCGCCGGAATTGGTCATCACATTCTACACGTCGATGTCGACTACGCCAACAATTGGATCTACTGGGCGGAATTCAACCGAGGCTACTGGAATGGTATTTTCCGTGTGCGACCCAATGGCACACAACTCGAGCACATCGTCAAGAGTGGAGTCGGTTCCAATGGAATTCGAGGATTGACTATTGACTGGATCGCCGGAAATGTGTATTTTGCCAATGTCTTCCCACACGACAATTACGTTCAGGTTTGTCGCCTCGATGGAAGTAATCGTAAAGTTCTGGTCAAGACAACAACGGACGCGCCTAGAGAACTTGCCGTTAATCCCATCAAGAGAATTCTCTACTGGATCGACTATGGACAGTATCCAAGAATCGGAAGAGCGAATCTAGACGGTAGTAACTGGACCACATTGATCACGAGCGGAATCAGCACTCCTCGTGACTTAACCATTGATATCACCACAAACGATGTCTACTGGGTCGACTCCAAACTCGACATGATCCAAAAAGTCTCCTATTCAGGCGGTAATCGTGAAATTATTCGCAAAAATCTACCGAATCCGATTGGACTCGCGATTTTCGGTCAAGACATGTACTGGGTAGATCGCAACCTCGATACTGTTTACAAAGCGAGCAAACTTTCTGGAAACTACACTCTTCCAATGTCAATCAGAACGAATCTTCAAAAGTTGAGAGATATCGCCATTTTCGATCCATCCGTTCAGCCGATGGACGAGAGTAATCCCTGTAAGGGAAGTTCGAACGGTGGTTGTGATCAACTCTGCTTTGCCCTTCCACCCGAGAGTCACATGACAATAAAGTGCGATTGCGCCACCGGAAAATTGGCGGCAGACGGAAAACGATGCGAGAACGTCGACGAGTATCTTGTCTTCGCCACTAGAACCGAAATTCGTGCCATTAACCTCGATCCAAAATCGACGAACGTACCTTTCAAGCCTATTAAAAATTTGACAAATGTCGTCGGTGTCGATTTCGATTACCAGGACAAGAAATTATTCTTCACACAAATTCGACCTTGGGCCATGATTGCTTGGCTCAATTCAGACAATCCAGCTTCTACAAAACCGGAAAAAATCATCAGTAAAGGTATCAATCCGGAGGGAATTTCCTACGATTGGACACAGAAGAAGGTTTACTGGACCGACTCCTCGAATAACAGTATCTATGCCATGAATATCGACGGCAAGGATTTGGTAATGATCGCCAGAGTCGATCGACCAAGGGCAATTGTCGTCGATCCTTGCAACGGATCATTGTACTACACCGATTGGGGACGTTTCGGAACGTCGGGGAAAATTTTCCGAACTTCCATGGCGGGATCTTTGAAAAAAGCCATTATTGACAAGGATCTTTCCCAACCTAGTGGATTGGCTATTGATTACGAGGAGAGAATGCTCTACTGGACCGATGCTGTTAGGGAGAAAATCGAGAGGTCGGATCTGAATGGTAAAAATCGAGAGATTCTGATCAGTGCGACAATTTATCCGTTTGCGATCACAGTGTTCAGGGAGCATATCTACTGGACTGATCTCCAACTCCGGGGGGTTTATCGAGCGGAAAAGAATACGGGCGCTAATAAAGTGGAGTTGGTCAAGCGTCTTGAGGACTCACCGCGGGATCTTCATATTTACTCTCCCGGCAGGCAGCAATGTAAGGTGAATCCTTGCAATATTAATAATGGAGGTTGTGATCAATCTTGTCATCCAGGTCCAAGTGGCGTTGCGGAATGTAAATGCGACGATAACAGTCGATTGGTGAACGAGGACCGAATGTGTGTTTCGAAGAATGTGACCTGTGATAGTAATAAATTCGCCTGTAGGAATGGAAGATGTATTTCTAGAATGTGGGCCTGTGATGGAGACAATGATTGCGGGGATGGATCGGATGAAGACACGAATTACTGTTCTTATCACTCTTGCAGTCCCAATGAATTCCGCTGTAACAACGGACGGTGTATTTTCAAATCCTGGAAATGTGATCACGAGAACGATTGTCGGGACGGTAGTGATGAGGAGGGTTGCGTGTATCCTCCCTGCGCCGCTGGGGAATTTACCTGTGCGAACTATCGCTGTATTCCACAGTCTCAGGTCTGTAACGGGGTGAATGACTGTAAGGACAACGTGACTTCCGACGAGACTCATGAATTGTGTCCCAAGAACACTACTTGTCCGGCAAATTATCTGAAGTGCGAGAAAACGAACATCTGCGTCGAGCCCTATTGGCTCTGTGATGGCGACAACGATTGCGGCGACAACAGCGACGAGAATCCTCTTCATTGCGCTCAACGGACCTGTCCACCGAACAGTTTCCGCTGTCCGAATCATCGATGCATTCCTGCTACTTGGTACTGCGATGGCGACGATGACTGTTTGGACGGAAGCGACGAACCGCCTGGCTACTGTCAATCGGAGGGTCGAACCTGTTTCGGCGACCTCTTCACCTGTGACAACGGAAATTGTATTCCTAGAATCTACATCTGCGATGGTGATAATGATTGTCTGGACAACTCCGACGAGGACGAACGACATCAGTGTAACGATCGGAAATGTGACGAGGAGACCGAGTTCACTTGTACGGCTAATAAACTCTGGAACCGAGCGCAGTGCATTCCGAAAAAATGGCTTTGCGATGGTGATCCTGATTGTGTGGACGGAGCTGATGAGAACGTGACCCTGCACCATTGTCCGGCACCAACACCTTGCTCGGAGAATCAATTCGCCTGTACGAATGGACGCTGTTTGAATAGAAGTTGGCTTTGTGATCACGACAACGATTGTGGTGATGGCAGTGACGAGGGTAAATTCTGTCACAATCGGTACAAGACCTGCACGGAGAATGAATTCACCTGTCAGAATTTCAAATGTATTAGAAAACAGTTCCACTGTGATGGTCAGGATGATTGTGGTGACTATTCGGACGAAGTGAACTGTCCGTCGAAGAAGAAGAATACGACGTGTCCGAATCCTGGGGAGTTTATGTGTGCGAATGGAAATTGCATCGATCAGCAATTGGTTTGTAATAAGGAGCCGGATTGCGCTGACGAGAGTGACGAACCGGCTCATTGTAATGTTGACGAATGCGCTCGAGTTGAATTGAATCAATGTGGACATCGTTGCGTTGATACTCCGACGAGTTACTATTGTGAGTGTAATTCTGGTTATAAACTACTGGATGATGGAAAAGCTTGCGCTGATATTGATGAGTGTATCGAGACGCCGCAGGTTTGTAGTCAGCAGTGTGAGAATACACCCGGACACTTTTACTGTAAGTGTAATGAGAAATATTACGATCGAGCGGCTGATGAGCACACATGTAAGCGAAGGGATAAGATTCCACCGTGGATTGTTTTCACGAACAAGTATTATGTGAGGAATATGTCGGCGGACGCGAAACAGTATGCGCTGATGCATCAGGATTTGATTAATGTAGTGGCGCTGGACGCTGATTATCAGGAGGAAATGTTGTACTTCTGTGACGTGACGGCGAAGACAATTTACAGGGCGCCAATTGCTGGAGGTGAGAGACAGGCGATTATTCGTCACGACAGTCTTGGTCTGGAGGGAATTGCGATCGATTGGGTGGGACGAAAACTCTACTGGCTCGATAGGCACGCGAAGCACTTGGACGTTGCGGAATTGAATGGAACGAATAGGAAGACACTGTTGAGTGGAATTTCTGATCCTAGGGCTATTGTCGTTCATCCAGGAACTGGACATTTGTATTTCACCTCTTGGCACTTGCAGGCGTATATTGGACGAGTTGGAATGGACGGAAGTAACTTTAAACAGATTCTAAACTGGGAGGACGATATCGCTTGGCCGAATGCTTTGACGATTGATTACTTCACGGATCGGATATTCTGGGCCGATGCTCATTTGGATTATATCGCTTTCGCTGATTTGGAGGGCAAGAATCGACGAATTGTTCTTTCGGGAGCGAAAGTTCCGCATGTTTTTGCAATGACTGTGTTTGATGATCATATTTATTGGACGGACTGGAATTTGAAGGCTATTAGTAAGGCGGAGAAATTCTCCGGTGATCATATCACGCTTTTGAGGAATACTACACATCGACCTTATGATATTCATGTTTATCATCCGCTACGTCAACTTCCGTATCCAAATCCTTGCGCGCAAAATAATGGAGGTTGTTCACATTTGTGTCTGATTGCTCCTCCTGCAAGTTCGTATTTGTTGGAAGGATACGGTCGACCTGGAATGACTTCTTTCAAATGTATGTGTCCCAATCAATTTATTTTGGATAAGGACAACAAGACCTGCATTGCGAATTGCACGACTGGCCAACATCGATGTGGAGCACCTGATGAGAAATGTGTACCTTGGTTCTGGAAGTAAGTAAATGAATATTTTGGATTAAATATAATTGGATTTTAAATTCGAATTATATTTTGATAATTGAGGTAAAATTTTCTTCTTTAAACTAATTACGAGACTAATTAACGATTTTATTGCAGATGTGACGGAGAAAAGGATTGCAAGGACGGTTCAGACGAGAGCAATTGTCCGGCGAGAACCTGTCGCGCTGGCGTATTCCAATGTACAAATGGTCATTGCGTTCCGAGCAATAGCGTTTGCGATGGCATCGACGATTGCAAAGACAACAGCGACGAAGGAAATTGTTCATTGGAATGTTCCGCTCTAGAGTTCAAATGCAAATCCAGTGGTCGATGCATACACGAGTCTTGGAAGTGTGACGGCGACGCTGATTGCAAAGACGGAAGCGACGAAGATCCAGCAATTTGTCGTAAGTGACAAATTCATCAAATTAAATTTCTAAAAAAAAACAACTAAAATTGTAGAGAATCATTGAAATTATTCAAAAATTTATATTTGAAAATCAAAAGTTTTGTAATTTGCTTAATAATAATTGGAATAGAACGTTGAGAATAATTACTGTACTGATTAATTTTTATCTTACATTACAGACAACAGAACATGCGATCCAAATACAGAATTCAGTTGCAAGAATGGCAAGTGCATACCAAAATTGTGGATGTGCGATTTCGATAATGACTGCGGTGACGACAGCGACGAACCGGCTTTCATGTGTCGGCAGAGAAATTGCACGACCGGTTGGCAACGTTGTCCGGGACAGGCGAACTATCGCTGCATTCCTAAATGGCTGTTTTGCGATGGAAAAGACGACTGTCGTGACAATTCGGACGAGAAGCCAGAGAGTTGTCCATCTTGCGATAATAGTACGGACTTTAAATGCGCGAACAATCGATGCGTGCCGAAGCAGTGGTTGTGCGATTTCGCTGACGACTGCGGCGATGGTAGCGATGAAGCTGAGGCAATTTGCAAGGATAAATATCGAAAATGCTCTGAATCGGAATTCCAATGCAAGAACGGCAAGTGCATTGCGTCAAGATGGCGATGTGATCACGAGGACGATTGCGGAGATTTGAGCGATGAACGGGAATGTCAGAATTTCAAGTGCAAGGTATTTAATTTAAATTATAAAACTTTAAATTATTTGAATTAGAAAACATGAAGATATAGATCACTTCGAGTCGAAGACTCGAAATGATCGATATCTTCAAGTTTTCTAATAAATAAAGACGATCGAGTGATAAAATAAGACTGAAAAATTTGCATATTTTTATGTAGATTAAATTTTAATTATTTCTTTAATTTCGGTATTTTTTATTATTTGAATAAATTTCTGAATGAATAAATGAAATAATAAATTAATTTGAATAAATGTTTTTTTTACAGAATGATACATATCAATGCAACAGTGGTCACTGTATCGCATCTTATTTACGATGCGACGGCGCGAGAGACTGTCACGACTTCAGTGATGAGATTGGATGTCCGGCAAGATATCCTGGTGGAAAATACTGTCCTCAAACACACTTCCAATGCGATAATAATCTCTGCGTTTCTCTTACTGACAGATGTGACGGTACAGACGATTGCGGTGACGGTTCAGATGAAAATATTAGCATGTGTGGTAAGATTTCCTATTTACTGATTAAAATGCATATATTATGATTATTATTATTACATTCAAAAATATGAATAACATTTTTTGCAGGAATCTAATTAATTCCTAAAATTTAGCAAAAGTCTGTAGAAGAATTCAATTATTTTTATGAATTAATAATAACATTCTTTCAAGGAATTAAATTCTTTTCAATGCAATTATTTAAAATTGAAATACAATTTTTCTAAAAAAAATTCAATTATTTTCATGAATAACAATATTTATTACAAGAATTCAATTATTTGCAAAAATAACAAATTTTATCGCAGAAATTCAATTATACCAAAAGTTTTAACGAAAATTTCATGAGAAATTCAATTATCTTTATAAATAGAAAAATTCATCTTCAAAATTCAATTATTTTCATTAATAAAAAAATTTCACAGGAATTCAATTACTTAAAATAGAATTTGCATACAATTTTTCAGAGGAATTCAATTAATTCCTAAAATTTTAATAAAAGTCTGTAGATGAAATCTATTATTTTTATAAATAATAAAATTCTTTTAAGAAATTCAATTATTTTCATAAATAACAATATTTATTACAAGAATTCAATTATTTGCAAAAATAGCAAAATTCTTTGCAGAAATTCAATTATTTTCAAAAGTTTTAACGAAAATCTCATGAAAAAGTTAATTCTCTTTATAAATAGCAAAATTCTTCTTCAAAATTCAATTATTTTCATAAATAAAAAAATTTCACAGGAATTCAATTATTTAAAATAGAATTTGCATAAAATTTTTTGCAGAAATCCAATTAATTTCTAAAATTTGACAAAAGTCTGTAAAAGAATTAAATTATTTTTATAAAATAATAATAAAATTCTTCTAAGGAATTCAATTATTTTCAATGCAATTATTTAAAATTGAAATACAATTTTTCTAAAAAAAATACAATTATTTTCATAAATAACAATATTTATTTAAAGAATTCAATTATTCTCAAAAATAAAAATTTTTTAATTTCTATTATTAAATTAAATACCTATTGTGAAAAAATATTTAAAGTCCTTTGATGAAAACGATCGTTGTTAAAAATGCTAATAAGGTTTTATATTTTTTTTTCTTTCTCAGCAACGTTCCCATGCGATCCGATACGAAGATTCCAATGCGCCAATCACAAATGTATTCCTAAATACCAACTTTGCGATGGAATTGACAATTGTGGAGATGGTTCGGACGAAAATAACATAACCATGTGCGCTGTCAGAATTCGAACCTGTGATCCAATTTCCGAGTATCAGTGTGCCAATAAACACTGTATTGACCGTTTGAAAGTTTGCGATTTGTCTGACGATTGTGGAGATAAATCTGATGAACTGGGATGCCGTAAGTTATTTGTTTATCAAATCTCAAAAAATTTTATTTAATTCTTTTCTTTATTTCTTCAATTCAATTTATTATTCGATAATAATAATTTTCCTTTTTTGGATAGGATCTTTTTCTTTTCTTTTTAATATTTCTTCAATTTAATTTATTATTCGATAATAATTTCCTTTGTTACGAAAGAGTTTTTTTCTTCATTACCAATTGAATTCATTACCAAATGAATTACTCAATATCAATTGAATATTTTAATGCCAGTTGAAAAATAATTCAATACCAATTAAAAACAAATTATTTGAATTTTTCGTATAAATTTTTTCTTTTTTTTCTTCTAGATATGAATAAACACTGCTCGGATCTTGACAGAGGCGGTTGCTCGCATTATTGTCTAAACATCACAGACAATCGTTACATATGCGGTTGTTACGCCGGATACATAACATCGAAATTAAATAACAAGCATTGCGAGGACATCAACGAATGCGTGGAGGGTACACATCATTGTTCGCAATTGTGCACAAATCTTAATGGCACTCATGCATGCTCATGTCGTCAAGGATTTAAACTTTCCGATCAAATCAGCGGAGTTTGTCGTGCAGAGGAAGTGAATGCTTTGGTTATTTATGCCAATGGACCGGAAATTCGTGCACTCGATATCCATAAACGAGACGAAATGCTTGTAATGACGAACGAAAAACGTGTCAATGCCATTGATTTCGATCCAAGAAAGGAATACGTCTATTGGATCGATGGATACGATCATCGAATTAAACGTTCGTTCATGATTCACGCAAAGAATGGTGACGCTAAAATTGGATTTGCCCAGGATCTTAATATTCAGAGTGAGTTCTTTATTATTTTTCTTTTTACTTCTACCTTTCTTCGGAGCGTGACACGTTCAGAGTTGCCACAAACATTTAGTTTTGTCTTTCCCTTACTTCTCCTTGATTTCTAGACAGAATTTTGATTATTTTCCTGACCCTAAAAGATATTCTGATTCACTCTTAAAATTATTAGATACTTAAAACAATGTTCTACTACATTTATTTACAAATTTCTTCAAAAGTAAAATTATTCGAAAACATAACTTCTTTTTTAAATAAATATTTAATCATTATTTATTTTTCTATAGGATTTAAAATTCTTCAAAAAATTAAAATTCAAACCTTTTGAAATTCAATAACTTATAAAAATATTATTATAAAACAAGAAAAAATCGATAACTCCGAGTCTTCGACTCGGAATAATTAATTGTTAATTAATTGTTAATTAAAAGAATGAAAAATTTTAGAACTTCAAAGATTTTAATTTTAAACCTTTTTAAAATTCAATTATTTTTAAAAATTCACCTTATAATGCTTCTAATATTTTATTATTTATCTAAAACTTTAACTGAAATTCATTTTTTAATCAATTTTTATTAGAAAATTGTATTATTTAAATATAAAATTAAATAATGTACTGAATAATTAAATGTTTCTTAAGATTGAATTATTTCGACGAATTTTAATAAAAAATTTTAAGAATAATTGCATTTTTCGAGGAATTCATTTAAAATTGTATTAAAAATAATTCAATTCCTAAAAAGAATTTTATTATTTATGAAAATATCTTAATTGAATCCCTGAGAAGAATTTTATTATTTATGAAAATAATTGAATTATAGGAAAAATATTATAAAAATATTTTAAATAATAGATTTTTTCGAAAAAATTTATTCAAATTCTATTTTAAATAATTGAATTCCAGTGAAATTTTTTTATTTTTGATAATAATTGATTTCCATCAATGGCATTTTTTTATTTTTGAAAATAATTGGATTTTGGAGATGAATTTTGCTAAAAATTCAAATTTTCAAAGATTTTAATTTGAAACCTTTCAAAATTCAATTATTTATAAAAATTGCAATTATTTTCATCTTCTCCAAAATTAAATTTTTTTTTTAGAGTTTTTAAGTAAAATTCTATAAAAATTTTAAATTTTTCCTGTACTTTTAATAAAATCCCCCGACTTTTCCCTGACTGATTCTACTTTCCCCGATTCCTTGACCTGTGGCAACCGTGTTTGTTTATTTATATTTACTTTTTTATGGTTGATTTCAATTTGTTTTATTCTTGTTGTTAATTTGCTTTTTCGATTCAATTTTTTAATTATATTTATTTATTTATTTATTTAATCGTGAACGGGCTTACAATTTAAAAATGCCCTGTTGTGCATTTGCACTAATTTATAAATTATTTATAATTATTGGGTATTTTTTAGCGCAAGATTATATACCGACGAGTTTGGCGATCGACTGGGTGGCTGAGAATCTCTACTGGACGGAAGTGGACGACACGGGTCCAAGGGACGTGGGCCGAGTTGTAGTCGCCAAATCCGATGGTAGATATCGTCGCAGTATTGCCCAAGTGGAACATCCAACGGCTGTCGTTGTCGATCCTCAATTGGGAATTTTAGTTTGGGCCGATGCGGGTTCGTTCGCGAAAATTGAGGGCGCCTGGATGGACGGAAGTAAGCGCAGAGTTCTGGTATCCGATCGATTGGGAAGACCTTCGGCGCTCGCAATCGATTACGCCATGGATCATACGCTCTATTGGGCCGACAGTAAACTGAATACAATTGAATCGATTCGATTGAATGGCGCCAATCGACAGGTGATACTCCGAGGATTAAAGAATCCAATATCAATCGATGTGTTTGAGAATATTTTGTACTGGACAACGAGGAGTAGTGGTGAGCTGATAAGACAGGACAAATTTGGACGTGGTGTTCCACAGACGGTGAAGGCGAATTTAGAAACTACTGGTGGGGCGAAGATTTATCATCGTCTTAGATATAATACATCGTTGATTGATCCTTGCGTCTCGTCGGGATGCACTCATCTCTGCGTGGCGATTCATGGTGGACACAGATGTCTTTGTCCGGAGAATGGACGACCGAGAGAAGCTCACGCGAGTCAAATGCATTGCGATGCCACGGAGGAGAGACCAAAACCAGCGCCGAGAATTTGTCAATGTCAGAACGGTGGTTTCTGCTCGGAAGCGGAAAATAATGAATTGACGTGCGAGTGCCAAAATGATTATCAAGGCCAGTATTGCGAGGTGCTTCCGGCTTCGACGAGATCCGGAAGTTCCACTGCCGCCATTGTTGTTCCTATCGTTGTTTCTATTCTGGTCTTGCTTGGTGCCGCTGCCGTTATTCTTGTTCTCAAGAAACGGCCATTGTAAGTTGATATTTTATTTTGAAAATTTACGATTATTTGAATTTGCAGGAATAATAGTTTTGTTTTATTGTTACAGTGGTAAACCAGGTGGACTTGCCAGTCTAACCGGTGCTCAAAGTGTCTCCTTTAGACAAGGAAGCAATGTCGAGTTTGGCGGATCTTCGACGGAGCGAATGGTAAAATACACAATTTTTTAATTTAATTTCCATAAATCTTAATCAGAGTTGTGAATTTAGAAATAAAATCAGGGAAATCAGAGAATTCAGGGATTTTTACTAAAAGGCATGCCTACTAAAAGTACTGGAAAAAATTAAATTTTTAGAATTCACAAGAAAACTCTGGATTTTTGCGTTTTTTTCCATTTGAAATTTTTTTAATTTTCACGAATTTTTCTATTACTGACAATAAGATAGATATAGAAGAATTTTAGTTAAAAACTTTTAAAAAATAATTAAATTTTGGAGAAATTACAAATAATTGCAATTTCTAGAAATAATTAAATTTTAAAAAGGTTTCAAATTAAAATCTTTGAAAATTCCTCGAAAAATGCAATTATTCCTAAAATTTTTTATTAAAATTCTTCCAAAGAATTCAATTTTTTCAAAACTATTAAAATTCTTCACGAAAATTCAATTATTTTCAAAAATTTTAATAAATTCTTTGAAAAATTTCAATTATTTTCACAAATAAAAAAATTTTTCACTGGAATTCAATTATTTTCAGGAATTTGAATATAATTCTTTGCAAAATTCAATTATTTTCATAAATAACAATATTCCTCGAAAGAATTAAATTTTTTTAGATCTATTAAAATTTTTCGCGGAAATTCAATTATTTTTCAAAAATTTTAATAAAATTCTTTAAAAAATTTCAAGTATTTTCAAAAATTTTTCCGAATTTAATAATTTTTAATATTTACTATTTTCATAAAATTTACCAATAGAATTCAATTATTGAAAATTTTTGTTATAAAATTCTTCGCAAACATTCAATTATTTGCATAAATAGTAAAAATTTAACAGGAATTCAGTTATTTAAAATATGATTTGCTTAAAATTTTTCGAAAAAATTGATAATTTAAAAAATTTTCATAAAATTCTTCGCGAGTATTGAATTATTTTCCTAAATTATAACAATTTTCACTTGAATTCAATCATAATTAGAAAATTTTAATAAGATTCTTCACAAGAATTCAATTATTTTCACAAATAATATAATTTTTCACTAAAATTCAATTATATATCAAATTTTAATAAAATTTTTTCCAAGAATTCAATTATTTTTATAAATAATACAATTCTTTTTTGAAATTCAATTTTTTTATAATTAATAAAACTGATGGCAGGATTTCAATTATTTTTAATACAATTTTTAATGAATTCCTCGAAAAATGCATTTAGTATTATAAAGTTTATTATAATTCGTCGAAAGAATTCAATCTTAAGAATCATTTAATTATTCGACAGATTAATTATTTTTGTATATAAATATAATTGAATTGTCGTACAAGTTTCAAATAAAAATATTATTTTTAGAAATAATTGAATTTTGAAAACGTTTCAAATTAAAATCTTTGAAAATCTACATTTTTCATACTTTTAATTAACAAGTCTCTGGAACTAATTTTTTTGAAAAGTTTTAATTCCAATTTTGTTGAAATTAGTTGAATTTTGAACTATTTATTTTTTTGAATACTCATTATTAGATATTAAGAATATTTTACTTAGAGAAGAATTTTAGTCAAAAGCTCTAAAGAAATAATTGAATTTTTGAAAGTTATAAATAATTGCAATTTTTAGAATTACATAATTGAATTTTAAAAAAGTTTAAAATTTAAATTTTTGTAAATTTAAATTTTTAATAGAAATTTCGTAAAATTGAATTGTAAATTGAATTTGAAAATTCTCAAATAGAACTTTTTCAGAAATTATTAAAAATAATTGCTTTAAAGAATAATTTTAGTTAAAAATTCTAGAAAATAATAATTCAATTGAAATGATGAAAATAATTTTATAGAAGTTACAGTAACAATATTCTTGTAATATAAAATAATGATTTTATCACTCGTTCTTCTTTAATTATCATTATAAAATATGAAGAAATTTATTACTCCGAGTCGAAGACTCGGAGCGATCTATATCTTCATGTTTTATAATAATATTCTTATAAGTTGTCATTAAAAATTGTTATATTATGTTATGTCATTAAAAATTTAATTAAAATTTTGTAATTTCTGTTCAATTAGGAGCCCCTCGATGTGGAATACAACCTTACCGAAGTAAACACCAAAAACCGAGACTTTAGTAATCCAATGTACGACGCTGTTAATCTGGAATCTGGCAATACAAACGGAACCAGTGGCAGCGGTATTTATGAAGTTCCTGCGGAAATGAAACCTTCCAGCATACAACACAAAGAAGCACCTCAACTTCACTTTAAGAGACGCGAGTTAGATCCAACGCCCATCGATTCGGGAAAAGACACTCAACAATTAGTGGAAGAGGACAAGTCAGAGTGTTAGTTTTTAGAAAAAAAAATAAGTACTTTTCCATCAATTGTGCCTTGATCTTGAATTTTTTTCAATGAGCGCACTCACAAGAAGAAGAAAAAGAAGAAAAGAAAAGAATACTCGAGAACTCTTAGTAAGTGAAGTTGCTTCAATTTCAAAAAGCAATTGTGATTGTAATCGCTTTTAAATGAGTTTTAGCGCGAATGGTGAACGTTTTAAATAAGTTTTTTATACAAAAGATTTTAAATAATGTTTTTTTCTTCTGATTTTTTAAGTTTTTAAACAAAGATTTTATAAAGCGGGAATCAACGCTATTCCCATTATATAAAGTGTCATAAAAATTCACTTGTTGATACCGTTTATTTTTTTTTGTCATCAGATTTTGGAATCATTTTTTAAAACTCGGATAAATCTGACATTTTAATTTTTTTTAAATACTTATATATTTTAGTTACAGAATTTTTTACGAAGTTTTTAAAATCTAAAAAAAAACAAATGAATAATTGTTCAATAAAAGTGACGATAAAATGACAGATTTTTCCGAGACATATATGGGAATTGTCTTATATATTATAAAAGAGGACCAGACAATGTTTATTTAATAATTATAATTATATTATAATAATAATTACCGTTGTAGAAAAGAAAGCTCGAGATCAGACTGCAATAGGCAGAGTACGATCGTGTCATTTTTTTAGGTGTGATTGTAAGTCTTGTAAATATAATAATTACGATATATTGAAATCATTATTATATCTGTGTACCATAAAAAAAGCGCAATACATTCCATTTACACTCAAAGTTCTTGGTTTTGAAGAATAATAGAGAGTGTAGTGATAGCGTTATAATGGCGTGAAAGCGTTTATTTACTACGAAGGGTACATGTAAGTAAATTTGTATTTTTTAACAAGTATTTTTGTATGAAAGACGAAGGAAGAGTTTATATTTAAGGAAGTTTGATCCATTGGCAAAATTTCAAATTCAGCACTTTTTTCAGAATTTATACAAAAAAAATGAATACTTTAAATTATGTAAAATTTAAATACTAAAATTATTTAAATATTAAATTAAAAACTAAATTATACTATTAATTTAAATTCGAATGCTTTAAATAATCAATTATTTAATTACATTTATTTTAATATATTTCAATTTCGACTGCAAGTTTGAAATAATGTCATAGGTTTAAAAATCCCTTTTAAAAAAAAAGTGGCCAATCAGGAACTGATAAATAGGCACGTTGTTTATTTTATTTTTTTTTATTATTATTATAAATGGTGAATGAATTTTGTCATTGCGCGATTTGTTAAAAATCTTTATTATATAAATGTTAAACTGAACGATTGGTTACGTTATATAAATAAATGTTTTTTTTTAAATAATAGAATAACGCTCAGAATATTATTGATCGGCCACGTAAAGATTATTGTACATTTTCTTTTATTAGAAATATTGGGTGCCTCGGCGTATTGTTCAATTAAACATATTTTTGTTATCAACATTACAAACGTACAAGTGTCAAATGAAAAACTGTAAATTATCTATTTTAATATTAAATTAATTTTTTTTGTTAAATCTTGAAAAACAATAATTAGAACGATGCGCTGTTGTACCTTATGCACAAATAATTATAAATACACTATTACAAAAAAAAACATAGTATATATTTATATATATATAAAAATAAAGAAATTGTTGAAATTGACTTTGATCTGGGCAGGGATCCAGAGTATCCTATAATATAATTAATATATCAGTATTTCGTGTATTTTTTTATATCAAAGTTGACAAAATAATAATTGTTAATATATTGTGCAAATATCAAACTGATACCGTCCAATAATAAATTTTAAGGATAACAACTAAACTGTCCCTGTACCCATTGAATAATATCAATTAGAGAAACATGATTACAAGAGATGTATAATTAAACAAACAAACAAAAGAAAAAAAAAATACAAAGAGAAAGAGAATATAATTATATAGAAGTGTATGTATATTAAGAAACCCTTTTCAAAATGAACGGGTTTTCCCGCTTTGGAGTGTACAATAAAACTTATTTATATGACTGAATTTATTATTATTATTATTTCCTTAATTTTTTCAAAACTTATTTTTAAGTATTTAATACGATATATTTTCTTCCTCTTTTTCTTAAGTTAATTTCTATTTTATATTTATTAATTAAAATTTTTTAGAAAGAAATAATATTTATTTCAATTTAAAAATCGCGGGAATATTTTCATGGGGGGCCAACTTCAGGTAGCTCTGAACAACCAATCAAATTGCAGGAGAAACGCTTGCGTGTAAGCCACGTATCTATACTCACGTAGTAGCCCGTCACGTAGCCCGTATTAGTACAGAAGTACACGTGTACATCTTTTTTAATTTTAATTAATTAATTAAGTGAGTGGTCATTTTTCGGAAAAACTTCACAACGGTTCTATGGTGTAATGGTTAGCACTCTGGACTTTGAATCCAGCGATCTGAGTTCAAATCTCGGTAGAACCTATACTTTTGCATTTTTTAATAATTTACCATCACTTTTTACATTTTTTTTTCCATTCTCATTTACAAATTTTATTTTTATTTCGTACAGCTAAAACAAATTTGATAAAAATAAATTGCAAATACAATTGGTTTTTAATCCTTTGTTTATAATTTATTGTTTTTAATAGTTCGTTGACCAAAAAAAAATTCCAATAGATTAGATTTAAATCAAGTAACAAGTATATTTGTAAAGGCATTGCTTTCGCGAAAGTCGTTAATAAAATTTTTTTTATTCATAATTAATTTTAGAAAAAAATAAAATTTATTTCAATTTAAACATCGCGGGGATATTTTCAGTGCTGCCAACTTCAGACTGTACCTTTGAACAGCCAATAAAATTGCAGGAGAAACGCCTGCGTGTAGGCCACGTAATTACTTACGTGTAGGGCAGAAGTACACGTGTACATCTTTTCATTTTCCCTTTTTAATTTATTAAATTAAGTGAGTGGTCATTTTTCGGAAAAACTTCACAACGGTTCTATGGTGTAATGGTTAGCACTCTGGACTTTGAATCCAGCGATCTGAGTTCAAATCTCGGTAGAACCTATATTTTTGTATTTTTTAAGAATCTACCAATTACTCTTTCTATTTTTTTTTATTTTTCATCAAATTAATTTTTTTTATATAGCTAAAACAAAATTTAATGAAAATAAATTTCAATTTGAATTTATTTTCAATTTTTTCTTTATATTTATTAGTCGGTTAATTAAAAAAATCTTAGAAAAAAATATTCGATTATTAAAACCATTAGAAACAGATTAGATTCAAACTTATTACACATAAGCGTTATTTCTGTTATTTACGTAACTGACGTAATTCCGTACGTAGCAGTACAAACTGTATACACGTGTACATCATTTTTAAATTTAATTAGTGGGGCAGACATTTTTCGGAAAAACTTCACAACGGTTCTATGGTGTAATGGTTAGCACTCTGGACTTTGAATCCAGCGATCTGAGTTCAAATCTCGGTAGAACCTATACTTTTTATTTTTTTTAATAATTATTTTAACTAATTAAAAATTATTTTATTGAAAGTAATTTTTTTTTAAAGTAGTGATTTCCTTTACAGCAACTAAATTTAATTTAAAATTTTCTTAAATATTAAAAATAATTATTAATCCTTTAATTTCTAAATTTCTTTATTAATTATATTGTATATTTTATTTATTAACATTTCTTCAAATATTTATTCTTATTTATTATAATTTAAAATAGAAATAGATTTTATAATTTTAAAATTTGGCGCGTTACTGAGCGCATGCGGTGGAAGACGGAAGTAACAAAAAATGCACGCACGTACTTGTGTTTTCCTGCCAACCCTTAGAAATAAATTTTTATTCTTTGTTTATGTTTAATGTACCTAAAAATAAAGAGTTAAAAAAAACAAAATTTTCTTCTAATTACGTAAGAAAGACAATTTTTATAAATGTGTACACTGTAGCAAAAAATATAAAGGCCCCGCCGAGATTTGAACTCGGATCGCTGGATTCAAAGTCCAGAGTGCTAACCATTACACCACGCGGCCGCTTATAAGAAATAATTTTAAAGATTTACTTGAATCGGTCACAATCTTAAAATTGCATTCTTAATGAATATTAATATTTTAATATACAGAAAAATATGCCCCGACTTACTCTGATATATTAAATTAACAAAATTAATTATCAGATGCGAAAAATTTGTTATATTATCATCGCTTGCTTGGTTACGAAACTTCCTGCGATCGTGGAAATGCCGTCAACCACTGTGATCGTTAAATTATTCAAAATTCAAATTTTTCTCACTTACTTGTTATAAACTTTCAATAGTACTTTCTTAAAAATAATAATTTATACATTTTCACTCGTTTATATTATAGGAATTGTTTAAATAAAAAAGTACTATTAAAAATTTGATTTAAAAATGGTTGCTGAGTTGACCTTTGATATTTGCAGTCAATGAAAATGCAAATGGCCGCCATCATGGTGAAGTAGCACCTAGTTGTTTTCGCGTACTAATAAATTTAATCGTAAAAAATGTTGTGCTCGTGCGTAATGAGTAACTATTAAATGAACTACGATACCGGTAATAGTGAGCTTTTTAATCGTGAGGATTAAAAAAGGGTGAGTGATATGATCTAATGTGTTAAATTCTTAATTATCCTCGACGTGGATGGACACGCGCCCAATTCTTATCCGGCAACCGCATTAAAGTATGCAGAACTTGGGAATCATTTTATAATCAATAATTCGACTATCCCTTGATTAGTATTATCATAATAAACTCTTTGTTTAATGGTGTTTCAAGTTGTAAGGTGAAAATTGTATTAGGAATGATGGTGATTGTGTATCATAAAAGAGAAGGTAAACAATGAATAAAGTTGGCGCGGTGTCTGCTTTTCTCGGGCATGCCGCGTGTTCTTTACACACATGCCCCAATTTTTTTTTTTTTTTTTCTTAAAAACAGTATTGCATATTCTTCACGGGAGTCTTTATTTCAAATTGTTTTTGTCTCGATGATTTATCTCTTTATACTTTACTTTTATTGTTTCACATATCTAATTATCGACATTTTAGTTATTTGAAGGTCATATTTCCATGATTTGGAATTATTCAGTTTTCAGTGTTTTTTTTTGTGTAATAGTATTTAGTTATAGTGGTTTTATATTAATAATGAGAGTAATATTTCATTTGCTTTGTATGATTGTTTTTTGATAATATTGACATGTTCATTTAAATAACCATGTGTTTTGCAAAAACTAGGTTATGTAAATACTTGTCATTTTCTTGAAATAATATACATATTGTATACAATATTGCTGAACTTTGATTTTTCTTATAAATTCCAATTTCGTAAATTGCTTTACTCGTAATTACGACAAATGCTTTAGTAATTAATGAAAAATTGAATATTACAAAAATGTTTTTGTGTAAAGTATTAAAAAAAATTGTTTTCTATTGCAGATTAGTGAGTAATTTTCTTTAAAAAAAAGTCTTAAAAAAAGAGGATAGTGATGCCTGCTGTTAGTATTTGCGATCCTGTCGCTGTGGTCCTCCGCAATAGTTTGGAGAGTCAGTCAAAATCGGACGACCTGTCGATTACCATAGCTGACAGTATTTCACGAATTTCGGAAAGTAGTATTGAATACGAAAAGGAGGCACAAACCTGTAAATCTAGAGAAGGACTTGATCCGATAAAATTGAAAATTGCGACATTTTATACTCACAGTACGGAAATTATTGCGGATAGTGGAAATATGAAAGAGGGTGCCTCATGTTCAAAGCGAACGAACGCCAGAAAGACTGAACCCACTTTACCGGGAGCCAAACATGTTTTGTATCCACCAAATAAAATTGTTCTAGGATGGAAAGACAATTTTCCAGTTGGCGCTGGAATGATAAATGTCGGTAACACCTGCTATTTAAATAGCACGTTGCAGGCTTTATTTCATGTTCCAGCTCTCGTTAATTGGCTATTATCCGATAGTCACCATGGCTCAGGTTGTGATCAGAATGGTAAGATTTTTAACCTTTTTCAGGGATCAAACTAGGTCCGTAAATTTTTGTTTCTTTTATTTTTACTTAATTTCTTTTATTCCAGATGGAGGGGAGTGCCTTACTTGTTCCATGGCGAAGACTTTAAAATTTAGCCATCAAAAAACGGGAGATGCAATTAAACCTTTTTGCATTTATAACAAACTAAAACGTGAGTAATCTTTTTGTTTTGTATTTTACGAAATTCTTTCTTTAACCGAAAGAATTTTATTTAATCGCAAAATTCTTACGTTACAGTAATTTGTAAAACTATGTCACCGGGAGACCAAGAAGATGCTCACGAATTTTTACGTTATTTATTGGAGGGAATGGAGAAAGCCTACTTGATAAGACATAAAGCAACAAAATTAGATAATTATTCCAAGGAAACAACACCTGTGAATCAAATTTTCGGCGGTTATATTCGCACAGAAGTCAAGTGCCTCGAGTGCGATCATATATCAACAACATTCTCCCATTTTCAGGTAATAATTTTGAATTCAAAAAAGTAATTTTTTAAAATTAAAAAATAAAAAGACATAATTTTACTTTAATTTAAAATTTAAAATTTCAGGACTTATTAGTGGATATTCGGAAAGCGAACACCTTAGATGAAGCGCTTTCCAGTTACTTTAGTCAAGAGCATTTAGACAACAATGACTATAAATGCGAAGCTTGCAAACGAAGAGTTCCTGCCACTAAACAATTTAGTTTACAAAGACCACCAAAAGTGCTTTGTGTGCAGCTGAAACGTTTCAGTCACGTGGGTAGTAAAAATTTAAAGAACATCGGATTCAAGCAAACAGTCGACATGGGTCCGTATTTATGGCGTGAAAAAGGAGAGCCATCGAAAAAGTTAAATTACAAATTAACGTCAATGATAACACACATGGGACCCACAGTTAATTGCGGTCATTATACAGCCGTTGCCCAAGTATCGTCCGGAAAATATTACACTTTCGACGATTCGTCAGTACGTCAAATAAGCTTAACCACAGTATTGAATACAAACGCTTATATAATGATATTCGAAATGGAACCAGAGAGTCACAATCATTTAAATAGCCATCAAAGTATCAAATTAAACGGAATATTAACATCCAAGAATTTCTTGCCCATCTCAACAAATAATGCCGAGAAACTCCCAAAACCCTCAACTTCCGGTATTATCCCACAAAATGGTTTCGACAACAATAGTCCAAAACACAAGGAACTCGTGAGTTCCTCCTCATCATCGTCGATTAATTCCCAATCACCGCAAAAGAGCAATGGTCTTCACACCAATGGCCAGAAGAATTCAAATTTCATCGGTCCGTTACTACCGCAGAAAATACAGGAAAAATCACAACCACGTTTAGTATTACACACGAAGAATGGAAAAGTATTGAATGGCAGTAGTTTGGTACCATACGATGGTTCTAGTGACGACGACGAGAATTCTGCAAGTACAACGAAATCACAATCTAACGAGAACACTAATAATCTGAAACCAAATCCATTTAATACGGGAAATATGCAAAAGGTCCTCACTACGAAAAATGATTCGCCAACTAAAGCTGGAACGAATTCGAAGGAAGCGTTCAAGTCGAACGGCAATGGTTTCACTCCGTTCTCAAAGACAATGCATAATGGAGTTAATTATTCAGTGAAACAACACAATAATAGTAATGGAAATGGAATAAAGAATCATCAGAACTCATCGTCGCCCAAACATCATCAAAATGGAAAATTCGATAGTAACGGAAAAATGGAAAATTGCGGCAAGGAAAAATGGTTCAGTCCGACGAAAGGAAAAAACAATGAGGATGGACCTTTGGCGACTAGCAGTAACGGTTGGCAAGTGTCGAAGGATACTCAAGCACCGTCTTCAACGGCAATTCCGAATGGATGGTCCGTTACTGATAATAATCGGTGAGAAAATATCCAATTACTTCCACATTTCTTTATTTTATTCTTTCTTTCCATCCCTTATTCTTTTTCTTCTTTCTTACAATAATTTATATTGTTTGTGATTTTTATTAAAAATTTATTTATTTATTATATATTTATTTATTTACTAAAAATAATTTTTATTCTTTTTGCCATTTCAGTGAAGACAGCGGGAAATTCAGTTACAATTCAACACCAAATGCCGCGGCATTCCGTGACTTTAATGGAACAAATCGTTCCGAAACAGTGTCACATTTATTGAAGACATCACATCGTGGTTATGGAAGTAATTCCGGTCAGTACACGAATAAAAAAATAGATGTTACTACTTTCAAAATTATTTTAAATGCACGTCCAATGAAAAGTTTAATTCATGACATTTCCATCGCCAGACAAAGAAAAAATTGCGTGGACAGAAAACGAAACAAACGATATTTGGGAGATATTTACATTAATGAATTGTCACAAAAAAATGAAAATTGGCCACAATCAGTCAATTCAAGATTAATAACAAATACCAAACGGGAGAAAATATTGATAAATTATCATGAAAATCTCATTGAATCATATTTATTTTATTTGGTTATTTATTTTATGAATTATTCCATTTTCACGCTTATTTAAGTTTGCTATTCGTCTTTTTTTTTTGTTGAAAGAAATTCACAATTCTACATTATTTCAAGGTATTAATTTTTCAAATTTTTCTTTCAATTAATTTTAAACTAATTAAAAATACATAGATTATAGAAGATTCAGGCCTCGGATATTATGAACTTTTCGACTTTTTCGACTATTTTTTGAATAATGCGACTTTTATCCGCTTATATAAAAAAATTGTTGCTTTTTCAAATTTTCTTCCAAATTTTGATACAAAATACGAACATTTTTAGTATAAAATGTAACTTACTTTGATTTTTCTGGTGTGAAAAGTATAACTATAGACAAATCTTTGTAAAGTTATTTTTGAATAATTTTTCTAATTAAATTTTTGAAATATACAATTAAAAAGATTTTGAATAATTCAAATTTTGTAAAATTTAATTGAAAATAAGTAATTTTTTCAAGTATTTTATTAAAATTTTTGAAAATTAACTTTTAAAGAAATTTAATTGAAAATTTTGGAAATAATTGAATTCTCAAAAATTTTAATGAAACATTTTCAAGTGTAAATTTAATAAAAATTCTAATTAAATTTTTGAATTATACAATTATAAATATTTTTGAAACAAACTAATTCTCAGAATTTTTTCATTCTAATTTTTTAAAATTCAATTATTTTCAATATTTTCAATTACATATTTCCGAAAATTCAAATGCTTACAAAAAAATAACTTTAAAATTTTTTAGAATCTTTTTTAACATTTTGGAAAAAATAATCATATTTAAAATTTTTAATTTAAATTCTTCAAAAAATTAATTAGTTTTTTCTAAATTATATACAAAAATTCTTTTTAGAAATTCAATTATTTTCGAAAAATTACATTACATTTTTTGATTAATTGAATTTAGAAATCAGGGAAATACAAAATTAAATTTTTTGTGACAACACTGAATTAAATAAACGACTTTTTCGACATTTCTTTCTATTTTTATTCGACTAAAGCGACTTTTTTGGCTCGTTAAAGTTGATCCGAGGTCTGAAGATTAAAAAACGATTTTTGTCCATTAATTTTCAAAAAATTGCAATAAAATATTTAAAATTTAATTAAAGTATTGTCACTTTCTTTTTTTGTAATTCGATAAAAATATAATACAGGATAGAAAAATAAGTTTGATTTTATTTTTCAGTAACGAATTGGAACGGGGGAAGATCAAGATTAGATCGAGAAGTTGATGACGAGAGACGACAGGAGAGAAAACGTCATTTGGATCCTGACGATGAAGAAATTGATAGAGGTCGTACGAAGAAAATGAAAATAAATCGTGACTACGATAATCGTTTCAATCCATTTCAAGATTATCAAAATGTCAAAGGCGCACAACGTCCAATGGGTTATCAACGAAGAAGTTACTACAATACTTCCTCTCACAATAGAGCACGATACAATAATAGGCCGAGTTATCATAGATACCATCAAAATCAAAATCGCAATCACTGGCAACGCAGATAGAAGAAAAAAATGCAGTGAAATGCGAATTAAATTTTGACATTCAATTGCTTTTTATTTCAAATTATTGAATATTCTCGATTCAATAAATGAGAATTTAGTAATAAAAAGAAGAAAAATGAGAATGTAAAAAATCGCAGCAAACGTTGCATTTCGAGTAAATTGAACACTTTCTCAGACTATTGACACGTTTTGACTGCAAAAAAAAAACACACACACACTCTATCCTCATAGTTAGATTAAAGAAAATGAAAATGATCTAATTTATTAATGAGACATCCTTTTCTTTGTCTTCTCATTGAGGATATGTAAAAAGAGATAGAAAGACAGAGAGTAGGAGAGGGAAATAAACCATTTTAGACTAATTTTGATCGTCTAAAAAAAAACAAAGTTTAGGGGGAATTGTCGTGTTTCTTTTATTTAATTAATGAACATAATTTTTTAATTTTACCAACGGGATATAATTTATAATAAACTATCAATAAAAGTTCCTTGTATGATCGATTTTTCCGCAAAAAAAAAAAGAAATGCGATCCGTCCTCCTTCATTTTATAGCAATATAAAAATTATGATACTCGATTCCCAGATTTATAGTTAAAGAAAACAAAAGTATAGTTCTATACTTATACTGATCGAGCGGCTATATAGTTAATCGATTGAAAAAAATATATATAAACAACCGCGAGTTGTCGATTATAATTAAACTTGTATATTTCCAAGGGTCTCGTTGTATATTCGCAGAATATTTTTTTGAAAGATCATCGAATACCGCGACTCTTTATTGATTAATCAATTAATGGATTTTAAAAGAAAAATGTATGCGAGAATGAGAAAAAAATAATTAAATGCCCGGTAAAATAAGAAGCCATTCAAGGAATTAATTTAAGTTTGTTAATTGTAAGATCAATTCTTATATATGGCGAAATGAGAATGAAAATTTTATTGAAGAGATAGAAAGAAAGCGCGAGAGAGAATAAAAGAGAAAGAGAATGTGAATTAATTGTTGAAGCAAGTACTATGGAGACGGTGATAAGTTTCTTATTCATAGTCTGCTCCGATTTATAATACCTCGTTATATTATTCTATAAATTAATACTAGCCAAAAAGTTAGACATACGAAGTATAAAAAAAAAGAATAGCTAGACATTAAACATCAACATTATAAATAATGTAATCGACGTCTGACTTGATTTGCATACATACCAGAGCTGTCTTCAGTAAATCGACGCCTGTATTAATGTATGTATGTCCGCATATTTGCTATAAAATTAAAAAAATATATTCAATAAAAATAAAAGAAATTTAAGAGATGGTGTTTATTTATTTCTTTTCCTCAAAATTCCTCATTGCATATATGATTTCCTTATTTGGAAATACAAAAGATACTCTTAGTTTATTTTACCAAAAGTAAAAAAATATTTTTTTTTCGAAATTGGTGGAAAAAATCTAATTATTGTAAAATTGGGTATTATTTCAAAAATAATTTACCAATTTTACTCAAATTTCCTCATTTTATACAATTTTTAATTTTCTTTTTTATAAAATCCAAAAAATTCTTTAATTTTATTTTTTCAAAATTAAAAAATCCTTTTTTTACTCGAAAAAATAATTTACCAATTTTACTCAAATTTCCTCAGTGTTTCCAATTTTTATTTCCTTTCTTTTTGAAATTCAAAAGACACTCAAATTTTATCTTTCCAATAATTAAAAAATCCCTTTTTTACTCGATTTTTTTTGGAAAAAATTTAATTATTTAAAAAAAGAAAAAAAAAATTCCAAAAGTAATCATCAATTTTACTCAAATTTCCTCAATGTTACCATTTCTGCAATATAGCGGCAATATTAAAATTATTGAAAGAAAACTGAATTAATTTCATTATATTATAAACTAAACTGTACTATTATAACTATACTTTACTATATTATAATTATTATTTTATTTTAATTTTTCCATAAATTCTAATTTTACCTTTTATTTACAACTTGTCTATTGTGTTCTGCAATGTCAAATGAAGGTAACACATTTTTTCAACCGACGTTCCACTGTTTTGATTTGTACGTTAGGCACGATGGACGTTTTAGATTTAGAAGAATTGTGGAAAAAAAGTCCATTCTTTGATTATTGTGCACCAATAAACAAAGATGATTATGAATTCACGTGCACCAGACTTATAGAAAGAATTGAAAAAATTGTAAGTTACATTTAATCGTTTTTCCATTTTGACAGTTACGAGAACAAGTGCGTGCGTTGTTTTGAATTTTTTTTTTGAATTCTAATATATTTATCTTTATATTTTTAAGTATTTATTTTATGTAATAAATTATTTATTACTTTCTAAACATTACTATTTTTAGTTAGTCAATAATAGGTATGTATGATTTAATAAATAACTAATTTAATACATGGTAAATAAAAATTACATTTTTCTAGCTTATAAACGTTCAATTGGAGGAATTGAATATTGAAAATATCCACAACGAATTATGCGAGGAACTGAAGGAATTCAATGAAATTTCGAACGAATTGACTAATAAAATTGAATCACTTATCAGTTTATCAAATACTCATTTTTGCGTTAATAATGATTTAAAGGATTTTGTGGAAAATATTTCTTCACGATGGAATCAACTAAAGAAAGAGGTAGGTATAAATACTTAATTTATTAAATATATATTTGAGCCTCAGTTTTGTTTTCTATTTCCTTCGGTTTTCTATTTTATTTTTTTAATCGATTTGATTTATTTACAGGAAAACTTGAATTACTATCGAATTCGAATATCTTCCCGAACAGTTTTGAAGAAAATTCGAATTGATGCTGATGAAATTAAAATGTTGTTACAATTTTCAATATGCCAGTGTAATCAACAATGTATTGAGAAAGGTTATTATATTTGGAAAGAAATTTATCAATTGGTAGACAACATTGCAATCTTTGATCAGAAGGTAATTTTTCTTGATATCAATTTTCAATCCTTTTGGATTAAATTAAACTTTAGTTTAAAAAGGCTAATCATTCCGAGTTAATTTTTCTATTGTTCTTTTAATTGTTTTTGACTAATTTTTTTATTTTATTTAAATTTATTTTTTAATTCAGTTTTTTATTTTTAATTTAATTTAATTTTTTTAATTCAATTTATTGTTTTTAATTTAATTTTTTTAATTCAATTTATTTTTTTAAATTCAATTGAATTTAATTTTTTAATTCAATTTGATTTAATTTTTAAATTATTGTTAATTTAATACATTTTTCCTTTTGTCACCAAAAAAAGGTTCAGTCAATGATGCCAATCCGCGAATTAACACCGCATGTAAATAATTTCATTTCATCGATAAACAATTTCGTTAACAGCAATGAATTTATTCCATACAATTCAAAAAGCGACGAACTCTCAGTATTCCCTTATGTTTCACAATTATTAACAGGCGAACTTCTTGGCTATAAGCCAATAGAACCTGAATTTGTTTTAAAAACAAATAAACCAAAGAGACCAATTTTTATCACCAAAGTAATTAAAAAAAAATTAACAGTCCTCTAAATTATTTATGATTATTAAATAAATAAATGTTATTTATTTACTAGACTTGAGAAAAAAAGAATTTAATTTAAAGTGTTTAAAGTACATTGTCTACGTTTTCTATGTTCAGTGAAGATATTGTATTTTGTAAAGTTTATGTAGTTTGTGTACAGAAAAATAAATTAGTATTTTTGAAAAATAATCCTTTTCTGATTTTTTTGGATACGATTGTGAAAGTAAAGACAAAAATTCATTTTTTTAAAAAATATACATATTTATAAGTAATAATTTACAATGTTTTTAAATACATGATTCAAGAGTCTTGAGAATCAAACAGGAGGAAATTAACATTTTGAAGAAACAGTGAATAATATAATATTGATTTTCTTTGATATTTCACTATTTTTTTTTGTTAACATTAAAGAATAACTGTGGGACATTATTATTATTATTATTATTATTATTGTATCGTATAATTATTGATTGTAAATAAATCCACTGACGATAAATATCTCTTATATTGATATAAATTTCTGAAAGGCAGAGGAAAATATTTCTTTCTAAATATTCTTTCACAATATTTACTCCTGTCTTGATAAAATATTTTTCTTTTTATAATATATATATATATAATAATATATATTCTGATAGAAATTAAAAATAAATATTTCTAGACTATTAATGCTTTCCATGTATACTTAATATACATTTATAAGCTTTTTGAAATTCTTAATTAAATCTTCATTTTCTCGTAAAATAATGAACAGTTCTTTTTTTTTTAAATTGTGGGACTAGATTAAAAAATGCCTTCCAGATCCGGCCAAGGAACTGGTGGCGCTAATCTCAAGGATGTGTCCTTGTTTTGCATAAATTTAGGAGGCTGTAATTGACGTCTTTCCTGGAAATTAAAGAGAAAAAGTATTTAATTTTCGAAATTTAAATTTCTAATTTAAATTTAATTTTCTAGTTCTAATTTTCTAATTACCGGTGGTCGATGCGTTGGTATTGTGAAATTCAGTGGTTTATGGGTCCAGCCTTTTGTATTTAAACATTTATAGCAGACTTTTGATTCCGATAAGCATTCAACGTGATAGCCATGACCGCATCCAAAAATTACCACATATTCTGTACAATTGGCGAATTTTTGTCTGCATATGGGACAAATTAGCGAATCACTCGAGCAACCCTTTCCACTGTCCCTAAAATTAAAAAAGTCTCAATTTATTACGAACAGGATTTAAAAAAAAATGTGTGTAAAATAAAGTAAAAAGATTTATTTTTACCTTAGAGTTTCTTTAAGGGCTTCATGAATTTCCAGACTGACGAGTCTCGAAGTGGTTTCCACTAAAGTTTGCTCGTATCTCGAATGCGTCAGAACGCTAGTTAGTAATTGTCTAATATCACCGATTGTTCCACTGGTGGCTAGAGGATGTTTCAAAATTTGCTCCAAAACTGTCGACAAAGCTGTCGTACCGCTCAAAGATTCCAGGACAATTTTTAACAATTTTCCCCTTAAAATCTCAGCTGTGATAAGATTTTGAACATCAGAGTTAAAAAAAAAGACGCAAGAAGAAAGAAAAAAATAGAAAAGAAGAAAAAAAACTTATTTATTTAAAAAATTGACAAAAATTCCAAATACCTATTTGAACGTTATTATCGGAATGTTGATGAAGAACAGTTTCAACAAGAGGCATCCAATCGAGAGTTCCCGCCGATCTTCGGCACAAGGCAGCCAATTGTGTTGTTACTTGAACAGCATTAAAATCAGAAACATTTGTTTGATAACACTAGAAAAAAAAATTTAATCTTAATTAAAATCAATAATTCTACTTGAATCAAAAAAGAATTTACAAAACACTTTCAACACTTTTACAATGGCAAGAGAGTAAAAACTCATTACCAGAGATAAACTTTCTTCCAGTCTTTTTAACAGTAAATTAAAAGCCTCCTCATAATTTCCGAGTTTCTCCAACATTATAGCTTCGGCATCTTTGTGATTCATCGTTTGTACTATTTTCAGAGCCTCGTCCAATCGACAACCGTGAGATCCCTGCAGATGACTAGTAACCTTGATAAAAAAAAAGAATTTTACTCAATTTTGTCCCTTTAAATTTAATTTAAAACGAAAAATTATTAATTGTAAATTGAGAATTGTAAATTGTAAATTGAGAATTGAAAATTGAAAATTGAGGATTCGGAATTCAGAATGACTTACATATTCCGGTTCAACTTGACACATTAAGGCTAGATATTTTTCTAAAATTTCAGCTGACAATTCAAGTTTACTCTCCTCCTCTTTATATTGCACCAATTGAAAAAGAGCTGCTAATAGTGAATACTGCAGCAACGAATTGCTCTCAAGTTTATCGAGAATTTTGTTCAACTTAGTTGGAACACGATTTGATATTATAATAGCCAATTGACTCGCATCGATTTCAACAAGCGATGTAACGTGCGTTATTAAAATACTATAAAGAATCGTCACTGGCAGTGATTGTAAACGAGTCCAAATATCATGATGTCGGGACGGATCTGCAATTAGGCATCGTATCACCGATGACCATTCTTCTCTGTCAGTGTAAAGCAATTCAGAAATTCGTAAACTGAAACAAAAGGAAATTATCAATTGAATTACCGGAATACAATGAATTAAGTACAGTACTTTATTATTTAAGTAATAAAGAAATTGATAAAGTTAGGAAATTAAATTATTAATATAGATTTAAAACAAAAACCTACAAGTTTGCTCTCTGCGACAAATGTAACAGAGTGTTATCCGACATATTCGTCAATTTTCTGGAATGTATCAACTGAAGAATAGCATTCTCCTTCTCATAACGATGATCCCTCAAACTAATTTGCTCCGAACCACTGGCCAGAATTTCCACAATTCGATTCAAAACACTTCCCTCAAGACTCACCATATTCTCCGCAACTTCATTAATAATAAAAATAAGAACAATAACTCTTTGCTCGTCCATTAAATAATCAGGATTATTTGCACTTAGCGGTGTAGTTGGCATCACAATACTTAATAAAATATCGACAATTCTCTGTCTTTGTCTCAATCCCATTTCGGTGGTGAATTCGGGTTCTTGAAAAGCCATTGCAATAACGTCGAGAAATCCTTTGACGTCAAATTTCAAAAATGTTCTTAAATACGGATATTGTCGTTCGGAATCATTGGCGAGACTTGAATGTTGTGAGAGTAGGGCACGTAGAACATCGGCTTTCACACGTTTCGGCAAATCGTCGGGTAATTCGCCTTTGGGAAAATCACGACCCGCTAGGCAACAACTGCAATAAACTAGAAGCGCATTACCGAGTGTGATACATTCACGTGATTGTGATTCTTTTTCATTGGTGAGCTGATTTTGGAGAACGGGCACGAGCTGATGAATTGGAGCTGTAAAATCGCCGAGGGCTGTTGTTTGTAAATGTATCAAAGCTTCCCATAGAAATCTATTACGACAAACTGTTGTTACCTGAGGAATTTTCATTTTTTTATTATTAAACATTCTTTTCTTTCTTTTATTCTTTTCTTTCTTCCTTTCATTCTTTTTTTCGGTAAAGAAAATTTTTTTCTTTATTATTGAAAGAGTTTTATTTGATCAAGATTGTAAATTTTGTACTTACTTGATGGATATCGAGACAATCGACCTTGAGTAAAATGACCACCGACTGAAGAGAATTCAATCGATTTTCCTGTTCATAGAGTGTGACAAAATGTTGGGCAATAAAAGGTGGAAGCGTTGGTGGCATACTTCCTTCAAGCAAAGGCGATTCCAAAGCACGAAGATAGGTTGCTTGAAGATTTTCCGACTCCGAAACAAGATCCCATAAATGTCCAAAGAGCAATTCGGTATTTTCGAGTTGAACACAATAATCGACGCATGTGGAAACAATTTCCGAACCAGTGACATCGCTGGCCAGTAAATTATTCAATTCGTCCATATATTGAATAAGAACCTGACAAACTTTATCTCTCGCTATTTGTTTACGACGCTGCTTCGAACCACGTAAACCAACGACAGCTTTTCCTTTATCTTGATAGAACGAGAGTCCCAGTGCCAATGCTTCTGGAAAGCGCCTCTGAAAGAAGAAGGTGATTTAATTATCGAAATAGTTTGTTCATTAATTGAATTATTATAATGAAAGGAAGAATTATTTCAATTCAGTTGAAATAATTCAAAAAAGAATTTTTCAATTACCTGTAAAGTTAAATGGCGCAATCTTTCCATCCAGGTTCGTATGCACACAGCGTGAAGACTTTTTGTTCCTAAAAGAAGAAGTTGACTGCCAAAAGTGACAACCGTGTTGTAACAGGCTCGCTCACCAGCCATCGACATTGCCTGGAAAGAAAATTTCGTTAGTTCTCTTAGAAAAAAATTTTTCTTTACATAAAAAAAAAGTTTACCTTGGAAACATTCCCTCCGGTCGTTAAACCCTTAAAGTGACTTGACGCATACGAAATACCAACACAACTGACGTCTAGAGTTTCTAAATTATCCTGCGTTCTCACATCCAATAAATGCAGTCTTTCTTGAATATCTAATATTATCAGAGATCTTGCATTGAGCCATCGAAGATTACTCATTGTATACGGAAGTACAACTTTACGAAGTGGTGTCAATTTTATTCTGTACAAATTCGTCTCACATTCTGTACACACCTGTGAATCAAAAGAAAAGACAAAAAATATAGTTGTCAAAAATCAAATTTAAACAAAAATTACGAATTTTTTTATGTTTAGTCTAATGGATTGTAAAAAAGAATTACGGAAACTATCTGGAACGTACCTGATAAAAATTAACGACCGAATCTCGACCCAGAGCCAAAACTGGATCGATAACTCGACTCGCATTTGCAGCTTGAATAACGACTAATTGCCAAGAAACTTGTGGAGGCGCAAAGGCGGGACCGGTTAAAGCTTGGCAGAGGACAATTCTCATTCTTGGTCTTATGCAAACGACTATCACCTGAAAGGCAATAAATATTAACATAATGACAAACATTAAAGGTAAATATTGAGAGAACAAATTAAGAATGAAAAGAACAAACAAAATAAATAAATAAAGATAGAGGAAGACTAATATTATACTCTAGATAAGTATGCAAATAAAGACAAATGTTCAAATAAAGAAACAAAACTTAAAATTAAAAAAGATTGTTATCAATTTATTTTTTTAATTTTAAGTTTTGCTAAAAGATGAATTAATAAGAAATACCTTTGATAAAGTAGCCATTGCAACGAGTGTATAATTCTTCAGTGGGTGCGTTGGCAAATCGTTGAGAAGTAAAGGTTCAAATGTACAAACTTCTCCTCGTGCTCCGCTAAACAATAGTTTACTGTCACATCCTCGCACACCCATAACTCTCGTGAAATTTAATTCAAACACCGAACCACCACTGTCACTGCAAAGTGCCAATTTCGGAGAATCTGTGAACTTCATTAGAAAGACAGGAATTATTTCCGAGTTAATTTGAAAAAAATTAATTAGTTTTTAAATTTAAACAAAATTAGCATCAAAGGTAATTAAATCGAAAGAAAATTACCTTCGAGTAATTAAATTGAAATATAATTAGCTCCAAGTAACTAAATCGAAAGAAAATTACCGTCGAGTAATTAAATTGAAAGAAAATTACCTCCGAGTAATTAAATTGAAGCAAAATTATCTTCGAGTAATTAAATTGAAGCAAAATTACCTCCAAATGTAATTAAATCGAGACAAAATTACCTCGAAGTATTTAAATTGAAAAAAAATTTCTAAGACGTACTTTAACATGCAATACGGCAGTTCCTGGTGGATGAACGTCGGTAAGTGTTCGCAAAACTTTGCCATTACTACTGTCGATCATGAGAATATATCCCCTCGCGAAACCAGCCAACAATCGACTACCGTCATGATTGAAACCCAAAGCAGAAACTGATCCCTGATGTCTTGCCTCTTGATCGCACCATCTTAAAGTTTGCGTTGAATCGAAACCCAAAACAAGACCGTGACTCGTTCCAATAACCAGCATATTTCCCCCAGCTGCCACTGCACTCGCCAAACCGGCATTTATTCTTTCCTAAAAAAAATAAATTTCCCTCAATAAATAAATTTAAACAAATTTATTCAAATTTTTTTATTCAAATTAAAAACTTTTATATTTTCAAATATAAATTTTTAAATAATTTCATAATCAAAATTTAAAAAATTCACTAACTAAATACAAAATTAATTATTATTGTTTATATTTTCAAAAATTTTAATACAATTCTTCGCAAGAATTCAATTATTTTTCTATAAATAATAATTATTATCCCTTAATTCTTTCAATTTCAAAATTGAAATTGTCAATTGATATTTTAAATAAAATATACGTACGGAAGCAGACGTAATTTGAGCACAAATCCCTTTGAGAATCACGTGTCTCAATATTGCTCCTGAAGCCGGTGTTTGCGTCGTTCTTTGCTTACTGAGCGAATTTAACGACAATAGACTTCCAACACTCGCCGTTTCACTTCCTCCCAATTTATCAATAGATGCTGCACCAATATCATCGTCTGTTCCCGAAAGTGAACCACAATCTGGCTCTGTTAAAATACTTTCTAAGGAGGGTAATTCCTCCACAACTGGTATTGAGTATTCTGCATCATCGAGCTGGAAAAACCCCAATGAATACAATTTTCAATTTATTTATACATAAAAATTAAGAAAATAATCAAAACTATCAATTATTAATTTCATTAATTAAATTAAATTAATAAAACTAATGAATCTAATTAATAAACATTATTAGTGATTATCGAATCTGTTGAATCAAACTAATGAAAAATGTAGAAAATAGAAAAAACCATTTGAACTACAAGATAGAAAAATGTCACGGTTAATTTGCGAAAAGATAAATATTTGACAGTAATAATTCACTTAGGTACCTCTTCAATTTCCAAATTAATTGCTTCTGCTGTTAAATTTTCAAGAGATCCAATGTCCACCGATCCATTCTCAGCCATTTTTATTTAATCTGTCATAAATCTTTCATATCAGCCGATAACTTTGAAACATTTTCTATATATCTTCGGTAAAATAAAATAATTTCACAAAACTATTAACATTATTCGAAATATTTATTGAACCTTCTTGAACCGAAGGGAATAAACTTGCACTTCATTTATAGGTTAGAATTGATTTTATGAACAATTTCCCATAAAGAAGTAAATTAAATTCATTATGATATGTACCGATTCTCAGTTTTTAGAGTTTAGTCTCAAATTGTATCGTTTTTCACCCATTAATTATAGAATCTGCACACATGAAATTTAATCAACTGACAGTTGACAGTTCCGCAAAGTGACAGTTCTTACGATTTCTACCATTTTATCTCACTATCCCGACCGCAAGTTACGTCAGTTACGTTCAGTTGCGTCACAACCGTCACCACGTCAACACTGTAAACGCTGTAAACATTTGCTCTGCTTTCTATCTAATTAAAATTGAAATGTAATTGATAATAGTTCTGGAAGATATTCAATATAATAAAAACAGGAAATTTTTGATAATAATATCGATAAAGAAAGAATGAAAATTAATAAGTTCTTTAAGACTCGTACATAACCTCAAATCTTTCAATAATCCTGCGACAGTCGTTTGGAGTAATGTCAATTCACTCCCTCGTGAAAAATATTAATTTTCCTATTAATTTTCGTATATTTAATAAATCACGTAAATTTAATTTCCGTCAGTAAAATTAATGAAATGAATGAAATTAATAAAAATTAATAATAATAAAATAATATAGGGTTTTAGGACCCAATAGTAAAAAACTTGAAAACTGACAAGGAAGAGACAAGACAATAATGACAACGTCCGCTGTCAGAAGGTGTGCTTGATTTAATTGTGTATGGTGAAATAAACTAGTTATAAAATTGTGCAAAAACTTTTTTTTTCCGATAAAAATTGATGATTTTGTTAAAAAAAGGAGAATTCATGGAACATGATAATCGAAGATATCCAGCTTGATTAAATGACTGGAAAATTGTTGTTGCATCGATATGCAATATTTTGTAGAGTTAATGCCAACTCATCTATACGAAAATTATTAAAAGCTGTATATGTTACACACCCAATAAAAGACGTATTTAATTTTCGATAAAAATACATCATCCAAAGTGTTTAATTAAACAATAATCGCGTGTCATGAGTTAATTAATTATTGAAGAGAAAAGTAATTTGCCGACAATGACAAGCTCAATAGTTGGTGGTGGTCTAGAATCAGTGACAAAATTTTTTGAAATTCTTCAATCTGATCTCAAGATACTTGCTGGTGAAACTAAAAAGAAATATCCGCAAATTAAAGAGGTAAATTGTGTTAATTTAATTATTATTATTTTTCTCCTATACAATTATCAAAATTCAAAGATCTCAATTTGAGACTAGACCGAAAATTCAATAAAAATGAATAAAATACAAGAGAAAATTACTATTTTCTGGAATTTGTCAACTTTTGTTTATCTTTTTTCAAATAAGTGCATAATTAGTTTGTAGTAAATTGCTTTTAAGGCACTTTAAACAAGTTGATATTTAAAATAGCTTTAATTTACATATTTAAATTTAAATTTTCTATCTTTAGATTAAAGTTTAGGTATAGAGCCAAGTTAAAAAAAAAATAATTGAATTATGGAATTTAATAATTAGAAATATTTTTATATTTCTAATTATAAATTTTTATATTATTATTTTTATATATATTTTGATTAAATGTTTAAAAAAATGTTTCCAGTCATGCGAGGAGGGAATCGCAAAACTAAGATCCGCATCTGGAAATCCAGGAAGTCAAATATATTATGTGGTTAATCAAATTTTATATCCCCTGGTTCAAGGCTGTGAAAGTAAAGATGTAAAAATTATTAAGGTTCGTATATAAACATTTCTTTAAAATTTATTCTCAGAAGAATTTTTCCATTTAAAAATTCAATTCACACAAGTTTTTATTTTTTTTCCTCGCAGTTTTGCTTGGGAGTAATGCAAAGATTAATTACTCAACAAGCTGTGGATCAAAAGGGTGCACGTTACATCACGGATACACTATGGATGTTGATGGAAGCTGGAACAGAAGAAGTAAAAGTACTGCAAACAGTTACATTGTTACTCACGAGTAATACACTCGTTCATGGAGAGACGCTTTCAAGGGTAAAATATCTCCATTGTCTTCTTCTTTACAATTGCTTCCAAGGTTTTACTTTTTCATTTACATATTTTAAAAATAGACGTTGAAATCTTTCTTTCATTTCACACGTTTTCTTAATTAATTGTTTTGTTTATTGAAATGAAAAGTCCCTCTTTGGAAATAAAGACTCTCTTTATTTATAATTTTTTTTGTATACTTTTATTTAGTTTTTTTAAGTAGGAATACCTGGAAATGTCAGGGAATTTTTATCGAAATCCTGGAAAATTGTTGTTTTCTAAAGTTATTGTGTTTATTTTTGAAATTTAATTTCACTTAAATATTTCAAAGTTAATTCAATTTTAAAAGAAAACTTTAATGTTGAATTTTAATCATTTTTAATACAATTTTAATGGAATTGCTCGAAAAATGTAATTATTCTTCAAGATTTTATTAAAATTTATCAAAGATATTCAATTATTTTAAAAACCTTTGCTACAATTTGTTTATTAGAATTTATGTATTATTTTCAATACATTTTTAATTAAATTTCTTTAAAGAATTAAATTATTTTCAAAAATTTTAATGAAATTCTTTGCGTAACAAATACAATTTTTTTCAAAATAATTTTAATAAAATTCTTCGCAAAAATCCAATTATGTTTAAAAATTTACAAAAATTCTCGTCAAAATTTCAGTTATCTTTATAAATAATAAAATTTTTCTCCGAAATTCAATTATTTTCAAAAATATTAATAAAATTCTTGGCAGAATTTCAATTATTTTTAATACAATCTTTTTCTCATTTTAAAGAGATTTTAATAAATTAAAATGTATGTTTTGTTTTTCCAGAATCTTGTCTTGTGTTTTCGATTGCATTTCACTAAAGATTCGACAACAATAAACACAGCTGGTGCAACTGTGAGACAATTGGTGTCATTAGTATTTGAACGTGTCGTGGCTGAAGATGAGGAAAATCCTGAACAGCGTTCGATTGAAGAGATTAATTTAGAGGAATTGAAATCACCAACGAATCAACCTCCGAAAGGCCTCGGACCATGTGCTGCCGATGCTTTTTTAATGTTCCAGGTACTTTTTTTTAGCAAAATATAAATTAAAAAGAGGCAATAAATATTAATTTTCGACTTTTTACTTTCTTATTCAATTGTTATTTCAATTAATCAATTTTTCTTTCTTTTCAATCTTTTTTCTTATTACTTTTCTTAATTCAATTTTTTTGTATTATTTAAATTCTTCATAATTCGTCTTTGAGAAAACTCTTTTTAATAACCCCTTTTTTCCTTATTAGGATTTAGTTCAATTGGTGAACGCAGATCAACCTTATTGGTTAACAGGAATCACAGAAATGACCCGAACTTTTGGTTTGGAGTTGTTGGAATCAGTTTTAATTAATTTCTCGTCTGTATTTTTTAAGGTACGTCTACTTTCGATTTTAATAAAAAAAACAATATCCATTTATTTTTAGTAATTAAATTGATTAATTTATTTATTTTATTGATTTATTCTAATTAATGTTTTTTCTAATTATAACAAATTATTGAATAGCTAGTAAAAGTTTTATTAAGTTTCTAAAGTAATTTTAGTACTAATAATAATAATGATTGTATCTTAATTAATTTAAGTACTATTTAAATTTGTCGACTAGAATTTTTAATAAATTATCATCTTTTTTCTTTCAGCATCCGGAATTTAGTTTTCTATTGAAGGAAAGAGTTTGTGCTTTGGTTATTAAACTATTTTCACCAAATATAAAATACAGAAATTCGGTTCCAGCTTCAATTCAACAAGCAACACCTCTTGATAAACCTTATTTTCCCATTAGCATGAGACTTTTACGTGTTGTTTCCATTTTGATACAAAAATATCATTCTCTGCTGGTAAGTTGAAATAATTTTATTTTCTTGTAGTAAACAATTAGAATTTTGAATTAATTAATTAAACATTAATTGTAATTAATTAAACTTTAATTATAATTAATTAAACATTAATAATAATTAATTTCTTCTTTCAATAATTTTTATAGGTGACGGAATGTGAAATATTTCTTTCGTTAATTGTGAAATTTCTTGATCCTGACAAACCAGTTTGGCAACGGGCTTTAGCACTGGAAGTTTTACACAAAATGACCGTACAATCCGATTTATTGACAAGCTTTTGCAATTGTTATGATCTTAAACCACACGCAACTAATATATTTCAAGATATTGTTAATAGTTTAGGTGCTTATGTGCATAGTCTTTTTGTGAATCCGCACATGATCGGCTCGTCTAGTATGGGTGAGTTTATCGTAAATATTATTCTTAAAAACTATTTAATTTTTGAATTAATTATGTTTCAATTACAATTATTCCATAGTTTATTTGTAATTATTTTTCAAACAAAAATGATTTTCGCTACAAAGCAAATTTTTTCCAGACTTTTTAAATAAATTGTTAATTGTTAATTTGCTTGATTTAATTTAGAGTTTAATTTTTTTTGCAGGCTCATCAACACCGGCTGTGCAGTCAACAGCACCGGCTCTCTTAGCTGGTATGCCAATTGGTCCTGGCGTATCTCCTCAACCTGGATTTTATTCCAGAGGAATATGGTTGCCCGTGGTTGTCACGTTTCCTAGTGGACAAGCAAAATCTACATAGTTTGTATTAAATTACAATTTTTATTCTGTCATCAATTTTTTAACTTTTCTTATTCTATATCCATTTCTATATCTTGTTCCATTCTATTCTCTTTTGTTCTATTCTATTCTAATTTTTTCTATTTTATTTTCTCTATTCTATTTTATTGTTTTCTTTTCTATTCTATTCGATTCGGTTCTTTTCTATTTTATAGTATTCTACCCTAATTATTCTATTAATGAATATAAATTTATTTTCCGTTTGACTTTGATAAAATATAATTTTAAGTTGTAAAAGAATATTTTTAAGATTTTATAAACTGCTCTCTTTTTTGTTTAGTCTCGATATGTTGGATAAAATTGAACCGCCACAGATACCGGACGGTTATGGAATCAGTATTGCATACGCTTGTTTGTTGGATATAATTCGCTCAATAGCGTTGGCAATTATTGGCTCCAGAGAGGAGAATACAGAACATCGGTATAATCCTACGGAAGCTGAAAAGAAACTTCATGTTCAATTAATTAATTCAAGTTGGTGTGGTCTACTGGCGGCTCTCAGCCCCTTGATAGACGCTAGGTAAATATTTAATTCCAAAACAAAAATCTAATAGTAACCGCAATTCTTTTTTTACCCTTTTCTTTGTACCTTTTTCTTTAATCAGATTAAATTAAACCTCAAGTTTAATTTTAAAAAAATCTATTTAATAACGAACGGTAAATATAACAAAAAATTTAATTTTTTTACAGTACTGATGAATCAGCGACGGAAAATGTTCTCAAAGAAATACAAACGTTCGCATCATTGTGCGGTTTACTCGATTTGAATACACCCCGAGACGCTTTTATAACAGCAATTTGCAAAGCTTCATTACCTCCGCATTATGCTCTCACTGTTCTCTACAGTGCTCCACAAGGAATTCCCAGTGCACGACCACAAGATTCTGTACAATATAATCCCGCATCAATGGGAGATTCTGATTACCGACAGCAAGTCGTTGCCGTTGGAACACCCTTACCCACAGCTTCATTGCCAATTGGTATGTAATTAACTTTTATCCTTTAAAATAAAATTTTAATTTCACACAAAAATATATTATAATTTCTGTTATAAATTATATAAATAAATAGAATTTTAAATATTAAATGTGAATTTTTCGATAAAAAAAAACTAATTTTTTAGGAGCTCAACAAGGACCAGTTATGTTGACGGTGAAAAATCTTCAATGCATGAGAGCTTTACTTTTATTGGCGCATTGTCATGGCAGTATTTTGGGAACTGCTTGGCATTTAGTGTTGACGACTCTTCAACATCTAGCTTGGATTTTGGGACTGAAACCATCGACGGGAGGTTCTTTGAAGGCAGGAAAAACCGCTGCCGACTCGAATGCAATGCTAACAACGGCTGTCATGGCAGATTTACCGGTTCTCAGCGCAATGCTCAGCAGATTATTCGAGAGTAGTCAACATCTCGATGATGTTGCTCTTCATCATTTAATTGACGCCCTGTGTAAACTGAGCCATGAGGCTATGGAATTGGCATATTCTAACAGAGTAAATTTCAATTTTTCAATTTAATTTCTTTTTTTTTAAATTTAATTTCTTTTTTTTTTCCTTCTTGTGGAAGCTTTTTATATTATTTTAATTTATACTATTTTTATAATAATGCATTTTATAATTTAAAATAATTATTCTATATTGCGTTGAATTTTAGGAGCCATCATTGTTCGCTGTGGCAAAACTTTTAGAGACTGGACTTGTAAATTTACCTCGAGTGGAAGTTTTGTGGCGACCACTTACAAATCATTTGCTTGAGGTTTGTCAGCATCCGCACATTCGCATGAGAGAATGGGGAGTCGAAGCAATTACCTATCTCGTGAAAGCTGCTCTTCAACATAAATATCCTCAACCACTTCGTGATAATCAGGTAGAATTTTGCATTTTTTAGAAATAACTCCAATATAATTGAAATGATAATTTTTATTGTTTATTATAAACTTATATTTGTAAATTAATATATAAATTTATAATTATTTATATATCTAATATTTATAAATAAAAAAATGTCACCTGATTTTTGATTAAAATTTATAATTTACCAATTTTTTTGTTTCAGAAATTGCAAGTGTTACTTTTGGGACCTTTGTCCGAATTGTCGTCGGTTCGTCACGCAGACGTCAGGCAACGACAATTGGAATGTGTTTTACAAGTTCTTCACGGTGCAGGAGAAACTTTGTATCATGGTTGGCCTTTGGTGCTTGGAATAATTGGCGCTGTTTCCGATCATCACGGGTGAGTCACGAAGAAAATTGAATATTACAAAAATAAGAAAATTCTTAACCAATTTATAATTTATGTCAAAAAAATATTTTTTAGGGAAAACTTAGTTCGCATAGCGTTCCAGTGTCTTCAGTTGGTAGTCACGGATTTCTTACCAGTAATGCCTTGGCGTTGCCTTCCTTTGTGCGTCGACACTGCTGCTAGATTTGGATCACAAACACAGGAATTAAATATTTCCCTGACCGCCGTTGGATTAATGGTGCGAAATTTATTTAATAACAATCATTATGAACAAAATATTTAAAAAATTTATTTTATCAAAAGTTTGATTTTAATTTAATTTTAATTTTATATTAGTTTTATTTTAAAACTTGTTTTATTTGTTATTTTGAAATTTCTTTTAATTTTATGTTAAATTTCATTTTATCTATTTCAGTGGAACATTAGTGATTACTTTTATCAAAATCAAGAGAAACTCTGCGTCTCATTGCGAGGAGATTTGGCGAATGTGTTTCCCGATTTTCCTGGGACAACGAATATGCCAGCGTTTGATAAATTATGGATGTGTCTTTACGCGAGATTAGGTTTGTCTATTTTTAATTGATATTCCTTTTAATTTTTTGCTAGTATAAAAATTTTAATTTTTAAATCGATTCACAAAATTGTAGGAGTTTAAATTAATTTTCCTTTTCGGTAATTAGGCGATCTTTGCGTGGATTCAAGACCAGCTGTTCGAAAATCTGCTAGTCAAACATTATTTTCGACAATTTCGGCTCACGGTGGACTTTTGCATCAACCGACCTGGCAAGCTGTACTCTGGCAGGTACTCTTTCCTCTTCTCGATAAGGTCAGATGTCTATCGAGTTCGGCGAGTAACGAGAAAGTCGATAGTGGCGGTAATATTCTTATTCATCACAGCAGAAATACGGCGCAAAAACAGTGGGCCGAAACTCAGGTATGAATTTTAGATAATAAAAAATTATATACCTATAAGTAAAATATAGAAATATAAATAATCAAAATGTAGAAATAGAAGAAATTCTTTAATTAGAGAAAGACTAATTAGAGAAATGTTATTTTTGTTTGAAAATTTAATTTGAAATGACTAGACCAGAAGGAATTTTTATTTATTTAATGGGAAAATTTTCTCATTTTAGGTTTTAACATTGAGTGGCGTTGCTCGTGTTTTTAACACGAAACGACAGTTGTTACAAATGTTGGGAGATTTTCCACGCGCTTGGTCTCTTCTTCTGGAGTTCATCGAAAATTCCGCTCTCAGTAAAAATAATGAGGTTTCTTTGGCGGCTTTAAAATCGTTTCAAGAAATTTTGTATTTGCCGAAAAATGCCGACAATGTTGATCCAGTGCATTCGGAAGATTCCGAAGTCTTATGGTTGGTTGCTTGGCGAGTTTGGTTGAGTATTGGAACGGAAAGTACGAGCCCACCTCAGGAAAATGAAGTCGATCTTTACGTTCCCTCGCAAGCTTTCCTCACCGCTTTGGTTCAAATATTCCCAGCAGTGTTTCAACACATTAAGAACAAGTAAGTGAAACATGAAATAAATTACATTTAATTTAATTTAATTAATTTCGTAGAAATTAATAATTTCTACAAAAACAGAATAAAGAAAACTGAACTATTTGAATTTTCAGATACACGAGTAATGATTTACAAAAATTGTGTTCGGTCCTGAAAAATGCGATTGCTGTTCCCGTTCATGGAGAGTCAACTCCCTATATTTTACCTACAATTCCAGATGCTATTCTCACTCAACTTCAGGATGGAATTTTGCACTCGATGGAACTTTTGCAGAAGGTTTGTTATCAATTACTTAAAATATATTTCACTTTTTAATACGTATTTCGATTAAACTAAAGTAAAATTTATTTTTTAGGAAGCACTCACGAGTTCTGAGAATTTAAAAACGATGATCGGTCCAATTTTCCTGCAACTTTTATATTTCCTAAAACTGGCCTGCGAGGCGCCAACATACGGAAAAGTCACGACAAAAAATATTTCTCAAGTGAGAGGTGTATCTGTGAGTTTTCTCATGGACATATAAAATTCTTAATTTTTTAACATGAAATATTTCTTGCATAAAAATATTTCTTAAATAGATTCTTAAATATTTCTTAAATATTTTTTAAATATTTCTTAAATATTTTTTTAAATTTTTTAATTTCCTGATTTGAAATAGTAGTTAATTTTTACGACTAGTCTTCATTTAATGGGATTATTTCTGTTTTCAATAGTCCGACTGGGTGACAATGAACTATGTGCCTTTTGGAGAAAAAGCCTTATCAATGGTAGTGAATTTATATCAAAAAACCGCACATGAATCACCAGTGATTGAAGGGCAAATATTACGACATATTATTGAAGCTCTACATTTGCCACTGTCCATGAAATATAAATGTCCTTCGCAAACAACATGGAAATTAGCAATTACTAATCTTCTTACCATTTTGCATATTGGAATTCCCCTTGCCAGAAAAAATTCGGAACCATTTCAAAATATGTGGCCAAAATTGGCAGACACGTTGGACGATTTTCTATTTCCCAAAAGGTACGGAATCTTTTCTTTTGTACTTTTAATATCTAAACTTAATTTTTTTATTTTATTACTTAAATTTAATTTTTAATTTAATTTTCAATTTAATTTTTAATTTAGTTTTTAATTTAATTTTTAATTTAGCTTTTAATTTAATTTGGAAGTGTTTTAGTTTTTATTTTATAAAATTGTTTTCTTTTTAATTTAGCGCTTTAAATTCGGAGAGAGGAGTCGAGGAAATTCAAGCAGACGAGGCTGTGGATTGTCAAGTCATGGAACTCCTCCGAGACGAAGTGCTACCTCATTCACAACATATTCCCCATCAATTTATTCTACGAGTCGTTATGCTTTTAAATAAGGGTTCCATACACTCGGCAACGGCAACGAATATAGGTAGATGAGAAATTGAGTAAAAACGAATTTTTAAATTAAATACAAGATAAATTAGTTTTTTATTCATTTATTTCGAAAAAAAAAATTCCAGAGAAAAATGGAGAGCCAAAATTACGAGAAGAATTTGCAAAGACGTGTTTCGAAACTCTACTACAATTTTCATTGCTTGACGGTTTGAGCAACGAACTTGAATCGAGTAGAGAAAAATTATTCGAAGACGAGGGAGGAATCGCCGGAAGATTAGCGGTCACGGCTCTTCTTCACAGGTTTCAAGAAGTTCTGAAACGCTACATCGACGATGAGAAGAGAAGTGGGAAATGTCCCCTACCCAGGTATTATCATAAATTTAGAAAAAAAACTACTATTTAGAAATTCGTTTCTCTTGTTCATAGATTTTGAAAAAAAATCACTCATTCGATTCGAAATTCATTTCTCTTGTAAATAAATATTTTTTCTTTATTGACAAATTTTAAATAGGAAAAAAAGTAGAAATAATAGGCTAATAAATAGTGTAATTGAAGAAAAGAAAAAATGCAGAAGAATGAATTTAATTACTAACAAAAGAATAAAAAGAATGAAATTAACAAAATAGAAATTAATGAAAAAAAATATTTATTACGTACTATGTTCTAGATACAGATTGTCAGAGATTTCTTTCGTTTTAAAAGCCGTTGCTACTCTTGTTGTTTCTCTTAAAAAAGCGCCCGCAAATAAAGGTAACAAATTAAAAATTACAAATTTTGAAGAAAAATTTATTTTTGATTACTTTTTTTGTCAAAAAAAAAAATAAATAACGCTTTGATTGATTTGAAATTAAAAAAATTTAATTTCCAGTTGAACGATCAGTCTGGGAACAGCTGATTGGCCTTTATCCATGTTTGGTGGAATGCACCGTTGCCACTGCATCTGGACCAGTTTCACGATCACTACGGGAAGCATTAATGCAATATCATGATTTATTGCGACCTCCTCCTTTATCGAATGCACCCACGTCCAATGGTGTTTGACCAACACATTCGATTCTATTAACTAGAAGTTTCCGTCAGTGTCCGTAACGCTACTAAATATTGTGAGTATCAAACAATTTCTCCCAAGACTAATGAATTTTACTTTTAATTAATTAACTATATTAAAACTTTATTAAAAAGTAAAATTTATCTTTCCTGTTAAAATTTTTTATTATTTCGAGGATTAAAAAAATAATTTATTATAAAATAATAAATTATTTTATATTTAAAATTTTGCAGGATAATTTTATATACTTAAAGTGAAATTTCAATTTTAATAGATTAAAAAAAAAACATTTTTTTTTAAACTAAAATTAAATAATATTGAAACTTTTCCATGAACAGTAAGTTTTAATTTCAGATACATTTAGAGCAGTATTGAAACTCTTTTAATGAAACCAGAGTTTTTCTTGTACAAATCAATTTAGAATTGATATTGTCTGCTTTTATAGAATGTGTATATATTTAAATATTTATACGAAACGTTGCTGTCTCATTTTTTTTTTCATTGGGAATTGCAACGTAAATTAATTTCTTTTCTAATGGGCTCTATCAAACAGAGATCGAACTGAATCAACTTTTTAATAAAACCTGATTAGATATTTAAATATGAATATTATAAAAATGTTACTATAATAAAATTTAATTAAAGAAAAAAAACTAATAAAAATAATAGTAGTAATAAGACGTTAGAATCGAATAAAAACAAAAACTTGATTCTCCAATATTATAGAAAAAATGATAAAATATTGATAATTTCAGTAGAAGCTTTTTAAAACAGGTAAAAAAAAAAGTTGAGTAACAAGTATTAATTTCACATTCTTTTTCAATGAGCCCAATTTATGATAAATTTTGCTAAATAGTGTCTTCAGCAATAAATTGATTGTCAAGTTGACTAACTATGAGAAAAAGACTTGAGACAATTTTACAATATTATATAAATAATAATTATAAAAAGTACAGGGAGAAAAATTCTTTCTACTTAATAAATACTGTAGAGAAAATTTACATTCCACGAAAAAAAAAGCTTCATTTCAATTTTAAGTGTCAATGTCTATTGGGCTGAATAGTTGTGAACAAAAAAATGATATAAAAATAATTTCAAATAACTATATTAATTCATTGTCAATTGATAATTAATTAAATATATTATTTGTTGTTGGAAATAAATTGTTGATAATAAAGAATTTTTCGAATATTCGCAACAAAATAATACAATCAAACAAAAGATACAAATATTTATTATAATTAATTAATAACCATTAATTAATTAATCAAAAACAAGATAATATATATTTTCTAAAGAAAAAGTGTTCGAAAGGTAGAAAAATTAAAATCTTTTAATCGAGCTTTTTACTTATCGGTTTGTAAAAGCGAATATTAAAATTACGTAATTCTAAATTAATTAATTTTAATTGAACTGAATTCGAAGTTATTAAATTATATCCCATTAAATTCTATTTGCGTTTGAAATTTTTGTTATAAAATAAAATCACAAAAAAATATTTCTGAAACGATTTTCAGGTTTCCTTAAAAAATCGTTTCTTTACTAAAAAATCAAAATTAAAATTTATATTGTTAAAAATGATTCTTAATGATTGTCATTGTTAATAATCATTAAAAACAAATAAATAATTAAAAAATTAATAATAATCATTAGTAGAAATGATTATTATTACAAAATGGAAAATATCGCATGAAAATAATACAAAAAAATATTACAAAAGAATAAAAAATTGTCGTAAAACTAAAATAATCATGTAAACAAAATTTATATAATTATGAAAAAAAATATTATAATAAAAAGTATAATATATTTACGAAATGAAAAAAAAAATGAATTTCAATAATTGAACATTCTTTTTTCGGCCCAATAGACATTTTAACAATAGAATAGAGATTTCGAGTCATAATTTCAAAAGAAAAAAAAAATAAAAATATTTACAAAATAAGCATAAAAACATACAAATAAATAAATAGAATTATATTCTACACTACCTACTATTAAACTCTGAACATTAACCGTATAGTACAATAATTAATTGCTTCTCGTGATTTTTTGATAAAAAAAACAAAAAATGTTCAAAGTGTGTTTTGAACAACGACAAATTCAGTTATAATAATAATTATTCAAACATCAATAAAGCACAGTTTTGCTAATTATACTGATTACAATATTGAAAAAAATAATAATGAATGTTTTTGCTCCTAGTTAAAAAAATCGTGCAAATTAGTTTTTTAAAAAAAAACAGAATTATTTCCGTATATTTAAAATAGCTGTAAATAAAGATCAGAATGCGTGCAATAAAATTATAATTTATCGAGCTTTTTACTCTATATGTAAATATTTAAAGAAAAAACTACAGTTTCCATTAAAAAAAATCATTGTAGAGATGTGATTGCGTAGACAATTTTATAAATTTTAAAATATTGTTCATCATTTTATTCGTAAATGAAAAAAAAACTACTGTAAGAATGTAAATAAAAAAAAAATAATAATGATTGAATAAAAACTTGAAATCAGTTTTTATTTGAGTCAAAAAACTTTCTTCTAGATTCCTTATAGAATTAAATTGCTTTATTATTAATTTATTTTTCTATTTATTTTATCTATTTTTTCTTATTTTCTTATTTTATTAATTTTGTTGATTTTTATTCTTAATTTTAATTTTTAATTTTTCTTTAGTATTTTATTTATTTTTATTTTATTTCATTGGCCTTTTTTATTATTTTATTATTTTAATATTTAATTATTTTTTACTTTTTTTGCGTTATTAGGTATTTTATTTTATTACCTATTTTACAAATTTTTATTTCTTATTTTACTGAATTGTTTTGATTTTATTATAATTTTTATCGTATGTACACAATTAAGTTAAAAACTTTTATTTCCATTTTTTTCGTAATTAAAAATTTTTCTTTAAATTTCCAGAATTATTTAAATTAACAACTATTTTTTCAGGTGAATAAGAAGGAGACAATTTTTAAGATGATATAGATATATTTTAAAAACAAAAATAGAGTACACAGCTATACAACATCATAAATGCGTGATTATTTTGAAATATTTTTTTCCCCGCTAATGGAGTCTTATTCTCCATTTATGATTTAGTTTTTACGAAACTTTTTTTTAAACACTTCTTGAAAAAATTGCATTGCATTTACATTCATTTTTTTTATTTTTGAAAGCAGACCTGTTGAGTAAAGAAATTTTGCACATTACATTTTTTACTGCTTTTTTTAAAAAACATTTCACAGAATTTTTTTTTTCATGTCAATTTTTCTGGGATTTTTTCATTACATATTTAAATAATTTGTTACTTATCGATTTTTTGTTTTTCTTTTTAAGTATTTTTGTTTCTTTTTCTTTTTAAGTTTTTCTTTTTTTCTAGTTTTGCTAGTCAATTTTTTTTTTCATTTTTATTCGTACTTGGAAATAGTTTCTGTAAAATGTTTCTTTCTTATATGAAGATATTAAAAATAATGCCATAGGGATTTGAATGAATTTTTCCATTTTTAAAATTTTGTTATTGTACATATGAGATTGTAATTTTTTTTTAGTGTCCGTAGAAATAATTTTTTTAACGCCATTTTTGTATGAAAGATCTACATCTATAAAAAGCATATTTATCATCTAGAGTTCACAGCATCTTATTATAATATATAAATTTAAATTAATTCATAAAATTCCATTTGTTATTTAGTAATATTGACTTTGGTTATTTGCTCCATTTTTTAAGTCTTCCAAAAATCCATTGTTAATTCAGAAAAACACTTTCAATCATATAGGTATTTTTGACTAGAAACAGTTTATTTTTCTTTTTTGTCAATTTAGTAATTATTGATAAGATAATTCTCAGTGGATTCAGTGAAACAATGAGAATAAGAGATTGAAATAATGACCGTTTACCAAAATGTTTCTTGAAAGAAAAAAAAAAAATAAAATCTAGGTCAATGATTGAGAGGGAATTGAATACACAATGAATGTTCTTGCATCGATTCACTATATTCAATTATTCTGTACCTTTCTTCTGAATTGCTAGTAGTCGGATTTTCTTTTCAGGAGCATAATACCGAATTTTTTATTTTTTTTAATAATAGATAGTCTCTTTTCTGATTCCACCCACATTCAACCTGCGCTTTTCATAAAGGACAATCCTATCCTCTTGCTTTCATTTTTTTTATTTACATACATTAGATTTTAACACACGTATAACGAAAAAAGTTATATTGCCATATCAGTCATTGCTTCATTAATGAATTTTTAATTTTTTTTTATTGTCTTGGTGCATAATTATAGATTATTTTTTCTAGACACAAGAACAATTTTTATCGCAACATTATTTTTTTTTTGTCGCAATTTATCGCAAACTTATAAACTCATTAATTATAATAAATTAATTAACGCTTCAGAGCATCTTGAAATAAATTCAGAGGAAAAAAAAATTATTTTTTGAATTTGGATTTCATAATTTTTTAGTCTCATTTTTAATTAAAAAAAAATTAATAATAGTTATAATGGGAAATATTTACAGGAAAAAAAATTTTTTAAAAATTCAATTAAGTTCTTTAGTGTTTTTTGATTCAAAATGAAAAATTTCTTTCTTTCGTTTCAAACTGTTCGTTTCCGTTATTAGTTTTCTTTTAAAATTCCGTATTCTATTCCCTGTTTGTCCTTAATAGTGATTCAAAATCTACCGAAGCACTTAATGAATACAAGATTTACACACGACAGTATTTTATTTTTTTTTATTTTTATATATAAAGAATTCAGAATGCTTCCCCCGAAATATCAATAATATATCTTAATTATTATTTTTCATCATCGCACTAATTTATTGTTTATTTAATATTAATTATTGTCAATATTTCAGCTTACTGTATACTATATATATTTTTTCTTCTGTATTTTTTGAATGTGTAAAGTAGAAAAAAAATCGATTATTTAAATGAAAAAGAATTTTAATATTAAAAAAATCGAAACAATTATAAATTAAAAATAAAAAAAGGTAAAAAAAAGAAAAATAAGAAAAGAAAAAAACAGTAAAAAAGAAAAAGAAAATTTCAATGAAGTCCTTTAGTGTTTTTTTATTTCTTTTTTTCCCTAAAGAAAAAGGAAACTAAAAAGTAAAGTTTAAATATTCAAAAATTTTGTTTTTCTAAATAATAAAAAATGCAATGGTATTTAAAGCGCAATAAGGTTTTAATTTCGCACGCAATTGATGCCCGGATATGAAAACAGACGTACATCAGTATTAGATCAACGGCTAAAAATAATATCTCTGCTGAAAATTGTCCAAGGAACCTATAAGTCTGCGAATCTGCGAAATTCGAATATTTACATTCTAAATCAATTTCAAATTTTCATCTATTATTAATTCAATTATCAAGATTTATAATCAAAAAAATTTTTTTTCATTCCAAGGAAAATTTTTAAGCAGAAATTTCTTTTTTCCCTTTTTTTTTTGTTCTAAAACCATCATGTCAGCTATTATTTTGTCTCAAACGTGTGACAGTCTTTGCAGTTTGAATTTTTAATTAAAAGAAAAATCCTATCTGATCCATTTGTTGAAAAAAAAGAAAAAAAAAACTATGAAAAAATGTAAGTAGAAAAAATTAGATTTTTGTCATACTTTTTTTTTGGTTTCTTGTGAATTAAAAAGAAAAACAATATTTATAGAGATTGTGATAAATATTTTTGGAGGATTTTTTCCTTTTTTCTTTTTCTATTTTGTGTTCTGTTAAAAAAATATACTTCGTTCGAGATAAAAATCACAATTTGTTATTTTTTTTTGTACTATTAAAGAGCTCATTCCTGATATTATAATATTTATCCTGTCGTTGAGAAATTACATTTTTATTCGGCAAACGAAAAATTATTTATTTTTAAAAATTATAATAATTTCTTATTATTATAATTTTTAAGAATAAATAATTTAATAATAAATAATAAAAGAATTTAAACATCTTTTATTTATATAATTTGTGACTGCCAAAAATATTTAATTAATAATAATAAAAATAAAAATAATAATATTGGTATTAATAATAAAAATACTAATAATAATAATGGATAAATATTCTCTAGACAATTATTTTTACAACAATTATATACATCACGAATGCAGAAAAAAATTATTATTTTTCCTTTTAGTAAAATATTTATAAATAAAAAAAAAAAAATGTAAATACAAAAAAAGTGCATTTTTTGAAAATCGAAGTACTTTTTTCGAAAAATATTCGAAATTCGTAAAATATAAACAGAAGAGAAAAGAAAAATAACTAAAAATTATAGTTAAGTACTTTTTTAGAAGTTGAAAAATATAAACGGAAGAGAAAAGAATAATAATAATCAAAAATTATAATCATATAAAGCGTTCTCTCTCTCGCTCCGCACGTTGATTAGGTAATTAGGTAAATTTACATTATTAATCACCTTGTGAAATAATTATTAACATTATCTTTTGTTTGCTTAAGATGTAAGTTGACACACACAATTTACGTTAATAGGCCATATGTAATTAACCGGAATCCCGTTACAAACTGAGTGGCACTACAACGGTTTTGAATATAATTATGATCGAACACGTTTACGTTGGATATTATTCATGTCTTCTGTATAGTATGTGTGTAGATGTAGTACGCAAATATTTGCTGCATAAATTGGTAAGTGACTTATACAAAAATTATTTCTTTTTTTTCCCCCATTTATATAGATTATAGCATTATTTATTTATTTACTTATTTACTTTGTTAATTGTGTGTGTATATGTTCAAGTATATTTTGTATATTCATAATTATTATTACAAATCTTCGCACGAAGATTATTTATTTAGAGACAAAAAAATATTCTATATCATTTTTATTTTTTACATTATGAAGAAAAATATACCCTGCAGTCTTCCTTCTTTTATCGTTTTTCTGAATTTTTTTCCTTTTTTTCAAAAATCATGATGATAAATTCGATAAATTAACAAAAATATGTAAGATTCAATAAAAGAGCATTTAGATTTTCATAAAAATGCAACTACTTTTTTTTCAATACTTAAACTATCGATCGCTTTCTAAGTCTATTTTCTATATCTATTATTTCAGTTTCGAAATCAAGACGGTAAATTAAAAAAAAAAAATTGTACTGACTAACAAAGTCAGTTAATTCTGAAAACAATCAATTGACTAGATTGATGACGACTATTAAATTATTGTGACGAAAAAACGTATGAGAGCCTCAAGAAATTTCATTAAGAATCCTGGCACTTTAAGAACGGAGGACATGATTAATAGATTGCATTTTTTTTTCTCCAAAAAATCTTTAAAATGTGAACATTTAATATTCAATATTTCGTTTAGACGAAAACGTGAGTGAGATGTATCTATGCGATTATAATTTATTATAATAATGATCGAATAATTCGTTACTTCAGACAGTATCTTATCTAGTGCAGTAATAATAAGATAATAATAATATAATAATAAAAATAATAATATAACACATATAATGACGTTTACTCTCTATGCGTGATGCGTGAGTTCTCATAATATTTGCATCAATAATTATATATATTTTTTAATTTAATCAGGCTTAATCATCGATAACAATTTATATATAATATGTTAATCGATATTATTGTCCGACACATTTAAACTTGAAATACGTACACGAAAATTAATAATAATTAATAACAATTATAATAATGATCCATCAGTGATCATCTCGCATCTATTTAATTATTATTGTCGTCAGGATATTTTCGATCAAAAAATTATCTAAAAGAAAACTAAACTCTCTCAATGAAGTAATTAAATAATTAGTAAACAAAATCATTTAATAATTAAATAATTTTTCACTTTCCAGTGAATTAAACTTTCCAGTAAATTATTTTCAGGAAAATATCAAAGAATTGGTTCTTAAATTCTTAATTGTTATTTAAATTAAATTTTTCTTTGGACTTTTGTGATATATTTACGATGCAAGTAAATCGCTTTCGGTTTGTAAATCGTAATAACAAGAAGATCCTCTATATCGAACATGGCGCTTAAAATTAATTAATTGAAAATTCCTATAGAAGAAGGTACATTCAGCATTTTTTTTTTTTTATTTATTATTTTTCTTATACTGGTGACGAAATTTAAGTCACTTGTATTCCTAGAAAATTATTATTTATCGTAATTAAGTACATTTTTTTTTTCCTTTTCTTTTTCTTATTTTTTGAAAACCTATCAATTATTTTTTTTTTAAGGAGAACTTTTCGTCAGCTGTAACTTTTTAATTTTTCTATTCTTTTGTGAAAGAAAAAAATAACAAGGGCTTTTAATTTGAAATTGTCATCGTGTTTATAAATTACATAGGAAAATTAATTCGACTTTTTGTAACTAATAAAAATAAACAATCGCTTCTGAATATTAAAGATAATAATTAATTCCGTTGGAACTAAAAAATAAAAATAGAATTAAACAAAGAATTGAATTGAATTAAATAAATATTAAATAATGAACAAAATAGAATAAAATTAAATAAAGAATTAAATTAAATAAAGTAATAAAAAAAAATAAATTGAAGAAAACGCTAATAAAATCAGAAAAAAAGCAATGTATAGGTATAAATTAATTCGAGATAAAAATATACGTGGTACAAAAAACGGATAAAAAAGGAAAGAGACAATAAAAATAAAAAAATTCAGTAAAATATAAGTAACGAAAGAATGCAAAAACAATACGAGAAGAAATCAATAAAATATACAAAAAGATAACAAAACTTAACAAAGCAAAAAAAACAAAATTTACAGAAAAAATATATACAAAAGAAATAAAATCTATAAAAAATAGGACGCGATAAAATGATATAAAAAATAAATTTAAAAAAAGGAATTAAAACCCTTTTATATTTTTCATCTCTCGATTCAAATCATTCTGCAATCGACGTCTAAATGCAAAAAAAAGAAAAGAAAAAAATTCGACGACACACGCCTTTTGATATATAAGATTTCTGATTGCAGAATGTAATAATTTTCGCAGAAATTTAACTTACATTTTATTTATATATGTATAGTATTTATAAGTATACGTTAATCACGCGCATAAGCTTTTACTAATAAATATAATATTGTCGACAGTATACACATTTTATAATAAAAATTATTGTCTCGCGTAAAATTCAGTTTATTATGACACCTACGATGTGTATATCGCATTAATAATAATATTATTAATAATAATAATAATATTCTGATTGACTCATCAATAAAATGTGCCTCTAGAGGTTCGTAATAGATAAAAAAGAATATGTCTCATTATTTGAGACACTTATTGTCAATTCAAGTTTGAGAGTAAATCAAATGAAAGTTTTTTTTTCTCCTTTAAATTCACTAATAAAAGTATTTTTCTAAATTATAATTATTTAAATTATTTATTGATATGAATCAATTTGATATGATTGGGAATAATTCTTTGTCTTCAAAATATTTTTGAAAAAAATTTAATTTTTAATTTTAATTATTACCATTTTGAATAGAGTTTTAGAGATATTAATAAATATTCCAAGCCAGGAAATACTTTTTTAATTTACCATTTTTTCCATTTTAGAAAAAAAAATCAATTTACACTTCCGGTACATTTGGGATTCAGTTAACTTTTTAATTGGAAAATATTTCTATATATATTGAAAACTGAATATGTATCTTTAAATAAATGAAAATAAATAAATATTGAAAAAATATTTTTTTGGAAAGTTTTGAATACAATTTTTAATTACTTTTTACTTGAAAGGCTATTGAAAATGAAAAATACATACATTTCTCGTTATTCGGAAAATTTTATTAATTTGCCCTAATTCTGTGAATAAAGAACAATTATTTATTTTCTGTAAAATACATGATTTTATAATTCAGAGAGAAAAAAATTACCAATTATCCAAATTATCGAGGCTTGGAAAATTTCTTTAAACCAAATTTTGATTTTTTCATTATCAAAATGGTAATAATTTTAATTTCCAAAAAAACATAAAGTACAATTTTCCTTCTTTTAAAATATTTGTAAAGAAAATTTCATTTTGGAAAAAATACAAAAGTTTTTTTTCCCTATTCCTCGCAAGAAAGAAGAAATTTTTGTTGCGACGATAGAAAATTATTTTTTAGTCTAGAATAAAAAAATATATCAATTGAAATTAAAATCATTGACAATTTTCTCTCTTGAAACTTTTCTCTAAACGAAGAATTTGCACTTCAAAAATTATTTTTGAAAGGGCAAATTAAAAGTTTTTTGTTTTTCTCTGTCAATCTTTGTCCAGCAATATTCGCATTTATCTGAACTTTTCTTCTATTAAAATAGTTTTTGCAGACTTGAAGGCGGTATGTAATTTTTTTTTCTTCTAAATACTCACAATTATTTTGAATTTCTCTTCTCTTCCTCTTCCTAAACACAAGTGTTTCCTTTTTTTTTTTTGTTCCTTAGTAAATTGATAATACTCGCCAAGTTGGTTGAATAGAGCGCGATTTTTCAGTGGTCGAGGCCAATATCGTCTTTTTCTGGCTGATTGGAGAAAAACGCTTGATTAGTTTCTAGCAATATTATATAAAGCCAGCGTTTTATTTTTTTTTTTCTTTGTAGACTGACTTCGATTTTAACGCAACATATATTCTCGATCATATTGATCGTCTTTCTGTAATGAAAGTTCAAAGCGTGTAAGACAATTCAATTTAATATGTCATTGATAAGATACATTTGTGCTTGCATCTCTCAAGGACGATATCCATATAAACTACAATCTTAATATTCAATCTTCAATCCAACTTTATCACAATGAAGTTTTTTTTTGCTATTTTAGAAAAATAAAAAAATTTTTTTTTCTCATTGAAAAAAAATCTCTTTTAGAAAAAAAGAAGAGAGAAATTTTACAAAATGGAAAAGTTACGAATATTTGTTATGTAAAAATATTAAATTAGTTTTGTCGGGAAAAAAAAAATGATGAAGTGTTAGGTAATGTAAATATAAAAGTGTAAAAATAGACAAAAACTTACTAGAAGTGTCTCTCCGAGATTAACGTCGGAAACATATTGAGATGGATGTAAGTCGTAATTGACGTTTTTCGTGCCCTCGTAAGGATATAAGAAATTTTCGTCCTGTTGTCGGTCGCCAATTGTTCGTTCCTTGAAAACTGCTGCTCGCGCTGCTATTTCTTCAGCTCGACGTTGCTCCTGAAAAATGGAGAAAAAAAACCTATTATATTGTCAGAACTGACATGCTCAAGAGCGATAAAATCACTGATGCTTTTGTAATATAAATTAGCAACCCTCTTTCTTCATTTTGGCCCTCGTCTGACAGCTGTTACTTCAACTTTTTTCCTCTTTTTTTTTCTTATGACAATCATTGGATTTTTTATACAAACACATTCTTTGTTTCAGAAGAAATACTGATCATAAAATTACATGTTCGTTCCTCTTGCTTTTTATAAAAGAAATAAATTGTTTTAAATTTTAAATAATAAAAATGTGTGTAAAGATTTTTTTTGGATTGATTAATAAATGGGAATTCGATAAAATACTTGAAAGGAATGAAAAAAAATGTCTAAAGCCCGGGATTTAGTGAAGGGAATGGATTTGAATAGGGAAGAAAAAAGGTTGCTACTAACTTGTAGTTCTCGTGCACGTTCCGTTAGTATTAGTTCCTTTAGGTGTTGAAAGCTTCCTGACTGAGGCACATTTCCCGATTGTGGAACAACCATTCCGCCACCGATTCTGTAGGTGTATACACGCTGTGAAGTAGGTGGTTGACGATTTACTGTTCCATACGTCTTTGTCAATTCTTCGAAAGCTTTTGCTTTCGACATACCATTTCTTAGTCGACCATTGGAAGGGGCTTTATGAATCACTTTTCCATAAATTGGAACTCCACCAGATCTAGTTCGCGCTGGCTCGTTATGATTTTCTAATAACAATTTTAATTCGATAAGAATATAATTTCAATTCGACAGGAAAATTTCAATTGAATAAAAATAATTTCAATTTGAAGAATATACTTTTAATTTGACAAAAACAATTTCAATTCAATAAATACAAATTCAATTCAACAAAAACAATTTCAAATCATCATTAAAAATAATTTAAATTTGAAGAAAACAATTTCAATTCAATAAAAGTCATTTTAATTTGACGAAAATAATTTCAATTCCTTAAAAATAATTTCAATTCGACGAAAACAATTTTCCAATTCAATAAAATTAATTTCAATTTGACAAAAAAAAATCTATTCAATAAAAATAATTTTAACTCCACTAAAACAATTCCAATTCATCGAAAAAAATTCAATTCATTTGAAAATCATTTCAATTCAATAAAAATAATTTTAATTCAATAAACATAATGTCGATTCAACAAAAACAATTTCAATAATAGATAAAATTGCTCATAAAATTAATTACAAGTATTATTTTTTTGTCATGTCAAAAGTTTGACAATTACTTTGTAAATAGAGTGATTAGTGTTTTAGTGAAATATTAATTTCTCTAGAATTTTGACAATAAAAGAATTTTCACAGAGCAGTAAACTAAGGAAATTTTATCCAAACTATTCAAAAAATTTCACATTATCGACATTGCTCAATAGTCTATGAATTTTCTTTTTCAAATTAAAAAAAATCCATAAGTAAAGTTACAGTTGCAATTTTTAGAAATAATCAAATATTTTTTTCTGTATCTAAATAATTGAATTCTCGTACAACTTTTTGATAACAATTGATTTGAAAAAAAATTTGGGATAAAATTTTAGAAAATATTTGAAGAATTGGAAGAATTGCAGTTCTAATTTTTAGAAATAATTAAATTTCAAAACGTTTTCCATTGGAAGCATTTTGAAATTTTAATTCCTGACGGACAAATAAAATAACAATAAGTATTCAAATAATTATTAAACAAGAATTAATGAAATTTGAAAAATTTTGTTAGAAATTCTGAAAAAATGAGATTTTAAAAAAATAGTAATTACAATTTTTTGAAAATAGTTGAATTCCCGAAAATAATTTTAAAAAATTGGAAAAATAGAAATTTTTCTCAAATTTCATTTAAATAAATTTTATATTTCAAACAATTTTATTTTCTCACTTTAAAAAATTATTTTTAAGCATTTTTTGAAGAATTGTAACTAAAAATTTGGAGAATAATTTAATTTTACAAGTTTTGTATTTAGATAATTCAATTATCGTTGAATTCTAATAAGTATTGACTTAAAAAAGAATTTCAGTTAAAATTTCAGAAAATATTCGAAAAATTGGAAGAATTGCAGTTCTAATTTTTAAAAATAATTAAATTTCAAAAAGTTTTGCATTGAAAATATTTTGAAATTTTAATTCCTGGCGGACAAATTAATAGCAATAAGTATTTCAATATTTATTAAACAAAAATTGATGAAATTTGAAAAATTTTATTCAGAAATTCTGAAAAAAATTAGATTTTCAAAAAATAGTAATTACAATTTTTTGAAAATAGTTAAATTCCCGAAAATAATTTTAAAATAATTGGAAAAATAGGAATTTTTCTCAAAATTCATTTGAATAAATTTTATATTTCAAACAATTTTATTTTCTCACTTTAAAAAATTATTTTTAAGTATTTTTTGAATACCTCAAGGTATTTTTTAAAAATCATTTTTTTTTTGAATAATTTTATTTAAAAATTCTGAAAAATAATTGACTTTTGAAAAAATTGCAGTTGTAATTTTTAGAAATAATTAAATTTTAAAATGTTTTACATTTAAATTATTTGAAATTTTTAAAAATTTTATTGAAAATTATTGAAAAATAAGTGTTTAAATATTTGTTTAACAAAAATTATTGAACTTTTGAATAATTTAATGTAGAAGGTCAAAAAAAAATTAGGTTTTTGAAAAATTGTAATTAAAATTGTTTTGAAGATAACTGAATTCCTGAAGATAATTATAAAAATTGAAACAATTAAAAGTTTTATCAAATTTCATTGAAATAAATTTTATTTGAATTTATTTTAATTATTGAATTGAATTTATTTGAACTTAGTTGAAAGTATTTTGTATAATAATAATTATAATAATAATTGTATTAATACTAAATAATTTGAAAGTAATTTATTAGAAAGAATTTAATTTTATCAAAATTTTAAAAATTGTCTTGAAATATAATCGTATTTTTGAAGAATTAATTTCAAAAAATTATATATTTAAAAAATAAATTTTCATTAAATTTCAAACAGAAATTTTTTACAACTAACAACGGGCTAGAAAATTTTGCTCGCGTGTAGTTTTCGCTAGTTTAAATTAATTGAAAGTATTTTTTCTCCCTTTTATTTTTTTCTCCTTTTTAAGAATATCGGTAAGGAAAAAAAAATAGAAAAATTATATAGGAAATTTTGTTTTCACGAAGACAGTGACGAAAAAAAAAGTTATTTGAATGAAATTACCTCGATAGCCGTGCCATGAATGTGAACGACTTGGATAACTCTCCCACATGTTATAAGAAAATGGATCGCGATACATAGGCAAATCATTGGTCGCCTCTGCGGCTCTACTTTGTCGCTTGCTGTATCTCCACATGGCCCTTAATTCTTCGCATGTTGGTTCTGTTATGTGGGCACGCTTCTCACTGTAACCAATTTCACTGAACCCTGTCCTTTGAGATGACAAAGGGTTAATATAATGTGCCTGGTCTCCAACTGCCAGCACTCTGCTCGAATATACCAATATGATAGTCATCCATACAGCTACTATTTGCATTTTCTGTGAAATTCCACAAAATAACAATTAATCAATTTCTCCCAAAAAATTAAATATTCCGAAAACAAAAAAGAAATCAAATTGAAATCTTATCTTTTCATTGTTCGAGATTTTTTCTTTTTTTGCATTGAAATATATTTGTGAGAGGGAAAAATAAAAATTCTAAATTGAAAATTACATTTTAAACAATACAAAATCAGTGAAAACAAATCCTTTCAATTTTGAACACTGGGACTTAAACTACTTTGTTAATTGTTGAGCTTCATTGATGATTTAATCCGATAAAGCTTCATTGTTCCACACTTTCTAAATGCATGACCTGCTTTTCGCACATTAATTTCTGCATTACACTTGCCCGATTTATGAAAATAATGATAATATTCTACAATAATAACATTTTGTCCAATTTGAATTCAACGAGTTGTAATATTATTATACATTACCAATAAATTTCAGTCTTCTTCGGTCCAAATGATTGATTTGATTGATTTATATATCGTTGACGATATGTTGTAAGATATGTAACGTGCTTGTAAAATCTCTGCAAATAAAAAAAAACAATCATATTGTTATTAATTTATAAATAATTAAATATATTGTAAATATTGGAAATAATAAAAAGGGATTTTTTAGTATTATTTTCAAATTAGAAAGGTGAAATTTTCAATGAAATTTTGATTTAGGAAAATTTAGAAGCTGATGATTTCGGCACATACAACCTGTGGTGTGAAATTTACGATTTAATTATATTGTTGTTTTAGGAACAAGGTATGTCGTACATTCTCCAAACATAATTAACGAACTAACACATTCAACCAACTAACTAGAAACAATAGATTGAATTAATTAATGATTAAAGGACGGTCAAGTGTCCCTCAAAAATTACACACCGTTTAGATTGTAAAGCGGAAAATCGAATATATTTTCTTTACACTTGAACTGTTGAAATAAATTTAAATATTCGACAATTAAAGCCAACATTTTTTTTCCTTCCTTTAGTTAAAAATTAAAAACTTCATTCAAAAGTTTCAATAAGTCAGCAAATAATTTCAGGAATCACTAAAAATCTAACTAGAAACTACAGAAAAAAAAAGAAAAATACTTCATTTTTTAGGAGAATGTAATAATAAATAATAAACAAATAATAAATGAATAAATAAATAATACATGAAGATTTATTAAATGGTAACTTAAAATTGAATTGAAAAGAAAAGTTTAAAAAAGAAAAATTTATAACTGAAAAAATTGTAAAAAATGCGGGGAAAAAAAATAGAAAGTTTCTCTGTAATTAAACGAAAAAAAATGTAAATTTAACGAGACCAACGATGCCTGTAAATGGGAAATATTTAACGAGGAGTCGAAGAATGATAAAGTAATAATGTCACTACTGGCGGTATCGTACTGCAATTAACCGGCTCTTTTAGAGGGTGAAGACTTGACGCGAGTAAATATTTGAACTCTCTTCTCTTCCGGGTACCAGGAGAGAGTGCTGAAGACTGATAAAGCTATTGTTAGAGAGAACTAAAATAATGAAGAAAATTTCCGACATATTACAAATTTTTTTTTCAACCCCTCAATCAACTGATAATTTAAATTCTATGAAAACATTATACTTAGTGATCAACATGAAATGAAGACATTTTCTTACAGCGGCAAACAAATTCAATTTTTATTTCCATAATTTTGATTTAATTGGTAAACTTTTTGAAAATTTTTAAAAATATTATTATTGTTAAAAAAATGTAATAATTTTTGTGACTATTATAATTTTAAATCTGAAATTAAATTCTAGCATAGAATTTTATTAAAATTTTTGAAAATAATTGAATCGATTCGAAGAATTTGAATAAAAATTTTGAAAATGCAATTCATTCGGGAAAATTAATTAAAACAGTTTAAAAATAATAAAAAATCTAGCTAAGAATTTTATTATTTATGAAAATAATTTAATTCCTAATTGGATAGAATTTTATTAAAAGTTTTTGGAAATAATTGAATTCTTGAGATTCATTTTACTAAAAGTTTCTAAAAATAATTGAATTGTTTCGAAGATTAATGTTAAAATATTTTTAATTAATTGATTTCTTTCGAGTAATTTTATTAAAATTGTAATAAAAATAGTAATTGAATTCTTATGACCAATTTTATCAAAATTTTTGAAAATAATTGAATTCTTATGAACAATTTTATTGAAATTTTTGAAAAGAATTGAATTTTAAGAAGAATTTTATTAAAATTTTAAGAAATAATAGAATTTTTTCGAGTATTTTTATTAAAATTGTATTAAAAATAGTAATTGAATTCTTATGACCAATTTTATCAAAATTTTTGAAAATAATTGAATTTTAGGAAGAATTTTATTATAATTTTGAAAAATGTAATAATTCCTTCGTGTAATTTTATTAAAATTGTATTAAAAATAGAAATTGAATTCTTATCAACAATTTCATCGAAATTTTTGAAAATAATTGAATTTTAAGAAGAATTTTATTATAATTTAAGACAATAATTGAATTCTTATGAAACAATTTTATCAAAAATTTTTTTAAAACATTGAATTTTAAGAAATATTTTTATAAAATTATGTTGAAAAATTTTATTATTTATAAATATAATTGAACTTTTGAGGAGAATTTTATCAAAAATTTTTGAAAATAAAATAATAAATAATTAGTTAATAAATGATTTTCTTAAATTTTGAATAGTTGTTAAAAAATTGAAGTTAATATTTGAAAATAAAAAATTTCGTATTACTAATAATATAATAGTCGAAAATTATAACAAGAAAATCCAAAAACTACAGATTTTCATAAAATAGAAACAATTACTCGAGGAAACTTTCATAAAATAATAAGGGAAGATTTAACATTTTCAAACTTTCAATTTAGCAAACTAAAGCAATTAAGAACTATGCAATTGAAACTAAAATAATTCCCCCTTCAAACAGATTTCATTTAGATCATGATTGAGGAAATCTGTGAAATCTAAGAATAAATTTCCTATCGAAGAAAAAACTAATTTCGTAAATTTTTCTTCCAAAGTAAAAAAGAAAAGCTAATTAGTAAATCAATTTTGGTAAATTAGTGTATTTTTATAAAACTAAATGTCAAAAAAGTTTTATAAATTTTAATAAAGAAGAAAGAAAGAAAGAGAGAGAGAGACAGAAAAAAGTTTCAAGCATATTCTGATGTTGACAGTCGAGTTTCCTTTCTCTTTACAATTCTAAATTATCGATTCCTATAAAGTAAAGTTTCTGCCATGCTTGAAAAAAAAATTTCCCTGACCTGCGGTTCAGAAACTATTATCTCCTTTTTTTCCATTTCTCTCCACTCACAGAGAAGTAATTAAACTCTTTGAGGACAATATGAAAGATTAAATTCAAGAAAAATTTTTCGGTCTAAATGAGAATTTTCAACTGATTTCTTATTCGACTGCGAGTTTGAATCTAGAAAAAAAGAAAAAGGCAAATTAGAAAAGAAGAAAAAAACAAATTTATACAATTTTTTGAAAACTACAAGTTAACTTTTCATATACAAACTCAATGGACTGGCGATAAATATTTGCAAAATTAAAATTCATGAGGACATATTGCATAATTTCTTGCATACAAATTGGAAGTAGGAAGCATTAGTTTCGAAACTTATGCATAATTTACTGTCTGGAAGTAATTCAACTAAACAGAATTCAAGTTAAGGGATGAAAGCGCATCCAATCGTAAAACATCATTAGCAAAGCTGTTATTTCGAAACCTCCGAGTACCTTATAATCCAAATACCATTAACCCTGACTTTATAACTACTATATAACTTTTAATATTTACTATAAAAAAGCTATTTTACTATTACTAGTAAAAATAAACATCAAAAATGTCTAAAAATAAAATTTTTACTTTTTTCCAGCCAAAGAAGGAATAATATATTCTTTCCGCATTAAAAAGGAAAATTAATTTTTACTTCTCACTGATAAAACGGACAATTTATTTTTACTTCTTTCTATTATTAATAATAAAAATGGAAATATTTTCTCCTCGTGTGAATTTAGGACTTTTTCATTTTTTCACAGCATAAATTGTCATGTCAGAAGTTCGACAATTAATTTATAAATTTGAAATTAATTTTATATTTGAAAGAATTTAATTTTATTACACTTTTAAAATTTCTTTTGAAATATAATCGTATTTTTTAAAGAATTGTATAATTAATAATTTATTAACGAATTATTGTATCAAATACAGTAATATCCAAAATTATAATTGAAAAAAATTAATCTAATTTTATATAAAAATGAAATTTCACAAGAGAAATGGCATTTCTGCCATATGCCCACATTTGTGAATGGAAACTTGATTATAAATAGATGATATTGTTTCCATAGTTGATAAAGCTCTGATAAAGCAATTTCAAAAGAAATTAGCATTTCTACGCGGCAAATGAATTCAAGGCAAATATTATCAGGCAAATGGTAGATTTGCATTTATGGAAAAAGCTTCAATAAATTGTCTTTTAATTCGTTCACAAAGAAAATTCTCATTGTTTAATGAAATCCTTTTTTCTCAACATTTTATTTCCCCGGACGAAACAGAGAAAAAAAAAGAGTCTAAAGCAATCAACATGAAAGAGAAATAAAGAATTAATTTAATTCTATCAGTTAAATAAATAAATTTTAAATGCAAAAGTCAAGTGATTACAAAACTTGATTGAAATGAAAATAAAAAGAAAAATGACTTTTTCTGTTAATGAGACAATTTCTCTATATATACCTATCTGATAAAAAGAGGAGGCAAAGAAAAAGAATTTTCCAACTTGATAAGGGAGTTAAAAGGCACAGATAAAGGAACTTGGAATGAACAGAAAATTACGTTCAAGTAGTCAATTAAGTGGAAAACTCCAGTGACAGGGGATGGACAGGAAATGAAAAAGCTCAAATGAGACGGACGTTTATAAAGTACTGAGAGAATATATTTATCAGACTTCTCCTTTGGTAAACTTTAATTTTCAGAAAATAATTAAGTGTAACCTCAACAATAATTTATCTTTCGAAAGATCTAGAAATTCATTAACTTCGACAAAACGATCATCATTTTTTTTTTATTTTTAAAAAAAATAATTTTCATCAAACTTTTCATAACTTCATTAAACTTTCTCGTTCAAAGGAAGTGTAAATTACTTATCTGAACTTAAATTATTGTCTGTAATTTTTATTAGTACATGAAAAATTAAAAAAAGGATTTCAATTAACAAATAAAAAACTATCCAACGAAAAAGTATTTTAATAATAAAAATACTTCAAAAGAATAAATAATTATCCGTTTCTTGAATTTATTAATTATTATTCTTCAGTTATTCTTATAAAAATTCATACATCAAAATATAAATTCAAATTTAATTTTAGTTTGAAAAATTAAAAAAATCCACAAATTTTCGATACTTCAGTGTAATACAGTCCTATCTTCTGGTAATATTTTGTATAGTCCTATCTTCAGGTGATACTTTGTATCGTGCTGTCAAAAAGTAGGGTTAATGTATTAGCTGTTTTCTAAATGCATTTAAGTGGTTAAATTTTATTAATTCACACTAAATTTTTATATATTATGATAAAAAGTATCTCTTAAAATATAAAAAAATTATTGTTTCGAATGTAATCAATATTTTAAGTACCGTAATTTATTTTTTTTATTCACACCAAAATCTGTCAAATAAGAGATAGCACGGTACAAAACATCACCTCGAGATGGGACAGTTTAAAGTATTACCAGAAGATAGGATTGTATCACACTGAGGTATCGAAATTAATTAATTAACTAATTATTTTTAATTTACTATTTTTTAAAATTTTAATGAAATTCTTCGGGAGAATTCAATTACATTTATAAATAACAAAATAGTTCACGAAGGAATTCAATTATTTTCAATTCAATTTAAATAAAGAAAAAATTAAATTATTTCTTCTGAGAAATTCAATTAATTGCAAAAATTGTATAATAAAATTTCTTGAAACAATTAAATTATTATCATAAATAATAAAATTCTTCAAAGTATTTCAATTATTTTTCATACGATTTTAATTAATTTTCTCGAATGAATTAAAATTTTAATAAAAATATTCCAATCAATTCGAATGATTTCAAACATTATGCTACAAAATTTATGGAAAGAATAAAATTATTTTCGTAAAAAAATAAAATTTTTCTCAAAGAATTCTATTATTGACAGAAATTTTATTAAAAATCTTGGAAACAATTCAATTTACGCAGGAATTCAATTGTTACTTATAAATAATAAGATTCTTTTCCAAAATTCAATTCAATTAATGCAAGAATTCAATTATTTTTCTAAATATAAAAATTCTCTAGAATTGAATTTTTCAATAATTTCCAATTCGAAATTAAAAAAAAATTCACTTATTTACTAATTATCTATAATTATTATTATTTTCAATAATTTTAATAACTTTCTTTGGTAAAATTTAATTATTTTTCAAAATTTTTAATAAATTTCCACGAAATAATTTTATTTATTTTCAAAAATTTTATTGAAATTATTCTTCAAAATAATTTTAATAAAAATTCTTTTCAAACAATTCAAATAATTTTAAAAATTATAATAAAATTTATCAAAAAGAATTCAATTATTTTCGTAAAAAATAAAATTCTTCTCAGGAATTCAATTTAGTAAAAATTTTCGAAACAATTCAATTATTTTAAAAGTCTTAATAAATTTTTTTCTGTGAATTCAATTATTTTTTTAAATTTTCAATAAAAATTCTTCGAAAGAATTTAATTATTTTCTACAATTTTTGAGAAAAATTCCTTATAACAATTTAATTATTTTTAATTTTAATTAAATTTCTTGAAAGAATTGAATTATTTAAAAAAAAATTCAATAAAAATTCTTCGAAAGAATTTAATTGTTTTCTACAATTTTGAGAAAAATTCCTTATAACAATTTAATTATTTTTAATTTTAATTAAATTTCTTGTAAGAATTGAATTATTTTTAAAAAATTTCAATAAAATTCTTCGAAAGAATGGAATTAATTAAAAATATTTTCAATAAAATTCTTCGAAGGAATTTAATTATTTTCCACAATTTTGAGAAAAATTCCTTAACAATTTAAATATTTTTAATTTTAATTAATTTTCTTGAAAGAATTGAATTATTTTGAAAAATTTTCAATAAAATTCTTCTAAAGAATTGAATTATTTTCTACAATTTTGAGAAAAGTTCCTTATAACAAATTAAATATTTTTAATTTTAATTAACTTTCTCAAAAGAATAGAATTATTTTTAAAAATTTTCAATAAAATTCTTTTGAATAATTCAATTAATGTCAAAAATTTTAATTTTTTTGTTTGTTTTGAAAATGAAGATTTTTCATTTAAAAAAAATTTTGTTTAATGAATTATTGTTATAATTAACTATAATTACTATGAATTATAATCATAATTAATTTTGTGTGATAATTTAAATCTATGTTTTTGTAAATGAATTCAATTTTTCAACAGTCAAACCTCTGTGCATGAAAAAACATAAATTTCTCAGTGACTATAATTTGTTAGCTAAAGAGCTTAATTAAAATTACATATGTTGGAAATACAGAGTAGATTTATGTCTATTGAAAGCAAACTATTCACTCCAAGAGAATATGAAAAGTTATCCATTAGAATAAATATTGTAATTCTATATAAATCTGGAATTATAAGAATGAAATGTTCATTGTAAAAAGAGCTAATTAAATTCATATGATAATTTAACAATAAAGTCAGAAAAACAAAATTATTGCTCAACTTTTTTCTGCATTGTTAACAAAATAATAAATAACTTTATTATATGACTAATGATTCTCTGAATTCAATAATTAATGTCCATTAGGAAACTAATTAGATAAAATGAAAATAAATCCAACAAAGAATGTAAAAATATTTCATTTACAAAATTATTGAAAAATAGAAACAAAAAAGTTTTGAATACAAAAATGTATCTTTTATTTAAATTTCAGAAAACGTAAAATTATTTCAAAAATCAGAAATTTTGTTCACTTTTGACATATCTTCATTCTCGAAATACTTGTTTTAAAAAATGGTTAAAATTTATACAATATTTATTTTTTCTTTATATGTCAAAGTTCATTTAAAAAAAAAAATTCCGATTATTCTTTTATGGTAAAAAAAGTCAATTCTTTCCATTACTTTTTCCACTCGGTTAAATAGCAAACTAATCAAATTGCTTGAAATCCTTTTCGGATTCGCTTGTCAGTGTGGTCATAAAATAAGAACTATTTCCCATTGAATCCTTTGAGATTGTTAGTCTTCAAAGATACGTACACAGAAACCAGTTACACACATGAAAGAGATTTTCTCGAGTGAATTTTAACGATCCTCTTGGCAAAGGGAAGAAAAAACAAGAAGAAATGTGTAAAGAATGCACTCGTAAAATTAAAAGACTCTTTCAAATAATGAAAAAAAAGTACATTCATTAGAATTTAACGAATGTAAATTATGTAAATTATGTAAATTTTATAAATTTTACAAATTTTACAAATTTTACAAAATGATGAGAAAATATTTTCTCATTATGATGCAAGAATGTTGAACATTTGAAAAGGCAAAAAAAGAAGATTCGAAATAAAAGCAACAGGGAAAAATTAAATAAAATTGAAGAAAATGTTTTTTTCTTTTGAAGCAATGATATTTAGAGAATATTTCAAATTCGCGTGAATCATTTCGGAGATTTTGCGAAAAGTTAGATATGAAATTTGAAGAGTCTCTCGAAACTGATAGTAAAATGAAAAAAATGAAACGAGTACACCATAAAAATACTTGTTTATATAGGGACGTTAAAAGCAATTTTATTTTCGTTTTCAAAAACCTTTCTCTTGCCACTCTGCGTGAATTCTTGTCTAGAGGAAAAATAATCAATCGATCCATTTTCTTTTATTAAACGAAAAATTTATTTCTCAATTCTCATTTATGAAATTTTCGAGATAATTGATCAAAACGACTATTGTATTGAAGAAAATAAATCGAAGATTCTATTTTCGAAAGAAAATTGAGAAATTTAAAGAAATTTTTACGATATAAGAGAAATGTTTAGAAATTCGTCGAAAAATAGTTTTTCCTTTAATTTAAGTGAATTTAGAATTTAACATTAGAAATTAATATTAATCTTAGGGAAAAATTTCGCCTCTATAGTAACATTTCCACTTTTAAAAGTGAAATTAAAAATAAAATTCAAACTCACAGAATGCGTACCTATTTTAATTTTTCTTTTCGACCTGAATGTGGGTCTGAAATTTCTTCTAAATCCGGCAGTTCCAATTTAAATCCATGATTACTGAAAAATAAAAATAAATTCATGAAATTATGTACTTCAAACAGTGGAGAATATTTAGAAAAAAACAATTTGAAACTATAATTAATTGAATTATCGATTCGAAAGTAAAATTAATTTTGATGATTTTTTCAAACCGTCAAGTAAAAAATTAATTTTTATTCTCATTTTTAGAAAAATCGGGACGAAAATTAATTTTTGTTCTAATTTTTATAAAAAATGAAACTAGAATTAATTTTGGTTCTAATTTTTAGAAAAATCAGGATAAAAAATAATTTTTGTTCTAATTTGTCGAAAAATCAGGACAAAAATTAATTTTTGCTCTAATTTTTAAAATAATCGGAATTGAAATTAATTTTTATTCGACTTTTTCTAAAAATTAGGACAAAAATTAATTCTTCTTCTAATTTTTTATAAAAATCGAAACTAGAATTAATTTTGGTTCTAATTTTTAGAAAAATCAGAACTAAAATTAATTTTGGTTTTAAGTTTATAAAAAAAATTATAAAAACAAAATGAAGTTTCCACTTTGCATCAACTTATTCATTTCAAATTACTTAAGCGCTGCACCGCTTTTCACTTAAGAGGATCTAACTTTGTTAGTTGTTGGCCAAGTACGTCTTGTCTGTGTGAGAGATTCAAAGAAGAGAAAAAGAATAAAGAATAGTAAAAAGCTTCCTACATTTTTTTTTTGTTCAGCATTTTTCTCCTAAAGGTCAAAACTATTTTTCCTCCCAGAAACAAAACTAATTTGTTCGCTTTTAATAACAAAATGTAATTAACGAAAATTTCAGGAAAAAAAAGAAAAGACAATAAAAAAATAAACAATTCCAACGATCATACAAATTCAGAACAAAAAAAAACATCTTTATAGTCGAGAGAAAAAAAAATGATTTGTTTTATTTATTATTTTCCCGCGGCTTGTCAATAATTATTCTATAATGAATAATAATGTGGTCGTTTAGAGGGTCGAGTGAGGAATGAAGGAATTTCAATTGTCACCGCGCTATTCCACGTTTGGAATTTGTGAATGGTCCCAAATCGATAATTATAATATCGCAATAAATGTTCCGAAACGAAAGTGATGATAATTCGATCATCAATGAAATTCATATACTCGTCTCTCTATCTTCTGAAACCAAAATCAAAAAGCCCTTGTTATATGATAATTATTGTTAAAATTATTACTCGATTTGGGTATTAGGAATTTAAGAAGATTAAACCTAATGACCTGGGTAGAGAGAATATTATTGTAACCAACCCCTTTACAAAATCGACCTAGTGACATTTATACGATCTCAAATTTCAATCCCTATAATGAAAAGAGAAACTTTTTCTTTAGAACTTATTGCAAAATTTCATTTGGGGTTTTATTTAAAAAAAAAAAGAAAACGAAACTAAAATATAGTACACACACCATTAATAAAATAAATATCTAAATATACATCATGGAAATTAGAAAAATTAGGAAATACAATTTAACCTTGATCCTATTTGACAAAATTATTTTCTTTTTTCACCTTTCGAATTTTCGTTGATGTAATTAAAATAAACAGATGTGTTAAATTTTCGAATAACGGAAATAAATCAAAAACTAGAACATCGAGTGACGTGTGGAGAATTTTGATGAATGACACTTTACAGGATTTAACTTTACAAAGCTGTGAATAATTTTTCGACAATATAACTGAATTGGAAACGATACACTAATTCGACACAGAATATTAAAAAAGAACTTTTTAAAAAAAAAGTTCCAGTTTATTATACTGCAAAACGGAAATTTTATCTCTCGGAGTATTTGATTTGATTTTTCAATAAATCGCACAAAAAAGAAAAAATGTAGATAAATTCTAATATCTAAATATGAAAATTAAATTAATATTTTATAAAAATATTAATCTATATTTGTCAATTTTCTAAATTATTTGCTTTTTGACAATTAAATTGTAATTAATTATTTATTAATTTATTTGTAATTAATTAATTACAATTCGTTAGTAAAAAATCAATTTTGTAATAAAAAATCGTAATTAGTAATTTGAATTTTCAAAAAAATAGAAAATACTTTATTCTACAGGAATAAGCAAAATTTCGTAATTAAAAAATTAATTTCCTAAATAAGAAAATAAAAAATAATTATTTGAATTTTCGAAAAAATAATAGGAAATACTTTATTCTATAGAAATAAGCGTAACATTTATTGATTTTATAAAGAGCACTTGTTCACTATTGAAAGTATCGAAAATAGTTGAAATGGAAATATTTGCCCGGAGCGGATGTTTCTCTTTTTGCAAATGTGAACCACAAAAGTGCTAATACAGGACATTTAATGGAATTTAGCTTTTTTCTTTTTATAAAAAATGAATTTCTGATACCTCCACAATTTTTTAATACACACTGTAATTATTTACTGCTCATAGAGTGAGAAAATCGAAAAAAGAAGTATTTTTACTAACTTTAAAAAAACATGAATTTCAATTTTAGATTATTCTTTAATAATTAATTTTCAATACTTTAAACTTATTATTTTAATTTATTTTAACTCCTTTTAATTAATTTTAATTCATTTGAACTCTTTTTAACTAATTTCATTTTATTTTAACTCATTTTAATCCAAATGACATAAAGTTTGTAAATTTCAAGAAAAAAATTCCATTATAGAAAATATGCAAAATAGACGATAAAATGGAGTAATTTCTAAAAATAAATATTTCTTTAAATAGCGAAACTTGTGATAATTTTAGATCCATTATACGACTAAAGATATTATAAAATATCTAAAATGTCTCGAAATAAGATTTTCGATTTTAAATTAAGAGTTAAGTATGTTATAAGTAAAATTTATTAATTCTTTTTCAAAAGTAGAAAAAAGTAAAAAAAAAAATTAAAAATTAAAAAGAATATTCTTTTTTGGGAATTTAGAACTTCATTTACATTAAAGCAATATAAAATTACTGCTCCACATATATATACGTATATATAAACGAGTAATTAATTTCATTTTTAGATGGAGTAATTGAGAACGTCGTGGAGTTTAATTTAAACCGTTTTTCATATTTTAGTGCTCGACTATTAACCACTCTGTCTAACGAAGAAGTTGTAATTAAAATGCGTATATATAATTTAAAATCTTTAATTCACATTTTTTAATATTCACAGCTTCATTATTCATGCAATAAAAGATAAATTTATTCATTTAGGGAAAATTATTAAAAGATACAAATTCTCTTCTGTACGAGATAATTTGAATTCAAAATTTTAACTCCAATTTTTTTTGGAAGAAAATTTGTTAATTAAATAACTCATTGAATTATTAAGTGTATAAATTTTCTTTTAATGACTAGATAATTAGAAGTGAAGGTTTAATTGCCAATAAGATTTTTTGAAAGAAAATTTGTAAATTATAATTGAATCATTAAGATGAAAATTAAAGAATAAATTAAGTTTAAGATAAAAAATTTATTAACTAGAGAATTAAAAATTCGAATTGTCCACAAGTTTATTTTACAGAAAATTTAGAAAATAAATAATTTCTTTATTGCTTCAATTATTTTAACGAATTAAAAACTCCCTTTTTACCTTCGAGAAAAAAATTTAAAATAGTTGAAAAATTTATTCTCATATACCTAGTATTTTACGATAATAATACTTTATCTCTAAATTGCAAAAAAAGGACTTAAAATACGTTTTTGCAGACGAATTTCAAATTTATTACCACCAGTGAATGTGACTTTGCGTCTTTTTTACAAGAAAAAGTTTCAGGAGCAGAAAAAATTTTCAAAAGAAAAGGACTGAATTTTATGAAGGGTGGTATAACATGAAAGGTTTACCCTAAGAGAGAGAGAGGGACTATCGCCGTCGGTAGTTGCAACAAGTTAGAGTTAGGCCGACAAAACCCATACGTATTTTGCTCGACTCGCTTATAAAGGGATTTCGAGCTTAAAAAGAGCTTTTAGAAATTTACACTTTTTGAATTTATATATAAACTGCGGTGTTATTATAAAGCTTTATAATAAATTGTAAAATCAGTTTTTTGTTACAAAAAAAGAGAAAATAAAAAAAACGAAACTGAAAAAAGCAAAAAAAAAGAGAAAACAAAACGATACATTAAAACGTCACACTAATTAATTTTATTATTTCCATATTTTAAATTAATACACAAAACCAGTGTGTGAAATTTAATATTCTATGAAAATGTTTCAAAGAGAGTGCACTAAATTTCAAAATCAAATTGCGATATATGTAAAACATATTTTTAATTGTAAATCGAATTATAAATTAACTATATGAAAATTACATTTTCTCTTCATATGGATTAGTATTTGATATATCTCATTACTGTATTATAATATTTATTTAGCCAATCATTATTTTAATGTGATGTAATTTCAAATTTTGCTAATTGATTAAAAGTTCTGATTCGCAGCACAGTTTGATATCAATTTAATTCACAATAAATAAATAAGAAAAATAAAATAATAAATAAATAAATTTCAAAAAGTTAAAAAATTATTTTTGCCCTAGAAACTTTGATTATTATGAATACAAAAATAATATAATTTAAAAAATAATACATAATAATAATTTAATTAGTAAATAAATAATAAATAAATATTAAAATGTTAAAAATTAAGTGCTAAATTTTTAGAGGAGATAAAAGAAAAGTAAATAAAAAGTTTAATGGATAAGTTCTATTGTTGAATTTATTTGTTTAGTTGTAAGTTGTAAAAAAGTTTGATGGCAATCTAAAAGTTTGAAAATAAAATTTTAAGCTTGGATGCAATTATATGTGTAATAGAATTTGAAATATATTTCAAAAGTTTAAATATTTTCAATTTCTCTACAAAAATAGCTTCTTTTTGTAACTTTAAATTTTTTACTTTATATTTACAAAACTGAAAACGGAAAGAAATCCATCTGCTAAGAAAACGTAGTAAGCGAAAAATTTTGTTTACTAAAAAAAATAAAACTAGATTGAATAAATTCTGTAAAGTAAATTTCTTTTTTTCCGAAATATTTGTTCAATCATTAAAAAACCCTCTTATCAACAAAAAGAAATGAAAAAACAGAAAATTAATTTAAAAAAAACATTAATTAAAAAGAATTAATTAATTAATCAATCTGAAAAATCAAGATGACTTTTTCACTTTAGAAGCAACAAGCTGGAATTTTCTCCCCTTTCAATTATTATTTTACCAGTCGAATATCTTCAAGTCCAGTTAACTTTTGCACTATATAAAAGATCACTATCCTGGTGAGAAAATAATCACTGTCATGATTAACGATGCAACAGACCATGTTGATGGGGAGGAAAAAAAAGCACCACCCGTCTTTTTTTCCAAGCGAGAAAAAGACAAAAGGAGAAAAAAAAACGAGAAACGAAGAAGAGAAAACGGAACAGATTGTGGAAGACCGGAGGGGAAATGATAAAGGTATCGTGTGTTCGTGAATGAAACCAGCAGCCGATTCATCGACTCGTGGCGCGCGATAATGAATCGCAAGGTAGAGTATTTTTTTTTCTCTTTCAAAAAAAAGCGAGACAGCGGAAAATTGCAAATCGAGCGAAAATAAAAAAAAAAGAAGAAGAAAAATGAAATATTGGAAAAAAATTCCCAAAAAAAAAATAAATAAATAAATAAGCAAACCGACTATTTGGTGAGATTCTCACTAACCTGTCAGTCCGCAGAGTCCGGAAACTGTGGAGCAACTGAGGTGGCGACGGCGACGAGCGCCACGCCGCCTCCACCTCCTCCTTCTTCGCAAACCTCCAACGCCTCCTACTTCTCATGGGGTCCTTCCTTCGCAACACAGGATTCTGTTGCCCCTTTACAATTCCTTTTTTTCCCTCAAAAAGAGGATAATCGAGCATTTTTTTCTCCATTCCTTTCCCATTCGAAAAAAAGGGAAAATTTACATATTTTTTCATCTCCTCCTCTATGGCTTTTTTTTTATTTGTAATTTCAATTCATCTCTCTCCAGTGTGAATTTTCCCTGGAAACCTTCCCCCAAACAGTGTTCTAACCGGGAGGTTGCATCCCCGCACTGGCAGTATCGTAGAAAATGACGCACGTTCCCGATGCACGAGAATCTAAAAAATAAAATCAAATTTGTAGTTATTTTGTGTAAACTCGAATTAATTTAGAACGAAAATTTACTTTCCGCTTTTTGAAAAAAAAGCGAAGAGAAGATAAAAACTCGAATCAATTTGAACTTGTACTTTTTTTGGAAAAAGATTATTTAGATCCTGAGTCGGAGAACTTGATTCAAGTCTTGATTTATTGTCAAGAGGTCCTTTCAAAAGATACACTAGGGTCGGCCGAAATCTATTCTCGCCTAACGAGTCACTTAATCCATTAGTGATGTCTGTTGTCCTTCCGCAATCCGATAGTTCTAAAATCAAAACAACTGGATTATTAATTAAATCAAGTATAATGATAAAAATAAAAATATAGTAAAAATAATAAAAGTAATAAAAAGCAATTTTTATTCTCTACGTTATGTAATTTATATTTGTCATTTTTTTTTATCACGTTTTTCCTTTTTCTTTTTTGTTTTCTAGCTGTTGTACATTTTTAATAAATGACCATGGGGAGAGAGAAATGAAGAAAAAAACTATTAATTTAAGAGGTACTTTTCCTTCTTATCGAAGAATATAATCTTCTTATCGAAGAATAATATGAAAATAAACTATTTTCAAGAATGAAAGATGTTTATAAGTCGAGAGGGTCATTCTACTGGCACAAGATAGTTTTCCGGACGGGTATTTTCATCCCACTGTCGCAAATGTAATCATCAATGAAACCTACGCTCCACTTTGCATATACGACTCGTTGTGTGAATTTAATTCAGAGTATTATTAAATTAAGATGTAGGAAATTAAAAAAAAGGAAAAAAAAGCGTAGGCAGAAATTAATTTTTTTTAGCAAATTCCTGATAACAGAAAAAATTTTAATTAAATTAATTAATTAAATTAATTAATTAATTTATTAATTTATTAATTTATTAATTTATTAATTTATTAATTTATTAATTTATTAATTAATTTAATTTAATTTTTTTTTATTAAAAAATATTTTTTACCAAAGCGGGTAACAATTCTAGTTGCAAAGTTTCTTTTAATATTATTTTGTTATTTAGTAAAAAAATTCTATTCTTAATTAACAGTAATTAAATTTAAATAATTTAATTTAATACACATTAGTTTTGAAACTAGAATTAAAATTTCTTCTGTATTAAAAATAAAATTAAATTAAAAATTTGACTTACCAAAAGCAACATTCTTCTTTTTTATCATTCTCTATTTTTGTAATCATATTTCGAAAATTCGTTTTAACTGCATCGTTTGTCGCTTTTGCAAATTTATAAATTTGTTTTCCGTAAAGTGAATGAACATTGACTTTATTAAAGAGAAGCCTTGAAGATTTTTTCACGTCTGGCTATTTTACTTTAAATCAATTTTCGTTAAAAACAAAAAAGAAAAAGTAAATTTTTTCACTTAGGCAAGAAATATTAAATTTTCCGTTAATAGATGATTTTTTTCATTTTAAAAGATAATATTTTTGTTTTAAAAAAAAGTTATAATTTTTGTAAATTTTTCAATTTTAAATCTGAATTACTATAATTTTATTCTTGCATGAAATTTTTGAAAATAATTAAATTGTTTAGTGGAATTTTATTCAAAGTTTTAAAAATAATCCACTTAAGGAATTTAATTATCATTTTCGAAAATAATTGAATTCTTCCGAAGAATTTTACTGAATTTCTAACAATAATAATTGAATTCTATCAAGAAACTTCAACTATTAAAAGAGTTTTGAAAATAATTGAATGCCTGCAAAAAATTTTTTTATTCATGAAAATAATTGAATTCTTGCGAAGAATTTTATCAAAATCTTTTTAAAATATTTGAATTTTTATGAAAAATTTTATTAAAATTTTTGAAAATGATTACATTTTTTCGAATAATTTTATAAAAATTGTATTAAAAATAATAATTGCAATATTATAAACAATTTTATTAAACTTTTTGAAAATAATTAAATTTTTCGAAGAATTTTATTAAAATTTTAAAAAGTAATTGAATTCTTTTAAGTAATTTTATTAAAATTGTATTGAAAATAATAATTGAATTCTTATAAGCAATTGTAGAAAATGTTTTAATAATAATTAAACTTTATTTCATGTTTTTTAAATAATATTTAATATTAACATTTTTTTTATTAAATTCTTAAAAAAATTGGATTGAAAATAATCGAAATTCTGGGAAAAATTTTATTATTTATAAAAAAAAAAATTAATTTTTGATTAGAATTTTATAAAAAATTTTCATAAATAATTAACACGAAAAATTTTATTGAAATTTAAAAAAAATTGAATTTTTTCCAGAAATTTTATTAAAATTTTATTAAAAATAATTGAATCAATAATTGATTTTAATAATTTCATTCTCATAACCAATTTTATAAAAAATTTTTAAAATAATTGAACATCTCGAAGAATTTTTAAGTTTTAAAAAATAATTGAATTTTATTTTATTTCCTTAAATAATATTTAATATTAATATTTTTTCTGATTAAATTTTATTAACATTATATTGAAAATAATCGAATTTCCGAGAAGAAGATTTAGAATTTTATTAAAATTTTTTGTAAATAATTTACGAAAAGAATTTTATTAAAATTTTTCAAAATAATTGAATTCTTTCCAGAAATTTTATTAAAATCTTATTAAAAGTAATTGAATTCCCACGAAGAGTTTTGTTATTTATAAAAATAATTGAATTCTTTTCAAGAATTTTGATAAAATTGTATTGAAACAAACTGAATTCCAGAAAAGAGCTTTATTATTTTGTTATTTATGAAAATAATTGAATTCTTTACAAGAATTTCATAAAATTTTTTGAAATTATAATTGACAATTATTGAATTTAATTGAATTGTTTCAAAGAATTTTATTAGAAATTTAAGAAAAATAGTTTATAATAATTAATTTAAGTTAAAAAGTGATTTTTTGAATTTTGTATCTTTTATAAATTTTTTTTTTTTTTAAATTGATTTTTATATTTGAAAATAATAAATTGTATAATTTGCCTAATAGAAAATTGAATTCCGCATTTCACTCATAACATTTGTCAGTAATAAATATTTTCCATTATAAAAATAAGTGAAGTAAAAATAATTTATCCACCACGTTTTTTTTGCAGTATCATCAGATTTTCGAAAAGAAAGGAGAGAGACAGAGAGAAAAAAAACGAAAAGTATATAGCTGGAGATTTTTAGTGTATTGGCATTCTTTCCCAAAGGCGGGATTTGCCCTGGGCTCTCTGACATATCTTTCCTTTTACTCTGAAATATTATTATACTACATTTACTCTGGGTCAATAGGTTCTCTTTTATGAGTCTCTCTTGGATACTCTCTATTTGAAAAATATATTTAGTAGTATTTTTATTCCAAAAAAAAGTATAATACCAATAAATTTCGCATTCAATACTTATATATTGTCAATTTATACTTTTATTCTCAAAAAAAAAAAGTTTTTCTCTAAAGACTCTTGGAGATTTTGCAAAGAAATAATTATATCGATAAATTTCCCTTTCTATTGAATTGTATCTATTTTTCCGTTTTCTATATTTGAATAAATGGAAAATTTGGTATATTTGTAAATAGTGAAAACTGAAAATAGGTGGTGTCTTGCATTTAAACATGTTGCAGTCAGTTAAAGTACGCTGGATCTAAAAATAAATTTCTTCTGAATGAAGGAGAATTTTCTCTCTCTCTATGTTTGTCTGTCTTGGTCTCCCTTTTTCAATCTGTTTCATTCTCGCATGCCCTTGCATCATTTGCCGCAAGACGCCCTGCACAATTTATTAAAAGGACACGTCGACGTCGTTGGCTATATGAGTTATAAATATTTCCTCCAAGAAACCAAACCAGACAGAATGAGACGATAAGAAAACAAAAGGAAGAAAGATATACTACTCAAACATTGCTACGCAATATCTTGTTCTTAATTCGTTACTTAAATTGTTACTATTATACTTTATTGCTGCTCCAAAAATGTTGAACTCATTTTTAAATTTCAATTTCATTCCTTTTTTCCTCTTTTTCAAGTTTTTTTCCTTCAATTTAAAATTATTTTCAAGTATTTCTTTATTTCAATTTTTTTTCTCCAGTTTCAATTATTTTCAGTCTTTTTTTGGTATTTTCAAGTTTTCTTGTTTCAATTTTTAATTATTTTGAAGTATTTTTTTATTTCAATTTTTTTTTCTCCAGTTTCAATTACTTTTAGGTTTTTTTTTGTATCAAGTTTTTATTACTTTTAGCCTTTTTCATTTCAAGATTCAATTATTTTTAACTTTTTTTGCTCCAATTTTGAATTGTTTTCAAGTTTTTTTTGCTTCAATTTTAAATTATTTTCAATATTTTCTGTCTCAAGTTTCAATTACTTTTTAGGCTTTTTTTCAAGTTTCAATTATTTTCAAGTTTTTTTCTACAATTTTAAATTGTTTTAAAGTTTTTTTTGCTTTAATTTAAAATTATTTTCGTTGTTTAATCTCAAATTTCTTTTGTCTCAAGTTTTAATTAATTTTAGGTTTTTTTTCAAGTTTCAATTATTTAAGTTTTGTTGCTTGAATTTTAAATTATTTTCAACTTTTTTTTATTTCGAATTTTTTTTGTCTCGAGTTTCAATTTCTTTCAGGTTTTTCTCTCGTTTGTGTTGATTTGATTTTTAAATGATTAAAAGTACATCTGCTGAGCAGAGATTGCCAAAAGTTAATCCTTTAAAAATTGTAAATCTTTTACATAATTATAATTTGAAGTAGAATTTTATTAAAATTGTATTGAAAATAATTGAATTCTTGCGAAGAATTTTACTATTTATAAAAATAATTGAATTATTCCGAAGAATTTATTAAAATTTTAGGAAATAATTAAAATTTATGAAAATATTTTTAAATATTTGAATTTATACGAGGAATTCAATTAAAATTGTTTTGAAAATAATTGAATTTTTGTTAAGATTTTACTAATATTTAAAAAAATAATTGAATTGTTTAGAAGGATTTATTAAAATTTTAAAAAATAATTTTTCTCTCAGTGTACTTTTAAACTTAAATAACAAAAACATTCAAACCCCTTTTTGTTTTTAGCTATTAATTTAAAAAACTAATTTACTTTTTTCGAATTATTCCAATTTTTCCATTAGACACTTTTATTTATCAATATCTGTCGCAGGTGAACTTTGTCAATATCCTCCAATTCAATTACACACATGAAAATCAATTGCACTCGAATTATCACTATATTTGATTCACGAAGAAATTCAATTTCAATTGAAAAGAAAAAATGAACCATTTTCCTTTCATTCCTTGGAGATAATAGTATTTTTTTAATGCTCGCATTTGATAATACGTCGTGGCATTTTAGAGTATATAAAAAAATTTACTCTCCAAGATTTTACGTTCCCAAGATAATTTCTTCTATTATCTAGAACAATTTCATGACATAACATTATTATTATAGCTTCTATTGAGGGTTTATGAGATAGTTCGAGTGAATTCATCCGTCTATTCTCTTGTGTTTCTCTCATCATGAGAATATCTTGTTTCCTCAAATCGTAGACTCAAAGTCCTTAATCCGTTCTCGATCTCTATTATATTGAGAGAGTGAGAGAGTGAATGAGAGAAAGAGAGAGAATACTCTTTATCAAATAGTTTACATTGATAGATTTAAGGTGACACGTCAGTTCAATTTCAGTCGAGCGTGTAACATTTTCTCGACTTGTTGATTTATATATATTCCAAATATTCTGCATGAATGTTCAATACACTGTCAGGCGCAGTATATTGACGAATAAAATATCGTGAGAGTTTTCTGCAACATCAAAAATTCTGTACAAAAAAGAAATTTACAATAAGTGTTTGAAATTATTTTCAAGTCCTTTTTGTTACAAGTGTTAATTATTTTTCAAGTTTCTTTTCTTCGATTTTAAATCATTTTCGATTTTTTTTGCCTCAATTGAAAATTATTTTCGACTTTTTTTGCTTCAATATTAAATTATTATCAAGTTTCAATTACGTTAAGGTTTTTTTTATTTCGAAATTCCATTATTTTCAAGTTTTTTTTTACTCAATTTAAAATTATTTTCAACTATTTTTGTTTCAATATTGAATTATTTTCAAGTTTTTAAGTTTCAAATTTTTTTATCTCAAGTTTCAATTACTTTTAGGTTTTTTTATTTCAAGATTCAATTACTTTCAAGTTTTTTGTTTCAATTTTAAATTATTTTGAACTATTTTTGTTTCAAAATTTTTTTCTGTCTCAAGTTCCAATTACTTTTAGGCTTTCTATTTCGAAATTTCATTATTTTCAATTTTTTTTTTTGCTTCAAATTAAAATTATTATCAATTTTTTTAAATTGGGTTTTGTCTCTAATTTCAATTACTTTTAGGATTTTTCTTCTCAATTTTCAATTAATTTTTCAATTTTTAAGTTCTTTTGCTCTAATTTGAATTAAATTTCAACTTTTCTTTGTTTCAATTTTTTTTTTTTTTTTTTGAAGTTTCAATTACTTTTAGGTTTTTTGTTTCAATTTTCAATCATTATCACTTTGTAGAAAAATTTTTAGAAAATTCTTTTAAGAGAAAGAGAATATTTTTGACAAATTTATATTTTTAGTGCAACAATTTTCTTTTTTTTACTTTATATAAATAAATGCAAAATGTTTGTTGAAACTGTTTCTTTGAAATGACTTAAAAAAAAGAGTACAGAAACGCTTCAAAACAGTGCCTGGTCATGACAGACCGTTTCTACTTATGGTTTCTATTTAGCCAGGATTCTGCAGTGAAAATTGTTCTTTTTAGTCAGACGCGCGTATTGTTCTCAAGTAGAACGAGTGAATACGGTAAGACCATTCAAAACCTATTTGCAAATATTCTTTGCTATTCAATTATTAATTATCTATTCAAATTAGAAATGAATTTTATAAATTTTCAAATCAGAGAAAAAATTCCTTTCTAATTTTTCAATATTAAAATAATTTCTAAATTACGAATATTAATTTTTAATTAAAATATTGACAAAGTTTTTTTTTATAAAAATATTTACATTAATATTAAATAATTAAAGATATTTAAATAATTTTTCTTTTTAATGTTTTGAATTTTAAAATTAATGATATTTTAATTTAATGCTTTGAAGATTAAAAACTACCAATGATTAATTAAACCAAATTGTTTTCAGTTCAAAATATTTCCTTCATAATTTTCAATCTGAAATAAAATTGAATACTTACAAAGAAATTTATCCAAATTTTTCAAAATAATTAAGTTTCTTGCGAAAAATGTAATTAAAATCTTTAAAAATAAGTTAATTCTTACGAAAAATTTAATTAAAATAATATTAAAAATATCTGAATTATTATAAAGAGTTTTATCCACATTTTAGAAAATAATTGAATTCTTTCGAATATTATTATAATTTTTTTAAATAATTGAATTCTTCAGAGAAATTTTATAAAAATTCTAAAGAAAATAATTGAATTCATCCGAAAAATTTCGTTGTTTATGAAAATAATATTATTTTTTTAAAGAAATTTATTACAATTTCTGAAAATTAAAAATAATTGAATTTATGGGAAGAATTTTATTACTTATAGAAATAATTGAATTCTTGGGAAGAATTTTATTGAAATTATTGAAAATAATTTAAGTTTTGCGAGGAATTTGATTGTTTATTAAAATGATTTAAATCTTGGTAAGGTTTTTACCAAAATTTTTCAAAATAATTCAGTTTCTGCGAATTTTGGTTATTTAGAAAAAGAATGTTATAAATTATGAAAATAATTGAGACCTTGTTAAAAATTTAAATAATATTTTCGGAAAATAGTTGAATTTTTTCCAGAAATTTAATTAAAATTGTATTAAAAATATTTCTATTCTCACAATCAATCTAATCAAAATTTTTCAAAATAATAATTGAATTTTTTAGAAGAATTTTATCCAATTTTCAAAAATAATTGATTTTTTTTTGAGATATTTAATTGAAATATTATTAAAAATATGTAGTTGACTTTCTGCGAAGAATTTTAAAGTTTTTAAAAACAATAAATAATTATAATTAATTAATAAATTAGTTTATAATTGAATTTTCACAATTTTGAATCTGAAATTATCCCAAAATTGAAATTAATATTTAAAAATAAAAAATTTCTTTTATAAATAATAATAAATATTTAATAATAAATAAAAAACATTTTTGAATTCAAGAGAAAACAATAAATAAAAAATATTCAAAAACACAAATTGAATTTTTAATTAAAAAATATTTTTCCTGAAAAAACTTATTGACTTTCAAGTGTACTAAGAGGTAAAATATTTTTTAATATAGATTTAAATATAAAGTATGTAATTTATGACATTTTTACAGCACGCCGGTATTTTAAATGGAAAATTCCATCATATCTTAGAAATAAATATCTTTCACGTTGTCGGAAAATATGTGGGGACTCGATTTTTACGCATTTTTTTTTATAGAAAGAAAACTTTGTCAATATTTTCAAACTTCAATATCGTGAGTAAATACTTACCACGAGATTTTTAGATGCGGGAATCATATATCCGGTGAATATTCTTAAAGCGAATACGACCATTGGATCCATATCGTATAAACATTTCCTTTCTTTATCCGGCGAAAAGAAGGGGACATTTTTCAAGTATATATTGTCCCGTGGTTCTGAATGCACTTAAAACGGGTGGATTTGAGTGAGAAAGTGAGAGAGAGTAAAAAAAATTGTGCAACCCTCTTTAAAGCGGGGAAATTCACATTCCACAATCCTTTTGAATTGACCATCATTCCTTCTTTTGATCATCGCTCCCTCTCGGAATACACGCAACATCCATCTCGGAAGTCTTTCACTTCCTTTCCATCGTCCCTTGTATTGAAATTTATTCCTGCAAAAATAAAAATTGTTATCTCATCGAGTTATTTTGCAAATAAAATTTTTTTTTCAGAAATATATAATAAACATATAAATATTTTCTTGTGAAAAAAGTTTTCTATTTTTTTTTTCCTAAAAAAAATTTTCTATTTCAAAATGGAAAAATTATTTTTCACATTCTATAAAGTTTCTGTCAATCGAAAATGTCAAATCAACTGTGGATGAGATAACTTTTTGGAGAATTGATAGTCATCTCCTTTGAGAGGACGAATCACGAATTCGTGATTTGTAATTCAAAAGTTTCCAATCCCAAAAATGAGGAAAATACGAACTGAGATATTTTAGATTTCCCTAAAGGGAAATTTAAAACGTATATCAATTTTAGACATTTTAGAAAGGAAAGGACTTAAATATATATACTTTTCTTTTTTTTTTTGGGTGGAACTGACATGTTCATAAACTCTCTGCGGTGTAAAAAAAAATAGCAACTCGTCTGTATACATACATATGAATATTTGGGAGAGAAGATGAAGAAAAAACGAGAGGAGCGTGGGTGGCAAGGCAATGAAAGGCAACTAATGCGGACCAATCAGAGAAGAGCAAACTGTTGGTTGTTCGCTGATGTGAGTCAAGGGGCTGAAGCACTGAGTTTGTCAGTTACGTCACAGCTTATGACGTAGCAACGAGTGCAGTAATATTACCCTCTAAACCTAATTTTCACTACGCAAGCGTCAATGGATTCTGAACTATATATCTTAGATTTGTTATCCAATATCTATTGACACGTCTGTCAAAAAATGGAATTTTATATTCCACTTTACTATACTATTAAAATTCCACATTGATGAGAGTTCTAAATAGGCTTCTGCGTTTCGACCCCAAAAAGAATTTGGTATATCTATAAAAAAAAGAATGATAAATTATTTTCGAATTCATATTTTAGATTTTAAATTCATTTTCAGTTTTTTAAGCTTCTCACTCGTTAATTAATTTTGAAAAAGTAGATTCAGAATTGGCAAAAAATTACTATCGAAAAATTAAAGACTATAAAAAATCGTTTGGGTCAATTCAAGGGAACTTATCTTATTTAGGACTATCAGAAAAATTTGATTATATATTCCCCTGATTTCCAGAAAGAATATTATTAAATTCTTTCCTTATTCTGCTAAAAAATTCAATTCGAAATTTTTGTAAAATTCAATTCTTATTTTTCAAATTTTCAATTAGAATTCCTAAAAAATACTGAAATATTCTTCAGAAATAAAATAATTGTTTAAAATAAAAAAATTAAATGTTTTAAAGTATAATATTTACTTTAATCAAAACAAAATTTTCAATTGTTTCCATTTCTTAAAATTTTTTTCGGGAATTGAAATATTTTCAGAAAAATTTAAACAAAACAATTTTTTTAGAAATCTAATTTTTTCAAAATTTCTGAATTACTTTTCCAAGGAAATTAAAATTTTTAATAATTTCAATGTAAAAACCTTGAAAATTTAATTATTCCTGAAAATAACAACAATAATTCTATCAATTATTTTTCAGAATTTTTACATAAAATTATTCAAAATATCAAAATTTATTAATTTTTCAGAAAAATGATTAATTAATAAAGTTTAGTCAAAAATAAACATTTAAATATCATATTATATTCAATTAAAGAAAATTTCCAAGTTTTCGTTAATAATTTATAAAAATTGCAATTGTCACTTCTCCAACATTATTTTTAAGATTTTAATTCAATTATTTTCTAGAATCTTATTAACTAAAATTCTTTTCCAAATAAATTATTTTTTAATTGTTTACAATTCAATTTTATGAAATTTCGATAATTCGAAAATTTTCCAATTAAATGTCTATTCAAAAATTTAACTAATTACAAAAAAAAAACATTTTAAATTGTTCAAGAACTAACTCCTTTAAGATTTTTAATTAAAATTATTCAAAATTCAAATTTTCTAAAATTTCAATTTCAAATCTTTTGTAATTCAATTATTATTTGAATTCTAAAGTAAAATTATTCTTTAAATAATTGATTTTCCTAATTGTCAGTTAGAATTCTTCAAAAATAGAATTATTATTTAAAAATAATTTTCGAAATTAAAAAAATAATATTTTTTAAAATGTAAAATTTAATTTAAACAAAATTTGACAAAATTCCCAACTGTTTCAATTTTTTAAAATTATTTTCGGGAAATTTAACTATGTATCACCCAAAAATTTTGAATACTGTTTTCCAAAAAACTAAAGTTTTTTAAAATTATTTTTCAAATCTTCCATAAATTAAATTAAATAAATATTTAAATACTTATTGATTATTCAATTTTTTTATGGAATTAAAATTTTAAATACTAATTTCAATGTAAAAAGTTTAGAAAATTTTTTTTAATTACAACTGTAATTCTTTGAAAATTCCATTATTTCTCAGAATTTCTCTTAGAAAAATGTTAAATTAATAATTTTTATTCAAAAATAAATATTATAATTATATTTTTACGGCAATTAAGATTTTTAATTTTTTTAATTTTTTGTTAATAATTTATAAAAATTACAACTGCATGTTTTCAAAAATTATATTTAACATTTCAATTCAATTATTTTCTAGAATTCTAAAATTAGTCTAAAATCTTATAAAATTCCATTCCAAATCAATTATCAATTATTTTTAATTATTTTTCAAAAATGTATTTAATAATAATCATCTATTTAAAGAATTATTACTATTTAAATGAAAATTTAACAAAAATAATTCTGAAAACTGTTTGTTTGCAACTCAATTTTACGAAATTTCGATAATTTGTAAATTTTCCAATTAAATAAATATTCGAAAATTCAACTAATTTTAAAATTAATTTTGTAATTTGTTCAAAAACTAACTTCTTTAGAATTTTTAATCAAAATTATTCAAAATCCAAATTTTCTAAAATTTTAATTTGACACGTTTTGAAATTCAATTATTTTTTGAATATTTGAGCAAAATTATTCGTTAAATAATTTGAAAATAATAATTCTATGATAGTTCTTCAATTAAATTGTATTAAATTAATTATTGTCAGAAATATTACAAATTAAAGATTTCGTATTAAAATTCGTGGTGATTTTAAAGTTTATACAAGAAAGCAAAAAAAAAATTTAACAAATAGTATCAAATCGTAAAAAAGTAGTAAACAATAGGTTTTAGTAGTGCGAAGCTTGTTTCTGTATCAAAAGTATAACTTTTCTCCTCTTCTACTTTTGTATAACTTACCGAAAAAATATATGTCCTTTCTTGAATTTAACTTTTATTTCCACTTCTCCTCTCTCTGGATTCTCTGCCCAATTTTTCATTGTTTTCACGAAACTGTAACAAAAAAAAAAAAAAAAATGATAAAATAAAGTACATAATAATGTTCAGGACACTGTAAATCAGAAAAGATGATTCTTTCTTTTTCCTTTTAGTATTATATATAAGGCAGTGTGCATCAACGTTTATGTCGATCATTTTCTTGTAAACGTTGAAACAACCCAATAACGTTTATACCTTTTCCTCTCCATCTCCACTAAATGTCTCAAGCTTCCTTTTTTACAGCTCCTATAAAATCTTCAATTGATGGTGCTGTTCGTTTTATGATATTTTGTGTCTATTTTGTTGCCTCTCCTCGTGTTACTTGTTCAAATAAAAAATAAATACAAAGTAAACATTAGTTCAGAAAGACCATTTACAACGATTTTTCTATTTACGAACAAATCTAAGAAAACTCCCACGAATTAAATTTTGTGTTTAAAAAAATTGAAACTCAGAAATATTTTTTTCCAGAATTGTAAATATTTGCAATATACTTTTACATTTTTTAATGAATATTTTAAATCCCTTTGAGCATAAAAATTTTTCTTTATTACAAAATATAAGAATTTTTGTTTAAAAAGAAAGAAATTCAAAAAATATATTCACATTTTTAAATTCTTTTTATATGTAAAATAATTTCTTGTATATAAAAATAACTTTTGAATTTAAAAAAAAAATAATGTAAATAATGCAATTCGCTATTTTAAGTCTCTTCCTTATTTTAATGAAAAAAATTATTCTGAATTTATACTCACAAGGTGACAAACTTTCTTCAAAAAATTTTGCGATGAATGAAATAATCCGCTTACATGTATTTGCTCGAGGGCACTAGAAATGAGCGAAGCTTTTTTAATTCATAAAAATTTTTGATATCAAAAAAGAGCATGTGTATTTTCTATATAAATTTTTTTCTCTCTTTCTCTCATTTTCTCTTTTTTTAACATGGTTGTTGAATTATTTTATGAGAATTTTTCTCTTATTATCTCTCCTTGTTAATTCGTCGTGTTTGAAAAAAAAAAATTATTCCACAAATTTATCTGTCTTGAACATTCAACATCGCGTATATTCGTTTGTTTCATAATTCTCACAAAACTCTCAACAATATTGGTACTTTTTTTTCAGCATAAAAATTCATTTCCATTTATTTTTTCGCGCATTTGAAAATTTCTGCAACAGAAAGAGAAAAAGAAAAGAAAAAAATATCGACATCAGTGTGAAGTTTTTATTAAAATTAAAATCAATATAGTACTCTATTCTCTAGGCGAAGATAGAAAAAAAATTGAATAGAATCGTGTTGGCGATATAGTTGAAAATGGAATGATATAAATGTGAACAAGATGCAATCCGGGTGTTCATTTTTCATTGGCAAAAATTGACATTTAGGGGGAGAAAATTCTAGGCGAAAATTCGCTTAAAGAGAATTTTTTCTTTTAAAAATTGATAAACGAGTAGAAAATTGATATTTTTTTGTGTTCGTTTTAGAAATCAATGAAAAATGTCAATAGTTTCATTAGAAGCCGAATTTTTTTTTGCTTTGAAAATAGATCAGAAGAGAGAAAGAAAGAAAAAAAGAAGAGAAAAGAGAACAAAAGTGAAATGAAGGTTATTTCGAAATGTAATGTAGTTGGAAAAATATTTATATTGCAGTTCTTATTAAGAAAAAAATATCCAATTACTATCTTTTCTGAATTCCATAAATTGTCCACATACATTGTATCAAAGTTGAATAGAAATTCCATGAAATTCTTGAGGTTTTCCCCGGAATTCAGAAATTTATATAACTACAAACAAATCCGTATATGCAGTTCTAATAAAATTAACAAAATATTCTTACGTTGAAAACATAAATTAAATTCTAAATTTTAAAACGTAAATTCTCTATTTTTAATGAATTAGATTATTAAAAAATATTTATAAATTGATAAAATATTATTCATTACCTAATTAATAATTAAATATTAATTATTCACTTAAGTAATGAATTTAGAAACTGAAGGTAAAAAACCCCGAGAATTTCTCAACTCTAGACAAATATTTTTTTTTCTACATTAGAATAAAAGCATAGAAATCGAAAAAAGTATCGAAATACTTTGGATTATATAGAATTAGAAGTTTTTTCTTCAAATTTGTAATTTTCTTCTTCGAGATGCTATCGATATTGATCGATAATAAATATTTTAATCACTGGGGACAAAGTTATTCTATTATCGTCGTGAAAAGTTCGCCAAACTTTAAGTTTAACCCCAAAGTGTACAAATTTAAGGATTGTGTGTATCTTGAGTGATACTTTTCTTGAGAAGTTTAGTGTCTACATGATGACAGAAGAGAGGGATAAAAGGATTAATTTCTCTCTCTCTCTCTCTCTCTCTCTTCTTTACTTCCTTTTCTCTCTCCTGTTGCTGATGGAACATAATATTAAGCTTAATAAACCTAAATTTATGTTCTTAAAGTTTTCTCATAAAATGCAATAAGCAAAGTCTAAGCAAATTTCACGTGACAAACGGCGGCATTATTCGTTAAAGGTGGGAGCCGTAAATTTCTATATTTATAACAATATATCAAACGATAATCACGAAGCTTTACCTCGAGAAATGAATTTATAATTTCACTTGTATACTTCCAAGTAGACGAATTTTAATTTTAAAGAAACATTTTTTCCGCGTAATCCTTTTTGATTTATTTTTTGCGTTTTTGTATAAACTGCATAGAATTCCATTCCCAGCAATCTGAAAAATAATTTCTATTATTATTATATTTTACTGATATAATTAAAAATAAACGCATGTCATAATGAAGAGTATTTGAGATTCATTTTTTAAAAGTATTTATAATTTTAAAGGGTAAATGTATAACGTGTGGTCGAAAGAGATGTGCTTGAAATCTTTTATTAATGATTGATGATGTCACTTCTTTCGAACATTAAAGGTCAGAGAGATTGAATGGCCTCAGTGCCCTTTACCGATAACGAATGCACTGACACTCCTTTTTTAAACCTGTTGACCGAGAGCTTTTTATTCATGATTGATGAAAAATATTTTCATTTTCACACACAATTCAAATTCAATTAGAAAAAGTTCAAAAATCATAGACGATTTTGCAAACGAAATTTACAAGTTTTTAATTAAAATAGAAAGAGATAAAAAATATTTATTATCTCGAAATCGACAAAAAAAAACGAAGAGTTTTTTTCGTCATGTACAAAACTTGAAAAAAATGTTTCACAAGATGTAAAAAAAATTAGTAAAATATGTTACATGGAGGAGTTAAAATATTCAAGTATAACTGCAATGTCGTCATCTGGATTTGTCATTTTTTGCATTCAATAAATTTAAAATGCGCAGGTAGAATAATTCTCGAATTAAAAAATGCATTCACGTTCTCTTGGCCGAGTTTTCTTGTTTTTTTTTTTTTTTTTTTTAATCTCATCTCATTCACGGAATTTTCAGCGAGGAAAAGAGAGGAAATACTTGGAAAAGTGTTCCATGCAAATGTCAAGTAATTTAGAATTCCCAACGAAATGAGAAAGGGATTCACGTTTCTGTGGCACAATCAATTGATTCGGTCGTTTGTTAAACAACGAGGAATATCCCTCTCACTTTGATACTTGAAATGCAGGGGAGTCGTTATTGAAATTTACGATCCATTTCCGATGCATAGTCCTCTTAACATATCAAATTTCCAATCAAATTCGATTTACTTAATTAACTCAATTAACTGTTAAACAAATAATTTCATTACAAATAATTAAAAACGTTTAAACAATAAATAAAAACCAATTTTCATCATATAATCATTATCTCTCAATATAGTAGAAAAAATAAACTATGAAAATTCAAAACAAAAACAATTTTCATCACAGTCCATAAATTAAATTCATAAACTAAGTATGCAAAAAAATTTAATATCCCGAAAGTTGAAATTTGATTAAGATGAGTAATTAATGAAAGCTTCGAAGTAAAAAATTTCAAAATTTAAATAGAGATCGATTTAATAACAAAATTTTTTCGAATATCAAAGTAGAATATACTCTAAAGATAGTTGATTATTATCGATCTAAATGACCTAAATAAACAATCAGACTAGAAATTACAACGGATTTTCTCCCTTTTAATGTCAATAAAATATTGGCAATCAACACAGTTATTATTTTACTTTTACAATTCCATGAAAAAAAAAGTTTGATTGTAAAAACTTGTTTTTCTAAAGATACAAAGTATTAAGTATTTTTTTTTAACTTGGAAAATTTACATAGAAAAAGAATTTTCTTTACATTTCAATCTCAACTTCGGAAAAATTTGAATTTTTGAAATTATTTTCTCTTGGAAAAATGCTAAAAATATTTCAAATGAAGGGAAAGTTTTTTTCAACGATGAAACTTGGATAATTTTTTCTGGATTTAAAAAATGAATTTCTAAACTAATATTCTTATCGTTTAATATAAAAATAATTATTAAAATTAATTTAAATTAAAGTAAAATCTATATTAATAATAGTTATATTTCTAATTTTTTCAAAAAAAAATGTTAGAAATAATTTTATTTTCCATAATTTTGCGTAATAATTGAATGTGATTTAATTTTAAAAAATACCATTCTTGTTAAATGAATGTTATAATTTTTTTAACATTAATAATTTTAATCTGGTAAAATTTAATTATTACATAGAATTTTATAAAAAAATTTGAAAATAATTGAATTCTTTAGAAGAATTCTATTAAAAGTTTTAAAAATAATTGAATTCTGTCGATGATTTTTACTCAAATTTATGAAAATACTTTCGAGAAATTTTATTAAAATTGCACTAAAAATACTTGAATTTTTTCTAACAATTTTATTATTCAAAACAATAATTGAATTCCTCAAAAGAACTTTATTAATATTTTTTAAAATAATTCAATTCTTATACAGAATTTTGTCAAAATTTTGAAAAAATAGTTGAATTTTTACGAGGAATTTGATTAAAATTGTATTAATAATAATAATTGAATAGTTTCGAAGAATTTTATAAAATTTATTTAAATAATTTCGTGAAATTTTATTAAAGTTGTATTCAAAATAATTGAATTTCTGTGAGGACTTTTATTGTTTATGAAAATAATTGAATTCTTATAAAGAATTTTAGCAATAATTTGGAAAATAATTGAATTCTTTTGAGAAGCTTTAAAAAAATTCTAGAGAAAATAATTGAATTCCTCTGAAAAATTTTATTATTTATGAAAAGAATTGAATTTTTTGGAGAAATTTTTTAAAAATTATGAAGAAAATAATTGAATTCCTGCGAAGAATTTTATTATTTTTAAAAATTAATTTTAATTGTAAAAAATTGTTTAATTGTAAAAATTAATATTAAAATTTTTGATAATAATAAATAATAATAAAGAATTAGTTAATTACTTAATAAATGAATTCTTTTTAATTTCGAGTCTAAAATTATTTAAAAATTCAAGTTAATATTTGAAAATAAAAATTTTGTAGTTTGCAAAAATAATAATAAAATAATTTAAAATGTTTCGCACGTAACATTTACAACTTGACATAATAATTGATATAAAAATATCAAATGATCATAATTCTTTGGAAAATATTAATGTCCGTAACAATTACTTTTTGTCTCGAAAAAATATATTTTACAAAAAAAAAGAAATGATTTATTACTGAAATAGTTTTTCTTAAATAGGTAACTCCGAAAATTTTCTGGATTTAAAAAATAAACTTCTGAACTAACATTTTGTTATCGTTTAAAATAATAATATTGTGAAACAAATAATTATTTTCAAAAATTCAAAAAAATCAAATTCTTCGAGATAACTAAAAATTTCTAAACAATTACTTTTATGTCACGATAAAATACTCTTAACAAAAAAGAAATTATTTACTACCGAACTAGTTTTTCTTTTTAAAAAAAAAGTATTTCCAAAAAAATCCCAGTGTGACAATTTCAAAAAAAAAAAAAAAATTCAATAAACAATTTAATTTGTGAATGATTGTGAGTGAAAACTGAAGATTTATGAATGAACTGTAATACAGCTGAACGGGTCGATACAGCCCCCCTTAAGCATAGTAATCAATACAAAGGGGGGTTTGGGTAGGCGTGGAGGGAACGGAGAGTCCATTCAGTAGAAACCTTAGGCATGCTATTGATTACGTGGGTGGATAAAGGGGAAATGATCCCCCACTCTTGTCCATTCAGTCTTGTCGAGGTTTTAGGAGTGGAACTATTTTGGAGGAGAAATTTCAGAGTGCCTCCCGTAGTAATAGAAGACAGTCGAAATGGTGGGTGGCGTGGGTGGTAGAAGGTCCATAAAGTATAAAAGGGGTTGTAACAGGGACGAGTTCAAATATCCACCCCCTTTGAGTCTCAACGAAATTAGAAAATTGGAGAAAAAGAGAGAGAGAGGACCAATTCTGTCCGCAGCATCCACCTGCTATGTTTCTAAGTGTTCAAAATGAAGCACAAAAAAAAATATTTCTCCCATTATTTGATAAACTAATTAATGACAAATTTTATGTTTTCAAATATGAATTGAAAAAAATTGATATTTTTTACTTTGGCCTTCTTGACAATTCCGAATTAGGAGATTAATGCGAGTTTTCTTCCGATTCTACATCTGCGGTGCCTCTTGTATTTTGTTTACCTAAAAATAAAATTTTAATTAGCTAAAAGTGTTCATTATTTAATACAATTTCTGAAACAGAAATATTGAAACAACAACAATTTAAACAACAAAAATATTGAAATAACAAATTATAAAACAAAATTATTATTTTGAAACAAAAATAATTTATAAAACAGAAATATTGAAACAACAACAATTTATACAACAAAAATACTGAAACAACAATTTATAAAACAAAATTAATTAATTGAATTAATTCTTTCGAAACAAAAATAATTTATAAAACAGAAATATTGAAACAACAACAATTTATAAAACAAAAATAATTTATAAAACAGAAATATTGAAACAACAATAATTTATAAAACAAATATTGAAACAACAATAATTGTTGTTAATAATAATTAACTACAACAATAACATCCCACAAAGCACCGAAATTTGCAGTAATATCAGTAATATTGACATTTTCTCTACGTTTCCAATACATTGAGGAAATATTGTCAACATTGCCACAGGTTTAAACACTGTGTGGAGTAAATAATTTTCTCAAATTTGGCACCAAAGGGTTAAAAATATCTTTATAGAGACTATGCTTAATTATCCTTTCTACTATATATAAATAATATTAATTTTATTCTCACTGAAATTGAGACTGAAGATTATAAACAGTCAAAATTTTGAGGTTATGTTTACACTGAAAACCGATTTTCAAAAATTGTAATAAAGTACAAGGAATAAAAACTAATTTACTAACTGACTGACCCAAAATTTGTCACATATGGATAATATTAATTAAATTTTACCTAAATTAAATAAATAAATACAATAGACAATATGAAGATAGATACCTTCTTTTAGTTGCTAAACGAGTTCCTTTTAGAAATAATCCAAAACAGTTTTAATACTCCATTTAACATAAGCAAACATCAGTCACTCTTTGAAATCACTTCCGGAACTGCAAAATTGTTGATTTAACGTCAATAATTACTCTAATTAGCATATTAGCCGATGAATTAAACACTGAAATTCAATTAATCAAGAACACTCAAAAGAACGATAAAATTTTAACGGTCATTATTCAAAAACGAAACTGATTTTTCCGTGAAATAGTCAGGTGATGACATCTGTTGCAGCGCAACGGAAGCTCGTTCAATTAAATTTGCCCGCGAAATACAAAACTAGAATACATTTTCAATAATCTCTTTGGGCTTTATTTAATAAAACACGATTTAAGGAGAGTAATTATAAATAGTAAACAGTGAATAATTTCGAAACTGATGTACCCAAATAGTTTTGATATTGTATTTACTAACAAAAACAAGAAAACAATTCTTAATGTCGAGTGCGCAGACGTTAAAATAAACACGCAAAAACGTGCTTTGTGACCGTTTGGATGAATTGGGTTGAAATGTAAACAAAAAGTGGATAATTTACGTCAATTATGATTATTATAGTAATTATAATAATAATATATAATATAAAGTAAAGTATTTATTTTTCTATTAAATGTTAAACGCGTTTTTATAATGACTCCTACAATTAAAAGTCCACTGACCGTGAAGGTGAAAGAAAATGATTCGCAAACAAACATTAAAAGCAGGTACGTTTTCAAAACATTAATTAGGTTACTTTTTGTTTTGAACTTTTTAATGATTTTTTTCTCTAATTTTCTGTAAATGTTGTAAATATTTTCAGCTCTGAGTTATTAGTAAGAGTGAGATACAATAACACTTTACCAGATTTTCCATTTGATTTAAAATTCATCAAACATCCTTTTTCCACGAGTCGGTGAGTTGTTTTTTTAATGAATAAACGACAAATGTTTTTGTTGACATTACAATTTAGATAGCATAACACAGAGAGCATAGTTCGTTTATAAATTAAATAAATAAATTTAATTTACTAAACAAATATATTGATTTGATATTTTTTGGGTATTAATTACGTTACTTGATTTTAATTAATAATGTAATAAATATTTTTTCAGTTTTGTCGAGTACAAACCAACGACATTAGAACAGGAATTTAAACATGAATTATTAAATGAGCCTGATTTGGGAATTGAAATTGATTTAGTTGATCAAGATCGTTTCACGTCGAATTGCAATTCTCAATTGGATCCGGCCGATGAGAAAATTTTCGAAGAAGAAATTTTTATGCCCCAAGATGTTACTCGCTCGATACATCATGCAAAAAGTGTCTCCTGGCTTCGTCGAACCGAATATATTTCGACAGAACAAACACGATTTCAATCTCAAACTGTCGAAAAAGTTGAGGCTAGAGTTGGATACAATGTCAAAAAAACTCTCGCGGTTTGTTTATTTATTTTTCTTTTCAAAATTATTTCTTTTCTTTATTTTTTCATTGTTTTATTTATTATTTTCTCTTTTATTTTTTTTCTTATTTTTTCTTTTATTATTTCCTTTTTTCTTTATTATTTTTCCTTTTATATTATTTCTTTTCTTTTCTTATTATTATTCCTTTTTTTTCTTATTATTATTTCTTTTCTTTTCTTATTATTTTTTCTTTTCTCTTTTATTATTTTTTCTTTTCTTCTTTTATTATTTTTTATTTTATTTACTGTTTTCTTCTACTTATTATTTTTTATTTATAAACGCAGGAAGGTATTTTATACATGGATCGTAGCAGTCAAATAAGCGCAATAAAAAAGACATTTGAAGATAATAAAAAACCAATTGAAGTACATCACAGTAAACCGAATGTTGTTCCGGTTGAAATATTTCCAGTGTTTCCTGATTTCGAGGTAATTTTTCACTTTTTTTAAACTATATCCAAATTTTCTTTTTTAAATAATTATCGAAATTGAAATTTTGTTTTATTACCAAATGATTAATTTGTTTCTAATTTTCAAATTACTAGTTATGGAAATATCCTTGTGCGCAAGTAATTTTTGAAACGGATCCTGCACCACCAGGACGCTCTATTTCTGCGCAAATTGAAGAAATGTCGCAAGCTTTGATCAGGTAGTTCTAATTCTGAAATTTCCTATTTTTATTTATTTTATTTATTAGTTATTTAATTGTTTTATTGCTCAATCAAAATTAATTTAAATAATAAAAATAATAAAATTATATATTATAATAGAAATTAATTTATTGCTTTAATTTTTTCAGAGGTGTAAAGGATGAGAGTGGAGAACAATTTGTCGCTTATTTTTTGCCAACGCAAGAAACACTGGAAAAACGTCGAAGAGATGTGAAAGCGGAAGTAAATTACATGTCCGATGATGAATATGATTATAAAATAAATCGTGAATATAACTGGAGTGTAAGGAGCAAAGCTACTAAAGCCGGTTACGAGGAAAATTACTTTTTCGTTGTACGAAAAGACGGGGTATGATAATTTTTACTAAATTTGAAACTGACAATCAAATTATTGTCAAATAATTATTCGAATTTATTTATTTAGATATAATTATCTATTCTCGATTTTTAAACACTATAATTATTTATAATCGTGTTTTAAATAAAATAATGATTTATTATCGATTTTTAAACACGATAATTATTTATTATCGATTTTTAAACACAATAATGATTTATTATCGACTTTTAAACACGATAATTGTTTATTATCTACTTTTTCGTACATTCGCCAAAACTATTTATTTTCGGGATGAATGTTGAATAAAACAATCACAATTTATTATTTTTTTTGTGCAGATTTACTACAACGAGCTGGAAACTCGTGTACGCTTAGTTAAGCGGAGACTGAAGAAAAATCAAGTTCCGAACAATACTCGTTTAATTGTTCAACACAGGCCTCTTACGAGTGTCGAGTCGAAAATGCACAGATATAGAGAAAAACAATTGGAACCCAGTTGCTACGAGGATGAGAGCGAACAAGAGCAGGACGTACAATTAGTTCCCTCCCAAGTTCAAGAGAATGACAAAGGTTTGTTTTTTAAGAAGCAAACTTGATAATTTTTTTACATTCCGCTAAATTTTGCCAATTAACTTTTTTAATCGAATTAAAAATTTTAATTACGTGCAAATTAATATTGTTTCATATAACAAGAAAGAAATTTATTAATTTGTGACACTTTCTGAAGAAAGATGTATTTTCATTCCAAAAATTACAAACATAATCCAAAAAATTTTTGCCTATCATTCTTCGCAACGGGGCAATTTTTTTTATTTATTTTTCTTATTATTTATTTTTATAATTTGAATTAAATTCAATTAAATTTTCAGATGGCTTGGATTCACAACGTCGTTCCAGATCAAAATCAAAATCAGTGAGCCGATCGAGATCAAGATCAAAAAGTCGTTCAGGATCCAGTACAAAATCGAGATCTAGATCTAAAAGTCGATCGCGATCTCGCTCAAACTCTACGTCGAGATCCAAATCAAAAAGTCGATCTCGATCTCGCTCAAACTCTACATCGAGATCCAAATCAAAAAGTCGATCACGATCGCGTTCAAAATCCTCCTCAAGATCTAGATCAAAAAGTCGTTCACGATCTCGATCAAATTCTACATCGAGATCTAAATCCAAAAGTCGTTCGCGATCGCGCTCAAAATCGACATCAAGATCCAAATCCAGAAGTCGATCAAGATCGCGCTCAAAATCGACATCGAGATCTAAATCCAGAAGCCGATCGCATTCTGGATCGAGATCAAAATCCAGAAGTCGATCTCGTTCTTCATCAAATTCAGTTTATTATTCTTCACGGTCCAGATCGGGCTCAAAGTCACCGAATAAATCACGTTCACCGTCTGTTGATTCAAACTAAAAAAATTTACAAATTTGAAAATCGTAAAAAAAGGATAAAATTCCGTACGATATTAACAAACTTTTGTTAAACAATTGTTGAAAGTTTTTCTATTTTTTCGTTCTATTTTTTTGAAAATATTAAAATATTTTGTTTTTTTTTCAAAGATGTTTCAAGAGTGAGAAAAAACAATCAAAAAGTTACACATTTAATGTGTATTTATAAAGAATATTAGAAATAAAAAACACTTAAGAAGTTAATTATGTTAATTACATGTACTAATTTTTCTAAATAAAATTAAAATTGAAAAAATACAGTTCTAGTTTATTTTAAATAGTATTTTACATTTTCTAACATTAATTATTTGCAATTACTAATTTTTGTTTTAATTTCTCTATTAAAAAAACAGAAAAGAATAGAAATTCGTTTAAAATAAAATAATATTTAATATAAATTTTTAATAACAATATTTTAACATTTAAAATAACAATACTTATTTTAAAACAATATTTAATTACTTGCAGTTACAAATTTTTGTTTTAATTTCTCTATTAAAAAAAACAGAAAAGAATAAAAAATTAATTTACAATTGAATTTCGCGCGGAAAATTTTTTTCGCTCTGAAGCGCCATCTATGCTTGATAGAAACAAATTTCATCGTTTTTGGTCGGAGTCAGACAGAAAACATTTTAAGCGCTCCTTACACGTAATTAGTGAGCGAAATTTTCGTTACTAACACAGTTTATAAGAAGATTAAAAAACGGTGACAATAGATATCAACAAGTTTTGTGGTGGATTTAGATTTGATGCACGAGGTAAGTGACCTAAATGAGAATGAGAAGACAATTTTCTTGGAACAGAGCTCAGAGTCTGTAAAATGGCGGTGATTGGGGGTGAGCGGTAGAGGAGGAAGAGATCGCGCTCGGTCCACGCTCAGTTTTGTTTTGATTTTGTACTCGTGTCCATTAATTTCTGATTAATATTAATGTCAATCAAATGAATTTATTGTGATAAACGGTTATTTTTAGGCTTGATATTCAACTTTGCTGCTGAAAAACTTTTTTCGTTACGAAGCCAAAGTGTGGATTGATCCTTGAGGCTGATCACAGACGAAATTTTTGTGTGCTTGGAAAGAGAGGGTGAGGACCTTCGGTCCATAATCGGGATTTTTATTCCGCATTGATACGACCGCGATGCCCGTGACGTGCAATTCCAGTATTCCTGATAATCACAAAGGGATCAAGTGTGTAAAGGACAAAAGCGTTACTTTAAGAAAAACGGACGCGAGTCTGGACAAGGTCATCTCTGGGTAAGCAATTTTTCCATTTGCGCGCTAAACACATTTTGATTCTAATCCATTTCATAGTTTTATTATTTTTTTTTTATAGTGATGAGAAAAAGTTTAATTATTAATAATCTTGTGGATTACATATTGACAAGAAATGGTAATAGATTATTCGCGAGTGTGTATATGAGTCGTGTTTAAACTTGTTTTTCCTCCTTTGTTGTTCAATGTATTGCGACTTAGGTTTTCAGTGCTCAACAAATTATCAGGTTAGACCACCATCTCTCTCGTGACTTTGCAATTTCAACGTCTCCCAATTTTCAAATTAGATCAATGACCTTAATTTCCCGAGTGAAAAAATTACATGACTTTTAAATCGATAGTATTTTTCAAATGTGCACGTGTATCGTGGTTTTAAAATTATTGAAACCATTTTTTTTTCCAATAAGCGATATTAAATTCATATTATAGTGATTTATGATATAATGTATAATCGGATCTTCAATTAGGATTTATTCTCTATAGACAAGCAGCACGATAGGTAACAATTTTTTTTTATTCTATTGAGTAAAATTTTTTAAAAACTAAAATAAAATCGAACATTTTTTTTTATTTTATAGGTTAGAAACGAAATTACTGAAAGGTTAGGTAGAGGTCTGAAATTCCTGATGAAACATATCTCGAAATCACTGAAAGTATTGCAAATTCGAAGGAATTCTGAAGTTTTTTTTTGTTATCTTTGATAACAAATATCAGTAAAAATTTTATTTGTACTTTATTGCAATTTTAATAGTAAGTCGTGGGGAATGAGAAAAATTATAAAAGTTCGAATTATAGAGGTGTAGCAATTTTTATAAAGAAAGAGAGAGAGAGAGGATGTGTGTATATATATATACATAGACAGGGAAAGAGTTGAACGACTCTGTTTAAAATGCTTATCTTTCACGTTGAAGCAATCGATATTACCTTCCTTGTCTGAACTTGTCCTGCTTTTCATAACAATTGAATCATCTCAATGTAGTAGTAAATATTAACTTAAAAAATATTTGTTTAAATAGTACGGAAAAATAAAATTAAAAAAAGAAAAATTCAAGACTTTTTTTTGCCATTTGTACATACTTTTAAAAACTCAATCAATTTATTGACACAATATATTTTTTTAGTCAGAGGACACTTATCATTTATCATTTAAAATATCTTTGTAATCTCTCTGGTTGTGCATTTTTTATTATTCGCCCTCAACTGCAAATATTTTATTTTTCAACCCAAGTAGAATTTACAAATTTTGTTAATTTATTTTCAGATTTTAGTCGTAGATTAAAAACAAAATAACAATGAAGATCGATAGGAGCAGATTAAAAAAATGCACTTCAGAAGTGGTAAGTTTTATATTCACTCTACTCTTTATTTAATTCTACAATGTATTCAATTTTATTTTCTATAATTCAATACAATTCAATAAATTTTTCAGCCTGCGGAATGCCAAGCTTTGATAAGTAAGCTGCGTTCTTGCTCACATGCCGAACTCTTGGAAGAACTAAAGCAAATCGATGCTTGGACTTTTGGAAAATGTGAACTCTTTCATTGGATTGACGTTCTCGATTTGAGCGACAGCATCCTCGAGGAAGCTGCAACGAGAAGTCCGGAAAATTCTTGGGAACTAGCCTGTGATTTACCTCAGAATAGAGAGGTATTGTTTTTTGAAAATTTAAATTAAAGGCGTAAATTAATTGCATGTTAATTAATAAGCAATATTCCGGGCTCGAACTAGGTCCGTAAATCCCGCAAAGGTCCGTAAATTTTCTTCAAGTCCGTAAAAGTCAGTTTTTTTTTAAATGTCCGTAAAGTCCGTAATTTGATCAAAAAAGGACGAAAAGTTCGTAAATTGTACGATATAATATGGAGAATTTTAAAAAAATTACAAATGATTGCAGAAATTCAATTATTTTCAAAAGTATTAATTAAAATTCTTCCCTGAAATTCAATTATTATCAAAATTTTTTTTCAATTCTTGTAAATATTTCAATTATCTTTAGAAATAATAAAATTCTTCGCAGAAATTCAATTATTTACAAATTTTTTTTATAAATTTCTTCGCAATCATTCAATTATTTTCTTTAAATAATACATTTTTTACAGGTATTCAATTAGTTTTGTAAATAATAAAATTCAATTATTTTCTTAAATAATAAAACTCATTGCAGAATTTCAATTATTTTTAATACAATTTTAATCAAATTCCTTGAAAAATGTAATTATTCTTAAAAATTTTTAATTTAAATTCTAGTATAATTTTCTAGTAAAAATGGATTTCAGTTTAAATTTTAGATAATAATTGAATATTAAAATCATTAAAGCGTGAATTTTTAGAAATAATTAAATTTTGAAAATGTTTGAAATTAAAATCTTTGAAAATATTAGAATTTTTCACATTTTTAGAATTAATTTTATTGAGAAAGTTTCATTGCGGATTTTTTTTTGAAATTATTTGAAGTTTCTATTTTCTAATATATATTCAATTGAAGAATTTGTGAATAATTGAAATTTTGTAAAATTGAATTGTAAACAAATGAATTTGAAAATTCTTAAAGAACTTTTTCCAAAATTATTAAAAATAATGCATTTTTGAAGAATTTTAGTTAAAAACGCGAAACAAAAATTTAATTTTGGAAAAATTACAAATTATTGCAGAAATTCCATTATTATTTTCAAGAGTCATAATATTCTTCGCAAAAATTAAATATTGTTGAAAAATAATAAAATTCATCTTAGGGATTCAATTATTTTCACAAATAATAAAACTCATCGCAGAATTTCAATTATTTTTAATACAATTTTTATCAAATTTCTCGAAAAATGTAATTATTCTTAAAAATTTTATTAAAATTCTTTGAAATAATTCAATTATTTACAAATTTGTTGATAACATTCTTTATGGGAATTGAATTTTAAGAAACATTTAATTATTCAATAAATTATTTATCTGTATTTAAATAATTGAATTCTAGTAGAATTTTCTAATAAAAATTGATCCTATATAAAAATAAATTTCAGTTAAAATTTTAGATAATAATTTAATTGTTAACAAAATGTTCTTTTATTTGACTCGAACTGGTTATATTTTTGTCAATATTTTTGTCTGTAAATGGTTCGTAATTTTTCATTTTTGGTCCGCAAAATCCGTATTTTTAAATACTTTCACTGGTTCGAGGTCTGATGTTAATTAATAAACAATATTTAATAAGAAAAATACATGAGGAAATTTTATTTACAGGCAAAGGAATTACTATTATGGGTCCTTCATTTCACGACATTGCTGATCGAGCATTCATTTTCTCGACACTTATACAACAGTATGGAACACTTGGTCACATTATTGTCCAGTTGCGACATGCACGTCGTACTTGGTGTCTTGAATCTTTTGTACATGTTCAGTAAACGTAGCAACTTCATCACTCGATTGAATAGTGACAAGCGACAAGCATTGCTTAGTAGGCTGACTCATTTGGCCGAGGTAAGCAAACTGAACAGAATTTAAATGTCCATTTGAATTCAAAACCTAACATCAATTTTCTATAATTTGCCACAATTTTTTCAAACGAAAATTTATTGATATTTTTTCAAATGAAAAGGTATTGATATTTTTTTCGTATAAAAATGTATTGATAATAGTTTTTCAAATAAAAATTTATTGGAATTGTTTTTTAATCGTTCGTTATTTTTCGCAGAGTTGGGGTGGCAAAGAAAATGGCTTCGGCTTAGCTGACTGTTGCAAGGAATATCCCGACAAACCATTCCCTGCGAGTGCCACGACATTGCACTTTGAATATTACGCAGAGAATTCATCCGGAACGGATGCGTCAAATAGTAGTTCTAGTAATGTTAGTGGAAAAAAGACTGGTCAGACAAATTTTGTAATATATATTCACATAGAAAGTGTCGATAAACTTGGAGTAACCCCAGCACAGTTGATGAATGACTTGTTAAAAGTGCACAATGTTCCTCAAGAACGACAGGTATAATTTTTTTTTCTTCAAAATTACAATTATAATTATATTTGTAATTATAATTGTCACATAATTATAATTCAAAATTATAATCAAATGAGTGATTAACGATTAATAATTTTGTTTACTAGATGGCTCTTCTCACACATATTAGACTAGCACATAGTTTCTCAGATTATCGAAGACGCCTACAATGCGTGCAAGCTCGCCTTCAAGCGCTCTCCGTGCTAGTTTACAGTAACGCGTTGCAGGAAAACGCACACAGCCTCCTTCATGCAGGACTACTCGAAGAGTTGGTTGAGTTATTGGAGCTTCCGAATTCACATCTCGTTGAAATTAGAGCCGCCGCATTACGAACATTGACAAGCATCATTCATCTTGATCGAAACCCTCATTTTCCAAAGTAAAAAATATTCTTCATCTATAAAAAAAGTTTAAAGGACAAATCTCCTTTATGTAGAGACATATTTTAAAAATCATTTGTTTGGTATTTATTAAAAATTTGTTTGTCTTTGTCTCAACAGAAAACCAGGATCACGATTGAATATGATTATTGACGTAACTGGAGCGAGTTCGTATCATGGATTTCTTCCAGTTCTTGTACGAACATGCATAACGACATTGACATCACCACAACCCGATGGACAACCATTTCCTCTTCCCCTAGCCACTGCTTTGTTCAGTTTTCTTTACCATTTGGCAAGCTATGAAGCCGGTGGCGAAGCACTTGTCAGTTGCGGAATGATGGAAAGTCTCCTCAAGGTGATCAATTGGCCAGGAAGTGAATTGGAACACATCACCGTAAGTTTTATATTTTTAAGTAGTAACAATCTCAAATCTCATTTTCCTACCATTTCCAAAATTTGGGTTGCCACAGATCAGGATTTTTTTTGTGGCAACCCTGATAATTCTTTTCTTTTATCAATACGTTATTTATTGTTATTATACGTTACTTATTCTAATAATACGTTATTTGTTCATATTATACGTTATTTATTCTAATAATACGTTATTTATTGCAGTTTGTTACGCGAGCAGTGAGAGTGATCGATTTAATAACAAACATCGACATGCAAGGCTTTCAGGCACATTTTGGTTTAAATAGCTTTATCAAACGTCTCGATATGGAAGTGAATGTGTGTCGAAAGGAACAACCATTTGAAATCGAACCACAAGATATTGTAACATCCGATCCAATAAATACAACTGCCGAAACATCTACAACACGAAATGAAGCTGATGCTTCGAATTCAACGAATGAACAATTTGAGGAGCGTGAAGAAACGTCAAATCCAATGGAATTCTCAGAAGATGAGACAATGGTTAAGACTGAAGAAAAAACCGAACAGCAACAACAACAACAGCAGCAGCAACAACTACAACAGCAACCTGATTATTCAGCAGCTAAAAGTGGAAAAACTTGCTTGCCTCAACGTGCCGCATTATTAAAATCGATGTTGAATTTTTTGAAAAAAGCAATTCAAGATCCAACATTCTCTGATAGTATACGACACGTTATGGAAGGAACTTTACCATCGTCATTGAAACATATTATCAGCAATTCGGAATATTATGGACCATCACTTTTTTTACTCGCCACCGATGTTGTTACGGTTTATGTTTTTCAAGAACCGTCCCTGTTATCAACATTACAGGACAATGGCCTTACCGAAGTTGTTCAACATGCATTGCTTATTAAAGAAGTCCCGGCAACTAGAGAAGTTTTAGGTTCAATGCCAAATGTCTTCAGTGCATTGTGTTTAAATACCCGTGGACTTGAATCATTTTCTAAACGTCGACCATTTGAACGTCTTTTTAAAGTACTTCTCTCACCTGTTTATCTATCGGCAATGCGACGACGTCGTAGTGTTGAACCACTAGGTGATACTGCCACAAATTTAGGCAATGCAATGGACGAATTAATGAGACATCAACCGAGTTTAAAGACCGATGCTATTGCTGCTATTGTGAAATTATTGAAAGAATTGTGCGTTCTTGGTTGTGATCCACGTTATATTTGTTGGAGAGCGGCAAATAAGACGGACAATTCACCGTCACATTCGAATTCGACGAATCGACAATCGCCAGGACAATCGGTGGGTGTTGGAGTTGGTGATACGAATAGTAATCGTGGAGGAGGCGCTGGAAGTAGCAGTGACGAGGAAGAGGAGGATGAGGAGGAAGCGAGTACAAGTTCACATCCTCAGCGTGAAGAGCAACCGTCGCCTTCACCTGCGCAACCTGGACCACCACCACAACCACGGGAAAAGACTCCAATCGCTTTGGTCGATTACATTCACAATGTTATGAAATTTGTCGACGCTATACTGAGTAATAATTCCACTGATGATCATTGTCGAGAATTCGTCAATCAAGATGGATTAGTTCCTTTATTGTCGATTCTTGGTTTACCCAATTTACCAGTTGATTATCCAGTTGCACAAGCTGCTCAGGCCGTTGCTTCTGTTTGCAAAAGTATACTCGTAAGTATTTCTCTTTATTTTTAATTCAAGAGTGAAAAATAAAATAATAGGCCTTGGATAATGATTTTTTTGGACTATTTTTGACTTATTTTTTTGTGACTATCCGAGGCTTGTAATAATAAAAATATTCAATATCGATAATAAATAAAGTAAAAAAAAAATATTCAATATGAATGATAGAACAAATTATTTAGTTTTGTTAATTTTTGTTTTCAGAATCTTGCACATGAGCCGCAGGTCTTAAAAACTGGACTAACTCAATTGAACGACGTTTTGAATCTTTTGAAACCACTTCACAGTCACATGAACGCACCCGGTGGTTCGGTTCTATTACATGAACTTGCATCGGCACCAAATCTCGAAACAGCCTTCACTAGTGATCTCGCGACACCCCTTCTTCACGCAATGAACGCCGCACACGGTTATGTCGTTCTCTTCGTTCACGTCTGTCGAACAAGTCAAAGTGAAATTCGCAATTTATCCATGAATCATTGGGGTTCGGAAATGGGTTTAGAAGTGTTGAAAGGACTTTCCAAATTGTACATGTCTCTCGTGTGGGAGAGTACACTGTTACTGGCACTATGCAGTGATGACAGTATCCCTGCTGGTTGCGATTTTGGAAAAGAAGACATGGACAAACTCGTACCACCAGAATTGAGAACCGAAGGCGATGGCTCAACCTGGTCGGGTGTTTCCGCCGCCGACATGGGCAGCAATGGAATGACAACCGCCATGGAAGCATTGAGCACTGATCCACCGCCAGTATCGATGGAAGTCGACGATAAACCGAGTACAAGCACCGGACGAACATCGCCAAGTACACATCAATTGAAGTACATAAAACCACTTCTTGGCGCTTCGTCAAGATTGGGACGAGCTTTAGCCGAATTATTTGGACTTTTGGTGAAACTCTGTATGGGCTCGCCAATGAGTCGACGACGCGGACAACAGATTCCATTGACACCGGCAATTCCATCGCAGGCCGCAAGAAGTGTCGCAACGTCTCTCAATTATCTTTTGATGCGCGGCTTATCCTGGGACCAATTGCCACCGTCGCCAATTCCTAAATTCAAATTGACATTCCTGATTTGCTCCGTTGGCTTCACGTCGCCAATGCTTTTTGATGAGAAACGTCATCCTTATCATTTGATGTTACAAAAGTTTGTCAAACTCGGCGGACAAGATGCGTTCTTTGGAACGTTTCGTTGGGCTTTGTCCGGAGGTGGACAATTTCCCCTGACCGAGGGTCTTGAACATCCTAATTTACCCGATGGCACTGGGGAATTTCTCGATGTTTGGCTAATGCTTCTCGAGAAAATGGTCAATCCGAAAGCAATTTTAGATTCACCGCATGTGATTTCGTCGAAGTGTACGGGAGTTTATAAGGTTTATGAGACATTCGATCCGAATAAGTATCTTCAGGATATACATAAAAAGGCGTTCGAGGCGGTGATGCTGATGTGGGGAAAGAAACCTTTGAAAAATTACGGTGCAAGAATGACGGAATCGATTCTGTCGATATTGAGACACATTCTTCGGGGTGAGAAGATAATCAAGGAACGTGCCGAGAAGGAGGAGAATTCCGAGGCTTCGGGTTCGGGATCAGGAAGGAATGGAGCGACTTCCGATCGGGGGGATCTGCCCGATATGGTCGTTAATCGTGATCATTTGAGACAGTTGATGGACATGGGTTTCAGTAGAAGTCACTGTATTGAAGCTCTCTTGCATACTGTCACCCTGGAGCAAGCTACTGATTATCTGCTCACAAATCCGGCTACTTTGAGAAGATCCGACGTTTCAGCGGGTGATGGAACCGGACCGGGATTGATGATGGATTTGGAATTAGCCGATGATGATCAAATGATGCACGCAATTGTCATGTCGCTAGGTGATAATGAAACGAAAACTGTAAACGTACCAGAGGAACCGATTTGTGATGTTCCGGTCACTGAGAGTATCAATAAATTTACCCGTTCCGCTTTAGATCAGTGTCTTAGTCTTTTGGATTTGATGCCTGATACGGTTTACAGAATTTGTGATTTACTCGTCACGGTGACGAAGAGAAATGGCGAGGCCTGGAGGGATAATATGTTGCGTCAATTGATTTACGATATTCGACGATTGGTGTGTTTTTTGATTGAAATTGCCGAGAGTCAGGACGAAGACGCGGGAACACGTCTTGTTGAATGTAATGAGGCGAATGAAGTTGCTGGAAGAATTTATCTCTATACACTATTTTTCGAGGGCAATATTCAAGAAATGCGAGTGCCTTGTGCACAGATTGTCGAGGAGTGTGGAATTTTACAGAAACTTGTGCAATTATTGGTGATGAGTGAAGGACCGTTGACAGCGGCGAAGAATAAAGCGGCGAAAGAGAGTAAGGACGCTGTTCTTTCAGTTAAGACACCAAAATGGCTGGCTCCATTGCTACTGCTTATTGATCGATTGGAAAAAGTTGCTGTACTCATGCAGAGGAAGCAATTGATGCACAAAGTGACAAATCCGGTTTGGAAATGGTTTGATCTCACCACTGGAAAGTGGATGGTTTATTCGACTGCGAATAATAATACGATCAATGAAGCTTACATGGCCGGGGAGAGTCAGGTGAGAATTTCTTACAGTCGAAGACGTTATCTTATTACCTTTTCCTGTATGACGCAATTGAACGAGGAGACGGAGAATAGACGACCGATTACGATGAGCTTTAAGAAACTTGGATCTAACGAGGAGAGTGCGGATTCGAATATGGATACGGAGGAGAGTCCTGCGGAGAATAAGGAAAAAGAGAAGGAGAAAGAAAAGGACAAGGAGAAAGAGAAGAATAAAAATGTCCAGATTCAAGGACTCGATCCAAGTATAACTCCAAGTATCGTTCAGGCTTGTGTTAAATTGTTGGCAATTCCAGTTGATCGTGATGCTTTGCATGCTTTGATGAAAGTCTGCTTACGTTTGACTCGTGACTACAAAAACGCCGAGGTCTTTGCTCGTGAAGGTGGAGTTCGTCTACTTTTGGATATGACACAAGCGAGTAATTTCATTGGATGCATTAATCTCAGTACTCTGTTGATTCGTCACACACTCGAGGAGCCGAAAACACTCCGTCTTGCTATGGAGAAAGTCGTTCGAAGTCGAACACAGTCGAATATTCCGCCGGCTTATAAGGAAATTTTGTTCATGACTCGACAGATCAGTAGTGCGGTTTGTAGAGATCCGGAGGTTTATCGTCAAGTTTGTGAAAATATTCTGCGAGTCGATGTCAGTGTTCTGAAACGGGACGATGTTGATAATAGATTGGTGGTGAAGGCTCTTCCACCAGTTCAGTCATCAGCGACACCAATGACCGAAGACGTGTCAATTGAAGTTATTCACGATTTATTGAATGCTCTAATCAAACCAATGCCCGTATTACCGGAAGACAGTTCAGCGTCACCGGCTTTCAGTCCTGAGAAAAAAGCCGCGACAACCGCAACAACTTCAACATCAGCGCCTACCACTACCAATTCCAGACGCGATATAACAAGAAACAGTGTCGCGACAACCAGCGATCCACTCGATGATGATGATCAAGTGTCACAAATCATCCCCCTCAAGATGTACACCGACATGGGCAACAACGCCAAAGTCGAACCAGAAGAAGCGAAAAAGCCCCTTCTGCAAAAATCGGCAATTCTGAAAATGCTCGCCGAAGCCATTCGCTCTTACGGCGCTGTCGCTAATCTAATCACCGAATACACATATCGCGCCGATCAGAGTGAAATGATCACCGAAAATACAACAGCCCTCGCTTTTCTGCTCGATAAACTTCTACCAAGTTTACCAGAAAATTGGAGCGATCGACAATGTGGAACAATGGCGAGAATGTTAATTGCCGCCATCGCCTCCTGTAATCATTCACCAGAAGCGCAAAGTACTCTCGTTTCGGAAGTGAAGGCCGCATTAACACGAACACTCGCCGTACCTGAAAGTTCAGCGAAACATTCGCAATTACAAATTCTCATTGGATTAATATCGACAATGATTGACAGTTGTCCACCAACATCACATACACAATTGCGAGCCTCACTCAAAGTTCATCAGTACAATAATGTTAATTATATTGTGAGAATAATGCTGAAAAAAGGAATTATCACTGATTTGGCGAAAATACCACACAGTCTGGATCTCTCGAGTCCAAATATGGCGGTGACGATAAACGCTGCACTAAAACCATTGGAAACATTGTCGAGGATCATTAATCAACCGATGCCAGGAACTGTTAATAATAAATTCACTAAACCAAAGAATAGAACGACTCAAGAGGAACAAGTTGGCGAACAATCGGGGACAACGACTTCGGAAGCTACACACGCTGTTGGCGAGGAAGTTAATGAGGACGCGGAGAATACCGAGCATGACATTTCAGTCACTGCTGAAAGTTTGGAACCAACTTCTGAGGGTCAGGGACATGAAGGTGACGAGGCCGCGTTGGAGGATATAATGGGTCAACTTTTAGAAAGGTATCACGAAATAGACAGATTTTTATTATTTTTTTTTATATTCTTTCTTATTAATCAATTTATTTTATTTTTACTACATTTTACTTATGCCCATTAATTTTATTACTTTCGTATCTTTTTATTTTTTACTTTTAGGCTTCTATTTTTGCTTCTTTAATTCCATTTATTTTTTACTCTTTACTTTTTTCACTTTTATTTTTTACTTTTATTTATTTATTTTTTACTTTTTTACTTTAATTTATTAATTTTTTAACTTTTTATAAAGAAAAATGTTTTGAATTTGATTAAAAGAAGAATATAATCATCAACTCTGTGTGAGATTACGTAAAAATACATTGTCTATAATCAAGCAGTGTCCTCTATTCTAGGAACGGCTCGGCCGTTGCCGAGGAACCAACTTCCCGATCACACAGACCAATGGATATCGATGATGAGAGTCTCGCGTTACGCGACAATGAAGGGGACTTTGATCCAACTCGTGACACCACCGTAAGAGTAACATCACCTTTTTTCTCTTGTTTATTAAATAAATAGTAAATTTTTTGTTCACTAATTTTTGTTGTTTCAATTCTTTTACAGGAAGAACTGATGAGTTCTGATTCAGATTCCGAAAGCAATCCATCTGAGGACAATGAAGACGAGGTCCAAGACGATGATGACGAAGAAGAAGAAGAGGAAGATGACGGTAATTGAAAACATTTTTTTATTCTAATAAATAAATTTATAAAAATATAAAATTATAAATTTATAAATATAAAATTTGGTATCGATTTAATTTGTATTTTTGGAAAACAGGTGAAGAGAATGAGGAAGAAGAGGAGGAGGAAGAGGAAGGTTCCTCAAACTATGAAGAAGATGGTCTTGATTTTTACGAAGATGTTGGAGAAAGTGTTTTCCGAATGTTACCATCATCGGAACGTGACGTGAGCAATGTCGTTATGATTCAACACAATTTCGGCAACGAAGGTGCCGATCATCCGACAGCACCCACCGGAAGTCGACAAAGTCTTCAATGGAGTGGAAATATGCCTTTACCTTTGGGATCATTCGAAGAACCAACTTCCGTTTCAGCAAGCAATGGTAGAATCTAATTTCCTCCATAAGCGCAGTTTCAATAATAAAAACTCTCTTCCAGGAGTTTTTTTTACCTTTTTTTTATTCAGAAAATATCTTTTTACAAAATGTATCAATTTTTACAATTTTTATTTATTTTTCTTCTTTTTTTTAAAATACTTTTTTCCTATATTTATTATTAATATTTTTACTATCATTACTATTATTATTACTTTTATTATTATTATTACTATTATTGCTATTATTATTGTTGTTATAATTATTACTATTTTGGATTTATTATTTTTTTTAAAATGAGAATTGCGTGGAATTGACAAGAATAGAAAAAATGTTTAATTTATATAAAACTTGATATTTTTCAGCTTCATTTAATTCGCGGAGAAGAGTGGACGGTTCTTTACTGCTTTCTCGTATTTTAGGTATAAGCCTGCAGCCTTTGCTAATGGCGCAAAACAGTTTGGATCCAAGCAATTCACGACTACCGAGGGCATTACGCCAACGCAGGTATCAGTACCTCCATGTACCGAACCCGCGCAATCCCAATCCTCCTGTAATTTTGCAAAGGTGCGGTTTTATTAGGATTAATTTAGAACTCCAATTTAGTTGGTTTATCACGAATTATTCTTAATATATTTTCTTAAAAAAATTTCAGACTTTTAGGACCAGCCGCCCAATCTCTTCCATTGTCGGCCAGTCAAGTATTGGCGTCAAGCTTACGTGATACACGAGTTCTTGTCATGGACAGTGCTCTTGGAATATTTACCAATCAAGATGAAGAGCAGGTTGATTTTGTTGTGAGTTTATTTTAGTATTTTTTTTCAATTATTTTAACTTCAAAAACTTAGAGATTTCGATAAGTTTATTTTATTTTAATTTATTTTATTTCATGATTATTTTTATTTGTAGGATCAATCTGGATATTTATATGGACCTAGTTTAGCAGCTACCTTAAATAATATTCCGACAACTTTACACTGGTGGATAGAGGAAAGTAAATTACTGGATGGAGACTCACAACCAGATTGCTGTGTTGGTCAGTATTTTATACTTTCTCTGGAATTTAAAGATGCATTTTTGATTATTTCATAAACTATTTGATTGTTAATTCGACAAAAAAGAAAATGAGTGACAAATGTGGAATAATTTCTTACAGGAGTTGTATATAAACTGATACCCGATCTGGAGAAACACAGAAATGCAGAATTGGCGGAAAGAAAAGAAAAGCGGAAAAAGCAGCAGGCAGCTGATAAAGAAGCTGAAAAGGAGAAAGAAGACAAGGATAAGCCAACGTCTACGGAACCGGAAGCAACGACAACAATGGCTGCTGAAGAACAAACGCCGACAACTTCATCAACACAGGTAACATCACCACAAGCAGTGACTATTAAAGCAACTGTCGAATCGGTTGTAAGCAATCAGACACCGGCGGAAGACATTATTGAAGTCACTGGTGAAATGGAAGTGACAGTGCAGGACGAAGAGGAACGACCACCACCACCTCTTCCAGCAGTTGTCGATGCAACTGTCGAGGCAACTCGCGAACGCGTCACGGCAAGACTCAGCGCCACTTTGGAATTAGCCGAAAGTATCGTTGACTCGGTACTTGGTCCAAGTGCCTCTGAAGCTACACGACTGCAAAGACAGTCAGAGCGCAATTCCGAAGATACAAATCTATCCGAATCGTCAACAGATAGGAATCTTATTGATTTTACACCGGAAACTGGTGACGAATTATCACGCGAGAATAACGATTGTCGCGATTGGGTGAGAAGACTTTTCGCCGACGATAGTCAAGCTGGTGTCGAAAGGAACGCCAATGTCGTCAATCAAGAACCTACTTCATCAACAACCGAGAATAACGCCCAAGAATCATCAACCGAATCAACAGAACAACAGCAGCAACAACAAGAACCACAGGAAGCGCAAGCGCCCGCAGTGCAAGAGGAAGCACAACAACCGCAAGCCGCGCAAGATCAACAATTACCAGACGGTGTCGATCCATCATTCCTCGCAGCTCTACCCGAAGAAATGCGCGACGAAGTGATTGCCGAGCAAATGAGACTTCAACGACTTCGTCAACGAACATCGACCTCAGTCGCTGAGGAATTGGCCGGACCGGTTGAAGTGAATCCCGAATTTCTAGCAGCACTCCCACCATCAATTCAAGAAGAAGTTCTAGCGCAACAAAGACTCGAGCAACAACGTCACGCCGCTGCATCGGCAAATCCCGAGGATCCGGTCGACGCTGCCGCTTTCTTCCAGAATTTACAACCATCATTAAGACAGGCGATTTTAACAGACATGGAGGAATCGCAAATATCTGTTCTACCACCAGAATTGGCGCAAGAAGCGCAAAGTTTGAGACGCGAATGGGAGGCGAGAAATCGTCACATTATGCAGGAACGTTTCCTCAATCAAGTGAGTCAAGGTGGCACGGCATTGTCAAGTATATTGAGAAGTTCGAGTCGTGGTCGTGGGGGAAATGCACGAATTTCAATTCACGCGATGCCACAACGAGCACAATGGAGTTCATGGAATTCGCGAGGTGACACGTGTCTTGCGCATCAACACACTGGCGCTGGTCTACGATTAAGGGGACGTCAATTACTCGATCATGAATCAATGGCCTGTCTCCTTGTTCTTCTATTCGTCGATGAGCCGAAAATTAATACACTTCGATTACACCGAGTGATTCGAAATCTCTGCTATCATGGCAGTACAAGGGAATGGGTTGTCAAGGCACTACTTGGAATTCTCGAGAGAAGTAACGATGAGAATAAAGATGTGCTCGCCGATTTTATTGGTAAATTCAAGAGGAAAGGTGCTCACTCAGCAATTGAATATTGTTCGCCAAAAATTGATAATCGAACAAATGCGCAATCTTGGTTGAATATCAGTATTGACGCAGCTCTCGGTTGTCGAGCGAACGTCTTTCATATATTGAGACACGGCGGTAAGAAATCTGATCGACAGGGACATAATATTGCAATTCATCCACAAGCTGCGCCAACAGTTTGTCGACACACCTTGGAACTTCTCATTTCGTTGGCCAAGAGTTTCCCGGGTTATTTCGTGCCTTTGAAGTCGAAAGACGCGGAGGAGAAGGAAAAGGAGAAAGAGAAGGAGAAGGAGGCGAATTTATTGAAACAAGAGGAGAGTGGAGCTAAATCGAAAACCCCGGCGAAAACTGGCAAAAGTGACTTACCTGACTTTTGGGATATGCTGCTGAGGCTCGACTCGTGCGCTTCGAAGAAGGGAAAATCAGTTGCGCGAACACACTCGAGCTCAAATCTTGGCAGTGAACCCGAACAGGGTATTACAACTTTTGAGGCATCCGCCTTTGGACAATTAATATCAATGCTTCACTGGTCGGTGATTAGGCGAAGTAGTCAATTAACGGATAAATTATTAAGATTGCTTTCACTTATTTCGATTGGATTGACTGAGGTTAATCCGTATAGACGGCAGGACAATACGAAGGCAAAGAAGGTTGAACCGAGTAAGGAACAATGTGTCGCTGCACCAGAGGGTCATATTAAACTCGCCGTCCAAGTTCTCACGAGTAAAAGTTGCTCCGAGGAAGGCCTCGAGGATGCTACTGCGTTGCTTCTCAATTTGTCGCATTGTCCAGATCCCACACGGCAGTTGGTGAGTTTTATAAAAAAAGAAAAAATAAAAAAATTTTATTTAAAAAAAATAAATCTGTAAAAATTTATTTTAATTTACAGATTTTAAAGCTTCTCCTCGAAGGAGCCATGGAATTGGCGAATATGGTGTGTGAACATATCAATGAACTGATGATTGAATTGAAGGTTCTGAACAGGGAAATAAATAGAAGGAATTCCTTGGACGAACAGCCGTCGACAAGTGGAGGCGGTCAACGAGGTCTCCTCCTCGATAGGTGAGCTAAAAGCTTTGATTTTTTCAAAACTTAAAATTAAATTGTAAAAGGAATTTTTTGAATTATTTGATAATCCGATTCAATGTCTCAAAAAAATATTTTTTTGGAAATTATAAGTTTTTTTTTAAATTTAGGTTTACAAATGATAATGTCGTTATCACCGCACCATCTAAAATCAAAGCCGGAAGTGATCTTCAACTTCCATCAATGGGTGCTCTCATTAGTAAGACTTCTAGTCAAGCATTCTTCCTTCGTATACTAAAAGTTATTGTACAAATCAGAGAGGCTGTACGCCTAGCCAATAAAAAGAAGACAGGTAATTGTTTTAGTATTTTAACATTTTATTGCATTTATTTATTTTATGAATGATAGAATTATAATCACTGCAAAATTATTTGCAATTTTTAATTTAGTGTGAAGTTATGAGAATCTATTTCTCAAACTAATAATTATTTCATTGTTCTTTCAGAAACAACTCCAATTGCAGAAATAGATATGGAAACAGGTATTTATAAATAAATTAAATATATAAATAAATCTTTATTCACTTGTTGTAAAATTGAGATTAATTGTATTTTTTGTTTTTAATAGTCGATGACATGACCGATACGGAGAGTATGGATACGACACAAGCAAATACTTCGCAGACAGCTCCAACCGAAGCGAAAGCAACTACTTCGAAAAAGGGTATTTCTTTGACTGCAAATAAATAAATTTATTCACACAAATTTAAAATAACTGAACGTAATTTATTTTTAAAATTAAAGACTTAGAAAATTTCTTTTAAATGCAAATAAATAAATATATATAGGAAAAGTAAAGTAAAGAAAAAATATTCTTCTTTTTCAGTTGAAGAGGAAAAACCAGCACTTCCATTATTGAGTGAGAGTTTAGTATTGGACAATCTGTGGGAAACACTCAGTGCCTGTTTACTTGAACTTGAGCATACACCCGATCATCATGCCGTTCTTGTTCTGCAGGTAAAATATTTTTATTTAAAAGTACTAAAAAAATAAGAATATATTTTATGAATATTATTATTTAAAATATTGTTTTTGTTTATACTTATAAAAAATTATTTTCAGCCCGCAGTTGAAGCCTTTTTCCTAGTACATTCATCGTCCAGCATTTCTCGTGATAGAAACAACGAAAATACGACAGAAAATCGTGATCGCGAAGCAGTGCCCGACTTGGCACCTGTTTCTCCAATTTATTCCGACAGTGAAGGCACCACACAATCTGAAGTTGCTGCGAACACATCCTGGGATATTAATCCTCCACCACAAAAGACTTTACCTCCGGACCAATTGAAGTTCCTCAAATTCGCCGGTAATTATCTTTTTTCTAATTTTGCATAGAATTAAACTTTTTTTTTCCTTTTCTATTAAGGAAAATATTTTTTTAAAAGAAAAATTTATATATTAAGAAAGAAAAGTAAATTAAGTAAATAAGAATAAGGAGGAAAAAATAAAAATACTTATTTTGATAATTTAATTTTGTAGAAACGCATAGAACTGTATTAAATCAAATTCTTCGACAAACAACGACTCACTTGGCGGATGGACCATTTTCTGTATTGGTGGATCATACGAGAGTTTTGGACTTTGACGTTAAGAGGCGATACTTTAGAACGGAATTGGAACGAATGGACGAGGGAATTCGTCGAGAAGAATTGGCCGTTCACGTTCGTAGGAGTCACGTTTTCGAAGATTCATTTAGAGAACTTCATCGTCGAAACGCTGACGAATGGAAAAATAGATTCTACATTGTCTTTGAAGGTAAATTGTTTTTTAAAAATTTTTTTCCCCACTTAAATCAAGTGGGAAATATTCTTACAACAAAAAAATATTCAAATAGTAAGAACATATACCACCCAATATTTGTGGGGAATATCCTTGGGACCTATTCTAGTGTATATTCCAAAATTAAGAATATTTTTTTGTCAGTGGTGATTTTACAAAAAAGTAACTTAAAAAAAACGATGAATTTTTGAAATCATCATTTGTAATGTCTAAAAAGGATTAGATATATAAATTTAAAAGTTGACATTTAAAGTTGCGAACATGTATGTGCCCTATATGTGCACATACATGTGTATAGTATTGGATTTTTTTGTCATTTTTGGCGAAATTTCTAAGACTGAGTTGCACGACAGCACGATAGAGAAAGCAATTTAATTAATCATATAATATTAATTAATTGTAATTTAATTAATTATATAAATGGATTTAAGTGAATATTTAATTTCTTTTTTAATAAAAATACTATTTTTTTCGAAATTAGGCGAGGAAGGCCAAGACGCAGGTGGATTATTAAGAGAATGGTACGTGATAATTTCGAGGGAAATTTTCAATCCCATGTACGCACTATTCACCGTCAGTCCTGGCGATCGAGTCACGTATATGATCAACTCATCTTCCCATTGCAATCCTAATCATCTGTTTTATTATAAATTCGTTGGAAGAGTGATCGGTAAGTTATTTTTCGAGAGTTTGTTTTTTTTATACGCAACGGTGAGAAAAATATTCAATTTCTTGTGCTTTTTCCAGCAAAGGCAATTTACGATAACAAATTGCTCGAGTGTTACTTCACTCGCAGTTTCTACAAACACATTCTTGGTATTCTCGTGAAACACACAGACATGGAGAGCGAAGACTATAGTTTTTACAAAGGCCTTGTATATCTCACTGAACATAATATTTCCGATTTGGGTTATGAGTTAACTTTCTCAGCAGAGGTAAATAAATTTTTACTTTGGAAATAAATTTCCTATTATTAAAGAATTGTTTTAGGAATTTTAATTACATTTTTTTATTAATTAAATAATTAAATTTAACAAATTGTTTTAAGAATTTTAATTAAATTTAAAGAATTGTTTTAAGAATTTTAATTAAATTGTCTACTATTGAAGAAATTAAGTGCGTCATGGAAATAATTGGTTTTTTACATTCTCTAGGTGAATGAATTTGGCGTAAATGATGTACGAGATTTGATTCCAAATGGTCGCAATATTGTTGTCACGGAAGAAACGAAATTGGAATACATTCGTCTTGTTTGTCAAATGAAAATGACTGGAGCGATTCGCAAGCAGTAAGTATTTTTCTATAATTTTCGGAGAAACGAATGAAAATGTTTGCTTTTGAAATAAATTAAAAATTTGTTTTCGTTTATTTTTTTGTATTTATATTAATAAGTTCTGCTTTTCTTTCCCTGCAGACTTAATGCGTTCTTGGAAGGTTTCTACGACATCATTCCGAAACGATTGATTTCCATCTTTAATGAACAAGAACTCGAGCTTCTTATTAGCGGTTTACCAAATGTTGATATCGAAGATTTGAAATCCAACACCGAATATCACAAATACAGTCCCACATCGTTGCAGGTAAAATTTACGATTAATAATTTTGCGGATTAAACTTGCAATTAAAATATGAATTTTAAATATTCGGAATATTTTTTTTAACTCAAATTCTAGTTTTAATGTTTGAAGAATTTTGAATTTATGCCTTAATTTTGAATTAATATTTTGTTACACAGATTCAATGGTTCTGGCGCGCATTACGGGGTTTCGACCAAGCGGACAGAGCGAAATTTTTACAATTTGTTACTGGAACGTCTAAAGTTCCTCTTCAAGGCTTTGGTGCACTAGAGGGAATGAATGGCGTGCAAAAGTTCCAAATACACCGAGACGATCGGTCCACGGACAGATTACCATCAGCCCACACATGGTGAGTTATTATTCAAGAATTATCTCTCTTTAAATCTTGAAAAAATTTTCTGGCATCTAGTGCAAAAAACAATTATTTTTAAAAATTTAATTATTAATTAGTCTCAGGGTTGCCACCAAAATTTAATTCTAATTTTCTCTGATTTTTTCCTGATTTCCAGACAAAATGTTCTAATATATTTATTTGCGAATTTCTTTAATTGTAAAATTATTCGAAAACTTCAATATCTTCTCTTTTAAATAAATATTTAATTATTATTATTTTTCCATATGAATTAAGAATTTCATAAATTTTGCATTTCAATCCGTTTGAAATTTAATAATTTATAAAAATTGCTACTGTAGCTCTTTAAAAATTATTTTCATGATTTCAATTTAATTTTCTGGTATTTTTAACTAAAATTCTCTAAAATCAATTATTTTTAATAATTTTTGACGAAGTTCTTTGAGAATCTAATTATTTAAGGAATAAAGAAAGTTCACCTAAATTAATATTGAAATACAGTTGCTTACAATTCAATTTTACTAAATTTCGATTATTTGGAAATTCTTCAATTAAATATTCATTAAAATATAAAAAATTCAAGTAATTTGAAAATAAAATTAGATTAAAATTTTTCAAAAAAATTAGTTGCACAGAAATGTTAATTAAAACTACATATTAAAAATGCAGAATTTCAAAGATTTTAATTTGAAACTTTTTCAAAATTCAATTATTTCTAAAAATTGCTTTATTTGTAACTTCTTCAAGATTCAATTATTTTTTAGATTTTCTAACTAAAATTCTTATCTAAATCAATTCTTTTTAATAATTTTCAGAAAATCTTCTCTAAATCAATTCTTTTTAATAATTCTCTGAAAATTTTTCTCTAAATCAATTACTTTTAATAATATTCAGAGAATTCTTTTCTATATCAATTATTTTTAATAAATAAATACATATTAAAAAATCCAACTAATTTCAAAAGAATTTGAATTAAAATTCTTTAAACAACAAAGTTCAACAAAATTTCTAATTAAATTTATGCAAAATTCCAATTTTCTAAAATTTTAAATTGAAACCTTTTGAAATTTAATTATTATATATTTAATTATAATTATTTCTTTTGAAGAATTTCATTGAATTCTTATTTAAATAAAGGAGTTTCTTTAATAATTTTAATTGAAAATCTTCAAAGCACTTGAATTTTATGAAGAATATTTTTAAACTTTTTAAAATAATCGTGTTTGTTAATAAATTTTTATTCAAAAATTGATTATTGAATTTTATTAAAATTTAATTCAAAATAATTGAATTCCTGTTGAGAATCTTATTATTTATCAAAAATTAATTTAATTCTTGCGAAAAATATTACTATTTCTAAAAATAATTGAATAGTTTCCAAGAATTTATTAAAATTTTAGAAAAAAATTGAATTATTTCGAAAAATTTTAGGTGAAGATATCAAAAAAAAAGAATTGAATCCTTTCGTGAAATTTTATTAAGAAATTGAATTTCTGCAAAGAATTTTACTATTTACAAAAATAATTGAATTTTTCCGAAGAATGTCATAATTTATGAAAATAATTGAATTCTTGCGAAAAATTTTATTCAAATTTTTGAAAATGAAAAAGTTTGTAATTTACATAATTCAATAAATGATTTATAAGTTATTTTAGAATAGTTTTTCAAGAATTAAATTGTTTTAAATAAATTCAGTTTTCATATTCTATAAAGTTCAAATATTGTCATAAATAAAAAAATTTAAGTTTCTCTTTTGCGAATTCAAAGTTTATAAATCAAACCTTAAAGAAATTGAAGAAAAATTAGACAATAAAATTTAGAATTATGAATTATAAAAATTTAATTTTTTCCTGTACTTTTGATAAATTTCCTTGACTTGTTCCTGATATGTGGCAACCCTGAGTCTTAAAATTCCAATCAAGTTTTTTATTTTATTGAAAAAAATTACTTCTATTTAAATTTAATTAAATTCTTTCAGTTTTAATCAATTGGATCTTCCCGTTTATGAGACGTACGACAAATTGCGAAGCAATCTTCTGAAAGCGATTCACGAATGTAGCGAGGGATTCGGATTTGCATAAAGTGCATCGTTGCAATTTAATGAAAAGAAATTCTCGCAAAATAATTTGTTTATTTTATTTTTTTTCCGTTTTTTTTTAATAAAAAGAAAAAAAATTAAATTATGGATATATTCGATGGTCGTGTGTCAGTTCGCTTGTGTGCGCAATGTAACTCGAAGGTAAAATGAAAACAAAACTTAAAAAAAAAAATTTAATAATAACGCATATGTGCTTGGTCTTCGCTCCTAATGAAATCGAATATATACATACACACAATGCACTCATGTATATACAATTGTGGTGTAATTACTGAAAATAACTTTCGATTCTACTGGAGTTAAGAGTTTATTTTGTTGAAAAAAAAATAATAAGATCTTGAAAGAGAGATGAGCTTAACGATAATTCCCAACAACGCGGAAGAGGAGAAAATCAATAAATAAAACAAAAGTACAGTACTTTTTAAGGAAACAAAAAAAAAAATAATAATAATAATGACAAGTTTCATATGTAATAATAAATAGATAGGCATCTTAGAATGATTTAAGGGGTAAATAGGGCGAAAGTTGTAATATACTGCACTTTTAAGTCGATCGGTGATACGTCGTAATGCGATTTGCTAGAAATACTGATACGTGAGATAACAATTGATAATGAAAGTGTTCCAATGCTCTTGTGCAGAGAATTTGTTTCTTTTTTTTTGTTTTTGTTTTGTGAGGAGTCTGAATGAGTATGTTGTGTGAAATAGAGTGGGGAGGATATTTGTAGGTATGAAAAAAAATGCCTAAGAAAAAAGAAAATTTTTAAACAAAAAAAAGGAGAATTTAAAATATGTTTTTGCAAACCTCCCCCCTCTTTCTCTTTTTTCTCTCTGAAGAATAATGTATGGTTGTACACTATTAGTATTAATAATTCTAACTAATTTTTAATTAATAGGGTTAATCTTAACTTGATATCATTTTAATATTAATAATTCAAAATGTGATGTTACAAAAAAAAAGAATTGTAATTTTTTTCTTGAAATCTAACGAAATAAAGTTTACAGTTAAAAAGAAGGACAATTATATAAACACACACAACAAAAAAAATACAGTGCACATGCATTAAAAAAAATAGCATTACATACTATATCAGGCTCCTTTCTAAATTGTTAGGGAATTATTGCTTAGGAGTCGCTCAAATAAACTAAATGTTGTATTTCTTATAAAAAACAAAAAATTTTTTAGTGCGTCCATTTATTACACACGTGCCTTTCATTGCATAGCTTTTTTGTTATTTTTGTCACGTTTATTATATATTATTTACGTTATATTTAGGGTCAAAAAAAAGTTATCTACTTTTTTTCTTCTAGTTTTTAGATTTATGTGCTTAAAAAGGAAAAAAGAAGTTTTTGTCAAATCCGGTTTTCTTGAAATGAATTCGGAGTTTAGTTCATATATATTTAATTTTTTGTTTTCGTAATTGTATATATAAATAGTTGACTATTACGCACGCGTGGATATTTGGAATAAAATTATTGATTTAACAAGAAAAAATATATTTTTTATTTACATAAAAACATACGTATTTTATATATTATATATAAAACAATAATCTGTCGATCACATATTTTTACAATATATAATTATAATATTTAGACAAAAAGTGTCTTGCAAGAATAAGACTTTCTTGATCTTTTTTTTACACTCTTTTCTTTTTTCTTTATGAATTGTTTTTCTTCAATTAAAAAAGTAGATTATCAAAACTTTAGTTTGTAAACTTAATTTTCTTTGTTGAAATTAAAAAACAAGTAAATTTTTTTTCACTTTTTGAAGAAAAGAATTCATAAATTTGAACTCTAATAATAAAATGGAGATTGCAGGAATAAGAAACAAAATACAATGTCCATTAAATTATTATTTGGCAAATTGTAAACTCTAAAAAAAATTATAGAAAAGTTAATTTTTTCGAAAAAGTTACTATTCATAAAAAATTTCATAAAGCTAGACTAATTTATAAAAAAAATTACTGTTCTTGAAAAGTATCAATTTTCAAGAAAGAACAAATTTCTACTTATAAAAATCTCTTTCTAAAGAAAGCAAATTTTCTCCCTATTTGTACATTTTTGTAAACAATTATATTTCTTGAAAAAAATTCTTTGTACAAAAATTGTGAATTTACATATTCTAAACTTCATCCATTTTGAGTTATTTTTTTTAAATATAAAATTAAGATCACATTCTGCAAAATGGATAAAGTGTTATGTCTGATTCTCGCATGACAAGGTAGCAATATTTTTTTTCTTTATTCAGGTACCATCGTTTTCGATCTTCGTTTCCTTTCTGGTGAGGAGGGTTAAATTTGATAAAATTTTTGGTAGCCTCTAATTATACAGACCCATCCATAAATGGAAGCAGCAAGCGTTTACGAAACCTTCAACCAGACTGTAAATTCCGCGAACATTCGATGAACTTGTATTCTCAATTGAATTTCGATAGACAGCGCAGAGTTCCTATTTAAAAAGAAAACAAGTATTTAATTAAATCAAAAATTAACATAATTGACAATTTTGCTTTTGGTCAAAAAAATTTATATTTATCCATTAAAATCAAAACCAGGCTTTTAGCTTTAAAAATTTAACGATTTTCTATAATTTTTAACTACATTTCTACTCTAAATCAATTAATTCTAAAAATCTTCGAGAATTCGATTATATAATTAAACTGTAACGAGAAATTTTATTAAAACTGTCATTGAAAATAATTAAATTCATGTAAAAAATTTTATTGAAAATTTTGAAAATAATTGAATTTCTGAGAACAATTTTATTAAAATTTTTTTAAATAATTGAATTCCTGCAAAGAATTCTATTACAATTTTTTTAAAGAATTTCATTAAAATTTTTGAAAATAATTGAATTCTTGCGAAGAATTTTATTAAAATTTTAAAAAATAATTTAAATAATTGCTTCGAATTATATTATTTAAAGAATTGAATTTTTTCTAGAAAATTTATTAAAATTGTATTAAAAATAATTGAATTTTTATACAGAATTTTACCAAAATTCTTAAAAATATTTGAATTCTTGCAAAGAATTATATTCAAAATGTTATAAATAATAATTAATAAATGAATTGAATTAATCTGTTCATAAAAAATAATTTAATTTTTGCAACGAATTTTACATAAAAATTTTTTAAATAATTGAATTCTTTCGAAAAATTTTATTAAAATTGTATTTAAAATATGCAATTGAATTTCTGCGAAGAATTTTATTAAAATTTTAAAAATAATTTTATTGTGTCGAGAATTTTTATTAAAATTGTATTAAAAATAATTGAATATCTGTGAAAAATTTTATTGTTTATAAAAATAATTGAATTTCTGCGAAAAATTTTATTAAACTTTTTGAAAACAATTGAATTGTTTCGAACAATTATTCTACTTTCAATTATGTTCGAAATTTTTTTTTTTTAAATTATTCAAAAATAATTTTTGAAAGATTTGATTATAAAAATGTTTATAAAGTCGGAGAAAGTTCTTTCTACCAAAAAAAATTTTATTTTGTTAAAATATTTGAAAGAAAAGTCTTATTGTTTTGAAAGTTCATTTAGTAAAACTCATTTTTAGCAAAATTCACTTTTGGTGAAATTAATTTATAGGAAAATTAATTTTGAATTAAATTAATTTTTAGTAAAATTAATTACAAATTAAATTATTTTTTAGTGAAATTAAATGCAAATTAAATTATATTTTAGTAAAATTAATTGCAAATTAAATTACTTGTAAGTAAAATTAATTGCAAATTAAATTACTTATTAGTAAAATTAATTGCAAATTCAATTACTTGTTAGTAAAATGAATTACAAATTAAATTAAATTTCAGTGAAATTAATTACAAATTAAATTAATCTTCAGTTACATAAATAAAGAATTGTTTTAGTTTTAAGTAAAATTAATTTTTTCTGCAATTAATTTTATAAGAAAAAAAATATTACAAAACTTACACCGCGAGAAGTGTGAAGATCAATAGTCAACATCATGAACGCCTGAACGTAACTCGGATGAAGAATAAGATGATGAGTGACATTTCCATCTGGCGTATTGAATTGCTTATGATGATCCTGATATTTATTTTGCAAAACTTTCGCTAAATTTTGATACCAAACCATTGGTTGATTAACAAGTGGACTTAGTCTCGGATCCAGTGTCGAGAGTGGTTCAACAATTGCCAATGAACGTAGTTCGGTAAATTCAGCGTAAGACATACTCGTCCGATTTTCCAATAATTTATTCCACAATAAATGAGTCCGACAATGTAGTGCTCCCTGTTCGATCATTGAGGTAATATGTTCCCTGGCCGTTTGAGCTTGTGACATTATCATTTGCTGCATCATTTGCTCGTGCGATGAATAGTAACCAAAATAATTAATCGATTCACGTCTAATGAGAGTTAGATTTGAAGATGAAGCACCCAATATACTGTGAGTGAGAGGAGATGAAGGTACTGGCGGTGGAGTTGGTGCTTGAACGTCCTGATCATCATTATCATCATTATTATCATCATCGTTGTTGTTGTTGTCATTTTCCTCGTTTTTAGCCTCGGCATCCGAAAGATTAACGATCTGCTCGTGAAGATCAATGGAGCTCGTTTTAAATTCACATTTCGAGTGTTTTCTCGACGAGGGCATTGTACTTGACGCTGGACTCGATTCCGAGGGACTTTCGATTTGTGAATTTGTCACCGATTTACCAACACTGTAAACTGTACGAAATTTACCGAGTTTGTTATTCTCCAGATCTCGTTTTGGATAAAGTTCACGTTTACTAGTCAGCATCAGATAATATTTCAGTGTAATTTCATTGCTATTCGTATCGGATATTTCCTCGAGACGTGAGACAATCAAAGCAATGTCCGAATCGTCCGTGTATTTCGTATCCTGTGAATCGCAATAACCAACTAGGGGTGAATTTTGCAATTTTACGAGAACGTATTCACTTTCCTGATTTTCATCCGAGTCGTCTGTCATGCTGAAAACTTGCATTCCGTACGCCTTTTCATGGGACAGTAAATAGGAGTACAGCGTTCGTGCAGGTGTTGCCAAATTACTAATCGTTATAACACCTGAAAAATTCCTTTCTTGTAAATTCAAAATCCGAAAAAAGAGAATTTTAGGTATAAACAAATTTTAGTAGAAAAATAATTTATAAACTTACCACTGTAGACTAAATTTCTCGCATAATTTGGAGCCTTGCTGTAATATTTATTGAAATCGTCCAAAAAATTTGTGAGATGATAACCGTATTTAAGTGGTCTGTGGCCAATTCCAGCGAGATATGTATGAATCGATCGAAGATGAAAATCATAAGTAAATGAGTGCAAGTGCATATTTATTTTAATTTCATCACAGGCATCAATAAAACTGAGTATAAACTGAAAGAACAAAAAACATTTACTATTAAATATTAAAAATAATATTATTAAAATATTGAATAATAATAATATTAAAAAGGACAAAAAAATATAAATTACGATTTTATCACTCGGTCAACTTTAATTACTGTAAATAAAAAAAAATATATTTAAAAAAATAAAAAAGTATTAGTAAGATTTATTTTAGCCTAATGGCTCAGAAACGGAATAAAAAAGTACAAAAAAAATATTAAGAAACATGAGAATTATTTTTACAAATAAAATTCTCTACCTGATTGACTAGAGCACTGTTTGTCTTCGCTTGCAATCGACTGCATTCAATCACTCGCAATTTAACCGAGAAAAATGGCTCCAACAGGTAAATTTCAAATAAAAGTACTCCACCGAGCATTGACTTCTTCAAATAAAAAATTTGATTCTGACCAGTCTCTCGTTCCCTGTTTGAAAAAAAAATTCTATATTAATAATCCTTGTATTCAGTTAATCTATTCACAATTTGAAATATGTTATTTTTCTTTGCTTCTTGTTTCCTAATTTTTTTGATAATTTTTCTTTATAATATTTTAAAATTTTAATTTAATGAAAATAATTGAATTGTTTCGAAGAATTTTATCCAAATTTCTGAAAATAATCAAAGTTTCGCGAAGAATGTTATTAAAAAGTTTTTAAATAATAGAATTCTTTCGAGAAATTTCATTTAAAATTGTCTTTAAAATAATTGAATTTCTGCAAAGAATTTTATCGTTTATAAAAATTAAATTTTTGCTTAGAATATTTAAAAAATTCTATAACATAATTTAAATCTTGCAATTAATTTTTTGTTCACGAAACAGAATTGAATTTTTTTTAAATTATAGACAATAATTAAATTATTGCTAAGAATTGTAAAAGAAAATTTTAAAAAATGCTTGAATTCTTTTTAGAAATTTTATTTAAATTGTATTGAAAATATTTAAATTCCTGCGAAGAATTTTATTGAAGTTTTTGAAAATAATAAATAATATTAATTAAGAAATTGAAGAAGGAGAAAAATAAGAGGAAAAAGAAGAAGCTAAAGATAGAAAGCATTTTAAAAAAAGTAACTTACGATCGATGAATAGTTTCGGTTTGAACAGGATTGAAACCGAGAATTTGCAGATATTGTTTGTACTCGGAAAGCATGTGAAAACATAATTCTCGGTGCCATTCGTTCACCACTGGACTAGATCTATCCGCATCCTTAATTTTCCGCGATGTCGTGTTCAATTGTGCGGCATTCTCCGAAATACTCGACGACGATGGTGTCAATGAATGATCTCTTGTGGCGGCAGATTGTAAACGCCAATCGGGCAAAAACAACAACGGCGTGTGACAATAGTGAATCACTCTCGAATGCTGCCTAAATGTACTCAATGTCGACGAGGAAATTGGAATATTCGGAACTGTATTCTTACTTTGCCAAATCGAATACAATTTATTCAGATCCTCTGAAAAAATATTTTAAATACTGTTAAAAATTCGTCTACCAATTTTCTCTACCATAAATTCTTCATTATAATTATATTTATTGTTTTAATAATGATTATTATTATTTAAATTATAAATCCCTTTCCTTTACTTAATTATATTTATTGTTTTAATAATGATTATTATTATTTAAATTATAAATCCCTTTCCTTTACTTAATTATGTTTATTGTTTTCAATATGTCACGATTTAAACGATAATTTACGATTTCTTATAATTTGAAAATAGAAAAAAACCTTTTCGTTTCTTCTCCCTCTGCCGAAGTTCCTGAAAATCGTGAGCTGCTTTAACAACTGGATCCGTTGTTGTCGGTGAATTTTGAGCATTTGGTTTCGCATCTCTCATCACTTGTCCCATTAAATGACTCCAAGAAAATGACGTATTTTTTGTAGTTTGTATTCTAGCAGGCGAAGCTTGAGGAAATTTTGCAAGACTCTCAATGTCTGTTATTTGAAATTGTGTCGATTCATTTTGTTCCCTCTGCTCATACGTTCTCAATGGTTGATGATGAAAAATCCCCAATTTTTGCATTATTATATTCGAATAAAGCGTCGATCTTGACGAGAGCCACATTCCCAAATTCGTCGTTTGCTTAATTAATTTCTCCGATCTCTCCTTCGACCAATTGTACATGTAGAGAATGATCTGAAAATAATTTATATTTTTAACTATCATTTTTAAATTATTAGTTTTTATTGTTTATATTTGCATAAATTTTTAAATAATTCTTCGAAAGAATTCAATTATTTTTATAAATAATAACATTCTTCGGACAAATTCAATTTTTTTACATTTATACTAAAATTTATCTCAGGGATTCAATTATGTTCAATACAATTTTAATAAAATTCTTCGAAGGAATTCAATTATCCCTTCGAATAATTTCTCAAATTTTTTGATAGAATTCTTTGAAAGAATTTAATGATTTTCAATAAATTAATTTTAAAATTGAAAATATTTAAAAAGAAAAATTATTTAAAAAGTTAGGAAACAAGAAAACAAACCAAAGTTTGGTAACTATTGTTTCGTTTATAAGATTGTGGAATAAAAATAATAACTTACATTTTTACTTTGAATTTTCGCCAATAGTAGTCTTTGTCTAGGTACAAAGTCCGATTCAAAAATTAGCGGGTAGAATCTTTGGAGTAATTTTTGATCTGTAGGAAAAAATTGACAAATCATATACTTTTTCTAGACATTTTTTTCTATTTCACAAATTAAAAAAATTTTTTGATTTAAAATTAAAATTTATTCATTTTATCATGCAAAAAAATAGATAAATTTTGTCTTTTTTCAACTTACCTTTAGGCACAAGTTTCTCGGGTTCAATCGTCTGTGCGAAGGAGGCTTTCCACTGTTGGAAATTTCTCGCGATGAGAATACTTTTAACGTAGATTCCTTGTTCTTCTTTAAAAAAATCACAGGGAAGATAGAGACTTTCGTCGTTACTCTCCTTCTCCTGGGCATTCTTAAGCCAAGCACTGTTTATGTTATCAGCTCCCTCGAGAATTTTAAATGCCAATGGATCCTCTTCCATGTCATCGTTGATAAAAGGTTGACGACTACTTTGAACGAAAGTTCTCGTCAATGTATCCGACGCATTATTATAAATAATATTTTGCAATTCACGTAAAGCAACCGCCAACGAGTGTCTTCTGTCGAGGGTGACAATGTGCTTCTTAACAGCCGGTACATTTATCTCGAGTGCAAATTGAAACCAAAACGGTAAAGTAACATAATACATTTTATGCAATTTTCCCTTCTCGCCCATTTCATAATTCAAAGTATTTGCTGCCTCACTATTTTTTTCTTTAGAAGAAATTTTACCAGTTTCATCGCATTTAATTTCATTTTCACTTTCATTAATTTCTGCTAAATTAATTCTTTTCCCTTGATCAAGTTCACTTGGCGTTTTTTCTATTTCGGATTTTTTACTTATTTCTATTTCAATATTTTGATTAGTAGTTTTAACTGAATTTGATTTAATCTCAATTTTTTTATTTTCGTCGGATTTATCGGTAACGAAAGTTTCAGTTTTAATTTTAGTTTCAGGCGACTGTTCAGTTTCAGGCGTTTTGATTTTACTTTCACTAATTTGTCGATTTGGCGAGTCATCTGTATTTAGAATCGAATTCTCCTTCAGAGGAACTGTGAGAAGTGTCGGTAGAAAATGATATTCGGTTACTAAATCCCAAATAGCGTGTCTAACAGCAGATCTTAATTTCTGAACAAGAGATTCAAGATTAACACGACCCTGCTTCCAGATTCGAAATTCGATCAAAGCTTTAATATCAGTTTCCATTTCCGTCTTTGCATCGAACACTGAAGTTGATACGATACTTTCGAAATCTTCAACTTTTAGACATTCTGGTAAAGGTGATGTTCTCGATGAATTATTTTCCGTGATAATCAATTCTCCTTTTGTATTAACAATTCCCATGGCGATACACGCGATTCCACGACTTCCGCTCGATTGACTTTGATTGTACAAGAAGATTTCCGATTCGGGTATTCGCTTCACAGAATTTTCCGGTTGCGAATAATCTTGAAAGTGATAATGTGCTCGTGAGTCCGTGTGTTTCGGTATGTAGAGAAACTAAAATTTGAGAAAAAGAAATTGAAATTAAATTAAAGAAAAGAATGGAAATATTTAATATTTAAAAGCAAGGGAAGAAGAATAATGAAAATTAATTCCAGGCTTCGTACTCGGTAATTAATTTTAAAAAAGTAGCTTTAAGACTGAAAAAGTAGTAAAATAGTAGATATCGAAAAATTAAACTAACCGACGCAATTTTTTCATAATTTATTATTGAATGAAATTACATTAAAAAATGGAATAATTTCTTTTAAATCGAAAAATTTAACTGTAATTCAATTTTAAATAAATCCTTATTAGACAATACGACGATAATTCAATTATTTAAAAACAAAAATAAATAATTTATTGAATAATTAAATATTTCTTAAAACTGAATTCTTTTAAAGAACTACAACAAATTTTTTTTAAATAATTGAATTCTTTCGAAGAATTTTAATAAAATTTTCAAGAATAATTGCAATTTTTCGAAGAATTCATTTAAAACTGTATAAAAAATTCAAGAATTGAAGAAAGAGGGAAGAATTTAATTAATTATAAAAATAATTAAATTCTTCGGAAGAATTGGATTAAAATTATGAAAAATAATTAAATTATAGAGAAGAATTTTATTATTTAAAAAAAATTGAATTTCATTAGAAATTTTATTAAAATTGTATTAAAAATAATTGAATTCATCCTAAGAATTTTATTATTTATGAAAATAATTGAATTCTTATGAAAAGAATGTTATTAAAACTTTTAAAAATAATTATATTTTTCTTTGGTGAATTAAATTAAAATTGTATTGAAAACAATTTAATTCTTATAAAGAATTTTATCTAAATATATAAAAATAATTTAATTTTTGTGACGAGTTTTATACATTAAATTTTTAAAATAATTGAACTCTGCCTAAGAATTGAATTTAAATTGTATTAAAAATAATTTAATTCCTCCAAAGAATTTCCTTATTTAGGAAAATAATTGAATTCTTATGACGAATTTTATACACAAATTTTTTAAATAATTGAATTTTTCAGAGAAATATTTTTTAAATTGTATCAAAATTAATAATAATTGAATTCCTGTAACAATATTTCAGTATTTTTGAAAATATTGATTTCCTTAAAAGAATTTTCTCAAAATTTAAAAAAATAATTGAATTATTGTGAAGAATTTTTATTGTTTATAGAAATTAAATTTTTGCTAACAGTTTTGTTACAATTTTATCAAATAATCGAAATCTTGCAATACATTATTTTTATGACAATGATTAAATTTTTATAAAGAGTTTTTTTTGAAATTATAGAAAATTTTGAAATACTTGAGACGAATTTTATACAAAAATTTTAAAAATAATTAAATTTTTAAGAGGAATTTCATTTAAATTGTATTAAAAATAATTGAATTCCACCGAAGATTTTTATTATTTATGAAAATAATTCAATTGTTCCGAAGAATTTCTTTTGTTTATAAAAATAATTGAATTCTGAATTTTAAAATTCTTGAGACAAATTGTACACGAAATTTTTAATTATAATTGTATTCTTTCGAGAAATTTCATTTAAATTGTATTAAAAATGATTTTATAAATTTATTTTTTAAATATGTGAATACTTTTAGGAACTTTTTTAAATAAAATAGTAAATATTGAAAATAATTGATTTTTGACAAATTTTTTAAAATAATCGAATCTTTTGAAAGAATTTTATTAAAATTTGTTGAATTCTTTCTAAGAATTTTATTAAAATTTTTGAGAATAATTTTTTATTCGAACTATTAGCGAATTTAAATAAAATTAAAATTTAAAAATTTAAAAATTTTATTTAAATTCTCAAATATAGGAAAAAGTAGCTTTTAGTGTCACAAATCTAAAAAAAATCATTCAAATGATCGTAGCAGATCATAAAAAAGTAGGTTTTAGTAGATGTGTACGAAGCCATAAAATAATAGAGAATAATCTAAAATACTCTAAGATAATAAAAAATAATAGAGAAAAGAAAGAATACCTGTAAAACATTTTGTCGGAGATAATATCCCAAAGCACACATGTGAGTCAGACAATGCGGTGGGAAACTCAATCTCACAATACTCTCCGGTGAACGATAAGGTTTTTGAATAAAATGAACATCGGCTGGAGTTAATTTACACATTGGATTTCTTGCAAGCATCACTGAGAGAACTTCAAGAACAGCATCATCCAAACGATTCTGCAATACCTGAACCAATTCGCATCTAATTTCAGGTCCAGCTTCCGAAATTCCATGCACCATCAATACAATAGAATCGCCAGTTTTATTCAAAATGTCCGACTCCTTTTCTCCAAATGATCGTACCCTAGGTCTTGTGTCATCAATAATACTCTGCTCATTCAATAAACTCGTTCCTCTAGCCTGTGACAATGATGCGATACTACTGCTCCTCGAAACAACAAGTCTCTCATCACTCTCCGACAATTTATTCTGCAGAGATTTCCCATCACTTGTCTGCTCGTGTAGACGAAGATAAAAGACATTGTCAGTTTTCTCCCGATAGACAAACATATTACTTCGATTATTGACCGAGAGACGATTCAGTACAGCGTGCAGAGCTTTAATACCTCTCGACAAACCCGAACGTCCCGGACCAGTTTTCAATCTCGGATGTAAACAAAATGGCATTTCCCAAACGACAGGACATCGAAACATTCCTGGATTGAGATTTATCGCTGCATTGTGACTAATTGCTCCACTACCCTCGCTGAATGAATCGGCTTTCCAGTTGTGATCCTCACTCGACTCGGGTTCAAGTAAAGAATCACAGAGTCGCGTGTCATTGAGACGATGAAGCAAAAGATACTGATTCACACGACGGCAAATTGCTTTTATTTGCGTGACGAGTAATTTTTGTATCTGTTGATAGTGCGCCACTTCAGTTGATGCCAATTCCAAAAATCGACAGTGAAAATAAACATTCACGTGCGTTGTTTCCACGCGTAGAATAAGCCAAAAATTAGGCAACAACTTCCGACGTCGATCCATTTCAATTAACCATTGACATTCATCCTCGGAGTCGCTACTGTCACCATCGTAACCATCGTCAGTGCCAATTTGTCCCTCGCCAATGCTGGATATTTCCGACAAATAACCCGGTGGATCGCCCGAGTCCTGTTTCTTAGTTCGTCTCTCGTCCTGCCTCTCGAGATCCGAATAAATTTCATCATCGAAACAATTTTGCTCGACCGATTCCTCGCTCTGTTGCTCGCCACCACTCGAATCGGCATTGTACACCTGTTGCTCGAGATTCTTGACGAAATAAAAATAACTCCCCTCCTGACGAATACAATAGCGATCAATCTCGAGTCGCGTGAGTTCTTCGAGAAATTTTGGCACACTATTCTCCGAGGGGAAGACAAAATGTAAAAGTACTTTCTCCGTGTAACAACTTGTGCGATCGTTCGATTCGGCAACGTGACGAGCGACAAAATTTAATGCCTCCTCAGTTGGGGAGGATTTATCCAAAAGTGCCGTCGCCGTCTCGTCCTGAAGAAGCCAATCGATTTCCTCCTTTAAATTCGTGATTGCCGTGTATTGATAGTGTGGCAGGTGGGACAGACCGGCTTGAACTGCTTCGACGTCGGAGAAATCGGTACCATTTCCAATGCTGTTGCTGTGCTCGGTGCCGAGACTTCCGTGTGGTGATGCACTACAAAAAGATGTTGTTCGCAAGCCGGGAGTACAATCGATGCTCACTTCCAATACCTCCTTGGGAAGATAGAGACAAATTATGTCGAGTGTCACTTTATAGTCTTCGTAGTTGTCGAAATTTTGCATTATTTCCGTAACGCATGTTGGTAGTAGTTTGACTGGTGTACTCGACAGACTTGAGCGATTACGAACCGAACAATTTAATTGCAAAAATAGAGGATGATCTTTACTGGAATCTGAATCTACATTGAGATCGCTGATGAACGATTCCGTTGATTCACTGCTGGAAAATTTTTGCTCATTGTGATTGTTCACCATCGGCCAACTGACGCTGTTTGCATTCACTGAAAATTGAAAGCATAAATATAATGAATAATAAATATTTTAAAATAAAATTCAAAAAATATATCTTAATTGAAAAATATTCCGTATGAATAAGAATTGCCACAAAAATAGAAAATTTATTTATTATTTTTGTAATAAAAATTTTCGATAGAATTCAATTATTTTTAATACAATTTAAATGAAATTCTTTAGATGAATTCACTTATTTTAAAAATTTTTGTATAAAATTCGTCATAAGAATTTCAAAATTTTCTATAATTTTAATTTAATTTTTTATAATTTTCTGTCATTGTTTCGTAAAATTTCAATTATTTTTAAAAACAAAAAAAATTCATTGCAAGATTTCAATTATTTTTAGAAATTTTAATAAAATACTTGCCAAAAATTCAATTATTTTTATAAATAATAAAATTCTTCACAGGAATTCAATTATTTTTAATACAATTTAAATGAAATTCTTTGGAAACATTCAATCATTTTAAAAATTTTTGTATCAAATTCTTCATAAAAATTTCAAAATTTTCTATAATTTAAAAAAAATTCTTCGCAAAAATTTAATTATTTTTAAAAACAAAAAAAATTCATTGCAAGATTTCAATTATTTATAGAAATTTTAATAAAATACTTGCCAAGAATGCAATTATTTTTATAAATAATAAAATTCTTAACAGGAATTCAATTATTTTTAATGCAATTTAAATTAAATTCTTTGGATGAATTCACTTCTTTTAAAAATTGATGCATCAAATTCGTCATAAAAATTTTAAAATTTTGTATGATTTTAAAAAAATTCTTCGCAAAAATACAATTATTTTCAAAAACAAAAAAAAATTCATTGCAAGATTTCAATTATTTTCAGAAATTTTAATAAAAAATACTTTTCAAGAATTCAATTATTGTTGAATTTATAAAATCCTTTAGTAGAATTCAATTATTTTCAGTTCATTTTTAATTAAATTCCTTAAAAGAATTTAATTAATTTTTAAGTTCTGAATAAAATTCTTCAAAACAATTTAATTATTTAGAGAAAATTAAAAAAAATAACTGAAAAATTATCTATAAAATTCATATAACTTTTTAAATTCAAAAAGTTTCACAAAAATCCATTTGACAAAAAATGGAATGAATTTTGATTTCTGGCAGAAAATTACCTTTTCCAGTGCAACTATTCATTTTACACTCCAACGCCTCCGAATGAAAGGTGAATTCCTCCAATTCATCGTCACTGTCCGTGTTTTGTAAATCTGCAAGTTTCTGTAAATAAATCAAAATTGTCATTTCGTTTTATAAAGGAAAAATTTGCATATATTATTTTTTTTTCATTTCTTGAATACTTTTAATTTAATAATTAAAATAAAAGATAATAATAAAATTAAATTAAATTAAAGTAAAAGATTAAAAATTCAAATAATTAAAAATAAATAATTGAAATAGTTAAAAAACTAACCATTCTTTCCGGTTGCCAGGAAGGAAGACAATAGTACAATTTCGGATGTGCCGGCACAGGTCTAAACGACACATTTATTATTCTCTCGAATTTATTTTTAATTAAATTGTGAAAAGGTTGAATTTCATTGCACGCAATTTTCTCCGTATAGGTATTTTGATTTTCTAAGGACGATGTACTCAAATGCTTGCAAACGGATCGTAAATAATCTGTTATATTGATTTCCATATAATTTTCCTCGCATTGCTCAACGGCTGCTTCAATATCTTCATAATTCAAGGGACGTTGAAGAATCAGTGATTTGTAAACTGCCATAACGTAACAACGACAATGAGCCAAACTCAAAATCTTACAATGCTCCATTAGACTCTTTTGATCTGAAAACAAATTTTCGTTTACAATTTTTTTTATTTATTTTATATTTATTTATATTTATTTTTACTTACTATTTTAATTTAAAAATTGTAAATTGTAATATAAAAAAATTGTTATTAGTTGTTTAATTTTAAAATACTGGTAAGAAAAGCAAAAATAGTAAAAATAAATTCTACAAAACTCTGTAAATTCTCGAGAAAATTTTCCCCACCATTTAAAGCATTGTCAGAATCTTCACTCTTCGGTTCTGGCGATGAAGGTTTCGTGTCCCCGCCTGATTTCAAATTAATGAACTCCTCTTGAAAATGTTCACCAATTCGAAATGTATAATCGCGATAAATGTCTTTGGCACGTGGTGAAGAAAGTTTATCGACCAATGCGTCGATCAACAATGCCAACGAGCAATCGTAAACATAAATTGGAAGAATTAATCCCCGTTTTGTATTTTCATCGGTCAATTTTTGATATGGTTCCATTTTCGGTGTACTGTGTGCCGTTGTCGTGTGACTCGATACATTTGAATTGAAATCGTCGAAATTATGAAAAGGCGACAAACTCTCATTGTCATGATGACTTCTCGCATAAGGCACTGGAGTCAAGTTTGTATCTCGAAGATCAAAATTCGAACTCAACGATTCATAGTGTAAATTTGAATCGGTTCTCAAATATGAATCTTGAACGTCCTCCTCTGGATACATCAGTAATCGAGCGTCTTTTTCGGTTGCCGGTAAAATTGTTATAATCACATGGGTGACACTTACGCCCTTCACGAAACATCTCCATTGGGGGAACACTGATTTATTCTTTATTCGATCTGTAATTTTTTTAATTTAATTGTGGTAAAGAATTTTATCAAAATTAAAAAAAATTATTATTGAATTCGTGTGAAGAATTTTATTAAAATTTTTCGAAAATAATTAAATTATTGTGGCGAATTTTATACAAAATTTTTTAAAATAATTGAATTCCGCCCAAGAACTTCATTTAAATTTTATTAAAAATAATTTAATTCCACAGAAGAATTTTATTATTTATGAAAATAATTGAATTGTTTCAAAGAACTTTATTAAAATTTCTAAAAATAATAATATTTTTCTGAGAAGTTAATTTAAAATTGTATTAGAAATAATTTAATTCTTAAAAAGAATTTTATCAAAATTTTTAAAAATAATTGAATTTTTGCGAAGAATTTTATTGAAAATTTTAAAAATACTTGAATTCCTGCGAAGAATTTTTATTAACTTTGTATTTCAAAATAATTGAATTTCTTCTAACAATTATAGAAAATTTTGAAATTCTTGAGACGAATTTTATATGAAACTTTAAAAATGTTTGAATTCTTTTGAGGAATTTGATTTAAATTGTTTTAAAAATAATTGCATTCTACCAAAGAATTTTAATATTTTATGAAAATCATTGAATTCTTCTGAAGAATTTTATTAAAATTTCTGAAAATAATTGAAAGCTTGCAAATGAATTTTTTTTAAATCATAGAAAATTTTTAAATTCTTGCGACGAGTTTTATGCAATAATTTTAATAATAATTGAACTCTTTCGCGGAATTTCATTTAAATTTTAATAAAAAAAATTGAATTTGTCCGAAGAATTTTATTATTTTTAAAAATAAATGAATTTTTCCGAAGAATTTTAATAAAATTTTTTGAAAATAACAAACAATAATAATTAATTAGTAAATTATCTGAAATTATTCAAAAACTGAAGTTGATATTTGAAAATAAAAATTTTAAATTCATACGGCTTTGCTCGCTTACTTTCCAATAAATTAATTAATTTCTTTTCTTAAGGGAAGAATTGATTAAGTAAAAATCTAATTTCTAATAAAATGAAAAAAGAAAATTCCTACTTGAGTGGAAATATGGAATATGAGATTCTTCATCTCGAGGACGATTGAATAACATTTCTGTAAATTTTTGAGATTCCACAGCCGTGAGAATCAATTCCCGATTGTGAAGATGCTTTATGTGATCCAAAAATCCTTCGATGAGTATTCGATTCGCATTATCGTCTCCCACATCATCATTATGTATACCTAATTAATAAATAAAATTTTGGTTTAATTCAATTCAATTTAATTTAATTTAATTAAATCTAATTTAATTTAATTTATTTTTAGATTATCAACAAACAATTGTAAAGTTCATAATTGAGAAAATAGATTTGAACAAAATAACAAAATTTTTCGTCAATAAAGTTCACAACGTTTGTATCTAATCAATAATTTAGAAGAATAAATATTTGTCTATTTAAAATATAAACTTTTCTATATAAAACATTTTGCATAGCTTTTTGATTGATAACTTTCAAAAGAAATATTTATAAGCAAAAAATTTCACAGTTTTTTCCCTGGAAAAATATTTTTTCTCTTTCAATGATTGATCATAAACGTTGTGAATTTCATCGACGAAAAATTTTGTAATAATTAAATTTTCAGCTTCTTTCTTTTTTAAATTTAAATTTAAAATTTTAAATTCCGAATATTCCTCTAACCGTCATCGAACATAGAGAACAAGAGTTCGGCTTGCTGACATTTTGGCAAAATATTGAGAGTGTCGAAGAGAAAATTCACAGAATGAATTCGTTCCTGATTGGAGGGATGACCTTCTGGAAAATCCGACAAAATAGGTTTTTTAATCGATCTACTAATTAATCCTTGATTCAAATAACCTTGAGCAGCGATAACATCTAAATTTTTCTCCGAAGGTGACACTTGACTCAAGAGGCTCAAGTGCTCGAGGGTTAATAATGCATTAATACAGTCTTCGTCGATATAAGCAATCTGAAATTAAAGGAAAAAATCGATAAAATTAAATTGTGAAACTTGGGGTAAAAATTTCTTTCATATAGATAAGACACTGGATAAGATTATATAAAATACGAGTGGTAATATATTTCTCATTCTTCGACAGTTGGACTGGAAAATAAAATTTTTCTGTTTCTCCTAAAAGAAGGAAATTAATTTTATTATTTTTTATTATTATTCAAACAAACAGTTTTTATTTATAATTTCTGTTATTAAATTTCTCATTCAATTTCTTATTCTTATTTCTAATTCAATTCTCAATAATTTCACAATATTTTATTCGTAATACAATTTTCACAATTTTTGGTAAACTTTTTTAATACCTGTACTTAATTCTAATCTAGAATAAAAATTGATCAGTAGATAAATAAATTGCTAAATAGATCGCAGGAATTATCAAATATAGTCGAAGATAATCGAAAATATTTTTTTTCTCTTCGTCTAAATTTTTCTTTAAAAAAATACAATTCAGATCCTAATCGTCACTTTGAGATCAAAGTTTTATTTGAAGAATTTGTCGATAAGCGTGTGGTAGATAGCTGGATGCAAAAGTCGTTTAAGGCCTCGGGAATAAGATGGAGGAGTTGAATCTCGCTTTAAAATCTAAGCGTAGAGACCACTACTCCACTTGAACCGCGACACCCTCTTCTTTTTTTTTTTTTTTTTTGCTTTTTGCCAAATTTAAATAAAACGAGTGTTTCCAAATTCAAGGGAAGACGAAAGCTTTCCAATTAATCTTGAGCTGGAAGAGTTAGATCTGGCAAGTTTCTAGAGTTCAATTACTCACTGTCAAGATCCTCTCTTCCAACTCAAGATCAGTCAGTTGTTGAGAAATCCAAAAAACTATTTTACAGATGAATTCGCAATTTTCCGGAAATTCGTCTCAAAGTTGATATCGGAATATTTCTGAAAATTCCTCCTTTTTTTTAATTTTCTACAATTCTAATTTTTTTGAAACGAAATTTTTCTATTAAGTGTTCAACTTTGTCCTGAACTATTTCATTTTTCGAAACATTTTTTTTATTCATTTATTTCATTTAGTTTTGATTTGGAAAAATAATTTAATTCTTGAGTCGAAATTCCCATTTATAAAAAATTTCATGTTTGTCTAAAATTTACAGAATCAATATTGACCCAGAATATTGTCGGGTTTAAAAAAAATAAAGCACTCAATGTTTGCTAAAAAATAAAATGATAACGATCCACATGACATTTTTCAACAGAACGTTTAAAAAAACTGATAAAAGAGAATATGAAAAATTCGTTTAATTGCAAAAATAAATTCCAAACAAATAAACAATTTTTTTTATCATTAGTCAACAATTGTTTAACAAAAAAATAAGTAATATCAACTGAAATTTTCGAATTTATTTTTCCTCTATTTTAAAGTTGTCTAAATTAAATTAAAATTAAATTCAGGACAATTGAACACTTTCTGATTTTTTTTTTTTCTAATCAAAAGTAAATTTTCGAAAAACAACTTCACCTTTTGTCACTAGTTTATAACTTTTGTAAAAAAAAAGTTTAAAATAAATAAATTAATCACTCAAAAAATGTAACAGTCCTTCAAGCTCGTTTCACTAGCAATTCCTTATCAACACTACCGCTTGTGACCAAAAACTCGAGGAATCTCCTTATCAAAAAGACTTTCTGAATAAATTCACACCTTACATAACACGAGCACAGTAAAATATCGAATTTTTTTTTACTTTTGGAAAATATATTTTAAAAGTTTTTAATGACAAACAATTGTCAACTAGACACGAAATAAATAATTGTAAATTTAAAAAATGAAGAAAAATGCTAACGACCAGAAGAAAATTATGAACCTCGCCGAAAAAAAGGAAGACAATCACTAACGGGCCCCGAATATACCTGGGCCCTATATATACCTGAGGGTACTGATAGAGAATCCCATCCTAAGTCCTCCATCGATATCGAGTGCCCCACCCCAATGATGATAACGATTGTCTGATAGACATGAACAAACACGTACACGTCTAAATTCTACTTCCACGAAGAGAGAAAAAAAAATTAACTCTCAAATCTGATTAACGAAAAAAATTTAATCCATTTACAATCTATAATTCTATTTCAAGGAATAAATTTATTGTCTTATTGTCCAAGGTTGATTGTCCGCAAAGAGCAAAAATTGTCATGAAACTAAAAAAGAATTCCACACATTTCATTATCATTTTCTTCCTTAAATCCTTCTTTAATTTTTAATAAATTCCCATTACTTTTTAAAAATTAGTAAAAGCAAGTAAACTCCATATTTATTAATAATAAACCAATAAATTTTTACATTTGTTTCAAATAAACCGTTAAGCTTTTTTCTTTTCTTTAAAGAAAACTTGTTTCTTCCTCGAAGGTAACGCGATAAAAATAATGTACAATTTGCTAATTATGATATGAACAAATATAAATATAAAAAAATGCTTTATATTTTATTTTATTATTTTTACATCCAGTTTTTTTAATTTTTACATTCGCTTTCTTTCCTTCCAAGAAAATTTTGTATTTTATTATATTTTGTATTTTTTTTTTATATTTGTTTTTCTTTTTTTGACTAAATTCGAATTCCGACCAAAAAGTATAAAAATGATAATTTATTTCAAAATTGTAAGAGTGAAATAAATTATCATTTTAACCGGTGGACTAATTTAGTTATTCAATAACAATTTATTGAGATTGGACAAGGGTCGGCGCGATAAGTCGAAAGATAAAGATCAATTATGACATTGTTTGAAACAAAGTGTCTTAAGCAAAATTTTATTATTTGGTACCTTTTCATATCACACGCACCTTATTATCAGTTGAGAAAAAAAAATTTTACTTTATAGTCAAAATTTAATCAAATAATAACAAATTTTCAATCTCGAAATCGAAATTAATAAGCAGATCAACTAATAATATTTGAGATAAATAAATATTAAATAATAAGTACAATTCTCTTTTTATGAGAGAGCAATAAATAAATAATAAATAAATAAAATAATAAAAATAATAAAAAAATATTAAGTAAATAAATAATATTATAATAGTAATGAAATAAATAAATATGTTTACTTTGAAATTTTAAACTGAACTTTTACGTTTTAAATTCTTTAAATTAAATTCTCAAAATTTTTCAAAATGAAACCTTCAAAATTAAAAAAGTAATAAAATATAGTCCTTAATTTTTTTAGTTCAATAAAAATCATTTTTTATACCAACAAATTTTTGTATTTAAGGAGAAAATTATATTAATATTTTTAATCTGGAATTTTATTATTGTAGAATTTACGATTGTCAGAAATTATAGCAGGTGAATAATCATAAAAAAGAATTCTTTCTTTTACTAATAGAAAATTCAAGTAATTTCAAATTTCACGGAAAGATTTGTTATTTGAAAAGAAACACAAACTCTTCAGAACAATACGAACTTCAAATATATATATATCATATCTAATCAACATTCTTTTTTTTTTAGAAATAGACGCTTTTAATCTATCTAATCTGTTGATCAATTTTTAACACCAACTTTTTCAAAATTCCCAATCTTTTTTTTCATATATAATTCTTCATTTTATTAAAATAATTTTTTTCCTCAAAGAAAAAATATTTTTAATTCTTTAGAAAAAAAATTAACTCCTTTTTGATTTTATACCAATTTTTTAATTTTAATAATTTTAGTATGATTTTTTAATATAATTTTAATAATATTAGTACATTTTAATTTCTTAGTAATTAAGTTTTTGGATTCTGATATCTATTGTAATAATTTCACAGTTTAGGCCAAAAATCCAAAATGTTAAAAAAATTGAAAATATTCATAAATTTATGTCATTAAATAATTTTTGAATATAATTTTAATAATTTTAATCTTTAATTCCGATTCTTTTTATTTATTCATAATTAGAGAATTATAGTGTTTAGAATTAATTAATTAATTAAAAAATTTATAATAAAAGCAAAAAAAAAGTATTTTAAATTGAATAAGAAAAAAATTATTATAATGACCATTTAAGCAATGAAATAATTTTTTCCTGCTTTTTAATATTTTTATGAAATTGATTTTAAATTTGGTAAAAATTGAAAATTAAGAACTCTTGATTTCAGTATTTTTTTATAGTAAAGACTTAAAAAAAATAATGTAGAAAACTAAAAGCTTAAAATCTTCAATATCTTCGTTTGATGTTTGCATAGAGATAAGAATACCTGACAAAATAAACCACTTGAGAATAAAGCATCCTCTGGTCAGAATAACTTTGTGTGTTTCTGATTACACGTATTATCAGGTTGGTCCAAGATAACTCGCAAGTTAAAAAAAAATAGTTTCTAGAATCGTTTCTTGACACTTCTAATACAAGAGGCGCAACAATCAATTTAAATTTTTCAAAAAAGAAGAAAAAAACGTCAAATTTCAATTTTTTTATATTTTTAAACTTAATTCTCTTTAATTAGATTTCTACATTATATTTTTTTAACCTTTACTCTTTTTACCTTTAAAAAATTCAATTTAATATTATTATTTGATATTTAGAATAATTTAATTACAGAGAAAAAAAGCAAATAAATGAAATTAAAAATTTTGTCAAACTTGGCAAATTTGAAAAATAAAACCTAAAATTAAATTTCAAGGGAAAAATGTCTTCTCTGTAGTTTTGAGTATTTTCTATTAGAGTTCATAATAATTATGAACAATTTTCAGAGAAATATATTTACCACTCGTTGAAATTATTCTGAAATTAATTAAACGAAATGGAAATTTACTCACAGCATCTGGTAATTGATGATACTGTAAACAATGCATGTACTCCGCTTTCTGTTGAGAGGGAATTTGAACATTACCACATTGCGGTTCGACCCAAATTTCTGTGATTATTTGAAAATCTCCAATATTCTCGCAATCCTCGTTTCCAACTTCTCCATCGCCTGTTATAATTCATAAAGCAATTAGAATTCTCGTCTTTTGTTTATTTTCTCAACTATTAATTATTACTAAAAAAATTAATCTAAGACGAAATTAATTAAAAGAGAAAATTATTTTGAAGAAAATTAATCCAAGAAAAAATTAATCTAATAAAAAACTAATCCAATAAAAAATTAATCTAAGAAAAAATTAATTTAAGAAAAAAATAATCCAATAAAAAAACTAATACAATAAAAAATTATTCCAATAAAAAAAATTATATATGAGAAGTAAAGAATTCATATTTTATTTGTAGAATAATTAATTTTCGTTTAACTTGCCATCGTCTGTGTCATCAGAACCACTGTCTCTTTCCGTTGTAGGATTAACAAGCACATGAGGCGGAAATAAAATATACTGAATAGTACAAGGATAAAAGGATGGATCATTTTCCGGTCCCTTCATTTGCACTTCTCGTACCATATTTATAATTCCTGCCGAAGAATGTGCAAAATTAAAGCCCTCAGAGAGACGAATTCTGAAAAGAAATCCCATCCCACGAATTAATTTAATTTTTAATGATTTTGATTGCTTGACTGATTGATTGAAAAGAAATTAGAATAAATTAATTTCATTAAATTAAAACAAGTGATGAAGAAATATTTTTAAATAAAAAAAATGTACGTATAAATAAAAAAGTTTACTTGGTGATAGTCGAGAGAATCCTGGCAATCGCAGAAATGTTCAATTTCGGTAGATTAATAACCGGTATGGATTGAACAAACGGTTTCTTAATGAACCACAACCATCGTCCATGATACAAATACGTTGACAATGTACCAGTGAATAATCCACTCGGTATCAATGAATTTCTCGATAAAAATTGCGTTCCATCGAAATATTTTACACTATTCAAATCACTTGGCATACGTTCGTAGCGTACTAGAATTTTCTCCAAAGATTTATGAATTATCGTGCAACAGGAAATTTCCTTAAGATCAGTGGGTCGACTGGGAAGCGTTAATTTTGCGAGTCTCTCCAATAGATCAGTGACAACATTATGTCTCACCACACCTTCTGTACCGCCGGCAAATGCAATATTCAATACGACACAAAGTGCTCGACAATTGACATTAATTATTGAAAATGACACTGGCGGTTTATCCAGTTCTCGATAAATAAATTGTACATAGGTGTGATTATCGACGAGAACAAAAGTTGCCCAATTTTTTAACATTCCATAGAGAGCGGCCCCAGCCTGGCGATATTGCACCGATTGAAAACGTCCACTCTGATTTGCCTGATGAAGATGTTTCGGCAATGGTTTGTCGTGACATAAAATTAATCTTATTCGTTGACAATGCATCCATCTTGCCCATTGATGTGGTTCTAGTGTCACAACTGGCTGCCAAATTTGACCAAATTGCGGGCACGCCGCGTCACTGAAATTTGAAAGAATTCATAATTAAGAAATTGGAAAAATTTTACTAATTTGATTTATGAAAAGTTTGATGATTACAAGCTTCGGGAGGTTTGTAAAACTCTTCCAAAATTCAACCAAGGCCTTGGTTCGATTTTAAGACGCAAAAGAAGTCTTTTTAGTCAATTAAAAGTATTAGAAAGTCGAAAAAGTCGTTTATTTTATTTTGGATTGTAATAAAAATTTTATTATGTATTTCCCTGATTTTTACCTCAATTCCAAAAAAAATTCTCCTTTCTTCCAATAACCGAACTTTATTTCAAAGTTTTTGTAAAATTCAATTATTTTCAAAATATTTATCACAATTATTCACATTTTTCTTCAAAAACATGATTATTTTAATACAAATTCTTGTAAAAAAATTCTCTAAAATATAAAATTTATTTCAATAAAAAATTTGACCAAATTTACGATTTTTTTTACAATTTTTAAATTAATTACTTTCGGGAATTCAATTATTTTCATAAAATTTTAATTCAACTTTTTCAAAAACCTAATTTTTCCAGAGTTTCTAAATTCAACTATTCAAAAATTCAATAATCTTGGTAGTAAATAAATATTTAAATATTATTTATAGTACTTAATATTTTTTTCCACAGAAGTTGAAATTCAAAAGAAAAATTTCATTTTAAAACCTTTTTAAATTTCATTACCTACTTTTAAAAAATGTAACTATTACTCTTCCAAAACTCAATTATTTTCTAGAATTTTATACTAAAATTCTATTTTAAATCAATTATTTTTTATAAGCTTAAAAATGTAATTATTAATAAAACGAAGAAAATTCACTTTTCTAAAATTCAATTGTTATCAATTCAATTTTACGAAATTTCGAAAATTCAAAAATTTTTTAATTGGATATATTGAAAAATACAAAATATTACTAATAAAACTAATAAAGAATAACTAATTTCAAAAGAATCTGAATTAAAAATTGTCAAAGAACAAAGTTGTTTAGAATTGTCAATTGAAATTATTCAAAATACAAATCTTCTAAAATTTCAATTTGAAACCTTTTGAAAAATTATTTCTAAAACTTTCTATCAAAACGCTTCCAATATTTAATTATATTCTAAAAATTTTAATTCAAATTCTTCACTAAACTAATTATTTTTGATAATTTTCATTGGATTCTTTAAAAATTGAATTAATCAGAAATTTAAAATAAAAAAAATTTGTTAATTGAAAAAAATCCAAAAAGTTAAAATAACTAATTTAAAAAGAATTAAAATTTATATTTTTCAAAGAACAAAGTTGTTTAGAATTGACAATTGAAATTATTTTACATTCAAATCTTCAAAAATTTCAATTTGAAACCTTTTAAAATTTAATTTAATTTTAAAAAATTCTACCACAAGTCTTCCAATATTTCATTATAATATATATTCTAAAAATTTTCATTCAAATTCTTCTGTAAATCAAATATTTCTAAAAATTTACAATGGATTTTTAAAAATTGAATAAATCAGGAAAGAAAAACAATTAAAATCAATTTAGAATTAAATTATTTTCATTTGAAATTTCTATTAATTGAAAATTTCTTAATTGATTGAAAACAATCCAAAAAAAATAGATAAAATAACTAATTTAAAAAAATTTGAATTATGTTTTTCAAATAACTGAATTGTATATATAGAATTTTCATTTTTTGTATAGAAAATTCAAATTTTCAAAAATTAAAATTCGAAATTTTTAGAAATTTAATTATTTCTAAAAACTTCTTCTAAAATTCAATTATTTTTCAGAATGTCCAATTAAAATTTTTCTCTAAGTCAATTATAAGGAGAAAAAAGTCGTATTTTTAAAAAATAATCCAGAAAGTCTTAATTATGATTTATGATTATGAATTAAGACTTACTGATTTGATATTGATTATATGAATAATATTTATTTAAGAAAAACGTTAATTATTCACCTGAGTTGAATCGAACTGGCAGAAGCATAAGTGGGTAAATAAAAAACAGGCATGCCACTTTTAATTGTTTCCGGGACATTGTACCAAGTCCAGCCAATTCCTGGTGACCAGCTAAAGTGCGAGAGCATGTTATCACTCTCCGTGAGTGATGTTAAAGCAGCCCAAAATCGTGAGACGACTTTCTGTCGATACTGAGATTTCAAGGGCTTCTTCGATAAACAGGTAATGTCGTGTAAAAATTCGTACGTCGCTGAAATATAAAAAAAATATAAAAATTGAATTTTGCGTATTTTAAATTATAACCATAAATTTTAAACTTAAAAGAAACTATTAAAACTTTTAAACTTAAAAAAACTTTAAAAACTTTTAAACTTAAAAATTCTCAAACTTTTTTGTTTGGACTAATGGCTTAATAACTCCATAATTATTATAATAAAAAATAAAATATCAAAAATATTAAACGAAAACATACCTTCTAAAGTTATCGTATAAGTAATCGTATTACACACCGCCATTGATCTCTTTTGCCAAGGGCACGATATGGAAAATTCCAAAAAAACATCCGTCCTCCATGGTAATACAAAACAAATTTCAAGATGTTCCTCCCGTAAATTAATTTTCTTAATTAAATAACCCTCCCGCAAGCGACAACACAATAAACTACTCAGTGTACACTTGACTTTCTCCTCAATCTGTTTTTTCCTCAAAAGTTGTGGAAAATCATCGCCATGAACAAGGCATTTTTTCATATGACAATCAGTTGAGTTCCACGAATTTCTCTCGCAACAAATTGCTCGATATAATTGCCAGCAAAGAAATTTTCGTTGATAAATATTTAAATCCGTCTCTTCGATTGGTAACTATTGAAATTGAATTAACGAAAAGTTTATAGGTGAAAAAAAACATTGCCAAGATAAATGACTTTTACGAAAAGAAAGAAAAGAAACTTACAGTTTGTGGAATGAAGGAAAAATAAGTTCCCAGAGTAGCGGTTGCGAGAAAAATGAGTATATCTTCGTAGGGAACTAAACCATTCGCGCAATGTGGATGATATGAACTTCCCACGTGTAGAAAACTACAGGCAACTGTTGTTGCTCTCAATTGTTGAATTACAAAATCCATTACATTTGCGTCTGTTATTCCCACTATTCCATCGGTGACAATAACTAAATCTGTAAAATTTAATTTGCATTATTACAAAAATTACAAAATTAGTTCTATTTAACTAATAAATACAATCCTTCCTCTATGAGAAAGCAATAAGTTATAATAATTTATAATTAATAATTAATAAATTATAGTTAATATGAGAAATAAACTTACGAGCACAACTATGATCGGGAAGAAGGGAAAGAGCGAGCATTCCATATCGCAGCATATTGACAAAGCTAGTCTCTGGTGAGGCCATGGACATAATTGACATATTATTAGTGTTACTATTTCCCACACTGGTGCCACCCTCCTCGAAAAGTCCACCCACTAATTTTTCATTTTCAGCTCGTAAATTTTCTAATTGCTGATTTACAACTCCCGTCACATGGGCCACTTTCTCCTCGAGGATATTTAATTGTTTCTCTATAAAATGCATTAGACTGCCTACATTTTCCTTGGTAACTAACCATCCTTGAACTAAAACTTGTTGCGCCGGATTCGCGAAAAATGGCGTGTGAGCTATCACAGTCACGTAAATCTCCGGCTTTATCAGTCTTTTACTCCCTGGAGCGAAAAACTATAAACAAGAAGCAAATATTAATTGATAAAAATTATAATTCTGGATTATTATGATAATGAAATTCAATTTGTGTAATAAAATTTAATTTGTATAATAAAATTCAATTTAATAGATAAAATTCAATTTCTATTATAATATTCAATTTTTATTATAAAATTTAATTAAAAATAAAAAATTTAATTTTTATAATAAAATTAAAAAAAAATTTAATTTTTATAATAAAATTAAAAATTTAATTTTAATAAACAATTTTTTAATTAATAGAAGCAAATGATTATTTACCGGTCTCGTAATTCCTTCCAAACATCTTTTCGTAGCTAGACAAACTTCGTCGATTACGACTTGACCATTTTGTATACCCTTCGAAAAAAATATCAATGTTTTATTAATTTTGGAAAAATAAATTATTTAACTATATTTTTATTACTATTATAATTATTATTATTATTATTATTATTATTATTATTATTCTTGCTATTTAATTATTTAATGTTTTAAAGATTAAAAATTACCAAAAATTAATTAAACTTGTTTTCAATTAAAAATATTTCTTTTATAATTTTCAATCTGAAATAATTGAATTCTTATAAAGAAATTCATCCAAATTTTTCAAAATAATTAAATTCCTTACGAGAAAATTTAATTAAAATCTTTAAAGACAAGTTAATTCTTACGAGAATTTTAATTAAAATAGGTAATGTTAAAAATATTCAAATTCTTATAAAGAATTTTATTGAAATTTTTCAAAATAATAAAATTTTTGACAAGAATGTCATTAAAATTTTTTAAAATAATTAAATCTCTACGAAAACTTTAATTCATTATGAAACTAATTCAATTTTGCTAAGAATTAAATTAAATTTTTTGAAAATAATTGAATTTATGCGAAATATTTTATAATTAACACAAGAATTGAATTCTTTCGAGAAATTTTATTACAATTTTTTTAAAATAATTAAATTCTTTCAAGAAATTTTATTAATTATAAAAACAAATGAAATATGGGTAAGAATTTTATGAAAATTCTATTGAAAATAAGTGAATTATAAAGAGTTTTACCAAAATTTTGCAAAATAATTGAATTTCTGCGAAGATTTTTATTATTTAGAAAAAGAATTAAAATTTTTCTTTTATAAAGAATTTTATTTAAATTTTTCAAAACAATAAAATTTTTGCGAAGAATTTTATTAAAATTCTTTAAAATAATTAAATCTCTGCGAAAAATTTGATTAATTATGAAACAAATTCAATTCTCGTAAATAATTTTATTAACTTTTTTTAAAATAATTAAGTTTCTGTGAAGAATTTTATTAAAATTCTTTAAAATAATTAAATTCCTGCGAAAATCTTTATGAATTTTGAAAATAATTGAAATTTTGCTAAGAATTTAATTACATTTTTTGAAAATAATTAAATTTATGCGAAGAATGTTATAATTAACACTTTTTTAAATAATTGAATTCTTTCGGGAAATTTTATTCCAATTTTTTAAAATAATTCAATTCTTTAGAGGAATTTTATAATTATGAAAAGAATTGAAATCTGGGTAAGAATTTTATGAAAATTCTATTAAAAGTAAGTGAATTTTTATAACGAATTTTACCAAAATTTTGCAAAATAATTGAATTTTTGCAAAGAATTTTATTATTTAGAAAAAGAATTTAATTAAAATTCTTGAAAATAATTAAATTCCTGCGAAGAATTTGATTAATTATAAAAATCATTCAATTCTCATAACTAATTTTATCAGAATTTCTCAAAGTAATTCAGTTTCTGTGAAGAATTTTATTTAAATTCTTTAAAATAATTAAATTGCTGCGATAAATTTTATAAATTATGAAAATAAGTGAAATCTTGCTAAGAATTTAAATAAAATTTTCGAAAATAATTGAATTTTTTCGAGGAATTCAATTAAAATTGTATTGAAAATATTTCATTTCTCATAAAGAATTTAATCAAAATTTTTCAAAATATTTGAACTTTTGAGAAGAATTTGATCAAATTTTTATAAATATTTGAATTTTTTTGAGAAATTTTATTGAAATTGTTTTAAAAATAATTCAATTCCTGATGCAAACAATTTTATCAAAGTCTTTGAAAACAATAAATAATTATAATTAAATACCAAATTAGTCAACAATTGGATTTTTTAAAGTTTAGTTTCTAAAATTATTCCAAATATATTTTGAAAATATATTTTCTAAATATATTTTTATTTGAAGATTAAAAATTTTTTTACTTTGCATAATAATAATAATATAAATAATAATTAAATGATAATTGTTGTATTTACTATTGTTGCAAGAGATGGACTAAGATCGAGACTAAAGACCATCTTGTACTTATGTGCAAGAAATATAATCAAAGTCGACGAGGATATTCGATAAAGAAATTGATGATTATTTTCACAGCTCCAGGAAATGGGTTTATCCTTTGGAAGCACCGACACAATCTCCAATTCTTGTGTTTCTTCATTATCAATCACAGGCTCTTCAATTGATACCACTGAATCTAAATGTTCAATTTTCCATTGTGCCCTCACATTTCGAGATATTGGAAAACCCTTTTTCATTAAAAGAAACACAGTTTCTGCTTCAAGGACCACCTTTGCCTTCAAAAAGAGAATATTTTAAATCAAAAGAATAATTTAATGAACACATTTATAGAATAAACAGGGTAATAAAAAACATGTAAACTTTAGAAATAATTTTAGGTTACCTGTGATACTATTTACCAAAGGATTTAAATAACTTGAATTTAACATCTGTAAATTCTTTAAAAAAAACAAATTTTATAATAAATTATCTCTTACCTCGGCTACAGGATGATCCATTATAATATAAGAAATTAATCCGTTAATTTATTTACAAAACTAGCACAAAATATATTTATTATTAGTCGACGTTTTGTGCTTAGAAGCATATTGTGGCACTGATATTACTCTAAATCGAAATCGAATAAAAAGAGAAAATTTATTCGTTTTATAAGTATATTTATAAAAAAAGTCAATTTTTAAATGTTTATTTTCATTTCCCCTAATGATAATGATTAAAAAAAGGACAACATAACCTCTAATTGAAATGGAAAGTGATACTTTGTAATGAGCAAATTTATTAAGTCGTAATTTGCTTCACTTGTTAAATAAAGACACAGTAATTTCTCTGACTTGATTACTATGATTTAAGTTGGTAAAAGTATAAATTATTTTTTGATAACAAGTATTTTTCTTCAATATCACTGCTGTCATGGCTGCTGTCATTGTGTAAGTGTGTGAATTGTAAACAATTTATCGACATTCGGTAAATATTACCAACATTCGAAAAAAATGGGCGCTGAACTTAAATTTGTTTTTAATTTCGACCAAATAATATATAAAATCTTTGTATTATATTTTATTTTTTTAAAACAATAAATATGTTTAAAATGAAAAGTATTTTTTTTATAAATAAAGCGGAATTATCGAATTTTTAATTAAGAGGCTTATTGTGACATCATTTTTCCTGCAATTGGCTGCCTTGCTGGGAATCTGGGATGTCATCACTTGTACGACGCTCACTTCACAGGTATTAGTCAGTGTTGTTGCGTTTACAGTTCGTGAGGTTTGTTTTTCAATAAAGTACAATTGAATTAACATCTATTTACATGTTACAGCAGAGGATAACAGCAGGTAAATAAAATTCCAAAGATCCTAGTTTTTAATTTGACTAACACATCAAAAGATTTGGTTTATTTTATTCGAAAACAAGAAAAAAGAAACTTGAAAGAGCGGCAACAATGCCACTCCCTGTCCCCTCCCTTAATTGTCATCACACTTATGGAATTTCTGACTAATATGTTAATTTGTAATTTTTTAATTTTGATTATTAGGAAAAAACACGCTAATAGTAATTAAATTTTTAATTTTCTTTGTGTCGATGACTCGATTTATATTCGCCCCATAACCTATATTTTTTAATTTGCCTTCATTTCACTCTTCGAATGATAATTTAATTTAAATAACAATTTAACTCTACACTCGATTCTCGTTATAACGACGATCTCGGGACTTCAAAATCTCGATATTACGACGGAAGGAGGAATCCTACTTCACGTTATATTCAAACACATGAATTTATCTGTGATTAACAGAACAAAACGTCAAATAAGTGTAAAAATTTTCGTAAAGTATGTTTATTTATATTAAAAGTTTCTGCATTATGGAATCAGTTTAAAGAAAAAGTAAGAATTTTTAATAATAATCACATCACTAGATTCTTTAGGTTAAATAAAGTTAAGGGTTGATTAACTTAGTCGTTTTTTTTGAGTTAACCAAAATTTTGGTTAAATTAAATTCTTAAATTCGTTCGTGTTTTTTTTGTTGTTGTATCGAGAGTTTTAATGTTCGTTGTAACGAGAGAACGTTGTAACGAGATTCGTTATAACAAGATTCGAGTGTACTTATTTATATTTAAATTAGATTTTTTATGTTTAAATTTAATTTTTTATGTTTGAATTTAATTTAATCTTCTATATTAATATTCCAGTACTTATGTGGATTTAAATCGGTTTTTTAGGTTTTAATTTTTCTAATTGCGATTTTAATTAATTTTCAGAGTTGAGGGAAGAACAATGAAGCGCTTCCAGTTTGTGATCATTTTTTTGATCGGATTATTAACCACAATCACTGCCCAAGTTAGTTATTTTGATGATTTGGAATATCAGTGTCCACAGCATTGGATGAGATTTCAAGATTCATGCTATCGTTTTATAAAGAGTCCAATAAGAGTGAGAGATGATGCGAGAAAAAATTGTCAAGCCTATCAAAGTGATTTAGTTGCTATTAATTCATTGGACGAACATGGATTTCTATTGCACAATTTACAGAGAAATGATCCTCAGCATCGAAAATGGTACACTGGAGTGAGATTCCAAGGTGGTTATTGGACTAATGAACCGGATAATTCACAAGTGATTAATATGGAGAATGCCTTTTTACCTGAACCGAATGATGGGATTTACGGCAGGGATTATCTTGTTTACGCCTATAGTAATGGATTGAAACGTTGGGGATTCGAGAAGGTCACTGGATTCGATGAATTACTGTATATTTGTGAGGCGCCAATATCGTCTCTTCATAATTTAATCGAAGATGATCGAACCTATCAGTACGGCATTAATATCGACAATCCACTCAAAATACCAAGGGGACCGTATTTTATTAAACAACCAGTTAACACTGTTTTCGATTTTTCCAAGGAGAAAGTTAATAATGATATTTCTTTGAGTTGCTTGGCTGGTGGATATCCAGCGCCCAGTTATGAATGGTTCAAGGAACACTACGATAATGATCGACTAGTTTCCAATAAAATTGATCCGTTATCGAATGGTCGATACACTGTGAGTGGTGGTTTGCTGATCATCTTCAGTCCAAATCAGGTAAGTTCATTTTTTTTCTTCCATTCTTTCATTTCTTTTATTATTTAAATTTCTTTTACTATTTTCTTCATTTTTGGATGTTTTAATTTCTTCTTCTTCTTATTTTAATTTTAATTTCCAGGCTTCGCACTCATCTACTAAAACCTACTATTTACTACTTTTTTTACATTATGCTACTATTTAGGTACTTTTTTAGATTTCAGCTACTAAAAGCTACTATTTCTGTTTTTTTTTTTTTAGAATTTCCACTACTTTAAATTCGCTAATACTAGAAATCAAAAAACTATTCTCAAAAATTATAATCATAATTATTATAAACACATTCTTTAAAACGATTCAATTATTTTCAATAAATATTCGAAATTCATTTATTTTCAATTATCTAGTATTTTGAAAAAGTTTTGAAAAATAATTCAATTATTAAAAAGAAATTGATAAAATTCATCCAAAATTAAATTATTTTCATAAATAATAAAATTTCCACAGGAATTCAATTAATTTAGAAAAGCATTTTCAAAGAAAGTCAATTATTTAACAAAAATTTTATACAATTCTTCACAATAATTCAATTATTTTCACTAATAATAACATTTTTCATGGAAACTCAATTTTTTAAAAAAATTTTTGATAAAATTCTAAGCAAGAATTAATTCTTTTCATAAATAATAAAACTCATCGAAGAATTTCAATTATTTTCACGAAAGAATTTAATTTTTTTTCTTAATTCGTTATAGTAAAATTTTTCAAAAGAATTCAATTATTTTCTAAAAATTTAATAAATCTTTCACAATTCAATTATTTTTTTAAATATAGTAAAATATTTGCAAAAATTCAATTATTTTCAATAAAATTTCATGAAAGAATTCGAAATTTTTAAAAATTTTTAATAAAATTTCAGGAAATAATTCAATTATTTTCTAAAAATTTTAATAAAATTCAATAATTTAATTGTTTAATTTCAATTATTAAGAAACACGATTATTTTAAAAACTTGAAAGAAATTGTTTATAGAATTCAATTAATGTAAAAATTTTCAATTCAAATTATTAAAGAAACTCTATTATTTAAAATAAATTGAAAGAAATTCTTCAAACTAATTTAATTATGATTTTCAAAAGATTTAATAAAATTCCAGTCAAGAATTCAATTATTTCCATATAAATAATAAAATTCTTCGAAGAAATTCAATTATTTTCAAATTTTTTAATAATATTCTTTGCAGGAATTCAATTATTTTTGAAAATTGTAATATAATTCTTTGCAAATATTCAATTATTTTAATAAATAATAAATTTCATTGATGGATTTTCATTATTTTTAATACAATTTTACAGGAATTACTCAAAAAATGTAATTATTCTTAAAAATTTAATTTCAATTCCTCGAAAAAATCAATTATTTAAAAAAATGTTTTTATAAAATTCTTTGGAAGAATTCAATTATTTTCATAAATAAAAATATTCATCACAAGAATTCAATTATTTTAAAATTATTTTTAAAAATTTGTAATAAAATCGTTTGCAAGTATTGAATTATTTTCATAAATAATAAAATGATTTTTAGGAATTCAATTATTTTCATATAAAATTTAATAAAATACCACACAAACATTCGATTATTGTCAAAAATTTTAATAGAATTTTTTGTAAAATTTAATTATTTTCAAAAACTTTTCGCAATTCAATGATTTTCAATATCTACTATTTTCATAAAATTTCCAAACAGAATTCAATTATTTAAAACATTTTTTTGTAAAAATCTTTGTAAGAATTCAATTAGTTTCATAAATAATAAAAATTTCTCAGGTATTTAATTATTTTAATTTGAATTTGCATAAAATTAGTCGAAAGAAATCAATTATTTAAAAATTTTAATAAAATTCTTCGCAAGAATTAAATTATTTTTATAAATATTTAAATTCTTTCATGAATTATATAAAATTCGTTGAAGGAATTCAATTTATTAGTATAGGATAAGAAGGAAGTAAATATTTTTGATGAAAATTAGGAAAAAGTCATGAAAATAAAATATAGAATGTAATTCTTGTCAGTTTTGTGAAGTGTCTAAAACGAGTTTTTTTGGTCAAGTTTAATTTTTCGATCGCTACTTTTTTACTACTTTTTTTTAGTTTGAAAGCTACCTTTTGCTACTTTTTCAAAATTAAGTAGAAGTTAATTAAAAAATTAATTAATTTGAAGTCTGAATTTCTTTTACTATTTTTATTTTCTTTATTGCAGACTTCGGATCGAGGTTCGTATCATTGTCGAGCGACAAACGAATTTGGCACAATTCGATCGGAGAGTGTGGAACTTTCCTTTGGCTACATTATGGAATTTAATTTGAAACGACCTGACGAACGGGGCGATCAGCATTGGGGAAAAGCGGTTTATTGCGATCCACCTCAACATTTTCCGGACGTGAAATATTATTGGGCTCGTGATTTTTTCCCGAATTTCGTTGACGAAGATCAACGTGTTTTTGTATCGAACGATGGGGCACTTTATTTCTCCGCTCTTGAACCAATAGATCATGGAAAATATTCTTGTAATGTTCAAAGTACCGCTGCTGATAATGGACGAAACGGACCTTTCTTCCCATTGAAAGTCGACTCTCACGGTAATTCAAATATTTATTTGATATTCTTTTCAAAAATATTTATTTTATTTATCTAGTTTCGATTTTATTATTTTTAATATTCTATATTATTTGATTTAGAGTTCATTTACTAAAAAAGATTTTTTTGACATTCCAGCAACCTTTCAAGAATTGAAGTTTCCGAATAGTTTTCCAAAGGTTTTCCCCGAAGCACCAACAGCTGGCGAGGAAGTTAGATTTGAATGCGTAGCGTTTGGATAGTAAGTTTTTTTCATTATAAATGTTTACAGAAATTTTTTATAAATAAAAGAAACACTTATGAATATAAAAGAAAAAATGAATTTAATTAGATGTTTTTTTGTCGTTTTTAATATATATTAATTTAAAGAATTTAAATTCTTTAAAGTAAAACTAAATTAAATTTCGGCAAAAAGATATAGTAATTAATAATTTTACTTAATTTTACAGTCCAGTGCCTTCTTACAATTGGACAAGAAAAAATGGCGATATACCGAGAACGGCGAGATGGTCGCACTATAATCGTGTTTTGACGATACCCCACGTGAGTGTTGAAGATCAAGGAGAATACGTTTGTCGTGCGAGAAATGGACGACTATCGATACAACAATCAGTGATATTGACTATTCAAGCGGCGCCAAATTTCACTATTCCACTCACCGATAAGCACATTGATTTTCAAGGGGAATTAACGTGGACTTGTGAAGCATTCGGTATTCCCGATGTTGCATACAAATGGTACAGAAATGGCGAGGTATTAAATGAATACACTCTACCATTGGAGGACAGAGAACGCTATTCTTTTCGTGATAATGTTCTGAAAATAATACGAGCCGATCCCGAGAGAGATCAAGCCATGTATCAATGTGGCGCGACAAATCAACTCAAATCTAAATTTTCCTCCGCTCAATTACGTGTTCTTTGTAAGTAAATTTAGTTGATATTAATTAAATTATTGCTATTAATTCATTATTATTCATTAAATTATTACAATTATTTAATTAAATTTAACTTTGTTCATTAATTTTTAATTACATTTTTCAAAACTGGTTCGTTTTAAAATGGACTTTTGAATAAAATTTTTAATTGTAATAAAAAATGTAATTAAAAATTAAAAATTTCTTTAAGGTTTCAAAAATGTAATTGTCTGAAAGACAATTACATTTTTGAAACCTTAAAGAAATTTAAAATGAATTATTCATTTTGTGATTCAATGTTTTTGATATGAAATAAAATAATTCTTGTAGCATTGAAACCGTCATTTAAAAAATTGCCAATGGAGTCGGAGACTTACTCGTCGGAGCAAGGAAACGTGACGATTGTTTGTAATCCGGAAGCAGCTCCGCGACCGTCGTTTGTATGGAAGAAAGACGGAAATGTCATTGGACCAGGAGGAAGGCGGAGAATTTTACAAAATGGAAATCTCATAATTAGTCCAGTTTCACGTGACGATGAAGGAATGTACGTCTGCATCGCGTCAAATCAATACGGAAGTGATGAAACCCGAGGAAGATTAATTGTCTTGCGTATGTTAACCATTTTTTGATTATTATAAATTAATTAGGAATTATTTTAATTTTTAATTATTTCAATGCTTCTGAATATCATCTGTTTCATTTTTTATTTTGCTATTTTATTTGAACTTTTTATTCATTTTAATTTTTTAATGAGTTAACTTTTTATTTATTTCAATTTTTTTATACTCACCTTTTATTTATTTAAATTAATTTATTTTAACTTTTTATTTATTCAGTTTTTTTCCTGTAATCATCAATCATCAATCAATAATAATAATTGTTGTATTCCGGTAATCTGCTCATAGTTTGAAATTAGTTGTTTGCTTTTTTGTTTCTTAACATTTTTAATAATTTTTCTTTTTAAAAGTTTTCAATTTTAAAAATATTGGCTTGAAAAACATCGAATTGTTAAAAAAAAAATTTATTTTATTATTTAGGAAAATAATTGAATTCTCGCGAAGAATTTTGTTCAGATTTTTTATAATTCTAATTACATTCTTTTTGAACAATTTCTTTGAATTTCTTTTAAAATAACGGAGTTTCTTTAATAATTTTAATTAAAAATTTTGAAAATGATTTAATTTTACGAACAATTTCTTTCAAGTTTTTAAAATAATCGTGTTTTTTAATCATTGAAATTAAACATTTAATTATTGAATTTTATTAAGATTTTAGAAAATAATTGAATTCTTTTCAAAAATGATATAACGAATTAAGAATAAAATTGAATTCTTTAGTGAAATTTTTTTGCAAATAATTGAATTGTTTCGAAGAATTTATTAAAATTTTAGAAAATAATTGAATTCTTTTGAAAAATGTTATAACGAATTAAGAATAAAATAATTGAATTCTTTCGTGAAATTTTGTTGAAAATAATTAAATTTTTTACAATGAATTTTACTATTTATAAATATAATTAAATTCTTTCGAAGAATAAGAAAATAATTTTAGAAAATACTTACATTTTTTCATGAAATTTTATTAAAATTTTATTAAAAATAATTAAATTTTTCAAAAGAATTTTACTATTTACATATATAATTGAATTTTTTCGAAGAATTTATTAAAATTTTAGAAAATAATTGAATTTTTTTGAAATATTTTATGATGAATTAAGAAACAAATTGAATTCTTTCGTAAAAATTTTTTTGAAAATAATTGAATTTTTGCAAAGATTTTACTATTTAAAAAAATAGTTGAATTGTTTTGAAGGATTTTTAAAAATTTTAGAAAATAATTGTATTTGTTCGTGAAATTTTATTAAAGTTTTGTTTAGAAATAATTGAATTTTTGCAAAGAATTTTACTATTTATCAAAATAATTGAATTCTTACGAAGAATGTTATTATTTATGAAAATAATTGAATTCTTGCGAAGAATTTTATTAAAATTTTTAGAAACTAATAATCAGGAATAATTGATTAGTAAATTAGTTAATAATTGAATTTTTTTAAGTTTGAATCTGAAATTATTCAAAAAGTCATATTTTTAAATAAAAAATTTTGTAATTAGCATAATAATAATAATAATAATAAATAAATAAACTACAACAACAATAATAAATTATTATTATATTATTGAATATTATTGAATAAAAAATTTCATTTATATTTATAAATAGTTCAATTATTATGCGTTACATTTGCTAGTTTTATTGAAAGAGAAATTTCATAAATTAGAATTAAATTCAGTGAGATTATGATTGATAAATTTTTTTTTAATGACATATGTTTAGGTGGGCCGAGATTTGTGAAAATGCTACCACCACGTTTGGTGACAGCTGTTGGGTGGAATAATACGCTACATTGTCGCGCGGATATTGACGAAATGTTGGACGTGGCTTATATTTGGATGCACAATAAAATGCGAATAAGGGACAAAGACTTGATGAACAATCGTCATATTGTGATTGAAGGAGGAGTTTTGGATATTATTAATGCAACTATGGCTGAGGCTGGTGAATACGAGTGCATTGTGAAAAGCGCAGTGAGCCGAATTACGAGCAGAACTGTCGTTTACGTTGAAGGTCCACCTGGACCACCTGGAGGAGTGCAGGTCATGAATATTATAAAATCCTCGGTTTCTCTTCGATGGACGGATGGAGCTTTTAATGGAAAGGAAATTTTGCTCTACACCGTTAGCGCAAGAACAAATTATAATCAGACTTGGTTTAATATAAGTGAAAGTAAGTTAATAAGTATATTTCATCAATTGATAATTAATATTACCAAAGTCAAAGATGAAAAATCAATCTCTTTGATTAAAAAATAAAAAATACGTTTGAGTAAAGAGATATTCAAAAAGAAAATAAAAAAATAAAAAATACATTTAAGTAAACTTTTAATTTTCTTTTTGAATATTTTTGAATGAATTGAATTGAATATTTTCCCTCTTCTTTGCAGATATTCGAGCGAGTATCGCGGATAGACATAACGGAAGAAAGGAAGCGTTCTTGGAAAATATACTGAATCCCTTCACGACTTACGAATTTCGAGTGGCGGCCTACAATGAATTGGGTTACGGTCCAGCGTCAGCGCCAACGCCGCAGCACAGCACATCAGCGGACAAGCCCTTCAAAGTGCCGAGTTACATTGGCGGTGGAGGTGGAAAAATTGGCGAACTCACCATCAAATGGGAGCCACTGCCACCGGCCGATCAGAATGGACCAGGTATTTACTACAAAATCTTTTGGCGCCGAAAGAATCACGACACTGAATTTCAATCAAATGATTTACGTCATCTTGGAAATATTGGAATATTCGTCGCTACAATTCCCTCGCAATTTTTCTACACCGAATACGAAGTTAAAATGCAATCATTCAATGAAATTGGCGCCGGTCCAATTTCCGAGCCAGTGACAATATTCAGTGCCGAGGATATGCCACAAGTCGCGCCGCAACAGGTGTCGGCGTTCGGTTACAATAGCACAGCTCTTAATGTGAGTTGGTCGCCAATCGAGCAGACACGCGAGAGAATACGTGGGAAACTTATTGGACATAGAATTAAATATTGGCTGGAAACAAAACCAGAGGAAACGTCGACGTATTATTTGTCACGTACAACGCGGCCTTGGTCTTTGGTCGTTGGTCTCAAGCCGGATACGCGATATTATGTGAAAGTGATGGCTTATAATTCGGCTGGCGAAGGACCGGAGAGTGAGAGATTTTTGGAGAGAACGTGGAGACGAGCGCCGCAGAAACCACCGTCAGCGGTACATGTTATGGATGTTAATCCATCGACTGTTCGCGTGACTTGGCGTTACGTGCAACCCGGTCCTGATGAAGAGCCATTGATTGGCTACAAGGTCCGTGTTTGGGAGGTTGATCAAGATATGAGCACAGCTAATGACACGATAGTTTTAACTGGAAATGATCTCGAGGCTCGAATTACAAATTTGAGTCCTGGCAAAACTTATCATTTGAGAGTTTTGGGTTATAGTGTTGGAGGCGATGGTCGCATGTCCAGTCCCGCGCACACTTTCCAAATGGGTGATAAGGAATTACTTAGAAGTAGTGCCGCTAAGAAAATGCTCGACAGTGCTTTAATATTAGCTCTCATCTTTCTCGTCACTATGTTTCAATTTCGGTAATTTTTTCTAATTTTCCCTCTTTTTCATAATAATGAGACTTTGCTATTTTAAAGTCGAAAGAATTGGATTTTTCAATACCAAGAAAAATTGGTATTTTTTATACTGTCGCATGTTTCATGAATTTTAAAATTCATTAAAAATAATTTAAAAATCGAAAAACATTGAAAATGTTTAATATTTTGTAAATATTAAATAGAAAAAATCATTTACGAATGAATTTGAAACGGCAATTTTAAAAATATATGTATAAAAACCATTAGGTTTTGAAAAGGAATTTTAATTTTTAATTCAATTATTCAGGGTGGCCACATGTCAGTAAAGTCAGTGAAGTTTTTTAAATTTAGTATTTTCAGTACTTTCAATAATTACATATTTCCGAATTCAAATCCTACATGCAAAAAATAATAACATTTTAGAATTATTTTTAACATTTTGGAGAAAAAAATCATATTTAATTAAAAATCATCAAGAAATTAGTTTTTTTTTAAATATTACAGAAACTCTTGTAAGAAATTCAAATGTTTTCAAAAAATTATATTAAAATAATATTTTTAAAAATTGCTTAATTCTTATAATTTTTATCATAATTTTTCAAGATTTAATTATCTCCGAATAAAGCAAATAAAAATTTACTTTTTTGGACTTATTAAAATTTGAGAAATCATGGTCATATTTATAATTAAAATTCTTCAAAAATTTGACGATTTTTATTTTTTGAAAATATTATACCTTAATAAACTTAAAAAAAACTATGGACACTTAGAATTATTATAAAAAATTGAATTTTCGTATTTAAATAATTTAATTCTCGAAGAATTTTCGAAAAATTATTAAAATAATTGATTTAGAGATGAAGTTTAGTTGGAAATTAGAGAAAATAATTGAATTCAGGAAGGGTTATAATTGCAATTTTTAGAAATTATTAAATTTCATAAATTTTACTCATTTTCCGTAAAGTTTCATATTTTCCTGTGAAAAGAATTTTGTCAGCGAAAATAATTTTAATGTCAGTAAATTGTCAGGGAAATTGATAAACTGAAACTTGTGACCACCCTGCAATTGATTATTAATTAAATTAATTTCTCCAATTAAATTAATTTCTTTAATTACATTAATCGATTAATTAAATTGCCAGAAAGAATTTTGCTTATTGAAATGGGAACATTAATTTTCTTCCATATTTAAAGTGTTCACGAGAACTTTAACCCTTTTAAGATTTTCTACACAAAAGATTCAAAGATTTCGACAATATGCGAAATAAAAAAAAATTTGTAAGCCTTTTTTTAAAAAAGAAAGAAAGACGCATTTAAATGAAGTATATTTTTAACTTTAAAAATTAATTAAGCTTAATTAAATATTAGTTAAGGCACGGAGTTTCAATGCAATAAAAAAAAAAGAAGGGTACAAAAATGCAAGTCTGGCTTTAAGCGAAATTTGTAGACAATAGATATTTTTTTACTAATGTTAGAATAGTAATTCACGAATCTCTTTAGAAATTTTTTTTTCTAATTAGTCTATAATTTAGATTTATTGTGATTCTTCGAAACTGCACAATTTTATACTAGTTTCTCGAAACTTTTTTTTATTAAATAATTATCGCGAATTGAATTTTATTTGAAAAAATTTTTATATTTTTTAATTATAAATTTGCTAATTTGGAATTATTAATTATTTAATTTGCAATTGCTAATCTGATAAATTTGCTAATTTGTAGGAATTATTATTTTATCTGATTTTACTAATTTGTAATTAATGTCTGATACATCTGTGAAAGTGTAATTTTTACCAAATTTTAACGAGATGAATTTTTTTTTTTTTTAATATGATATATGTGTCATATTTTATAGGAAAGAGCGTTTAGTATAATAGGTTTTATTCTTTATCTGAGAGCTAAAGTTTAAAACATCATTATGTACAATAGAACAAATTTCCGTCCAAGTGTGCCCAGATTAAACATTATTTTCGCAAGAAAAAAAAATAGAGTCAAAACAAAATTGTGTTAATCAGGTAAAAATGAAAATTATAAATTTCATAGACAAATTTTCTGTTTTACACAACTTGCAATAATGGCAATAATTTAGAAAATACTCTTTTACATTAAATAACTCATAGTGGATTTACTTTTTTGCCTGAATTGACAATTTAATATTAATCGTGCACAAAAATTAAATTAAATTAAATACTTTGATTGTTATCTGGGTACTTGTTATATATAGATATGTATGTATTAAGCATCATGCAAAGAGAATTATTTCTTATAAATAGGATTTATATATATGTATACATTTGCGAAATTATACACATTTTTTTTTAATTTTACATCGAACTTTTACAAAGTAAATACTCTTTGTATATTTGAATTGTATTTTCTTTTTGTACTGTTCTACTTTGAGAATCTCAAAAAAAAGAAGAAAAATAAATTTTTTACGATAAAATATTCAAATTGTATTTTTATTTCAAGACCTTAATTATTAAATTAATCAATTTATTAATTTGAAAAAAAACCTAATAGGAAATTAAAATATAATTCTTCCTTTATGAGAAAAAGCGAAAAAGGTAAAAGAGATTTATAGAAAAAATCCATTATAATAAATAAAAAAATAAAATAAAAAATGATTATATTTAAATATATTTTTCAAAGTTTTTAAAGAAAAAACTGATTATCGATAATAATTATCATTTATTTGATTACACCCATTGATTACATTCAAGTAAGTCCTACACATTAACAAAGGTACACTCATGTACGAACTTTATTAATAATTTGCAGTTCATAAACTTTGATTAAAATTAAAAATACTTAACGAATATCAGTACTTAAGGTATTGTGTGTATATATTTAATTAATAATTAAATAATTATAAAAAGTAATGCAAGAAAGTTGGCACCTAAATTGTACATGTGTATAATTTAATATACTTACATAATTATTTTGTTTATTTTTTTCTAAATAAATAAAAATAATGTAAAAAAAAATTATTTTTATATCGCTAGAAAGAGAGAGAGAGAGAGAGCAAAAAAACAGATATTTATAAATATCCATTTTTTCAAATCTTGTCAATGTGTCTCCATTTTTTTTTAATAATATAATAAGCGCTTTTTAGACTGGAATTAAATTTTTTTGGCACACGCGCTAAATTATTTTAAATAATGTGTCGTTTTGTAAATTGACATTTAAATGATACAGTGTTTAATAATAATAATATTTTGATATGCTAGTTTCAGGAAGACTTGGATATTTTTTCTAATTATACGTGTGAGCTCTTTACAGATGAGAAATTACTGCATATAGAATTTTTTTTTTAAACTTTTTTTTTTGCATAGAATAGATAATATATTGCGACTGATTTTTTTTAAGCCTTTTAGATTTTTTTATATATATATTATACTTAACAATTATTATTTTCAGCTTATGATGCTTTTCTTGACAACACGCTGTCTAAATCTTGTAAAACGATCGCTAAAAATAGTGATTGACATGAATTCGTGAACATTAACAGTTAATGACTAATATCAATAACTAGAATGTCTTTTTTTTAATAACAGACTTTTTTTTGGCGAAACGAGATATTATATATTAACGAGATTCATTTATGTTCTTGGCTCAACATTCAATAAATTGTCCTTTCGTTTATGAATTTCTATATTTTGAATTATAATATCCAATCAAAAGATTCAATTATAATATTCAATTACAGATTATTTTGAAAATTATTGAAAATTAATTACTAACATTTTTAATTATTAAAATTTTGTATCCTTCGATTTTAATGAATTCATTAAAAGAAATCTTAAGAGTAGATTCGCTTTTACATACAAAATTGGAAAAAATCGGAGAAAAAGTAAATTTTATTAAAATTAAAAAAATACAATTAGAGAAATATTTTCAAAGTGAAATTTTTCTGTTTTAGAAACAAAAAATACAGAAAGACTTTTCAATTTAATGAATGTATTGCAATTAATTGGCTATAAATATTATACAGATTTTAAATTTGTACACCTGATGACTTCGTTTTTATGAAAACGAAATTGTGTCATCGAGATGATCCAAGTATTTTTATAATGCGGTTGAAATATTCCCGATAAGTGTACCGTGTCCCTTGATAATATAATTATCCATTATATTAATAATTACTAATTATTCACTATATTAATAATCATTAATTATTTAATACTGTCAATAATTATTAATTATTCACTATATTAATAATCATTAATTATTTAATACGTCAATAAATATTAATTATTCACTATATCAATAATCATCAATCATTCAATACGTCAATAATTATTAAATATTGAAACATTATCATTTTCGAATAATGATAAGTATTTTTTAATTTATTTAAATTTATGTGAAATATTTTGAATATAGTTAACCCGCTTAATATTATAAATTTTGAAGCACTTCTCCAAAACAAAAAATGTAATATTATCGATTTATCGATATGTTGTCCAAACTCTCTTATATAAGCAACACACTTTTATAATTAAATGTTTCTCTCAGGTAACACTTTTTTCTCATTAATTAGAAATTTTCTTTTTTTTTCTTTTTGTTAATTTCTTGTTGTAAAATGCCCAGTGGTCCCCCTCCAGAGTCACTGCGCATAATATATTTCTTAATTTCTATTTCATAAATAGATTTTACTACTTTTCTATATTTAAAATTTTTTTTGGTTTTAATAATAATATATACTATATAATATTGTAGTTCTAATAATGGAGAATTCGATAACGACGAAGTCACAATGACTAAACAGCTCTTTGGAAAAAAAATTTTTTTTTTTTCTTTCTAAGATCTTGATGTGATTAATGATCTTATATAATTAATATTATAGTTTTTGGTTAACTGCTGTTGAACACCATCAGAGCTAGAGTACAAACACTGCTTTTCTAAGGCTAATAAGTATTCGCGTCAGACATTTTGACAATTTTTTAAATTAATTTCATTCTTTGAAATTGATTTTGCAAAATTTGTTTTCTTCTTTTTGAATTATTTTAATATTTGTATTTTTTAATAGAAATATCAATTCAATATTGTGAATCGCTTTTTTTTTAGATAATTATTTTGAAGTTTTCGCTATTTGGCTAATTAAATATGTTAATAGCTAATTAGCTAATTAGATAATTAAATATGCAATTAGCTAATTAGATAATTAAATATCCAAATACCTAATTAGATAATTAAATACGCTGATAATTACTAACAAATAATTAAATTCGATGACAAATTTTACACTCTTCTAATGATTAATTTTAAAAAATTGATCTCAAAACGTCTTTTCAAGAAACTTTTTCTTTTTGGAATGCAGAGAATATATTAGGCATATTTAATTAGACCTTTTGTTGACTATTTATAAATAGCCACTGATTGACAATATCAAAGGCGGTCTTTTATCGTTAAAAAATTAAATGCTTTTTTTTTTATAAATAATGTATATTTATCCATTGAAAATATTTTCGATCCGAAAATAATTCTCAATGGTAAAAATATAATATTGTAGATAAAATGAATTGTTTTCTTTTTTAAATCTTGAAGATAATGTAAAAAAGAAAATGGCTTAGACAATTTTTTGTTTAAATCCCTTCCCACCCTTTCATTCCCACTGGTGCTAAATTTACGATTTATATAACATTTTTGTTTGTGCGTCTGCTTTTTGTTGCGCAGCGGTTACTAGAATGATAGTTTAATTTTCATATAGAATTATATAAGAATAGTATTACGAAGAAATTTCTAACACATGTATATATAATATATTATGTATATATAATTATATTACATCTTTGGAAGAACTGTACACTCGGCACACTTTTTAGTCCGCAGCGTAAAAGCACCGACAAAAAAAATTTCCGCAGTTTTTCCTCTTTTTTAAAGTTTGGTTAATAAATTTCGTTTGTTTAAAGACAAAAAAAAAATTTTTTTTCCAAAAAGAAAATTTCCTCAACAGAAATTTCTATTTGAAAAATATTTTTTGTAAATTTGTCTTTTGTCGACCAAACCTTTTATTTCTAGTAGAAGTTCGTTAATTAATTTTAATAAAAATTTCTTTTACTACACAAAAAGAAAATTTTCAAATTCTCCAAATTTAATAAATAATTAATATTAGTTAATAATTATTAATAAAGGTGACAAAAACTTTAAGTTAAAAATTAAACTGAGTTAAAATATTTAAAAGTTAAAAAGTTAATGTTAAAGAAAAAGAAGAATTTTTCCAGAAGAAAAATCTTACAAAAGAAATAATTTCCAAGAATAAAAAACAATTCTTTATCATAAAATAGAAAAATTAATAAAGTAGAAAAGAATAGAAATTAAAAAAAAGAAATAAATTTTACTCTTTTTGTAAAACAGTGATAAGAGAGAATCCGTCCAAAAATAATAATTTATCAAATTTAAAATCAAACTTGACAATTTTGTTTGTCGGTGTGGGGATCGGAAATATCTTAAGATTACGTAAAATTATTGTCAATATATATCATTTACACAAAAGTGAAGATTTCTTTTTTTTTTTAAAATTACCATCGTTGCTCGAACATCGATTTGTGAACATATCAAAAAGTCTTTTTCCTTATTTGCTTGCGTGTCTTTGTTTTTTTCGCTACTATAGAAAAAAAATTATCCTCAGATAATTTGCAGCACTATCATTTTTAAAATATCATATGTTATATTCATTAAAAGTTGCTTTTTTTTCTTTTCCACATTTTGTATACGTAAAAGTGGTCAATATTCGATATGGTCGACTCGAATTTTTATCGAACAAGAAAGATTACGTTTCATATATTTGTATTAATATTATTTTTTTTTATAAAGTTCATCTATGTTTTCTTCTTTTTTTTAATAATTATAATAATAATAATACGTAATACTGATGTTTTTTATACGTATAATACTGATTTGAATTCGCATCAAATATACTATATCTCAATAATTTGATATCAATTTTTTAACAGATTTTCCTTTTTTTTTTTTTTTTTTGATAAAAAAGAATAAGTCAAAAATTTGTATATGTTTGTATATAGATATTTTTCTATAAAATGTTTCGTGAAACTTGTTTTTTCTTTGCCATTTGAAAACACGAGCTAGCAATTTTACTCTATTCATTTTTCTTTTCTATTCTTTTCCCTCGAAAATCTACGAATTTTCATAGGTAGGAAATTCTTTTTAAACGACAACAGTATGTATATATATATATAGTATCAGTAAATTCTACCATTGGAAGACTTTTAGAAGCAAATTAATAAAAAATTTGAAATATATCCATTACACGTACACTGTAAAAAGCTTATACAAATTCTACAAAAGTAGAATAAAAGATTTTTTGTTTCAAATTTTCATTTGGTGTTTCACTATTTAATATGTTTTCTTCTGTCTTTTTGTATTTTTGTGTATTTTCATTTTGTGACAATTGAAGATTTCTTTTTTATTTGTGAAAAACACGATTTTCGTGTTAAATATTTTTGTGTTTTCAGAAAAAACATTTGGAAAAAAATGTTTTTTGTTTTTTTAAAACAGTGTACGTTTATTTTTTCTGAACAAATGAACTTTTGTTTTCTCTTTTGTGTTCACGTGGCGTTCGATTAAAATGTCGACCTTAATGTCGACCTTAATGTAATGCAACAGGCAGCAAATATATATCGTTATAATCGTTATATATTATCGTTTTCCGTGCGAAATTCCGGCCGGCGGTTCGCAGTCACCTTATTATAATGGAACTTTTTAATGGTGACACACCTGACCATTAAGTCACGACCTTAATGACCTGATAAATAATTTTCTTTTTTTTTTATTCTTCATTTCATCTGATATGCTTTTTAAGCGTTTATAAGGGAGTCAATTCCACAGGAGCCTGACCCATTCTCGTCCTTAATGTTGCTACATCATCTTCTATTCGAACGAGCAGCCTTAATTTCTACAAATTTAATTTCAAGATAATTAATAAAAAAGAAATAATTATAAATTATTTTCTAAGAGGTAAAAAAATGCTTTTTTGATTGAAAAAAATTCTTACTGTTCGTGTATCTCCAGGGGTAGTTAGCCATGAATATAACATGTAACCTGGTATGCAAAGCATCGAGGACAATGCTGTGAACCAACCGAAACAATGCGACCACCATGGATACTCGTAATCAAGATATTTTATTGGTTTCCATTCGACCAAATTAAAGATGAACACACCCTGGAAAATTAAATATTATTAAATTTTAAACGAACGTTGCAATTTTCAGGGCATTTTTCATAAAGTACCGTCAATTTACTTGAAGTACGTAAAAGTTAATTTTTTTTAAAGTCTGTATTCCGTAGAGTCTGTAATTTAATTGAAAAATAAAAAAAAGTTCGTAAACTATACGATATAATTTGGAGAATTTTGGAGAAATTACAAATGATTGTAAAAATTCAATTATTTTCAAAAATAATAAAATTCTTCGAAAAAATTCAATTAAGGTCAAAATTTTTTACAAATTCCCGTAAAAATTTCAATCATCTTTAGAAATAATAAAATTCTACTAAAACAATTCAATTATTTAAAAAAAAATGTTGATAACATTCTACGCAAACATTTAATTATTTTCATACAGTAATAAAAATTTCACAACAATTCAGTTATTTCCAAATTTTTTTTATAAATTTCTTCGCAATAATTCAATTATTTTCATAAATAATATAAAATTTGTACAGGAAATCAAATATTTTTAAAAATAATAAAAGTTTCACAGGAATTTCATTATTTTAAAACACAATTTTCATAAAATTTTTCCATAAAAAATCAATTATTTAAAACGATTTTTCTAAAATTTTTTGCTGGAATTTAATTATTTAAAACAAAAATTAATAAAGTTCTTCGTAAGTATTCAATTAGTTTGGAAAATTTTAATAAATTTCGTTGCAAAAATTTAATTATTTTTAAAAATTTTAATAAAATTCTTCATATAAATTCAATTATTTTTAAAATATTAAGATAAAATTTCAATTATTTTCAAAAATTTTTCTCAATTCAATGATTTTCAATGTATATTATTTTAATAAAATTTGCCAAAAGAATTTAATTATTTAAAAAAATTTTAATATTCTACGCAAACATTTAATTACATATTTTCATAAATAATAAAAATTTTACGGGAATTCAATTATTTAAAAAAAATTAATATTCTTCATAAGAATTCAATTATTTCTATAAATAATAAAATTCTTAGGAATTCAATTACTTTCTAAAATTTTAATAAAATTCTTCAAAACCATTCAATTATTTTTACAAATAGTAAAATTCTCATCAAAAATTAAACTATTTTTATAAAATAATAACATTTTTCTTAGAAATTCAATTATTTTCGACACAATTTTAATAAAATTTCTCGAAAAGTTTCAAGTATTTTCATAATTAATAATTTTTTTCTTATGAATTTAATTATTTATAGAAGAATTTTCAAAATTAAAAAAAATTCTCGTCAAAATTTCAATTATCTTTAAAAATAATAAAATTCTTCTCCAAAATTCAATTATTTTTTAAAAATTTCAAGAAAATTCTCGTCAAAATTTAAATTATTTAAAAAAAATTTTAAGGAATTCAATGATTTTTAATATCTATTATTTTAATAAAATTTTCCAAAGAATTCAATTATTTAAAAAAAAATGTTAATAAAATTCTAAGCAAACATTTAATTATTTTCATAAATAATGAAAATTTCACAGGAATCCAATTATTCAATAAATTATTTAGTTTTTTCTATTAATAATTGAATTCTCGTATAGAATTTTCTAATAAAAATTGATTTAAAAATAAATTTTGGTTAAAATTTTAGATAATTGAATTTTAAAAGCATGAAAGCCTGAATTTTTAGAAATAATTGAATTTTGAAAAGGTTTTAAACTAAAATCTATAAAAATTTAAATTTTTCATACTTATAGCTAACAATTCTTTTGAATTATTTGTTTTGAAAAAGTTTATTTGAATATTTTTTAAAAATTATTTCAAGTTTTGATTTTCGAAATATACATTTTAATTGAAGAATTTATGAATAATCAAAATTTCATAAAATTCAATTGTAAACAAATAGATTTAAAAATTCTCAAAGAACTTTTTTGAAAATTATTAAAAATAATAATTGATTAAAAAAAGAATTTTAGTGAAAAATTCTAGAAAATGATAATTGAATTTAAATGATGAAAATAATTTTGAAAAAGTTACAGGAACAATATGTTTAAAATATAAAAATAATGATTTTATCACATGAAGATCGATATCTTCATGTTTTATAAGAAAAAATTTAATTTATAGTTTTAAGTAAAATGTTCTCTTATTTGACTTGGAATCGGAATTTTATTCTCTAAATTTTATTTACTATGATTTTTTTAAAATTTGTTTTGATTTTTTCCTCTGGAAGATTACAAAAAAAAAAAATCAAGAGACTAGAGATATAATTCACAGTCGACTAAACAATGCGTTTTTATGAATGTTTTTGTAAAAAGCTTGAATACTCGAGTTGGAAGCTTGTGTAATAAATTTTATCCGATCCGATGCCCAGGGCAAAAAAAAGAGATGGAAATGCGGGTCGTATTTATTTCAATCGATTGATTCATCTCTTTTAAACCCTGGTACTAATGGTTTCATTAAAACGATTGTCCGAAAAAATGGACAATTCCCATTTGTACGAGAAATATTTTCGATGCGCTTAAATTTATTTTTTTCGTAGGTACTATTTCCTTTATTTCTTTCATTCATTTATTTTCATGTATTTTTTTCATTTATTTATTTTTTTTTATTTACTCTTCATTTCTTTTTATTTTTTTTTATTTTTTTATCTCTTTTATTTATTTATTTTTCATCTCTTCTATTTTTAATTTCTCTTATTTATTTTTTAACGAATCAAAAAACAAAAATGGAAAAATCGATCGAAATTTACTTTTATTTATTTTTTAACGAATTAAAGAACAAAAATGGAAAAATTGGTCGAAATTTACTTTTATTTATTTATTTTTTTAACGAATTAAAAAGAAAAATTGAAAAATCGACCGAAAGTTAATACTCACAATGCAAATAAGCGGTGTGGTCACTGTCCAACAGAATTTCCACCAAATAAGAGGATAGTATCCAATCATGTCACGTAAGCCGTCGTAGAATCGATTCACGCCAAATGCCCAACTAATGGCAATGCACTCGAAGAAGATGAGGAACAATAAACAAAAGCCAGACACTGCATAGGAGTCCAATATTTGGAAGACGTACATCCCGCCTTGTGAGATGCAGGAGAGACCGACCACATACGACATAACGCAGACCAATGCTATAAATATTTCTTTCCGTGGTCGAAGGAGCTTGGGCCATTCATCAACCTGAGGAAATAAAATTTTTTTTGCTTTTATTTTTACGTCACAATTTATGAGAATTTATTCATTAAATAACCAATGAAAATTTATCCATTTTCCCCACAATACTCTCTCTCTCTCTCTCATAGACACAAAAGTAGGATCATAAAAATTCTCAATCAGAATATAAAATCAGATGGGAAAATCTTACGATCCTGAATTCAAAATGGAAACAATATATGTAATTGAAACTTTAAATTACATTTTTTATTCGTCAATAAAATTGTAAATTTTTTTTCGTATGAAAGCAATTTACTGATTTTAAAGCGATGTACCGCAAGGAGATATAATTAATCGATGGCTGTGCATACAATGAATTCTTCACATTCTTCATTAAATTGATTAAATTTTTCAGATTTCAATCTAGTTTAGAAGATATTAAATGTGATAAAATGTATTTTAAGAAATTTGTGATACTTACAACTCAAGAATTTAAGATTTAGTCTAACAATTATTCTTTTTAGAAGAAATACAAATATTTCACATTTTTTCCAAATTGACATTCGATTGCTTGAAAATGTTTTCAATTATTATTATTATATTTATGAATAATAAAATACATGTTCCGGTAATTTGTTCGCAGTATGATTTTTTGTTTCTTAACTTTTTTATTTTTTCTTTTCAAATATTTTCAATTTTAAAATTAATGTTTTGAAAATCATCGAATTATTGCAAAGAATTTTATCAAAAATTTTGATAAAATAGAATACCTTCAAAGAATTTTATTATTTAGGAAAATAACTAAATTCTCGCGAAGAATTTTGTTAAAATTCTTGAAAATTCTACTTAAAATTTTGAAAATAATAGAATCTTTTGGTAAAAAATTTAAAATTATCTAAAATTATCAAAAATTCGAAAAACCGATTTTCTTAAAATTCAACATTTTCCCTTCTCTTTTGTGTCATTTAGCTTCATTATTTTTGTGCTTTTCAAAAACACTTTACTTATTTAAAAATCTCCACCCTCTGGTAAAAAATCTAAAATTATTTAAAATTATCAAAAATTCGAAAACCCGAATTTCCTAAAATTCAACATTTTCTCTTCTCTTTTGTGTCATTTAGCTTCATTATTTTTGTGCTTTTCAAAAACACTTTACTTATTTAAAAATCTCCACCCTCTGGTAAAAAATCTAAAATTATTTAAAATTATCAAAAATTCGAAAACCCGAATTTCTTAAAATTCAACATTTTCTCTTCTCTTTTGTGTCATTTAGCTTCATTATTTTTGTGCTTTTCAAAAACACTTTACTTATTTAAAAATCTCCACCCTCTGGTAAAAAATCTAAAATTATTTAAAATTATCAAAAATTCGAAAAACCGAATTTCTTAAAATTCAACATTTTCTCTTCTCTTTTGTGTCATTTAGCTTCATTATTTTTGTGCTTTTCAAAAACACTTTACTTATTTAAAAATCTCCACCCTCTGGTAAAAAATCTAAAATTATTTAAAATTATCAAAAATTCGAAAAACCGAATTTCTTAAAATTCAACATTTTCTCTTCTCTTTTGTGTCATTTAGCTTCATTATTTTTGTGCTTTTCAAAAACACTTTACTTATTTAAAAATCTCCACCCTCTGGTAAAAAATCTAAAATTATTTAAAATTATCAAAAATTCGAAAACCCGAATTTCTTAAAATTCAACATTTTTTCTTCTCTTTTGTGTCATTTAGCTTCATTATTTTTGTGCTTTTCAAAAACACTTTACTTATTTAAAAATCTCCACCCTCTGGTAAAAAATCTAAAATTATTTAAAATTATCAAAAATTCGAAAACCCGAATTTCTTAAAATTCAACATTTTTTCTTCTCTTTTGTGGCATTTAGCTTCATTATTTTTGTGCTTTTCAAAAACACTTTACTTATTTAATAGTCTCCATCCTTTGGTAAAAAATTTAAAATTATCTAAAATTCGAAAAACCGATTTTCTTAAAATTCAACATTTTCTCTTCTCTTTTGTGTCATTTAGCTTCATTATTTTTGTGCTTTTCAAAAACACTTTACTTATTTAATAGTCTCCATCCTTTGGTAAAAAATTTAAAATTATCTAAAATTATCAAAAATTCGAAAAACCGAATTTCTTAAAATTCAACATTTTCTCTTCTCTTTTATTTCATTTAGCTTCATTATTTTTGTGCTCTTCAAAAACACTTTACTTATTTAAAAATCTCCACCCTCTGGTAAAAAATTTAAAATTATCTAAAATTATCAAAAATTCGAAAAACCGAATTTCTTAAAATTCAACATAGAAACAAAAATAATAAAAATCTTCTAAATTTTGTTTAATTAAAAAATATTTTCATTCACATACATTTTAATTTTTGTATAAATTTTTCGAGATTTCTCTGGCTTTTATTAAATTCTCTCACATTCCCCGATTTTTCCATGACTTTTCCCTGACTTTCCTAACTTCCCTGATCGTTATACACCTTGATTGAAAGTAATTTAATTTTCATATAGAATTTTTTAAAAAATATATTGAGAATAATTGAATTATTTTTAGAAAGTTCTTGCTGAAATTGAATTTTATGGAAATTTTTGAAAATAATTCAATTCTTTCGTGTAATTTTATTCAAATTGGACTAAAAATAATTTAATTCCTACAAAGAATTTTAGTATTTATAAAAATAGTTGAATTGTTTCAAAGAATATATTAAAATTTTAGGAAATAATTGAAATTTATGAAAATATTTTAAAATATTTGAATTCATCCGAGGAATTCAATTCAAATTTGTTTTGAAAATAATTGAATTCCTGCAAAGAATTTTACTATTTATAAAATTAATTGAATTTTTGCGATGAATTTTACTATTTATAAAAATAATTGAATTTTTTCGAATGATTTATTAAAATTTTAGAAAAATGATGATTTTTTTCGAAATATGTGTTAAAACTTTTTTAAAAAATTGAATTCTTCCGAAATTTTATTAAAGTTTTTGAAAATATGAAATGTAATAATTAATTTTGTACTTAATAAGTGAATTTTTTAAATTTCGATTATGAAATTATTTAAAAAGTTTATATTTGAAAATAAAAAATTTTCTAATTTGCATAACAATAATAAATTGAATATCACGTAACATTTGCTAGTTACTATTAATATTTCTTTAATTTTTCCAAAATGTTTTAAATTCACGATGAATCATTTGAAAATTATAGTACAAATATTATTTCTCCCTCTTAATAATTTGTCTAAATTTATCTGAATCATTAATTTAAAAAACCAGTAAATTTAACAGCTGAATAACTGAAATTTTATCACTTTATCAGAGAATATTAACTACAATTTATAAATTTGTTTCGCATTTATTCGTCAGAATTCATCTCACGAATCACGATCAGCATTTATTATCAAAGGCTATTCTCATCCCCATCATCGTCACCATTCTCATTAGTCATCAGTATTCACTCTCTTCAAATTAATCAATAAACCAAAATCGTTCAGTTTTAGTTAATTTCTATAGTTTTAATTCGAATTTTAGTTACTTTATTGTTCTAACTTCAATTATTTTTTATTCTACTTTTAATTATAGTTATTTCATTATTCCAATTTCAATTTTAGTTATTTCACTATTTTCATTTCAATTACAGTTATTTTACTGTTTCAATTTTAATGATTTCAGTATTTTACTTTCAATTTTAGTTATTCTTTCACTATTCCAATAGTATTTTTTTACATTCTCAGCACAAGAGAAGATATTATTTTAGATAGTGTAAATATAATATTTCTACAAAAAAAAAAATTTTTTTTTTCTATACAAGAGAGAGAGAGAGAGAGAGAGAGAGAGAGCGAGGGAGACAAAAAAATTGATGAAAAAAATAAATAGAAGAATAGATAAAGTCTCACCATAGCAGTGATAAATCCCTCCATGGTACAAAATTGTGAGTCGAGCCCTATCAGTAGGAGCATAAAGAAAAATAAACACGACCATAGTGGCGCCCATGGAAGTTGAAGCACTGCGGAAGGATAGGCGAGAAAGGCCAATCCTGGACCGGATGCTGCCACCTCGGCCACTGGTCTTCCTTGTTCATGTGCCATAAAACCAACAACAGAGAAAATAACAAAGCCAGCGAACATGCTCGTTGACGAGTTCACTGCACACACGATAAGAGCGTCTTTGTATACATTGTTGTTGAACTTGTTATAACTACCCAAGGCCACCAGAGTCCCCAGTCCAAGACCATAGGAAAAGAAAATCTGGGTTACAGCATCTATCCACACCTGTAAAAAAAAATTGGAAATCATTTTTTTACTCCTTGCAATACAAATTTAATGAAATTTAAATTATTTTATTTTTATTACTATCTATTTGTAAAATGCACTCATTCTCTAATTTTTACAATTCCTTCTCTAATTTATTTCGCTAATATGTAATTTTCTTCTCCGCTTTTTTTCCGATGGTAATTTAATCCTAATTTTTATTATTTTTAATTAGATATTTTTCTCTCTGCAATTTTTTCGCTACCAATTTAATACAATTTTTATTCTTATTTTTAATTATTAATTCTCCCTGCAATTTTTTCGTTATCTATTTAATACAATTTCAGAATTGCCATAAAAATTTAGTTTTGTTTTTCCCTGATTTCCAGACAAAATTTGGACTTTTTCCCTGACCCTAAATTAATAATTTATATTCCAAGAATATTCTTACTGTAAGTTCTCCAAATTATTATAAATTTAAACTAAAATTCTTTTTTAAAAACAATTGTTTTTAATTCCATTATACGAAATTCCAATTATTCGTAAATTGTTCAATTAAATAAAGGTATATTATAGAAAATAAAAACTTCAAATAATTTTCAAAAAAATCAATTACACAATGAAAAATTCAGATTTTCAGAGATTTTAATTAGAAACCTTTTACAAAATTCAATTATTTCTAAAAGATCATGCGTTTAATATTCAATTATTATCTAAAATTTTAGCTGAAATTCAATTTTAGAATTCAATTATTTAAATACAAAAATAAATAATTTATTAAATAATTGAATATTACTCAAAAGTAAATTCTCATAAAGAATTTTATCACCAAATTTTTAAATAATAAAATTCTTCCGACGAATTACAATAAATTTTTTAAGAATAATTACATTTTTCCAGGAATTCAATTATTAAAATTGAATAAAAAATAATTGAAATTCTGCGATGAGTTTTACTATTTATGAAAATAATAAATTGAATTACTAGAAAGAATTTTATTATTTTTAAAAATAATTTAATCTATGTAAAAAATGTTATTAATTATGTAAATAATTGAATAATTGCGAAGAAATTTATAAAAAATTTGTAAATAATTGAATTCCTGTGTAATTTTTATTATTTATAACATAAGAATATTTAAATGTTTGCGTAGAATTTAATCAAACAATTTTTTTAAATAATTGAACTCTTGTGAAATTTTTATTATTTTTTTTAAATAATTGAATTCTTTTGGAAAATTTTATTAAAATAGTTGATATTGAAAATCATTGAATTGAGGATAATTTTTGATAATAATTATTCAAAGCTTGCCAAGAATTTTATTAAAATTTTTGAAAATAATTGAATTTTTCCAGAAGAATTTTATTACTTTTAAAGATAATTGAAATTTTGACGGAAATTTGTAAAAAAATTTTGAATTTCTTCGAAGAATTTTATTACTTTTGAAAATAATTGTATTTCGGTGAAGAATTTTATTATTTATAAAAATAATTAAAATTTTGACGAGAATTTCAAAAAATTTTTGAACATAATTGAAATTTTGTCATAAATTTAAAAAAATTTTTGGACATTATTGAATTTTTGCAAAGAATTTTATTATTTTTGAAAATAATTGAATTCCAGTAAAAAATTTAATTATTTATAAAAATAATTGAATATTGCAAAGGATTGAACTGAGGAAATTTTTTTAAAATAATTGAATTTCGAAGGAGAATTTTATTATTTTTAAAAATAATTGAATCCCTGTAACAAATTTTATTATTTCAAAAAATAATTGAATTATTGTGAAGAAATTTATAAAAAATTTGTAAATCGTTGAATTCCTGGGAAATTTGTATTATTTTTAAAAATAATTTGAATTATTGTGAAGGAATTTATAGAAAATTTGTAAATAATCGAATTTCTGTAAAATTTTTATTATTTTCGAAAATAATTGAATTATTGCGAAGAAATTAATTACTTTTGAAAATAATTGAAATTTTGCTAAGAATTTTATTAACATTTCTTGAAAATAATTGAATTTTGCAGAATTTTATTATTTAAAAAGATAATTGAAATTTTGACGAGATTTTTTTTTTAAATTTCGTTATGAATTCTAGAAATTTAATTTTTTTGCAGTACTTTTAATAAAAATTCCTGACTTCCCTGACCTGTGGAAACCCTGAATTTCTATTGTTAATTTTTAATTATTTATTTCTAATATTTTTTTTAAACTAACAATTTCTCTAATTCTTCGCTAATTTTTTCTGTACTTTTTTCTAACTTTTCTCTAATTTTATTTAGCGATTCTTTCATATAATTTAAAAAAATTCCCTTTTACGGTAAAAATTAATTAAAAATTTAAGATTTTTCAATCTTTTGATATAATTAATATGAGATTCCTAATTGACGATCAATTATCTTATCGTGAGAGCATCGATAGAACAGGGGTGGAAATAATTGAGTTTGATCCCTTCATTTTCGATTAAGATTGGCTCCCCCTTTCTTTATGTGTAAAGAGCGAGTGCGATTCTCCATAATGGGATTTAGGATTTAATAGCTATTAGAGACAAAGATGAAGAAATTTATCAAAGTCAAGTCATTATTCTGCAATTTCAAGAGGGTAAAGCAATAATGATAATGCACTTATCAACCCTCTTTCACAGTAATAATTAAAGTTCAGTCAAGTACAATAGAAAAAGAAAAAAGAGCAGAGGAAAAATTTACAATAAAAAAAAAGAAAATATCTCTATTACTATATTTCTTTTTTTTATAATATAGAATAAAATAATATAAATAATAGAAGAAAATAATAATAAAAAAAAGAACAAAAAGAAAAATTTACAATAAAAAAAAGAAACATAACTGTTACAATTTTTCCTTTTTTTATATTATAAAAAAAAATAAAATACAATCCTTCCTCTATGAGGAAGCAATAGTATAAATAATTTAAATAATAGAAAATAATGGAAAAAATAAAACAAATAAAATAGAAAATAAGTGGAGAAAATAAAAACAAAATAAAAAATAATAGAAAAAAATATAAACATAGAAAATAATAGAAAAAGTAAAAATAAAACAAATAAAATATGAAGAATAGAAGAAAATAAAAAATAAACCAAATAAAATATTAAAAAAATTTAGAAATTTGAAAAACTAGGCTAATGGAGTGATGTTGGAAAAAATTGTCATTTACCCCAGATTCCTTGAGTTTGGATAAATTGGGCATGACGTAGAATTTGATGCCATCAGCGGCACCCGGAAGTGTAACACCACGGATCAGTAAAACCGTGAGAAGTACATAAGGGAAGAGGGCTGTGAAATAAACGACCTTCCCAGTCCACTTGACTCCTTTCCAGATGCAAAAGTAGCACATAACCCAAACCAAAAAAAGAGTTACAGCCAATTCCCATCTCACATTACCAATATGCTCGACGCCATCCGAAATTTGAAGTGCCCTTCGTCTATAAACAAATTTCGAAACAAACAAAATTTTATTATCACATTTTTCCAAAAATAAAAATTTTATCATCACATTTTTTACAAAAATAATAATTACAGAAATAATTAAAAAGATTCTTTCAAATAAATACAGATGCTATCTGGCCATGAAAACAGAAATTTTATTCAAAAAGAAATGGGAAAAAATAGTTTTACTTGAAAATAAATTTTATTTTTAAATTTTGATCTTAAGAAAGAAAAGTCCTCCTCTGAATTGCAATTACTTTTTCCTTGTCTTGAATATTCAAATGAACGAGAATTTTCTTTCTGCTCATTTTCTCTCGGAGAATGATAATAGAAAATATTTAAACCGAAAAAAGTTATTTTTTCTCTCCAGAATAGTAATTTTAGAAAATTGAAATTAGAAAGAAATTATAAATTAATTTCTCTCTCTCAGAATAGAGATTTTAGAAAATATTTAAATAGAAAAAAAATGTTTTCTCTCTCAAAATAGTGATTTTTGGAAAAATATTTCAGCAGAAAAAAATTATTTTTTCTCTCAGAATAAACAGTAATTTTTAAAACGAAAAAAAAATTAATTTCTCTCTCAGAATAGTGATTTTAGAAAATATTTAAACAGAAAGAAAATTCTTTTTTCTCTTAGAATTTTGATTTTAGAAAATGTTTAAACGAAAAAAAATTATTTTCTCTTTCAAAATAGTGGTTTTTGAAAATATTTAAGCAGAAAAAAATTATTTTGTCTCTCAGAATAGTAATTTTAGAAAATATTTAAACAGAAAAAAAAAGTTCTTTTTTCTCTCAGAATTTTGATTTTAGAAAATATTTAAACAGAAAAAAATTATTTTCTCTCTCCAAAATAGTAAATATTTAATGTAAATTGAAACTTTGTTGAATAAGAATTAATTTGTAAATACGGTAATAATTTTTTTATGTTCCTAAAGTTTCGAATATTCAAAAAATGAACTACAATTTTTTAACACTTCCTTTAAATTTGAATTTGACTAAAATTGAATTTTTCTGGAAATTAAAAAAGTAATTTTCCACTAAAATAATTCTTTCACTAATTTTATCTTGCACTTTATTAAAGTTCATTTTCAAAATATTTAAATAGAAAAAATTGCCATTCGTTTGATACAAAAAAATCGTCATTCATTTAAACGATTTTTGTAATAATCTTTTCTTCCTTTTTTTCTCTTACTTTCCTTCTTTTTCTTTCACTTAATTGAAATAATAAATAAATAAATAATAGTTTTTCGAAAAAAATAATTCATTTAATTTTGATAAATTTAAAAAAAATTCCCGTTCGAAACTTTAATTACAAAAAAATAGCGAAATTTTCAATTACTTCTAGTTTTAAGAGAAAAGAACGATAAAAAACAATTCTAAATTCGAATCTCAGTGAAATATTATTAACTCTTATAAAGATTTTTACTGCTAATCAAAACTTGATTGTCAGTAGAATTTCACAAAAAACCGTAAAGACTTTTATTGACAAATTTAAGAGAGATTTTTTTATTTTTCTTCTGTTTGTATTATTTTTCCTTTTGCAGATTAATATTTTGTAAAAAATCCCGATGCAGTTCATATTTAAGAAATCTCCTTTAATTGTCGAAATAAAAAGTGTAGATTAAAAACAAGAGTCCAAGAAATTATTTTAAAACTTAAAACACTTTGAAATCTAACAAAAAATTTTGGAAATAAAATGAAAATGTCTCGAAGAAAAAAATAAAGAGAGTGAAAATATCTCGAAGAAGAAAGTAAAGGAAATGAAAATCTCTCGAAGAAAAAATAAAGAGAGTGAAAATATCTCGAAGAAAAAAATAAAGAGAGGAAAAGCGAAAGAAAAAAAAGAGAGAGAGAAAGAAAGAAAGAAAGAAAGAAAGAAAAGATTACAAAAATACATTTTATCTCAAATAGATAAAGAGAAAAAAAAAATTTTTCCCTCAAAGAAAATCAATGTTCAAAAAAAGAAAAAAAATAGGAGATTTGAAAACTTATGGTACTCTATAATCAATACTGAAACAGGATCGTAACCCAGAAAACTAGAACCATCTGCATCTAAACTCAAAAAAAAAAAAATCTATTGACAAAAAAAGAGAAAAAAAAGTAATGATAACAATAATAATTAATTGAAAAAAGATACAAACTCCCAAAATTCTTTGACTGGATCCGCAAGTTCCGGCCAAGTGACGTTGACTTGATTAAGTGTGCACATTTTGTAGAAAGTACCGTTCCTGGCAGTCATATTCCAGCATGGTAAACTTTTCCTCAAATATGGATTAATACAATATTTTGTATTCCACCAGTTGTTGCAGGTGCCCCAGGGTAATTCTGCGGTGCAAAAGAGCAATGATGAAATGTTAGAACATTGATTATCGAGTGCCATCGGTTTTCGAGGATTCCCAGCATTTCTATGTCGAGCTAGTAATCAAGGCTTAGGGAGTACGAGAAGCTTTGATTAGGCTGCCTGTCAAAATCTAGGACATTATTCTGATAAAGAAATATAATTTCAATTTTTCCTTTTTCCACAGAGTCAAAATAATTAAATATTTTTATTTTATTAATTATTATTGCAAAAAATAATTATTTTCTGTAACAAAAAGTTCTTTAAAGTTTTCTTTTTTTACTTTTTCTTAATTTTATTTGGCTTTTCTTATTTTATTCGAAATGAATATTTTTTAAAACTTTTCTTTTAATTTCTCTAAATTTTATTCGCAGGCTTCGTACTCGATAATTAATTTTAAAAAAAAGTAGATTTAAGACTGAAAAAAGTAATAAAAAAGTAGCTATTAAAAAATTCAATTTAACGATTCATTTTTTTTATAATTTCAAAATTAAATTAGTAATTACATTTAGAAACAAAATAATTTTTGTTAAATAAATATTTAAATACCTATTTATTTTCCGAAGGGAATTAAAATATGTTAACTGATATCAATATTTTAAATTTAATTACTGCTAAAAATCGCACTAATTCTTCCAAAGTTCAATTATTTTTTTCATGACATTTTTCAATAAAATTATTCTAAATTTTAATCATTTTATTTCAAAATAAAAATTTTAATATTATTACAGCTTTACAACAATTACAAATTTCAAAGACTTAAATTGAAAAATGTCTTGAAATTCAATTATTTCTATATACAAATTCACACTATAACGTTTTTAATATTCAATTATTATCTAAAATTTTAACTAAAATTCATTTTTAAATCAATTCTCTAAAGAAAGTTTTACGAGAAATCAATTATTTAAATAAAAAGAATAAAAAATTTATTGAATAATTGAATATATCTTAAAATTAAATTCATATAAAGAAGAATTTTTTATAATTTTTAAAAAAATTTTTAAAAATAATTGAATTCTTTCAGAGAATTTTGATAAAATTTCCAAGAATAATTGCATTTTTCGAAGAATTCATTTAAAATTGTATTAAAAATAATTGAAATCCTGCGATGAATTTTATTATTTATTATGAAAATAATTTGAATACTTGCTAAGAATTTTATTAAAATTTCCAAAAATAATTGAATTCCTGAGAAGAATTTTATTATTTATAAAGATAATTGAAATTTTGAGGAAAAAATTTTTTCATTTTTGGACATAATTGAATTTCTGCGAAGAATTTTAATATTTTTGAAAATTATTTGAAAAAGTTTGCGAAGAATTTTATTCAAATTTTTGAAAATAATTTAAATTCGGGGAAGGATTTTATTATTCAAAAAGATAATTGAAATGTTGAAGAGAATATTTTTTCATTTTTGGACATAATTGAATTTATGCGACGGATTTTTTTTATTATTTTTGAAAATAATTGAAATTTTACAAAGAACTTTATTAAATTTTTTTTAAATATGTAATTAGATTCTTGTGAATAACTTTATTATTTTTTTTTAAATAATCGAATTCTTAGTGAAAAATTTTATAAAAATCTTTTTAAATAATTGATTTAAAAAGAAAATAATAATAATAATAATAATAATAATAATTGGAATGTTTGGAAGAATTTTACTAACATTTTTGAAAATAATTAAATTTTTTCATGAAATTTAATAAAAAATGTATTAAGAATAATTGTATTTCTCAGAAAAAATTTTATTATTTATGAAAATAATTTAATTTTTAATTTCTTATACAGAATTTTATCAAAATTTTTAAAAACAGTTGAATTCTTGTAACGAATTTTATTAAAATTTTTTGGAAACAATTTGATTGTAACTGAAGAATTTCATTCAAATTTGTGAAATTAATTAAATTTTTTCAAGAAATTTAATAAAATATTTAATAAAAATAATTGTTAAATTCTAATAAACAAATTATATCCAAATTTGTTAAAATTGTAATTGTAATCTTCTCAAGAATTTTAATAAAATTGTATTAAAAATAATTGAAATCCTCCTAAGAGTTATAAAAATAATTGAATTCTTGCGAAAAATTTTTTTTTCAAAAAAAAAAATAATTGCAACGTTTGGAAGAATTTTATTAAAAATTTTTTAATTGTTTCTAAGAATTTAAAAAAATTCTCTGGGAATATTATTTTTTTTCAATTATTAGCGATTTTAAAGTAGTGCAAATCCTCAATTTCATTCAATTTTACTTAATTTTATTCAATTCTATTTAATTTTATTCAATTTTATTTAATCTTATTCAATTCTATTTAATTTTATTCAATTTCATTTAATTTTATTTAATTCTATTCAATTTTATATTTAAAAAGATTTTTAGAATTCCTCCTGCAAACAAGATTTTGCTAATGAGAAATAGAGCGCATGCGCCGCGATAATGAAAATAAGAGAGAAATTCTCGTTTTTCTCTATCGCTCTCATTATTGGGGCGCATGCGCTCTATTTTTCGTCGTATTTAACCTTAAAATTACAGTAATATCTCCGATGTCTCCTAAGACCGTTATAAAAATTGTTTCCCAATTCAAAATAGTTATTTTTGTAATTAAATTTGATCTTATTTATTTAATTATTATTTATTTAATAACTATTTCATTTTATTTAATTAATTAATAATTAATAATTGTTTTTTCAATTGCATTTGAAATGTTGGATCCTCAAAAACAGGGTACTAATGGCAAAAAAATATAAAATTAAATAAAAAAAAATTATAGAAATACCTATAAATTTTATATACTAACCACTGCGCATGGACATGAAGAAGTAAAATATCGCCCAAGCGAGGATAACGATGTAATAGACATTCATCCAACAGGACATGACAGCTGCCGCGTATCCAATGCCTTTAAACAATGGCGCTATTTTGAATACACCAAGACCGCCGATTGTTAACATTTGTCCTAATGCCAATTCCATGAAAAACATTGGAATTCCAGCGAGAATAAGTGTGAGGAAATAGGGAATGAGAAAAGCGCCTCCTCCATTTTTGTAGCACAAATATGGAAACCGCCACACATTTCCCAGACCAATGGCAAGACCCACCTGTATGTGCATAAACACAGTAATTAAAATTCTTTTAGTTTTCATAATTATTCCATTTTATAAATAGTGCACAACATTCCTTTTTCGTATACCACTTGTGGAGCAAAATTGGACAATTACATTTTTCCCCCAAGCAGATTTTTTTCGCAAATGTGAATCTTCTCTTTCTCATTTGCAAAAAAAAAATCTGCTTGGGGAAAAGGAGAAATAAAAAAACCAGAAAGTTTCGTGAATGTAAAAATACTTGCACGAAAAATTCTGGTTTTAGTTCGATCTTCGATGTTTGTGAATTTAAATCTTTTGTGTTTTCACACGAATTTACAAATGCAGAAAACTTCCGAATGTATTGAAAAAGAATGTTTTGTAAAATTCTACGTTTGTAGAATTTTGCGCACAAGAGGATTAAGAATTATAGTTTGAAAATTACCACACTGAGGATAAAATCGAGTTTGGTACTCCATGTGTCCCTCTCTGGAAGCTGCTTAGTTTTGGAGGTCGATGGACACGTTACGTTAAGGGATGTTTTGGCAGCATCGGTATTATCCGAATCTGCCAATTCTGGATCCCTCGAGGTTTCTGTCATGTTTCTATCGCTATGATGCCCGCTTCTATTACCCTATGGCGCACACAATTCGCTATCTCTTCGTCCAAGTCGACTCCGAGCTTAAGTCGATGTCCTTCAACCAGGAAGCTGTTGTCGAGACATAACAGCGAATCTAAAATTTCAAATATTTACCCAATTGTAGCATGCTCGTCAAAAATAATCCTTTATACCTTTTGCCGGGAAAAGTTTATACCTTCTGTTTCAAAAACAAGGGATGAGAGAAATTAAAAATCGGGTGATGTGTAATCAATTCAAAAATGGGTTTTTTGATGACTTCTTCGCTTCTTCAAAGTGTGTTCTCTGATCAATCTTCTGGACTTCTAGCTTCTAGTTAACACTGGTCAAACTTTAGAACTGATTTCTTTGTTAATTCAGAAAGAAACTCCACAAAAAGTGAATCCTTTGCTAAAAATCTTTGACTTGTAGCATCTAGTAAACACTGTTCAAAGTTTCGAACTGCTTTCTTTGTAAATTCAGAAAGAAACTCAACAAAAAGTGAATCCTTTGCTAAAATATTCTGGACTTCTAGCTTCTAGTAAACACTGGTCAAAGTTTGCGAACTGCTTTGTACCGAAAACAGTCGCAACAATTCGAATTTAACTCGCAAAAAGAACTCCGAAATTCTTATGTCCGTTAGCATACCGAAAACAGTCGCAATAATTGGAATTTAACTCCCAAAAAAGAAAACTCCGAAATTTTTTTAGTCTATTAGTACAGTGGTAAAAATTCGAAATCCGGAAAGGTAACCGAAACGCAAAACCAAAAACGAAAAAAGCATTTGGCATGCGAATTGTTATCAAAACCCCGAAATCCGAAACTGAAACTGCAAAAGTGAGCCATATGAGTCACCAAGAGTCACTTAGGAGACAATATGAGTCACTTAGGAATTACTCTGAACCACTAGAGTGAATAGCCCCTAGAGTTATATCCCTTATACAACACGAAACAATTACTTCGAGTATGCATTCATCAGTTATCAAAGTGCAACCACAGTTTGCAATTTTACCTCTTAAATCTAAATTTCCCCTGCTAGCAGGGAATCATCAAATTGCAATCAAGTTTAGTCATTCTTTACCGGAATTTTTAATACTGATTTATTACCAGAAATTAGCATAAAAAAATTGTCTATGTGCAATTCTATTTGTTTAATTAAAATAAATTGTATCCATTTTTTTTCATGAGCTTTATAATAGACCAGTAAATTATATTTGTTTGTATCTACATTTTATACTTGTCAAGTTGTTTGATTATTTTATGAATTTATTCTCAAGTGCACTTGTCTCCTGAATATACAGAGCAATATTCTCTCTCGACTGCCTATAGTATTCTCTCTCGGCTTGTTACCGCCTCTGTCATTATCAGAAGAGCCATTAGTTTGTAAACTGTATGCGTATTCAAGCAATCCCACCAGCTGTTTTGGATGTGCGAAATTCGCCTCCAAACATTGTGCAACAGCAGTTTATATACTAAATCAAAATTTCAAAGGACACATGAACGCAAAATATCCTCTCCCGGATTAATTTCCATTTAATACCTAATATAAACAATATGTTTAATGTCCATTGTACATATGCATAATAATAAATTCAATTTAAACATTTCGAATTCTAAATATCGAAAGGGTTGTGTATCACTATATGCTCTTCTCGGGGAAGATTAATTACAGCAGTAAAACTTTTAATTAAAAGCAAGGATGGTTGGTGGTGTGGAACTAAATTCGGAAAACACTTGTTACTTTACGCATGAGAAATAAGGGAATTAAGAGTAGTTTTGATTTTGTTTTTGAATAGAAGAATCAAACGCAAATTGTTTCTTTAGGTTCCAAAGGATTGAATAAAAAATAAATTGTTTCATTGTTGCTCCAAAACTTAGAATGAAAAGCAAATTGTTTCTTTTGGTTCCAAAAATTCGAATCTAAAGAGAACTGTTTCTTTTAGTTCCAAAAATTGGAAACAAAAGCGAATTGTTTTCTTCTTGTTTCCGAAATTCCAAAGCAAAAGGGAATTGTTTCTTTTGGTCCCAAAACTTAGAATGAAAAGCTAATCATTTTTCTTTTGGTTCGAAAATTTTGAATTGTTTCTTTTAGTTCTAAAAGTTCTCTAATCATAAGCAAATTGTTTATTTTGATTTCAAAAATCTGCAATCGAATAAATTTCATGCTTATAAATCAGAAAACATTGGTTCTAAAAATAAAAAAATCCGTTTAAATATTTCGCTCGTTTTTTAAGGTTTGGAAATATCAATAAATATTTCGCGCAGTGAATGTGCAGCTGATAATATAAAACCCATCAAAAACTTACTTGTCTCCCGCAAGAAACTTTTTACACGAATTTTCAGTTGATATTTCAAGAAAACTACATTCTGGCAAGGCGGCACTTTTTCATCCTGCTACTATCCTTTCAAAACTTGCTCAAATTGCTTTTATACTCTCGCGAACTTTTCTTATCAACCCAATATTTTAAAAGTAAGAAACTGTACACCTATATAAAATATGCATTATTCTATGGTTTATATTTTCGCATAGAAAGAAAGGCAAAAATATATCAGAGATTTAATTTTTCTTATTTAAAAGAAGAAACAACTTGTACTATTCCGGAATATTAATAAAGAAAATAAAAAAAATAGTGAAAATGAGGAAACAAAGTAAAAATATATAGAAAGTAAAAAATTAAGATAATAAAAAATAAAAAAAATAATAAAATAAGGAACATAAAAAATAAAAAAAATAAAGATAATGAAAGAAATAAAGAAAAAAAGAAGAAAAAAGTATAAAGAATATAAAAACCAGTAAAGATAGTTAATTATAAAAGCTGATAGTATAGAAAGAGCTACATATATAATAATCTTTGAAATGTTTCAACGCAGCATTATGTGGAGAATATTTAAAATGAGATAATTTTATGTGCCATCAGTTTCAGGACATAACCTGAGAAAATAGACTTTCTTGATAAAGTTTAGCTTTAGCCAAACAGAAAATTTAACCACAGGAGAATATTTAGCTTGAATAATAAGTGTGCAAAATTTACATAGAGAAAGATGCTTTCAAAGAAGAAAAAAAATATATAGAATATACTTTATTATCCATTGTAAAAAGGATGACGTGAAGAAAAATTTCGAAAAACTTTAATAAATTTTTTTATATTTGTCTTCACATGACTATAATGCATAATATGTAAATTTAATTATTATACTAATTAACAATTTTTTTAGATGTTCTAATTATTTTTACTAAAAATTTAGTGGAAAATATCAAAAAGTGAAAATTTGTATTATATTCTTAAATTTACACTAATTTGTTTAACTTCTAGACTCTGAACTATTAAAGGTATCAAAATGAACGAAATTAATTAGTTTCTTCTTCAAAATTAAAATTTTATTACAATAATATTACGTCACGTATCGAAAAAATAAATTATAAAAGTTTTTATTTAATTTTTAATTATTAACTAATTTACTAATTAATTACAATTATTTATTATTTTCAAAAACTTTAATGCAACTCTTCAAAGGAATTCAATTATTTTTAAATAAAACAGTAAAATTTCTCAAAAGAATTCAATTTTAAAAAAAATTCCACATTAAATTCTTAGTGAAACTTGAAATATTTTGAATACAATTTTAATTAAATTTCTCGAAAAAATTCAATTATTTTTGAAAATTCTAATTTAAATTTTTAACAAGATTTCAATTATTTGCATAATTTATAAAATTTTTCGCAGGAATTTAATATTATTTTAAAGAATTTTAATAAATTAACACTATTTAGTAATTTCTTCTACAATTATTTAATAAATTAATTGTTTCGATTTTTGGAAGACGTATATATAAAAGGCAAAAGAAAAACACTCTTTCACTTTTTTAATTTATTGAATTTTAATAAAATTATTCTGAAAAATTTTATATTATTTTGAAAAATTTCAATAAAATTTTTTATAAAAAATAAATTTAATTATTCTTTGAAAAAATTTTACTCTTTTCGTAAATAATAAAATTCTTTGCAATAATTCAATTATTTTGAAGAACTTTGTTAAATATTCATTTATGAGAATTGAATTATTTTCATAATTGATAAAATTCTTCATTGAAATTTAATTATTTTAAAGAATTTTAATAAAATTATTCTGAAAAATTTTATTATTTTCAAAAATTACAATAAAATTTTTTATAAAAAATAAATTTAATTATTCTTTGAAAAAATTTTACTCTTTTCGTAAATAATAAAATTCTTTGCAAAAATTCAATTATGAAAAATTTTAATAAAATTCTCCATAAGAATCATTATTTGATATTTCTAAAATTTTCAACATTCAAATGAATAAGAATTTTTTTTTAATTTTCCAAAATTTTAATTTGATAAATATTAGAAATTTAGAAAAAAAAATTATTTTTCCCAATGCCTAATTTTTTTTTTATTGCCCATGCGCGAAACTTTGTGAGAAAATCGTGCGAACATAATATATTTCTTGCATCTTAAACACCCATCAGGATCATAAGTAATTTCAAGATCAACTTTTCTCATCAATCGTCTGATGTTGACATAATATTGACAATGAACTCACACACTATAAAGAGAAAGATAAGAACTTTTTAAAAGAGCTCCTTATATTTTTCCCAAAAAAAAAAAAAATATTAATGAAAGAAACATTTTTTCTGACACTTCGATATTAATTCTCGAGATGAGAAGGGAAGAAACGATAAATGATTAATAGGAAATGAATTCAAATACCACAGTTTATTTTATACCATCGCACACGTTCGATATGGCATTAACAGTAAAATGTATTTAATAATCCAGTATATCTATACATATATTATTGAACTCCAATAATCAATATATTATTATAATCTGATCGCACCGAGATAATATATATAACCGTGCGGTAATGGGGCGAAGAGTGGAAAATGCAATTGTTTAAAAGTACTCACGAATAGTTTTGCATATTGTTTTCCAGAATTTATTAATGACTATTAAATTAATAATAATTAATAATAACTAAATTTATTAATGTTTTTTCGAATTTATTAATGATTGTTAAATTAATAATAATTAATAATAACTAAATTTATTAATGTTTTCCCGAATTTATTAATGATTTTTAAATCAATAAAATT